TCAGGAGGTGCAGGCGATACTCGACGACGCCTTCAAGAAGCGCGCAGCGGCAGAGGCTGAAAGAGACGACTTGAAGCAATGGCTCGACCTCACCAAGGCCAGACTCGATTCGTCGGAGAGCTTCGTCAGCAGCCTTCAGCAGTCCATCGAGGAACACTCCGGGACCGCGAGACTTCGCCGACAGGAAGTCCGCGAAGTGAAGAAAGAGTTCAGGAGTATTTTCGTCGAAGTGCGGACCGCGCTGGACGACGTACGTACAGGGTCCCTTGGCTGGTGTGACGTGCTGATGGCTCTGCCAGAACTATGGCAGGCGTACGCCCGCTGACGCGATCGCCTCCTTGAAGGTCTGCCTCGAGAAGCACCAGCCGCTCTTTGACCTGTGGTTTGGGGACCTCGAGCTGGAGGACGACATGGCCTCCGAGGATTGATCTCCTGCCCGGCTCGCCGCTCGTCCTCATGTGCAGTACTCATCTTGCGTCCTTCCTGTTCTGCAAAGTCGCCTCCCCCATCGTCTGTACGAGAATTACTCCTGACACTATATGCTAGCCATCTTGTTCCCTGAATGTGTGCTCCTGTGAATGTGCAATTCTTTGTTCCTGCCCTACGTCGAGACGGTTCGCTCCTTATAAGGAAGGTGAGCTCTTTACAGCAGCACAAGTCTCCGGGCCGGGTCTGTAGACCATGCCAGTGATTGAGATAGTTGCCGTTCCTTCAGGAAGACATAGTCAGGGGCAAGAAGGAGTAGGGACAGGTCAAGCCATCCCCGTCATAGTCCGCCGGCGGGCCTGGCATTGTCACGTGATTATGGGCTGGAACCCATACGCGCGTGTTTGCCACGCGGATCTTGCGCCTTTGGTCCTGGTCTTGAGAGATGGTGGCAGGTATGACATTGTAGTCTGAGTCTCTAGTATCTGATGCAGATATCCTGCCTTTGCAGCAATCCCTGATACGATTTTGCTCAATATCTCAACCTATGCCGACGGGGACACCCGACTTGTTGTGTCCTCTGTCAATCACGCCCTGCGCACCCGACTGGTGCCCCTGATGTTCAAGACGATCGTGGTAGATCAAGACGATGAGCGCTCCATAAAAGCGCTGGGTCGTGGTCTTCTGGCAACCGCGCGCGAACTCGTGCTGCATGATACCAGGCTCGCTCGTGAACTCATCCCGCATGCCACTCGATCCGCCCCCCTGCGTCTTCAAAGCCTCACATTCTCCCCCGACTCCGACGATGCGCTCTACAGGGAGACTATGGCCATCTCCTGTCTCTTGCCTTTTCTGCGGGCGTCGCCCCATCTAGAAAGGCTGGATTGCGTCTTGGTACTTCGCCGCCAGCGTGATCTGTTTGCGCTTATGTCCGAAGTGACTGGAATCAAGAAGCTTGTGATACAGCACATAGAAGGCCCTCAGCGGGAGCCACTATCCGGTGAAACTGCGCCTTGGGTGAGGCTCGAAGAGCTCATCGTTGGGAATGGGGTGACGGATGCGTGGTTTGAGCTCGTGCTTCCGCCCCACTGGCACCCACCCCTCACCGCGCTTGACATTTCCAAAGGAGCTGATGTCACTTGGACCACCCTGCGTGCTTGCCTGGGCTCTGTTCGAAGCAGCATCGAACGCTTGCATATATCTTCCAGCATGCTCCTCGAGAACGACGGTGAGTGGCTACCAATCATGTCAGGCTCATGTCTCACTGAAACCTCTCTCACAGATACAGAAGGCGCAGGCCTGCATTTCGAAGGGCATCTGCCTGCCCTCCGCGAGCTTCATGTTCGGATGCTCACGCGACGCGGAGACCGATTGCAGGAGATGGATGGCGTCAAGAACCTCATTCGCGTCCTATCCAACGACGCGTTAGCACCCATCACTGAACTTCACCTCGAATTCTTCATCATGAGCGTCTTCTACTCTGACATGGGCCGTGGAGGAGGCTACCGAGGGGGGAACAATGCCGACGTTACAGGCATATGCGGTGATCGCCTGACGCTCTCATGGTGGCAGTCATTCGCGCTTCCACGGCGCTGCTCCATGATCATCTTGATCATCTACGACGCAGAGGACGAGGCAAGTGACTCGGAGAGCACCGATTCCAGCGCGACCGACAGTGACTTGGACGATGGTCATCGGGCGTCTCAAGCACGCTATCCCTCCGGTCTCTTGCGACGTCCTTATGGAGAGAACGAAGGCCTGAAATGGAAGCCGCATGCTCGGTCTCTGCTGCTTCACCTCGCCCAAAGCATCGGTGTCACCGCGCGTGTCTCATTCGCTCCAGGTATGTACAACCCCCGGTGATTTGCAGGGTCCTTTGATGAACGCCAAATGCTAGGGATGTACGTTGGTCCCATTCCAGGGGAATGCCCCTCCAGCGGGTGGCCAGAGGAGTGGATTGAGCAGTTCGAAGAAGACCCCGACAAGGCGATGGATGAGAATGAGACCGCCCTCTTCTACAACTGGAGGGAATGGGAGGTTTGAATACAGGAATCTCCCATGTCTGGATTGGTTTTTGATTCTATGGTTTTGTTACTCCTTGAAATCATAAGACCCTCGTCGCTCACTGTCCCTACCAGTCGTTGGTGCCCTAGCATACCTCACCGGGCGGCTCATCCATTCAGAGCCAATGCTTTACAGGTGAGTCGGCGGCTCCGCCTCAAGTGGGGACTCCGCCCGCTCCACCTGGGCCGGAGTCGCCGGCTGCCGCGCGACGCGAGGCCGGCGGCTATGTTATCATCTGGAGTTGGCGGATGCTCTGGCCATGTCTCTAGTTCCGGACCGTCTCTAAACATGCAATATATGGGTAGGTGGTCATGCAATATCAAGGACGATGAAGCTGAGCTGCGATGGTAACGTAACGTCAACTGCCTGCCTTGTTCCTTGCTATCTGCCCTCGATCTTCTGAAGGGGATTCACACCATTAGCGCGACGGCGAGCTCAATGAATGCGTCGGGCGCCGTGATAGTTACCGGCCGTCAGATTGTTGCCATGCCTTAGCAATCAGCGGTGGCCGCCGTTGCCTCTGCTATGCAGCGTATGTCAGGTGGTATTCAGATTGAAGAGGAATATAAGGAGCACCATTGGAGTGTCGAGCATCAATTATGAATACCCTTCCCCTCCCCAAGGTGCGTCGCCTTCTCGGCGTCTACCACGAGCTGACGCCTTCGTGAAGATTTACGCCCACCTGGAGCAGACGTTGAGAGAAAGACGCGAAGCTGAACTCGAGCGAGATATACTCGCTCATCGACTGAGTCGAATGGAGTCCGATCTCAGAGATTCCTCAGCGCGGGTGCTGCAGCTCGAAGGGGCTCTTCAGCAAGCAACGCTCGCTCGTCGGAAGGACCAGGACGATCATGTCGCGACGAAACGCGAGTACTTAGAAGCGCGAGCGAAACTGGACAATGCCTCCAATGGCTGGGTATGATCCAGTGTCCTCCAGAATGCATCATGTCTAATGGTCGGCAGAGTGCTGCTGTGCGTGACGTCGGCGCTTGCTGTGTATGCGGTGCTCCCGCAGTGGGTACCGTCGTGCCATGTGGACACAGCATCTGCGAAAGCGGGCATAAGATGCGCGATTGCGACTGCGATCTGCCTTTTGGGACCCCAGGCCGTTGCATGGCCCACGGCACGAAAGCTCGCTGCCCATACCATTCATGCGAAGTCGAGTTGGACTTTTATAGCCGCCATGTCAACTTGGCCATCGATGTCCTGAGTGCCAAACATGCAGCCATGTGTGCCGCCGAGGAATACTGCAAGGAGACGATGGGGTACGCAGCGGCTCTGACTCAAGAATTCCAGGAGAACGAAGTTTCAGTAGACATTGAGTGAATTGTAAACATATGTAGACCAAGTTTCAGATATGGGTGAAATCGGCCGGGTGATATCTACCTCAGTAGTATCCAGCACAGACAAAAGTCCATAGCGTCCGAAGACAGTGCGAGTGCGGTGGCGCCGTATGAGCGGCAATTCCCGCAGAGTGATCATCACATCTACACACGTGTTGCCGATCGACTGCGGCTTCTTGTTCTTCACTCTCATCTATTGCTGTCCTCCCCGCCAACATGATCGCCCGAACTCTGAACATCTCTTCATATATCTATCCAGGAAGAGCTTCGACAGCATAGCGAGGTGATCGAGTTAGTCACCGCCGCGAGATGACGTATACGGAGCCATACGAGGACGCGCTCGAGCCTTGCTGAGCGGTGAGTGTTCTCGCTTTCCCCGCCAATCAGAACTGACCATGCAAGCAGGGCACACCACAGGTGACATGTCCTGCCTTTTCCCACCTCATACGCACAAGCAAGCGGGTCGCATCATATGTGATCGGTATCTCCTTTTGAGGGCGTCAACTGGTGCGCTGACCCATATTCATTGCTCTCATGACTGTCAGCCATATTCACAGAACCCTTGTGTATGCTACAGACACGGGCTAGAGATGGGCGCATGTAGTGCCCTTGCCAAGGGAGGAGGCGAAGGCGTAGGAATATAGGGCGCGGCACGTATCGCCATGACATTGTATGATTGGGCAAGCTGACGCAAGCTGCTTAGGGGACGGTTATGTGCTGGCTGCAACGCTAGCGCACTGTCTTCGTTATAGCGTGGGATGTTGTCGAACCCAGTGCCGACCAACAGTGTGGTTTAGCTACGTAGCCAGTATACACAGTACGTACCGTTATAACTGAATCAATGGTGATCGCTTTTCTCGCATGATGGTGGAATAAGATCAGAAATAGGCACCGGGCACCGGGCTATGCAAGAAAGGTAGGAAGGCAGAATGGTTAGTGACCGAGATAAGAAACCTCAGTAGCCATCTCATGTGCGACCGGCGGGCACACCTGACTTGACGGTCATAACGACCAACCTGACGCGAAGCCGCAGACTCCACATGAGAAGGCTCAAACAGGGAAGGGACGTGAAGTGGAGCTGCAGGTTGTGCGGCGGCTGGCCGGCGCGAGCAGGCGAGCCGGCTCCATAGTGGCCGGTAAGTCCATATGACATGGCCGGACTTGAAATCAACTTGTGTTCGGCTGCGTCACTTGCGGACCGTTGACATCCATGAATGTCCTATACCCGTACCGCATCGCAAGGGCGACCTCGATATCGACTGAGATACGCACTAACGCGTTCGCCGTCCAGCACAAACGGCTGCGCTGGTGCTCCTCCGTCAAACCAAGTGACTCCATGTCCGGAAGCATCCTATCAGGCAACCGCAGGTCCTCTCCCCCCCCCTCGCTCTCGTGATGAACCACGCCTATCGTCGTAGAAAACATCTCCACCTTTGTCTGGTACTGGTGCCAGCAGAGATCCCATTCCGACCGCGTATGGTCGAACATCTTCTCCGTGTCTTCGTACCAATTCATCGCAGCGTGGAAGAGATGCGCAGGCACGGGCTCCCTCCTCATTGCGCCAGTGCTATCCTGGATCCATTCGAACGCCTGGATGATGCCGACATGTCCGCGACTAGGAAGAACGAAGCGAGCAGTACGCTCGTACCATTCCCTTCTACGACGGATGAAAGCGTCGTATGTCTCGAAGTGACCCTGCGAAGTGGGTGGGCCGGCGTCCTTTTGCACCTCGTGTGCAGACCCATCAGATAGGCGCTTGACGTCTTCTGCAGACGGCACGAACTTCCGTAGGACTGCAGGTAGACGGCGATCACCGTCAACCACCTTCATAGTCGTCTCCAGGGTGCCCCACCAGATGTAAACAGGAGCGACGTGGATAAGCCTCGCGAGCCAGAAGCAGTGCTCGAAGTCCAACATCGAAGCTAATACACCTGCGACAGGTTTGCGAAGAACGACGCTGACGAAGTGGGAGACCCAGGCGGGATGAATATCGATATCGCTGTTTATGAGCATTTCGCGAAAAGTGCCCTCGTGAATGTAGCCGCTGTTGTCCAACACGCACGGATTCATGATAGCCAAGTAATAACACTCGCCGATGAGAATGGCGAAAGCGTCCCTGGTATGCGCAGCAACCTTCCACACAGCGTTGCGCGTGCGGAACTTGCAGCGGTACCCGCACGATGTCGGAAGACGGCAGGACCTGTACTGCAGAGGCCTAGTCCCATCCGCGCTGTGCTTGAGGAGAGCATCGCGAATGGCTATCAGCCGGAACTCCAAGTCAATCCACTGCACGATAATGTCGTTCGCGAGCTGCATGCTACCGTTAACGCCAACAATGGCAGTCGGCAGAAGCGATAGCGTGCCAAGGATGGGGTCCTTCACGTCGTCCATGTCTCGTAGACACATTGGTATGTAGGGGTATACCTGCGACGGCCTCTGCGTGATCGTGAGTTCGATCGGAAGCGTTCCCTCGTCCGGCACTCGCGCATGCGTGGGGGACAGTGCTGGTAGGTTGCGCGGCTTGGATACGACCTGGCCTTCCCAAAGGTAGCACTCATATGTTTGCTTCCTCGTGAAATTCATTGTGATCGCTGTGTAGACATCCTTGTTAGCTGATACACAATAACCGACATGTTCCCTCAACCTTACCCGCGAGTCCTTCAACGTGGAGGACGGTAAAGACGGCTGTCCCTGACCAGAAAATGATGCATCTCTGCTGTCCCACGCTCAATGTCCGCCTGCGCGCGCGATTGTTACGAGAAGGAATGACTTTCATTTCATTAAAAATAATGTACAAAACGTTGTAAAACTGTCCGCCATCGCTCTCCGCAGCGCGCTCGAACCTCGCGACATGGTCGACAATAACTGCAAGTGTAAACTAACGTGTGATGGTCCCCGTTGCGTACGCAGCGAACACTAGCGATGAGGTGTAGAGAACGCCCCTCGCCCACACATCGATACAAGACATGCGAACGACAAGCACCTCGAAAGGGATGAGCTAGAGGTCCCGCTGTGGTATGCACGAGACGCGAAGAGGTGTGGAGAACGCCCCTCGCCCACACATCGATACAAGACGTGCGAACGAGAAGCGCCTCGAAACGGATGAGCTAGAGGTCCACGCGATGAGGTGTGGAGAACGCCCCTCGCCCACACATCGATACAAGACGTGCGAACGAAGAGCGCCTCCGCGATCGCGGAACAACGAAGAGCGCTATGAGTACATATGCATCATTCGGAGCAGTTCACCGCACCTTAGCTCAGGACATCCCAGTGCGCATGCTATAGCGCGACAGCATCCCTCCCCTCCCGTGGCCTACGCGTGCGCCAATCTGCCTTCGGCGACGACGTGTGTGAGGATAGCAGCAAAGGTCATGCGAGCTCAACGATCGCGTATGGAGGACACACGAACAACAGTCGCAGAGAAGGACAACAAGGACGCGTCAGCACTTCACACGCGTCCCACGTCACTGCCCAATACATGCAAATACATGACGTGGGGTCCAACGCGTCCACACATCCGCTTCAAAGACCACTCCCCTGACTCGCTCGCTGCCAGCATGATGACCCTAAAAGACACACCGACCTGCTTGCCATTACATGTAGCCAGCTTGTCGAGCTCAAACTGCACCGTCCCCCACGTCGTCGATCACAACACGCGTTATCCTTATATGGCATAACGCACGCACCGATCGATGATCAAGTGTTACCACATATGGATCGATCATACCTGCCACGGTGCTTCTCGCATGTCCCGCAATACAATTTCCTACGACAGTGACAATGCAAAGGACTCCGATACATACCTCATTAAAGCCAAGTCCCCCCTTATGACCCCGCCTCCGAAGTCAGTCGATTGGTCAGGCGGTGAACACACTCTGTCTACGCTCAGCACGCTGTTCCCGCTCGCGCGAACCTGCGGCTCGTCAGCAAACACCTATCCACGGTAAGCCGCCGCCGCTCGCATTTCCGCATTCTCTCCCCCGGGCAATCTAGGCGGACGCACCACGAATTCGTGTGAAGCACAGTGCGAGTCTATCAGAGTTTATCGTGGAAGGCTTCATATTCTTGGACAACAGAAGTCCATTGACGTCCGGAATCTTCGGTGCTACTCCCACGCACAAAGGGCGCAATGGTACATGCACGGAGGTCCTTCAATATAAATGTCCAGTGCCTACACACGTCTTCGCATAGCACTACGACACCCCGCTGTCCATCGCAACACCGACAACGTCGATATGGCCACAACGCCTGCGTCGTCCAACGTTACCTCAGTAAGCGAGCGTACTTTGATGACGTCCGAGGACCACGGCTTACGCCCCGCAGGCATACGACATAGTCGTGAAGGCACTCGAGGACAAAAACGCAGCCAACGCGGCCCTCGCACAGGCGCAGTCCGAGCTGAAAGACCTGAAGGAGACGCTTGCGAGGGCGAGGAAGAACGAAGATGTCGCCAACGAGAGGGAATACCGTTTGATGGGCGACCTTCGCGAAATGGAGAAGAAGGTCGACGACCGGGAATCGCATATTCTGCAGGTCTACGCTCTTCTAGACAGCATCGCTGTCAACTGGGTACGGTCCATGCGGCGATCATTATCTCTGCTGATGACCTGAGCAGAAGGAGGACCGTGAGCACGTACTGAAGTGCGCGCAATGCGAGAACGCCGCAACTGTCCGGTTCATGGACTGCGGTCACACGCTCTGCACCCGCGGATGCGGCGAGAAGGTGTGCGCAAACTGCCACCTGGACCTGCCATCCGCATCCTGCGATAACCACGTCTGGGACCACGCCTGCCCAGTCATAGACTGCGATACCCCCGCAACTGCAGTCGTTCCGCTGACCGGTTCTCAGGCGGCGACAGCACTGTCTGGTTTGCGTCCGTTTCTAAACAGGGTCGTCGATTACGTCAACGACAAGGCCGGCGAGATGACGGTCATGCAGGAGGAGCTGGATCAGAGGATGGATGACGATTAGACAGTTAGCGACGATTTCAACTTGCTGCAATACATACCGTACTTCAAACGCCCTTCCCGTGAGCATCAACGGTGATGATATCATCATCGGTCTTGCCGGTGAGGACCACATACCGAAAAGAACTCCCCCCAACTAGACTACCCCACCGCACGCCACGCGAAGCGCTGGCCCTCTCTAGACCTAGTTACTGACGAGACCAGGCGGCGCGGCAGCGTTAATGGGCCCAACACATGTCTACTCATCTGAGAACCACTTAGATCTGCGTCCCGCTCGCAGGATCCCGCGGCATCACGTGGGGCACGTGGGGCACGCCCACAGCCGCCCACATGCGCGCGGACCGGCCGACTGAGCGCTGTAGCAGGCAGCAGATCCTGCCCCAGGACTCAGCAGCAGGGCCTAAAGCAAATACGTGCAGGTCAGAGCGTTATCGAGTGAGAGAGAGGAAGAGGAGGGTGGGCAAACGAAATATCGCTGCAGGAGCCTTGAGCAGATGGAGGCAGAGCGCAGAGGTCAACTCGCCGCCCACGTGACCGTCGCCGCGATTCCTTCGGACGCAGCAACGTCGCTCGGCTATTGCCAGGCTACAGCGCCTGCTTCGCTTGACTCGTTGATCAACTCTACTGCATGAATTCCTGAGAGATCGCTACCTTGTTCGATGCTTAAAGAGGAAAGAAACAAGAACAACCGTCATATGTTTGGACTTATTTGTGAAATAGGTTCCGCCCAAAGGCACCTGAGTAAGACCTTGCAAGCAAGGTAACGGGGCAAAGCGCAAATCAACATGCTTTCACTGTTTTGGCGTGTCAGGTGTCTTGGTGTTCATACGCGCCAGCTTTTAGAGACAAGTCAAGCGCCCCGGAACGAGGATACTGCCCAATGAACACGACTAAGTGCGAAGAATTGGCGCGCCAGCATCTCTCTACAGTCCGGAATATTCGCAAGGTGTCTGGTAAAAGAAATTAGCCTCTGTCTGGCGAGGGTCCGTCGGCGCAGGGAGAAAATGGAAATATCACCCCACCACCCCTGTCATCAGCGCATGAGGCAACGAGGTGCGTTGTCTCCGCTCGAATAGGAAATAAATGAGGCTGATGCGTACGTATTGAACAGATGCGCAAGTCCGCCAGGTGGGGCACGCAGATCCAGGGCAGGCCCCAGAATATCGGTACGGTGAGGGCACATCTCGTCGACGAACAACGCGAAGTAGGGAATTTCTGATTGCAGGCGAATTTCACTAGAAATCGTCCAGCGCTGGATGAGTTGCGTGTGGATGCTTATGATGCACCGCGCAGCCGATGGGAACTATGTCAGCACCTTCTGCGATATTTTCCTGAGAAAATGGTCGCTCAGGCGCTGGTTCCCTCTGTAGTACGCGCAATCCCTCTGAGTGCCTTCGACGAGCCTTTACCAGATGGCGCTTGTCATGCCGTTGCTCTCATTCTGGTCCACGCGCGAGGCTCAGATATTGCGCAAAAAGAAGTAGACGATGCTTATATCTCCAACGAGAAAGTTCGCCGACCTCACGGCGGCGGAAGCGTCACTGGCAACTTGCCAAAAGCGCCTTGTACGATGGGGACCGTGAGCTGGAGAAGGAATGGTACCATGCCAACTGGGCATTATGCCCATCATTCTGCTACTTGTGTTTGCTGATCTGAATGTCTGCTATTCGAATAGAACGCAGATAAAAGAATTCATGACTTGTGGGTGCCAGATCCAAAATATCCAAAATAGGCAAGGCTTGTACGCCATCAAGTGCGGGCCGAGCCCCGCTGTCAGACCACGCTTGCTGCCAGCGAATTCAAGCTGAGCTTCTTCCTTCTGAAGTTCATCTACAACGTCCAGCTCGCGCTGAAAGTACCCTTTCGATGCGTAGTCCAGATGCGTCGTCCTGTGTAACTGTGTTCGGACTTTCCTGCCCAGTCCTCCATGCGGAACGCGGAGGGATCGACGGATCTTGGCGCATGACATGACATGCATTTGTCGCCATCGCTTTCCACAGGAGTCCGCCGGGCCTGGGCCGAGCTCAGCATTTTACTCAGCCTCCGAGGCTCCTTCCTAAAGCCCAGCTAACGCTGAACTTCCATCTCCACGCCGCCCCCTCGGGGAACACCATCTACAGTCAGCATCCGTACGCCTCCGACGGTTTACAAAGGCGCAGGACGCACATCTCTACACACTATCCCGACGTCCACCACCCCGATCATGGATCCCCTGCTAGATCTCCCCGATGCCTTGAAGGCGCAGCTCCCGCCGGACCACTTCCTCGCGCAGCCGCGTCCGGACGCGAACGCAGGCGTCCCCGATGGCGCGGTCGACACCACTACGCTCGCGGCGCACGACTTCGATGTCGACAACCGGACGGGCTTCATGCCTCCGCAACCTCCTCTAACGCGTCTTCCGGCGGCGTACGAGCCATGGGAGGTGGTCCTGGATGATGCGATCGCCCAGCGCTTACAAGTCGGTGATAAGCCGGGACTTCATTCAGCTGAGGCGGCCAAGTCGGCGACATGGCGTGCGAGGGTAGACGAGGTACGCCGTGTGTCCGAGTCAGCAAGGGACGACACTGAACGACGCGCAGATGCCTTTGCTCCCCACCGAAACCCTCCGATCATCTGAACGCGTCTTGCGGCGCGCGCATCAAGTCCTCGCATGGATCCTGCACTTCTACGTCCATACCCTACCTTCAGATGCCTCGTCGATCACTATCCCCGAGCCCCTCAGCCTGCCTCTCCTCCGCGTATCTGCCGCCCTCCAGCTTCCCCCGGTGCTCACCTATTCCGACACCGTGCTCTACAACTGGGCCCCCAAGGATGACTCGCGCCCATCTCCCGCCGCGGATAACCTGCGCAGCAACCTCCTCTTCACGGGCACGCGCGACGAGGAGGAGTTCTACCTTACCTCCGCGCGCATGGAGCTCTGCGGCGTCGAGGCGCTCGAGTTGATGCGTTGCACGCTCGACGAGGCGTTCGTGGGCGACGATCTCGCCCTGAAGCGCATCGCCTCGTACCTCTGCCGCCTCGCCATCGTGATCAAGCAGTTGCAGACCACGCTCGTCTCCGTCCGCGAGGGCTGCGACCCCGCCGTCTTCTTCAACGACGCGCGCCCCTGGATGCGCGGCGCGGACTCGGGGCCTAACAAGCGCCCCTGGGTCTTCGCCGGTCTCGACAGTGCACCCGACCTCGCGCCGCCCACCGAGCTCTCTGGGCCCTCCGCCGGGCAGAGCGCGCTCATCCACGCGCTCGACGTCTTCCTCGGCCTCGCGCGCGAAACGCACGACGCGGGCGCGGAGGCCGCCGCCGCGGAGGGCCGCGCCGCCTTCCTCCGCCGCATGCAGCGCTACATGCCTCGGCACCACCGGCGCTTCCTCGACCACCTCGCCGCGGGGCCGCGGCCGCTCCGGGCGCTGGTGCTCAGGGCGGGGAGTGAGGAGCTGACGGGGGCGTACAACGATGCGGTGCGCGCGATGAAGGAGTTGAGGGATGCGCATATGGTGATTGTGACGCTGTACATCATACAGCCGGCGCGGAAGGCGGAGAGGGCGGCGAGAGAGGCGAGGGGTGAGGCTGCATCCGCGCCGGAGGAGGCAAAGCCATTGAAGGGCACGGGCGGGACAGAGCTGGCGCAGTTCTTGAAGGGCGTGCGCGACAGGACGGCGCGAGGCCTGCTTCCTGCGCAGGCCACGGAGTAGAGGACCTGCAAGGGACGCAGTAAAAGGATTGCAAGGGGAAGAAGTGCAAGGATCTATTGTTATGTGATTAAGGTTAAGTATACCAGCCCTCGTTCTTGGATTTTGCTTGTATCTACGGATGGGATTTTCCCACCGTTGCTGTAGATGTATACTGCGGAATAATTCCGTTTGTATTGTCCTGCGCTTGTCCGAGACACCCAACGCCATTGACATTATGAGCAGTGACTTGGAAGCCTCGCACGGCTGGCATCGAGTAATTGTACCTTCGAGGCGAACTTCCCCTATCTCGCGCACGTGGCGCAGAACAATAGCTTCCTGAAATGGAAGCCCCTGTCTTTTCCATCATGCTTCCTACATTCATCACCAGTTGCACCCACTCACAACCATGATACCTCCATTGCTCTTTTGTGTCGTGCGAACCGCCAGAATTCGCATACTTAAGTCTGTGTGGGTGCTCAGCACCTCACCACACGATACCTTCACGACTCTTGTAACGACGCGCTGCACGACGTCTGACTTGCTTTTCTACGATTCTGATACGAAACTATACGAGCAGATTACCCCTCTGACGCAGAGTATACGAACGAGATCTCTGAATGAACTGACTGACAAGATATGGCAAAGTTGCTGAAGAAGCGCCCCGGTACGTCGCCGCATATCCTTTCGCTCTATACATGTCAATACTCATCATCAATCCCTCGTTAGCGCTTAAGCATCGGCGCAGTGAAAAGACCCCCGACGAAGAACGTCGTGCGAATGGGCATGCCTTTAGTGCGTACACCGTGTATGTGGCGCAGTGCTCTTCGTTGACCGCTATCCAGCAGCATCCAATCCCGAGCCCTTGAATGCCGCAGACGGCATTCCAGATGACGTTGTGGAGCCCGGCTTCAACCAGAAGAACTCTCGAACTCTCAAGTTTCCCGGATGCCTTGGCCCCCTCAGGCGCTTGACGCGCCGCGGCCCCTGGGCCACAAAGTCGTCGAAGTTCGATAATTCACAAGTTAACGGCGACGCCGAGCATGCTAACGGCAACGGAGGGTTGGTCGATGGTGGTGAAGATCAGATCAACGCCGATGCAGCGCACGCCCAGCAAGGAGCAGCCACGCCTCAAGAGCCCGTGATTTCCTCTCATCTCGTCGAAAGCCCTCAGCAAATGGCCGTCGTGGAGGAGGTCGAGATGCAAAGGCAGCTCGACGTAGCAAACAACGGTGGGCGGTTTTGATATATGGCGCACATGCCCAGGCTCATATCAGCACACAGGAGAACCCGCATTTGGAGCGGCTCAATGGGAGGCCTTGCTCTCACAGTCGTCTGGAATCAATGGTGGGCCGCCTGAAGCGGAGGCACCAGAACACGCTACTGCTGCGGCGACACCTGCAGGGCCTATCGCGGCCGGGTCTGCGAATGGAGTTGGTGCAGCATCCCCTTCGGTCCGCTCTCCAAACCCGAAGCCTGCTTCTGGAGCTCCCGCGCCCGATACGCGTGCCTCGGAAGGCGCTGAAGGAGACCCGCCTGCGCGCCAGTTCGCCAGGAATGCCATCGTCAGAACTTGCTATGGCGACCCCACATATGGCGAAGACAATGTCCACATCGCGGTCCACCTCGGAACCGAAGACCTCGACGACTACGTCGACCGCTTTGGTCGCACAGACCAGCCTCTCGCGGTCGCCATCCCCAAATTCCATCGTCTTTGCGAGAAATACGATGACAGCCTCACCTCGCTCACGGTCACCGTCGAGAAACCCATCGATGGGTACGACGACGCGGCCGTGGCGCTCGTCAAGAACGCCATTCAGTGCGGCCACCTGCGGAACTGCCGCAGCATCGCGATTGAGTATCGCGGAGAGGGCGCGCCGGCCTACAAGGGTGCGCCCCCTTTGCCAGCGAGGTCGGACGCTCTCCCGCATTTCGAGCGGCTCGAAATAGGAGGCCACTGCACGGCGCAGGTTTTCTCTTTCTTCCTTCTCATACTCCCGCGCGTCCGCGACCTCGATATCCGCATGAGGATAACCGAGATGGACGTCGTGACACTGGCGAAATATTGCGGGGAGCTGGACTACCTCAATGTGGAGGACATCGCGGACCTCACCGCAGATGGACAAGTCCTGAAGGACTACGTCCCCGATCCTCCGCACGGGATTGGTTCTCCCAAGAAGAGGGTTGAGTGCAAGGAGGTGTACATCACGACATGTCTCCGGTTGGAGACCTTCTTCTACCGGGTACGCCCCACTGATACGCTCTATCTGTGGCTTCGAGGGGGTATCCCAGTGAGGCATCCGGGATTACGCAAGGATACTTTGCGAGTTTATCGGTACGAGAAGGTGTGCGAGGGCGCCTAAGCTGAATGCCAATCTATATACGCCCGAAGTAACATTTTCTTGTTGCATTAGCGCGCGATGTTGTAAGATTGATGTTATTCTCCCGCTAGCTCTAGTTGTGCATGATCATGTTGATTTATATAGAGACGTGCTGATCCCAAGTCTTGTCGATACCTGGGGTCTAACTGGATGGTGTTCGTGCAACAAGCAAAAATGTTTGACGAGAGGGGGATTCGAACCCCCGCAGCTAATCGCTACTGGGAAACTCATCGAATGAGCCAGCTTGCGCTTGAATCCAGCTCCTTAGACCACTCGGACATCTCGCCTTGTTGACCGCGTTCATAATTGGCATACCAACATCCTTTTGAATGCCTTTTCCTATAATGCATGAGAGGAAGCCATTCCAAAGCGATCCGATAGATAGGTTACTAAGTTATATGTTACAGTTCGAAGCACAAAGTCCTGAATAGTACTCGGGCAGCAATCGCTGCCAACTCATCACCCTAGCACGATAACCGTTTGCGCCGTTTTGTCCCTCGTTGCCTTCAAGAACCGCGCAATATCCGTTCCGCCCGTGCCCTTCACCGGCTGACGCCGCTGCTGAGATAGATCCGGCGCCGGCGCCACCACCGCCGATGCCTGTGCCCTCGCCATCTCCTCTGCCCTCTCCGCATCGGCCAGTGCCCGAGCACGGCGCGCGGGTTGTATGATATACAGCGTCACGATGATCATGTGCTCGTCGCGGAAGCCCTTCAACGCAAGAACAGTCGCGTTATACGCGTCGAGGAGCTCCGTGTCGCCCGCGGACATGACAAACGCACGTAAGGCGATCGGCGAGGCGGCGACAACATCGAGGAAGCGGCGGTGGGGGGCAGGCATGTAGGCGCGCATGCGCTCGAGGAAGGGGCGCGCGCCGGGCTTCTCGGGTGCGTGGTCAACGCCGAGGAAGACGTCGAGGAGGTGGACGAGGGAGCTCTGGCCTGCGCTGGGGCCGGAGAGCTCGGTGGGGACAGGAAGGCCGTGCTCCTCCCGGCCCTCGAAGGTCCAGGGCCGGACACCAGTATCTTGGCCACGTAGCCATGGACGGACGACGTTGTAGTAGCGGGTGGGGTCGCAGCCTCTGCGGACGCTGCCAAGGAGGACACGTAGCTCGTGCACAACAGGGGCGAGCCGGTGGAGCTGCTCTGCCACCGCCTGGATGTCACCGTTCAGCACCGCATCCATCGACGCCTTGACGATGTTGAGGACGGCGACTCCACGAAGCTCGATGCGCGCAGACGTGATGTAGAACTCCACTTCGTCTGTCGTCTCGGTGAACGTTGTCTGATTCGTGATGTTGTCCAGATGCGGTACAGGGGCGCCGCGCTCGATGATGGGGGCATAGTTGTAGAGGGTGGTGTCGGGGTACGTGAGGAGAGGTGGCATGTCAAGGAGTAGGGAGACCTGTAGCATTGGTACGCCGATCGGTGCGGGGATGACGACAGGCTCATGCGGCGGGAGGGAATGGACATAGAAATGCTCGAGAAAGCCCAGCACGACGTGTGCCCGACGTAGCATCAGAAGTGAGACCTCCATCCCTTCTATCGGAAGGATGGGAAGCTAGGCATGGTCGTCAGCATCGAGCGAAGAGCACCCGAAAAGTAGGACCTACGCGTCGGACGGTTGCGCGCCACGCTTCAGAGTCTGCGCGTTCCGCGTCCGTAATTCCAGGCTTGTCACCCACTTGTAGCTTCCGATGGTGCGCATCGCTGAGCACGTCCTCCCACGCATCCCAAGGATGCGGAAGGCGCGCCAGAGGGACGTCCGGGGCCATAAAGCCCGTGTTCACGTCGACCTCGTAGTCGCTAAGCTCAGGGAATCGGCCGGTGGCAACCATGTCGGGAGGCAGAAGAGATTCTGAGGCGGCATGCTGGAGACTGCGAAGCTTCTTATATACTCCCCAGCAAGATCCGACACAAAAGGGTGCATTACGCGAATATGGGGAGCTGGGCCGCCGTTTATGTTCGTGGAACGATCAGACGTCCAGGGCGCACGGCTGGCTTGTCAATCGCGGTCGGGGCCCGCTACCAAGGCTGTCTTTAGCTGGCATGGTGGCGGGAGGCGATCAGGTCGCCGCCGACCATCGAGCGTCATCGTCAACGATGACCGTGAAGTTGTTGAAAAGCTGGCGCCGCCGTGGCCATCATGCATATCACGTGGCGGATGTTCGAAACCGCCGCGCCAGGACTCCGAGACGCAGGGCCCACCTACCCTGATGTGGCAGGTACGCCGGTCGACGACTGTTGGGGACCAGAGTATGTATTTTCCTATTCAGGGTTTGCCTTTGTAGGTCTTTTGGATGAATGGGTATCTCATTGATGTGTCCGTGGGTGCCCGTGCGGATGGCGGCTGAAGTATTGGGTGGGCCGTGAAAAATGCGCTGAATCAACATGCTTGTCTGCTCAATGGAAGGGGAATACGGCTGCAACTGAATCTCCGCGGATGAAGGAAGACGGATAGTATCAATGGCCGTCCATGACCTGCCCGACGTCGGCTCGTCCTATCAATCGCATAACCTCTGAGCATTCCAACAGTTGGCTTTCTAGAGGATGGCGAGCTAAGGCGAAATCCCGCGGCAATGGGAAATGTACGGCAAGGACATTAAAGAAGGACGCACATACGAGCAGACCCGCGCAGCCGAGCGCCAAGGCGGATAGCTCGCAGACACAACGTCACAAGCAGTTCCCCTCGCGGGTGCGGGGAAATAGCCAGGAAATAGCAGAACGATGCCGGCCTCGTTGCAGAACACCGACGTCGGACGAGTGCCTTGCTGTATGTCGAGACGGGGTCCGGGCGAGCCCCTGCCTGCCGTAGCCTCGATGTGTGGCTGAAACGAAGGATATTGCGTTTCTAGGCCGGCGATGCAGCCCTATGCAATTTTCGCCATGGCTTCCGAGTCAGTGGGACGCGGTGGGGAAAGGGTATTTGTATGCACTGTCAGGCGAGCGTCGGGCGGGAGGAGAGGCTCGCTTATTATCGAGCCTATGATGTTCGATTTCGAGGCTCCGGGAGCGATCCTCGTCGATGGCTGCGTCCAGATCGCTGGCGGGAATGAGGCGGGTAATCAAGTGAGTTCGAGGAAGTCAGGTTTGGGGATATTGACTCAACTCTGACGATGCAGTCGGTGATGCGGTCCGGAACAGTTCGCGGGAAGGTTATCCATCTGGCCTATCTAACCCCGCATTCTCCTCGAGGGTTGTATTCGCCAAGTCTCCATGATAGCAAGGCGCGTCGAATACTGACAACCATCGCTTGGGGTGATATTGGCTGTAATGTGGTATGCAATGAGCAAACAACACACGTCAAGTCGCCATTTCGCAACGTCAAGTTAGTATTCCCCAACCTCAAGGTTCTATCCCACAACGTCAAGTCTCCATCTCGCATGTCCGCGACACGCCGACTCTGCTGATTCAAGCCGCCGCTCTGAGCCCGCTTCAAGTTTTGCAAGCTCTACCGGAGGCTGATAATGACCGATTTTCCCGCATCTCATGCATGCAAGTGTCGTTATTCCGCGTACGAGCACGTTCGTTGAGCCACTGATGCGGTCCTGAGCTTTGTTAGTTCAGGATCGGGGGCGGCAACGATATTCGCCCTGGCTCGTGGCGGAACTGAGCGCGATATGACAGGACCCAGCGGAATGGAAATCGCGCAGCTAGCATCGTGTTTACGAACGGTACTGAAAACGAACATCAAGCAGTGCGTAGCTCCTTCCCGTAGTCCACGGCAGCAGCATGCAGGGCCACGATATCGTTACGGTAGCTGTATAGCACTTGTCAGCGACGTATACAGTTGCTTATAAGTCAATCTGCATGCCTCATCTGTTCGTAGTAGTAATCCCGCAGCTCCTGGTATTGTTCGAACCGCTGGCGCTTATGAAGTATCGTGAGGAACACGAAAGTTGCCGCCATTGCTGATAAAGAGCGTTAGAGAGGGGGGACTCATGAGATTCAGAAAATCTTACCTCCGAGTATCGAGATAATTGTAAGGGCGCTCTGCCAGGCGGGAACACGGCGGGGAGTCTCCGGCGACTCTGCGCACACGCCGGCGAGGCAATTGTGCTTAACAAGAAATGCCAAAGGCGTCAGTGACGAGGAAGTCGCGAGAAGAGATGCAGTGCATCACTTGTTGGCATTCGCGGTCGGCGGAGCAGGAAGAGCCCAGAGCCAACGAGCGTAGACAGACGCCTTGAGCAGCATCGCAGTAATAGTAGGGTGTACGGCAGTTGTCGCGGCTGATGAGGGTGACATACTGAGAGCCGTCTGGGTCGAGGTCAACGTAGGTCGTGTTGTCCGTTACGCAAGATTGTCCGAGGGTCGCGTTCGCGTATCTGCACTATCTTAGTGGCCATTTTTCTAATTTCCGCGGGTGGGGAGTACGAACGTGCAGGTCGAGTGCAGGCAGATCGAGCCGTTCACGTTGTACGGGCTGGCGAGGTCTTCCCAGTCAGGCGCCGCGGAGCACTGTTCATCGCGGGCGAGTTGGCAGACACCGCCTAGAGGAACGAGCTCGCGGCAGCCGTCGCCTTCGTCGGGGCAGAAGCTGCCAGATGGACAGAGCGGAGGCAGAGGAGCGTCGGGAGGATATCCAAAAGGAAATTCGTCCCGTCTACAGCGGCGAGGTTGACAAGTGCCATTCGGTGCTGTGCAGAATGCGGAGTCGCTGCAGTCGGACATAAATTTGTGCGTGAGGACGTCGAGATGGTCATTTTCCGTCGTGCAATTCCCGCCGAGGCCCACAGATCCGCCAAGAGCGCAGAGACATAGTGATGCGAGAACAGCAGCAGGTCGAAGCATAGCTGGTGTGGATAGAAGTACAATCGAGATGGTGGTCGCAATCAAGTCGGGTCGAACTCGCGTCACGATGTCACGTGCTACTGTCACGGTGACCTGCGTCCATGTCACGCGATTCAGAGCGACGGGATTTGCCGTTGCCGCTTTCTCTGCGCACTCACCAGCGCACAAGCGGCAACAATGCACGATTTACTTTTCCTTCCGCTGCAGCTAAGACCATGTTATCTGAGACCTGAGGCGAAGATTGACCAAGTACTGTGGGTGCCTTTCTCAGGCTCCCTCGGTCGAGACTTCGACTTCGATGACGCTTTAACGCCGCCGCTGATGCCGGCGCAGCCAAGCAAAGGTAAGCATACAGGTTGCGTTAAGCGCCGTCCTTCTCTCATCCACACTGCCAGCACCATGGCGGACCCAAGCGACCGAACGGATAAACTGAACAAGATCTACAACAACATCGTATTCGGCAGGCAAAAACTCGGTCGTCTCAACTTCAAGCAATTCCTTGAGGCCATCTGCGTCCAGGATGATCGTGCCGCGTGTGTAACACGCCTCTCCAATGCGAACCCACCTCTCCTGCAAGAGGCGTTCCGTATGGAACTCGCGCCCGTCTTCATAAATGGCCCCATTACTTCAGTCCTCCTGTATCTGCAAGACCCGAAGCTGAAGGAGATATCTGGCGGCGCCATCCTTCACGATCTACTCATCCAAATCGTTGATCCTCCCATCTTCTGGTCCGCTTTCCAGGAGCGGTTTCGTATGGGAGAACTCACTAGGGATGGCGAGCTCTCCTTCGCTTTTGTCCTTCACGATCTTGTCTCCAATCCAGCGTCTTCCTCCTCCTATCGTCCTGTTGCCCAGGATCCCTCGGTAATGAACAAACTCCGCGGATCAGCGCATCAGGATATACGCACGTACGCCTACAAGATAAAGCAAGTTCTCGAGACGTTCGAAGCACCCGCTCTTCCGGCAACCATAGTCAGTCGCCCCGGCGGAAGGCACGACAACGACTTCGCCGACTTCAGGCAGATCGCCATCATGCCCACCGCGGACGAGATCAGAGCGATAGAATCACCCTTCCTACTGCCCAGCACCGCTTTCGAGAAGGAAGCTCAGCGCTCGAGTATCTACCTCGACACTCAGTTTCGCCTCCTGCGAGAGGACATGCTGTCGGAGTTGCGCGATGAGGTTCAGATTGCGCTTGGCCAGAAGCAGGGCAAACGCAGGGGGAGAGTCATCACCAATCTGAAGTTGGTCAACGTGTTCAGCGGCGATAGTTTGCGGCGGCAGAAGTGGTCTCTCGTCTTCGAGTGCTCAAAGGACTTGTGGGTCTTCGAAACCAAGAAGCCTATCCGGGATCGACTGGAGTTTTTGAAGAAGGAATGCAAGTCCATACGTCACCTGTCGCTCTCTTGCCTCAGCGTGGACGGCGAGGTTGTGGCCTTCCCACTCATCATACGCGAAGAGCCGCTCATCGCTAGGAAGCTGCCTCAGATCCCTCTGCAGTTCGGTGGCGAGACGAGCACGATTCTCGCCCTGGAGCGCATGAAGTCAGCACAGAACATCAGCTTGCTGTTGATTGACACGGCCGTCTTCGCGTACGAGCCGGTGCTGCGCGCTCTGCAGCAGATGACGTCCGTACCCTTGCAGGACGAACTGCTCTACTGGGATGACAATCAGCCGCCTCGCGCTGCTCCCGAGGCTCCGGCGAGCATCATCAACGCATTGGAGAGGAACCAGCAGACGGATCTCGGCACGCTTCTCGGAATGGGGAAGAGCATTGTCCTTGACCCCGCGCAAGCGGCATCTCTCACGTCCGCGCTCAAGCAGCGTGTATCGTTGATTCAAGGGCCACCAGGTAAGCTTGCGTGATTAGTATATTCGATACGTCCTGACGTACGCATAGGGACAGGAAAGTCATTCATAGGCGCTATACTCGCCAAAGTCCTACACGATTTCACGTCACAGACCATCCTCGTTTGCTGCTACACCAACCACGCCCTCGATCAGTTCTTAGAAGATCTCATAGACGTTGGTATCCCTCGTACCTCCATTGTGCGCCTCGGAGGGAAGCCATCCCTGCGAACGCAGGATATGTCTCTGCAACGCGCTCGACTTGACGGCTCTGACTTCGCGAAGGTTCGCGAGTTCCGTCAGCTGTCGGAGCAGCTCGTCAAGGGCCTTGAGCTCAGTTTCAAGTCGTACCTCGGGGCGAACGTGTCTCTGGATACGCTCATGCAGTACTTGGAGTTCGAGGACCCAGAATACTTTGAGGCCTTCCAGGTCCCCGCAGACGAAGACGGATTGGAGCGCGTAGGGCGCGATGGTCGCGCGATCGGCGCTACATACCTATTGGACCAGTGGACGAGGCAGCAGAACGGCGGGATCTTCGCCGGCGATCCTGTCGTCACAGCCGCGCCGCAGATCTGGAAGATGTCGAGGGATGCGCGTTCGAACAAGGTCGCGGAGTGGTTCCGCGCCATCTACAGGGAGCGCGCCGAGAAGGTGTACAATTCAGGGCATTCGTTCAACCAATACCAGGATTTGATCTCGCAGAAGTACGTGCAAGCCGACGTTGTTACGCTGAAGGGGAAGCGCGTCATCGCCTGTACGACCACCGGCGCTGCAAAGTACGGCGACAGCATTCGAGGCGCGGCGCCTGGCGTGCTGCTGATCGAGGAGGCTGGCGAGATTCTTGAGAGTCACGTTCTTACTGCGATGAACGAAGACACGGCCCAAATCATCGCCATCGGCGACCACCAGTGAGTATCGGTACCCGCCATTCCTTCTGTGACTAAGTCCCTGCAGGCAGCTTCGCCCGAAGGTCAGCAGCTACCAGCTCACCGTCGAGAAAGGGGAGGGCTACGATCTCAATGTGTCCCTCTTCGAGCGACTCGTTCGCAAGGGCTATCCACATCATAGCTTACTCACTCAGCATCGCATGCGACCGGAGATCTCCAGCCTCATTCGTGCGCTCACATACCCTGACCTACGCGACTCGGCGAAAACGGCTGGCAGGCCCAATCTCCGCGGCGTTCGCGACAATATCATGTTCATCAGGCATTCCAAGCCCGAAGACGAGAACCGCAAGCTCTCGACGCACGACACACCATCCTATAAGTCCTCGAAGCAAAACACGTACGAGGCGCAGATGCTGCTCAAGATCCTTCACTACCTCGGGCAGCAGGGATACGGGACGGACCGCATCGTCATCCTCACACCGTACCTTGGCCAGCTCAAGCAGCTGCAGGATGCATTGCGCAACGACCTTGGCGAGCCGATCATGAGCGACCTCGACGTGCAGGACCTCATTCGCGCCGGGGTGGATATGCCCATGGCTGCGCAGGTCGGCAAGACGGCCAAAAAGGCCGTCCGTATCTCTACGATCGACAATTACCAGGGCGAGGAGAACGACATCGTGCTGGCGAGCCTCACGCGGAGCAATCCAGATCACGACATTGGGTTCATGTTCGCTCCCGAGCGTCTCAACGTACTCATCTCTCGAGCGCGCGACGCCTTGATCATGATAGGCAACGACGACACTTTCCGGAATGCTCGCAAGGGCAGCGAGCTGTGGCGCCATTTCTTCGACCTTTTGGAAAAGGGGAAGCACATATACGACGGATTCCCTACCGTGTGCGAACGGCACAGGACGCGCGAGGTCGATTTGCGCGATCCAGCGGAGTTCAAGGTGCAATGTCCAAACGGCGGTTGTACACAGGCGTGGTACGTTGATCGAATTTCAGTACGATTGACAAGGGCTCATGTCGACGTAGTGGTGCACAACTTCCATGCGGACGGCACACATGCTTGTCTATATGTCACATAGGCAACGATCACAGCGGCGTGCGATGCAAGCATCCGATGGAAGATCGCTGTGCTCGTGGGCATACCAGAGGTTGGGCATGCTGCAACGGGCCTCCTCTAGTCTGTCCGTCTTGCGCAGAAGAGACGAAGCGAGAGGCCGAAGCGAAGAAGCGCGCTGCCAACCGAAAGCGCGCAGAGGAAGAGGAGACGCGTCGTCACCTCAAGCGTCTGGCGGAAGTCGAGGAGAAGATCCTTCAGGAAACTCAGCGACGAGAGGCGGAAGATCTCAAGCAAGAGCGAGAGCGCGAGCTTTCCCGGAAGAGAGCCGACCTAGAAGCAGCGCGCAAACGACCGTCTGTTCAAGCAGCGGGTGCGTTAAGCGCGGATCCCTCATCCCGGACATCGTCTACGCGCCCCGTCGATGTACCTTCTACGTCCGATACGAGCGCAAAGCGTGGAAGCGCTCCTCCCGCTCCCCCTACTGCGACGTCCTTCCCCAGCCAGCCACCGCAAACTCAAGGGACGACCTCTACACCTTCCTCGACCAGGACTCCTGCATCAGGGAAGTACGTTCCAAAACCAATGAACTCTTCTCAAAGCCCAAGCGAGGACGACTGGGCTCATAGGAAGGCCGTTGAGGGCAAGTCGAACGAGCACGTCGACAGGATCATGGCTCTGGTGGGGTTGGAAGCAGTGAAGCAGCAGGTCTTATCTGTCATGGACAAGATCGAAGTCGTGCAGCAGCAAGGAACGTCACTCAAGGATCAACGCTTCAACGTTGCTTTCCTCGGAAATCCGGGAACTGGTGAGTCAAGCTTATAACGTCTACTCTACCGTATGACTGAACTTCGTATCAGGCAAGACGACGGTGGCGCGCCATTATGCCAAGTTCCTCACATCTATGAATGTTTTGCCCGGTGACGTCTTCCTCGAGACTACTGGCTCGCAGCTCGCAAGTGAAGGCCAGGATGGAGTGAAGAAGAAGATAGAGGCTGTTCTCAAAGCGGGAGGCGGCGCCATCTTCGTGGATGAGGCCTATCAGCTCACAACGGACTACGACAGCGGCGGCCGTCTCGTCCTTGATCTCATGCTCGCAGAGATGGAGAACCATACCGGCAAACTCCTCTTCATCCTGGCTGGATACAACAAGGAGATGGAGAAGTTCTTTGAGCATAACCCCGGGCTTAAAAGTCGTGTACCGCAGCAATTCCAGTTCGAGGACTACAGCGACGAACAGCTCATGGACATCATGGAGCGGAGACTGGTGGAGAAGTATCGGGGACGTCTGGTAGTCGAGGACGGCATGCGTGGACTCTATTCCAGGGTCGCCATACGTCGCGTGGGTCGCGGTAGGGGCCGTCCAGGGTTTGGCAATGCGCGTGCATTGCAGAACATGCTCGATCGCGTGACGGATCGCCAGGCTAAGCGAGTCGCCCGAGAACGGCGCCAGGGCGTCAATCCTGATGTTTTCTACCTGTCTAAAGACGACCTCGTCGTCGATCCTACGACGGCCATGAAGCAAAGCAAAGCTCTGCAAGATCTCCATTCTCTTACCGGCCTGCGCGCGGTCAAGGACGCCGTCGACAACTTCGTCCAGCTCGTTGTGGTGAACTATAAGCGGGAGCTTCTCGAAAAGGAACCGATCATGGTCCCTCTCAACCGTGTCTTCCTGGGGTCGCCGGGAACTGGCAAGACCACGGTCGCGAAACTATACGGTCAGATTCTGGCTGATCTTGCTATGTTGAGCAACGGAGAAGGTAAAAACTTTATGCTACTCTTTGCAACCATGTTACTAATGCGCCCTAGTCGTTGTGAAGAACCCGAGCGACTTCATCGGCCAATACGTCGGGGCGTCTGAGCAGAATACGAAGAACATCTTGGCGGCCACAATAGGAAAGGTTCTGGTCATCGACGAGGTAAGGTGACAGGATACAAGCATCTGACCGTGCACTCATTCACCCGCCTGCAGGCTTACATGCTCGGCGGCTCAAGCAAGGACGGTGGAAACCAAACGGACTCTTTCAAGACCGGCGTCATCGACACGATCGTAGCCGAGGTGCAAAACGTCCCTGGCGATGACCGCTGTGTCCTACTTCTTGGATACGACGAGGAGATGAACGCGATGTTCCAGGTGCGCAGTAGAAATAAACGAAGAATTAGCGCTGATCAACGTTTTAAGAACGTCAACCCCGGCCTTGCGCGTCGGTTCCAGTTGGAAGATGCCTTCCACTTCGAGGACTTCAGCATGGCAGAGCTCATGGACATCCTCGACCAGAAGATGCGAAAGCAGGAACTGGATGCCACCGACGCCGCTCGCAAGGTCGCTCAAGACGTCCTGGATCGTGCACGCAATCGCCCGAAGTTTGGGAATGGTGGAGAAGTCGAGAACCTGCTTGGTCGAGCGAAACAGAACTACCAAACCCGGCACAACCAGGTACCCGTCGCACAGCGGCCTATCGACACGGTCTTCGAGCCAGTCGACTTCGACAAGGACTTCGACCGGGCTGCGAAAGCAGGCGGGAACTTGACGAAGATGTTCGAGGGCATCATCGGCTGCGACCACATAGTCAAGAAGATACGCGATTATCAGAACATCGCGCAGGTTCGCAAGGCACAGAACAAGGATCCCAAGGAAGTCATCCCCATGAATTTCGTGTTCAAAGGCCCACCAGGTACGTATCCGCAGGGTGAGCTGTTTCTCGTAGCGCTGACCTGACATGTCAAAGGCACCGGTAAGACGACAGTGGCGCGTAAAATGGGTCAAATATATTTCGACATGGGTTTCCTTGGCTCCTCCGAGGTCGTCGAGTGCTCAGCCTCCGACCTGGTCGGCCAGTACGTCGGCCATACTGGACCAAAGACGCAGAAGCTCTTCGAAAAAGCGCTCGGCAAAGTCCTCTTCATCGACGAGGCGTATCGACTGGCGTCCGGGAACTTTGCGCAGGAGGCGATGGACGAGATCGTCACGGTGATGACCCAGGAGAAGTTCAAGGGGAAGCTCATCGTCATTCTGGCGGGCTACGAGCACGATATCAACAACTTGATGTCGTCGAACAGTGGCTTGTCAAGCCGATTCCCCGAGGAGATCATGTTCTACAACCTCGGGCCTGACGACTGTCTCGATGTGCTGAGACGTCAACTAGAGAAGGAGGAGATCCGGTGGGATCGTCTGTCGGACAAAGTCAGCGTAGCTTATGCTGAGCTGAAGGACGATATTGAGGCGATGGCGAGCATGCCATCCTGGGGTAATGCGCGCGACATCGGAACCATTGCACAGAGCCTCACTCGCTTGGCGTACACGCAGGGCACCACTGACCGGGGCGTGAAACCGGTGGTTCTCGACGACGCAGCCGCTATGGCGTGCCTCAGAGAGTTTGCGGCAGGCCGCAGGTCTCGCGCGGCCAATCTTCCTAGGCCTGACCAGCGACGTCAGCCTGATAACAGCTCGCCAATGGCTTCGGCTTCCGCATCTGCCCCTCCGCCTCCTCCGACCAAGACGCAGACAAATACAGCTACCAAGAAGAATTCGAAGCCTCGTCCTAAGCCCCCTCCTGCTAAGGTCAACTCGCGTCCACCTACGCCGCAGGTGCCTTCCTCCGATCCCGGCAGTCCTTCTCCTTCGTCTCCCTCCCTTGCGTCCTCGCGGCCATCTACCCCTGCCTCTTCTACGCAGCCGATGAGGGCTGCCCCTCCCCTCAGGCCGCAGGCCAAAAGTAAAGGACCCGCTGACACGTCGCGCGATCCTGGCGTCCCCGACCACATATGGAACGAGCTGCAGGCCGCTAAGCAGGCGCGTCAACGGGAGGAGATCGCGAATAGGGTCGCTCGTCAGAAGCTCGAGCAGCAGATACGCACAGCCGAAAAGGTCGAGCGCGAGAGGCAGGAGCAGTTGCGCGTGCTGCAAGCCAAGGCAGAGGCCGACCGTCGAGAGCAGCGACGCGTTGCGGAATTGCAGAAGAAGATGCAGCGAGCGAGAGAAGAGGAGGAGAGGAGGCGCAGGGAATTGGAGGAACGAAAGAGGCGGGAACAGGAAGAAAAGAGGAAGCACGAACAGGCGATGCAGAAGCTGCGCAGAATGGGGGTGTGCGTGGCGGGCTTCCAGTGGTACAAGATGCCCGGAGGATATCGCTGCGGGGGAGGCTCGCACTTCGTGTCGGATGCTCAGCTTCGTTGAACAGCATGAGACAGACGGTGAGATACGAGAACAATGTAGATCTGTGTACAGTATGCCTGTCATGACGAGTATCGATGGTTGATGTATGCGAGATTACGCGGTTAGTTCCTTGTACTCATATGTACAGTAGTTGAGAATCATCTAAGAAGCGCTCAACACGTTCTTCCACCTTTGTCCACCAACCTCGCTCAACACCCGCTCCACCTCGCCCTGCTCGAGGTTAAGCACCACCCGACGCTCCGCCTGCGACTTCCTTAGTGCGCCTGCGCTATCCTCCACAAGCATCGCCCGAGACGCGACCAGCGCACATAGCACAGAAGCCAGCTCCGTCGCACTCGGCCGCCTCGCAGACTCGTCGTGCCCGCTGAGGCTCTCGAGGTAGTTGAGGTGCTGGTTTTGGACCTATGACCTCACACGTCAGTGCTCTGCAGCGAACGAGGCGTCAGACCGAACGTACCTCGCCCCACTTGATCTCCTCCACGCCCTCCCGCTTGACGCACTTGACGAGCGCCGCGAGCATGAGGCGCTCATGCAGGCTGCAGCCGCGGAGGAAGGCCGCCGTCGGGCTGTTCTGCATGAGCTTGATGACCTCGGCGACGTCCGGGATCTTGACCGCGCGGCGCTTGGGGTGCACGAGCTCGACGGCGCGTCTGAGGAGGATGTCAGTACGTGCGAAGGACGAATAATTCATGCCGACGATGCAACAAGCACCATATATGTTGACGTGCTACTGACCTGCATATGTCCAACACCCTCCGTGCGTCCCCGCTGATGCTGCTGACTTTCATCGCGGCGAACTTGACTGCGTCGGGCGAGATAACGCCGTCGGGCACCTCCTTCTTGTCCTCCTCGCTCAGGCCCACCAACGCCTGCTGCAGACGCGTGCTGACGATGGTGTTCAGCTGCGGCGTCGTATATGCTTGAAAGTTGATGCGCGTCATGCCTGCGAGGGGCGTCAGCAACCGTGAGGAAAGTCTGAACGAGCACAGTGGGGTAAAGCCAGCCTGCAGTCCGGCGGCGGACGGGTAACAGCACTCACCCAGCCGACTGCGCACCCTCCCCGTCATCACGCGCTCGGGCAGATCCATCGTGTTCGCGACCGCGAGCACAACCAGCTTGCTATTCGCGATAGTCGGCCAGTTGAAGAAGTTGTACACCACGTCCTGCTTCGTCGTCACCAGCTGGTCGAGCTCGTCCATCAGAACGACACTAGGTCACACAATCATCGTCAGCCTGCGCTCCTGGCACACACAATGCGCTGCATATCAATAGACTCACCAAGCATGTCCACTCGGGCCTCTCCCCCGCCCGCCCCCACCCCCGAAATGCCTCGTCAGCTCGCGCAAACTCTCCTTCGCGCCCACGCGCAGGTGGCCCTCCTTCGCCACGTCATGCCCAGAGACGGCTTCCCAGAGCAAACTGTAGGCGGCGGCGGGCTCGGGCACTTTAAGCCCGTTGATCTCGACGTAGGTGAACGGATTGGTTTCCTAGGATGTGGCGTAAGCGGGACAAAGGCAGGGAGGAGAGAATAGACGACGTACACTAGCTTCCGCCATCCGCTTGAGCTCGCGCACGACTGCGTGCACAGTCGCCGTCTTGCCCGTGCCAGGCGTACCGGAAATGTCTGTACAACATCGTCAACTCAGGGCTCTCCGATCTCATCGCCAATAGTCGTGACGGATATCTTAAATAATGCTCACATATACACCCCCCACTCCCCTCCTCCAACAAATCGCCCACGCACCGCAGCACCCGCTCGAACTCGGCCTCCCGACACGGCAGCGCCTCCGGCCGGCTCCCCACATGCAGCGCGTGCATCGCGCGCAGCCACGGGTCCTTCGGCACGTTCGAGAGGTCGAGGGTGGCGAAGGTCTGCGTGCGCGGGCGGACGGCGAGCTTCTTTGTCGGTGAGCGCGGAGTCTTGGTGGGTGAGCGGGGCGTCTTGGTAGGTGAGCGAGAGGCCTTGCTTGGTGAGCCAGGGACCTTGTTTGGCGAGCGCGGCCTCCTGATCGGCGAGTCGGGCGCGTCCTTGCGCGCGCGCTTCCTGAGCGCGGCCTTCGAGTGCGGCGTGGGCTGCGCGACCGTACGCTGGCGCTTGCGGGGCGAGGTAGCAGCCGCGGTCCCACGCTTGCGCTTCCGACGCGAGGGTGTATGCGGCACGGACTCCTCTTCGTCCGAGCCATGGTCGTCGTCGCCCTCCTCATCCGAGTCCTCAGGCCCAACGACCGGCAACTCGTCGTCCTCATCATCCGAGTCGGATAAGTGGGCATAGTTATCCTCCGAGCCTGAGCCATCCGACTCCTCCGAGTCGCTAGCATGACCCTTGCCCTTCTTCTCCACCTTGTGGTCCGGCACGACGTTCCACTCCTCGCCCCTCCCGAGCGCCTCTTCATCTCCAACCTTCCCTTCACCCGCCTTCCTCGCCCGCGCGCAGTGTCGGTCCCAATCCAGATCGTAGTACAACCCCCGCGCCGAGTTGATAGCATGCGTACAGTAGAACTTTTCTCTTTGCGCGCTCACGTCCTCCTCGTCCGAGAGCTCGTCTTCGGTGCCACTGTCGTACATGCCCACGTTCCGCCTGCTCTTAGTCGGCGAGTTCGAGCCCTGCCACGCGACGCCGCTCTTGCGCTGGAGGTCGCGGGGCACGCGACTCGTGACGACGCAGTGCTCAAGGATGCAGCTGGGCATGATAACGTCGGTGGAGTCGAGGGAATAGTAAATTTCGTTCTGGGGGCAGGGTAAGTATGTGTGCGCGACCGATTTGGGATGTGCGCGTCTCAAGGGGGGTGGAAAGATGAGGACAAGCCAAGTGTTTGCGCCAGTGGGTATCTGCGCTGGCTATGCAAACACAACCATGACGCGATGCGTCCTGTACGACGTGCGCAAGCACGGTATGTAACGCTGCCAGACGAGGAAGGGGGTGGTATGCGCCCCGAAATCGCTGCGCGTATGCACCCAGGAGAAAAAGAAGGAATGGCAAGAAGATGGTTGTATGCACCTCATGGGCGCTCGGGCGCGAAGAGGGATTCCCTGGGTGTAAATGCCCAGGAAGGTTATGGGAGGGACGGAAGAGGGTTGTGTGTGTGCCCGGCTATATGATGTCCTCCGCGCGACGATGCGCCATTGAGCCAGAGGCCGCCAGTCGAGTCGTCGATGATCGTTCCAAAGGGAAGAAAACTCACCACGAAATGATCCCGCTTCGCACCACACTTGGCCAGCTCGCTCGGGCGCAGGAACCAGTGTATGCGGACCTTCTGCCGCGGGTGCGTCTCCTCGTCGATGCACTCCAGCGCGCTCGTCTCCCACATTGCTACAATCACGCCGATGCTCGCCTGTGGTCGCAGACTCGCTACCGACACTGTGTCCCCGACTTTGAACACGACTTCCTCGGTATCGCTTTTGGACGCCTGCTTGGCCCTCCCCGCTTGCTTCCCCCGCTTCACGCTCGGTTTCGCCACTGCCTTGCGCTCAAACGCAGAGTAGAACGTCGTGGTGGTCTCCTCTGCTTCCACCTCCTCCCGCGCTTCGCGCTCCTCAGGGTATAGGTCTTGCTCAACATTCGTCGATCGCGTCAGTACTGGTTCCCCATTCCATTCGATTGGGCAGTTCGATTTTGCCGTCTGTCGGATAAAGGGTGCAAAGCGTCGAGAACGTCGAGGAGTGGGGGGTACCGCCGTGCGCGACATGGATAGGTTTAGTAGCTGGTGGCTACGAATGGTGGCTAGGAACAAGAGGCGTTTGGTCCCGAAATGACGACCACGCGAGATGTCACGTCTGTGACCGACCGCGTCAGATTTCGGCAACGGCCGAACGCCTCATGATTCGATCCAAAGCACTCGTTCATCTTCAGCGCATTCGACCGCAGCTGGCTTGAATTGCTACTCGACGACATACGAATATGTCCGAACTTACTACTGGCTTGTGTCCTGACACAGCGGTCAAAGTGGGGTTTGTTGTAGACCAGCGTCTACGACGTTCGTTGCTTAGCTTACGGTACTCGCTAACGAATCTTACTTATCTTACTTACGACTTATGAGGAATAGAAGACCTTAAACTCACCTGTACCGTGTTCAACTCGACGGAGTGAACAGAGTAGACTCAATGATCACACAGTCGGCGGACGCAGACTTTCGTCGATGCGCGCGACTTCGGTTCCCGGGAAAGGGTTAGATTGGACACGATGGTAGTAAGAGTAAAGAAGGCTGCCCCCTCGACTAGCGAGAGGCGGACCTTATATACGTAGGGTCGGAGTCAGTGAGTCAGTGGTCATAGAAGTAGCTAGAAGCGTCGTAAGTATTCGTGGGTCTTCGTAAGGAATCGTAGGTATTCATGAAGATTCGAGCCGGTTCGTATACATTCGAGGGATCACATGGGAAATAGAAGTAGAGAAACGGAGAGTAAGAATGCGTATCGCGTGGGTGAGAGTCAAAGGAAATAGGCCCATTACCCGTGAGCGCGGCATGTCGCTGATCCACGACATCGCCCCCCACCAGTCTCGGCCACGCGATTAGGCGAGGCTATAGACGGTCTCGTTGACATCGCGCGTCAGGACATTAACGAACGACCGCGCCGTCATGGCCATGGATGCGACCGTGTCGTCCTTCCAGTCCCGGTCGTCGATGATCTGGTAAACCGGTTCCAGCCCGATAGCGGTGTGCGCCGAGCGCCAATCTTCATCGGCCGAGACCAGGAGGGCTCGAGCGACCCATGTAGAGTCGACTAGCTGGCCTATCTCTTTGTAAATTCCTCAACCTAAACTCGAATATAGACCATTTCTCACCGATGTCCTTCTGCTCACGCAGCAGCTCGTCACGAGGTACCTGACGACGCGAGGCCTCCTCGGTGACAACCCAGGGGGCAACCATATCCAGCGCTGTAGCGCGGTTGAGGCCGAACGGCGCGCCAACATTGTATGCGCTCGCGAAGCCGTTGGTAATCGCGTCTTCGAAAAGGCGGAGGAGTCCGCGGGTGTAGTACCGGGCCACGTTCTGAATGCGATGGTAAATGGTGGCCAGTTCCTCCTTCGTCTTGGTGGTGATGAGTCCGAAGACGTTCGGGTAGAGGAGAGCGAGATTCAAAGACGGAGTCTTTTTCACAATGCGATTATCGACCTCGCCTGCGGGAGGCGCTGAGATCGTGAGGAAGGCAGGAAGGCGCTCGAGTTGCTGGTGCACCGAGTAGTTGTTGAGGAGGGCGAAGGTGAGGAGTGCGATGAAGTGGAGTGTCACGGCCAGTCTGAATGAAATGAGTTCGAAAATTCGTGGCCGGGGGAAATTGAGCGTACTCCTCGGCAAGCTCCTGGCGCAACTTATAGCCCATCGTCCCATCGTCCTGCTCGTTGTAGGGGACGACCACGATGTCGGTCTCGAAGTCGAACGCCCGGGTGAGGTGGTGGATGCTGGTGAACGACTGGAGGAAGGTGACGAGAGAGGGGTGTCTGAAGAGTTTCTTGAGCGCGCCGTGAAGGGCGTCAGTGTCGTAGCGCGCGACGGCGAGGGAGGACTGCGCGTTGGTCATGATGAGAAGTGAGGATGTATGTAGAAAGAAAAGAGAAAGAAGAAGGAGATGAGGAGGAACATGGAAACGCTCTGGTTTATATAGATGTAGAGTGCAATAATATAAAAGCGAAAGAAAATGCCAGAGAATAGGATTGGACGCACTTGCATGGTAACCGGAGTGAAGGGCGGCCATGGCGGCCGCATGAGCGCGCGAGGAAGCTACCTCGATGAGGAAGGCGGCCCTCTGCGATTTAATATCGATTTAATCCGCAGAGTATGCTCGCTGCGCTAGCTCCCGAGCGCCGCGCATTTGCCATTCCTGCAAGATTCGGGGTGCGTTGGCGAGCTCTTTTGCGGTCAACCATTCATCGTGGTCTTCGGAAAATCCTTTCCAGCGTACCTTGTAGATACGGTGGCGGCGACCTTTGCGCTTTCGGCCCCATTTCTCATCAATAATCCTTTCGACTTCGACCGTCTCGGCGAGATCAAAGTCGCGTCGATTGAGCGGTTTCTTTGGGCGCTCGCCAAACTCGGAGGGCGACTTCCTGTACCGTTCAAGATGAGCAATATTCAGAATTGGATGGAGTCCGTACGAGTCCGGTAAGCGCAATTGATACGAAATAGGACTGAGCTTGCGGATGATCTCGAAGGGGCCGTCGTACTTCATCAGTAGCTTCTTTCCTCGGCCCTTCTCGTTCCGTAAGAGCTCAAGCGAATGAGGATTCAATACAACGAACTCACCGACTTCGAACTCATCAAGGGTTCGTTTCTGATCATAGTCCTTCCGTTGCGCAATCTGCGCAAGCAGGAGCGCGTCTTTTGCGCGGGATCGTGCCGCTTCAAAGCCGTCAACCATCGCCTGTGCCGCTTCATCAAAGATTTCGATGTTACCTTCATCCCCCCGCTGAGAAGAAGTGTCGCGCGTTGGGCGAGGAATCATATTGGCGGTTTGATCTGAGAGTAGCGCGGCACTTGTAATGGGCTGATATCCACGTAAGAGATAGGCTGGCGAGAATCCGGAGCTCGTGTGAGGCGATGTGTTATAGGAGAGGGCAAGTGGGTCTAGTAATTCCGACCAATCATCGCGCGATGGCCCGATGTACGCTCGGAGAGCGATTTCGAGGTACTGATTGACGATTTCGGTTTGTCCATCGGCCTGCGGATGATGAGCCGTGGTCAGCGCGCGCTTCATCCCCATCAGATGACAGATACTCGTCCAAAAATCACCTGTCCATCGTTTGTCGCGATCCGATATTACCTGCAACGGAAGCCCATAGTCCTTGACCACATGGTGAAAGAAGAGTGCGGCCGTCCCTTCGGCGGTCACGGATGTAGTACAGGGGATGAAAATAGCGTACTTTGTCAGCTTATCCACAATAACGAGGATGTTATCGTACCCTCCCGAAAGTGGTAGCTCAGGAATGAAGTCCATGCTCACCACTTCGAATGGTCGTGTCGGGATCGGGATAGGCTGGAGTAGACCGACTGGCCCGTGTCGCCGAGGCTTGGACTTCTGACAGATGTCGCATGTGCCGACAAAGAGCTTGATGTCACGAGACATCCTCGGCCAGTAGTACATACTAGCGATCCGATTGTACGTCTTGTAATAGCCTCCGTGAGCCGCTTCGGATATAGTGTCATGGACATCGGACATAACACGCGAACGCAGGGAGGCGGGAACGCATAATCGATTGTTTCCGTTAGAGTCCTCGAAGTATACCAAACCCTGTTCACTGTAGTGGTATTGTGGATATACAGGAGAACTCCAGTTCTCTTCCTTATTCAGGGTGTCGAGGACCTTACGGAAATGATTGTCGGTCTGATATGCGTCGCGCCAGGTCTGCAGTTCCGAGTCGTCAAGTCCGACGATGACGGTGAAGACGGAAGAGGAACAATAGCGTCCTCGTGATGCGTCATCACAACCACGCAGGTCACACGTGATGATTTTCGGCCCGGGATCCGCTTCCGCGGAGATTTCCGAAGAAATGAACTTGGACGCGACCTTAAGGAGTTTCTCCTCGTACCGTTCACCAAGCTCGGTATACATGTTTCTCAGAGGGTCCGAGTCGCCGAGACTCAAGGTACGTGTATCATCAACAAGCGGACCATTCTCGTAAGGAACACGGCGTCGTAGCCTTGAGATAGGATCTACATTGCTGTGTACTTTACCAGCGCGGTGTACAATTCGGAGCCCTGGATATGCGGAAAAAACCGTACCCCACGTCAACAGTCGCCGATTGACGTTTTGGAATGTCCGGCTCCACGTCAGCGCGGCGTGATCAGTAATGGCTAGAATATCTTCCCCCTCGAGATAAGGTTGAAATTTGATCAAGGCCTCCTTGAGAGCGAGAGCTTCGCGCTCGGTGGGGGAATAATTTCGCTCGGGTGATTTAAGGACTCTAGACCAGTAAGCAATCACACGCTCGACATGCACTGTTGTATCCTCGAAGTTTTCTGCCCAGTTACCAGGCTCGGGCACATCTTGGACTTCCTTACATGCCTGCGACACGAGGCGTGGAACGGGATCCCCTCGTTTGTGTGCTTTTTGGAGCCTCTCATACATCCGAGTACCTCGAAGATCACGTACTTGGATTGGTTGTACCTGCTGCAATATTCCTGCTAGTCCATAGTCACATGCATCGGTGTACACGCGGTACGGTCGCCCTGGGATAGCATATGCGCGAACAGGTGCATTGGAAAGGGTCTGTTTACACAGCTCAAACGCTTCTCGATGCACATCCGACCACTCCCACTCTGCCCCTTTCTTCAGTAAGTTGAAAAATGGCTGCGAGATCCAAGCGTAGAAAGGGATGTACGAAGAGAAGTAAGTCATCATACCTAAAAAGGTCTGAAGCTCGCTTACGTTCCTCGGCTCCTCTAAGGCGACTATTGCGTCTACCTTCTCCTTGTGCGTCGAGAGCCCAAGACGGGACACCTTCTGTCCGAGTAGCATAAGCGATTGATAGGCGAAGTGACACTTACCAGGCGAGAGCGTGATTCCCGACGATTCTATCGCGGCGAAGACCTGTTCGAGATGCTTAACATGCTCCTCGAAAGTGAGCGAGAAAATGACGATGTCATCGATGTAAACCAAGGCGAAGACCCATAGGAAGGGCGCTAGCACGGTCTGCATGACGCGTTGAAAGACGCTGGGGCCATTTCTGTACCCGAATGGCATTCGCTTAAATTGCCACAAACCGCGGTGGCAGCGGAATGCAAGCTTCTCGCTAGCGTCTGGCGTCATTGTGAGCTGCGTGAATCCTGCCAGAGCATCAAGGGTACTCAGCCACTGCGAGCCCTGAAGCGCTTGGAGTATGTCGTCCTGTCGAGGAAGCGGAAACTCGTCAGGAATCACCGACTCGTTCAGTTTCCTAAGGTCAATAACCATCCGAGGTTTGCCGTTGCGATAGGTGATGAAGACGGGAGCAGCCCAGGGACTCTTAGATGGCTCAATGACGCCCAGTTGAATCCAAGAATCCATCTGCTTGTCAATGACTTCGCGCTTCGCTGGTGACGCCGGGAAAGGCGGTAAGGAGACGGGCTGAGTTCCTGGTTTTAGTCGAATTTCGACCTGAGCCGGATAGTTTCCCAATCGCCCATCAACGCCAAACGCGAGCTTATGCTTCAAGACCGCCTCTTCTATAGCTAAGCGCTGGTCTTGAGAGACATCGGGCGAGATATCGACCGCTTCGAGGAGTTTGCTGCCATCCACTGGATCTTCTGGCTCTAGACTAGTCTTAGGGCCTCCCTCCAAGGGCTCAGTTGCAGCTGGATCGTCCTCACTCGTAGCGTTTTTCTGGGCCTTAGAAGTAATATTCGATTCAGCATGAATAGCGACGGTAGTAGATGAGAACAAGGTCGGCGCAGGTGATGTGATGTCGGACCGGGTCCCCGGCTCGATGGCCGTTGTTCCCTTTATGGAAGGCTTTCTTCCGTCTCGATCCATCACTGTCTCCGACCGTGTCTTCGCCTCCACAAGGTCCCGGATGAAGCGAGCGTGTGCCTCGACCTCCCCCCTTCGCTGCTTTGTCATCCCCGCGCTTTTCTCCAACCAACTCTTCGGATTTCGAGCTGTTCCCAATGGCTCCCCTCGTGCTATGACGATCGGGCGCTTCGAGAAGTTGGAGACCTGCAGGAAGGGATGAGAGCGGCATATGAGGGTATCAGGTGCGCCGAATACTTCGTCCTCATTTCCGTGCGTTAATAGCTTTGATTCAATGTAGATCTCGTCTATCTCGCGCGGAAAATGCGCCTCTACGCGTACCTTCTTGCAAGATTCCGGTGGAATGACGACTCTTTCAGCGGCACCTACGCTTGCGGCCTCTGCTTTGGCCCTCAACCTTCGATTTCGCCTTCGAATTCGATACTTCTGCGCAAGAGGAGCACGAGTTCGGTACTCAGGAGCAACCCGAACGCGGAAGGTGTGACCTTCCTCATCTACCATACCCGCTGGCGCTGTCGAATTTTCGACGCGCAAGCGACGTCCGGACTCTCCAAACTGCACGTGAGTACTCCCCCCTTCGCGAAGTATCGAAATTCCGTACTGATCTGCGAAATCGTTGCCGAGGATCAAGGGTGTTCCCATACCGCGCACTACATAAGCCTCGACGTCGATTTTGACTGGTCCCTCAGGTGTGTGGAAGTACAGGTCGAGATTGACATACCCTGATATCACCGAAGAGCCTGTGACCTGGACGAGCTTGATGCGCTGTCCCGCCTTGATGCGTGGTCGGTTGAGCAAGGCAGAGAGCGCTTTGGCAGAGATTAAGGTAATGTCAGATCCCGAGTCTAGTATAATGTCCAACCAGTCTGTATCTAATGAGTTGACAGTGACCTTCATCTGTGTCGCTTTCGAGCCCAAGAACGACACACCAGGTGGACGCGCCATGTGCTTTCGGAGTTCGACGAGCGGCCGGTCGGGTGAATGAGGTGCTGAATTGTTGACCGAGTAAGTCAATGCTTTCATCGCTTTTGCTAGCCGCCGACGAGCTCGTCGATTTAGAGACGGTTGCGGGGGTTTTTCTACGAACGGGGCCAGCGATCTAGATCGATTGCAGGCAACATCGTGAGTCTGCTCCCCCTGCCGCACTTCGGGAAGTTCATTCGCCTCTACAGTAGACCCCTTCAGCGCTTCCTGCGCGTCTGGCTCGTCCGCGGTTGCGGTGACGAGAGCAGTCGTCGCATCTGCTACCTGAAGGGGAACTTCAAAATCCTGACCTTCAGGTTCGTCTTCGTCATTCATAACACTATAGTATAGGTCCTCGTACTCGTCCTCTGCTTCGAGGAGGTCTATTGAGGCCTCTGCTAGGCGAGTTCGTGCACTCCTCGTGCCTTTGAACGCGTACTTACACTCCTTGTCCCAGTGGTTCAGGCTTCCACAGTGACGACAACCGCGCGCTCCCTTGTCCTTGGGTGTGGCGCGTTTTGATATGTTTGCGTCATCCTTCGGGAACTTGGGAGGGGGTAGATCGGTGGAGGAGCCCACCAGGTGAGCACGCGCAAACGTTGTTGGCTTACTTCTCGTCCAGGACTCTCGCTGATCATAACGATTGAAGTTCTTCTTCTCACCACCTGCTTCAAGAAGAGCGTCCTCGTGATAGCGGATTGCGGACTGGAAGGAGACGAGGTCAGGGTATAGTTGAGTCGAAAGGATTGTATTCCAATTCGAAGGTGCGGTGTCCATTACCTCCATGATGATCTCGTCGTCCTTAAGAGCGTACACCATAGCCAATAGGTCGACCTTTCGGATGTAATACTCACTCGGAGTCTCGCGCCCATGGCCCGGCTCACGATAGTATGAGTTCCTCGCCTTCGCCTTCTGCTTCACGACCCAGTTACGGTTCATGTAGTAGGAGCCTATAGCGAAACGTAAGGTTCCCCAATTAGCAGTGATCTTCTGACGATAATCGCTTCCCAGTGACCAGTACCATACTTCGGCCTTTCCTTCAAGGCGACGCGGTACGATTCGCCCGAGTTGCGTGTATATCGCTTCCGACTCACGAGACAAATCGTTCACCTTATCAAACCATCTCGTGATCGTGGACTCGCTCCCGTCCCACGTAGGTACGTCGCTCATCTTGAACTTGAGGTCGAATCGTGGCTGCGATTCACTCGGGCGCGAGACAGCAGGATCACGATTGCCTCCAGAACCACGAGAATTCGGGTCTCCACTCGGTAGTGGACGACGTGGACCACGGCCGCCACCTCTTCGACCACCGCCACCACCGCCTTCGTCGTCAGAAGATGGAGGGGTCGGAGGATCACTCCCTTCGCCCGACTGTAGTGCCGAAGCCGGATGTGGAGGTGTGTCTCGTCCCCCTCGATGTCCACCCTGCCGAGCGGTGCTTCGGGTGGAATGGCTCCCTCGACCTTCGGATTGATCCCTAGATTGATCATCCTCAGGCGATCTGTGACGTGCTTGTCGCGGTTTCCCATGGTTAGAGATAGAGTCGAATGGAGTAGGTGTAACCGTATACCCCACCTGACCTGCTGCGCTAACGTGAGGGACGAATCCTCCCGGCATCCAGGTCGAAGGCGTAGGTGCCGCCGTCATCCCGTATGGAATGTAGTGCGGGTCGGAGAATAAATCCTCCATCTTGGTACGTGGACCGGTCGAGATACTCGTCACGGGCTGAGCACTTACAGGTTGAGTCATGACTCCGCTATATATCCGTGAGGCATGCCGACGACGGATACCTTCTAGCGTCTTGGGCTCCTCTTCCGAGCGCTCAAGCGCTCGCTTCGTGTCCCTTTGTACGAGTTTCGAGAGCCTATCCAATACCACGTCGTCATCCTGCTCCGACGCTTCGCCTTGTCCGTGCCCACGCTGGAAATCGAAGACTTCATTAAGACGCGCGAGAAAGTCCTCGACTCTTCGGCGATAGACTACGCAGAGCCCTTCGAAGTCCGCGTCTAGGTACGCTTTGTCTAGATCATTCTCTGCATTCCACAAGGGCAAGGATGGGACCTTTTTCCCTTTCAGAACGAAGAACTCTCTAGCTTGAAGCTGTCGTACCCGCAACGCTTTTGTCAACCTCATGATATTCTCGGGAATCGGGGCATAATAGGTACGATCATCGTCCTCGAACTTAGCTCCTCGAATTTTGAGGATAGCGTCGTCGAGCAGGGACAATTCGACGGCAAAGGCGGAGTCCTTCTCGTCTCGCATGGAGCGAGACAGGTGTCGCCATCGTATAGATTGCGACGTGAGACTAAGTGCACTGAGGGTACGTGCCTCCACCTCCGTATATCTGTCCTTAACCTCATCGTTTCTATGGAATTTCCAGGGGGCCTTACACACAGGCGAAAGATTGTAGACCTCTGCCGTCCTAGTGGCGTCCTGCATTTGCTGCGTGAGAGTTGCGAAACCTTCGATCGGAGCGGCAGCCCAGTCAAACTTCTCATTGCTCAACACACGGCGATATGCGAACTCCTTCTCTGTTTCGCGTTTGTCGGGGCCATCTGAAGATCCATAATAGGTGACAAGATTAGGGATGACGACGGGAGTGGGATCGTTTGGATCGACGGGATCGGCGGTGTTCGCCATGATCGTGAATGATCAAGGGGAAAGATGATGATGACAAGTCGAAGGGAAAGTAAGTATTTGCTGCGAGTTCCTGGCTGCGGACACCAATGTTGTAGACCAGCGTCTACGACGTTCGTTGCTTAGCTTACGGTACTCGCTAACGAATCTTACTTATCTTACTTACGACTTATGAGGAATAGAAGACCTTAAACTCACCTGTACCGTGTTCAACTCGACGGAGTGAACAGAGTAGACTCAATGATCACACAGTCGGCGGACGCAGACTTTCGTCGATGCGCGCGACTTCGGTTCCCGGGAAAGGGTTAGATTGGACACGATGGTAGTAAGAGTAAAGAAGGCTGCCCCCTCGACTAGCGAGAGGCGGACCTTATATACGTAGGGTCGGAGTCAGTGAGTCAGTGGTCATAGAAGTAGCTAGAAGCGTCGTAAGTATTCGTGGGTCTTCGTAAGGAATCGTAGGTATTCATGAAGATTCGAGCCGGTTCGTATACATTCGAGGGATCACATGGGAAATAGAAGTAGAGAAACGGAGAGTAAGAATGCGTATCGCGTGGGTGAGAGTCAAAGGAAATAGGCCCATTACCCGTGAGCGCGGCATGTCGCTGATCCACGACAGGGTTAGACGATGCGCTGGCGGTCTTGACCCGCTCGCGAATATCCTGCAAATCCTTCAAAAGCTCACTCTTCCGCTCTTCCATAGCGTCAGATGTCTTCGCCTGCTTTGAGCATGCAGTTCAGAAAGATCTCAGCGAGAATTTGTGCAAGAACTCGTCGACAAGGCCAAGCTAGTTAGTTATTTCGGGCTAAAGTAAGCTGACTCGACTCATGTGGATTCGACTGCCCGCAGAAATTCGATGGTATTTCATCGGTCCTCGTCAGCTTGACAAGTCGAAGACGCTGGTGGGTAATTAGCTCACATCCTAACGGAGCTTTCCTCTCACCTCCGCGCAGCCATCCCGAACCTACACACCATACAAGCACTGACCTTAACGAAGGCGGCCGACCTACTCCACAAAGCTCTCTCAGAAGCGGGTGACGCGTAGACGAGGCTCAACGTTTTCATTTAAGTACGCGTCTCCCCATCGTTGCCTTACTATCTAGACGCGACTCATGAGTGCCTCCCCTAGATATGTTTGATACCTCTCATTTCAACGAACTTCACTACTACGCACCCCCTCGCCATATTCGCTGCCCATATCCTCGAACAATGCCCCTTCCTCCGACTACAAGGCCTCATGACCATCGGCTCCATCGAGCCGTCCTATCACGCCAAGGAGGGCGAGGAGAACCACGATTTCAAGATGCTGCTGAATACGCGGGACTCGCTTCAGGGTGTTCTAAGGTCGAGGTTTCCGGACAAGGTGAGTTGTGTCGCAGTCATTCGAACCAGTGGTAACGCAAAATCACCCAACTTAACTTGACCGCAGAGACATCCGCATACGGCGAAACGACCGGCTGCTCGTCAGCGTGGGCATGTCTGCCGACTTCGAGGCCGCGCTGCGTGCGGGGAGCGATATTGTGCGGGTGGGCACGGGGATCTTTGGTGGGAGGCGGACGAAGGTGAGGGGACCGCACTAGCGTCTTGCGATGGAACGAGCAAGAAGGGGTAGACAAGGTTGTGGACTCCGTTTGCTCGAGCGCTTGTTCAAGAAGCAAGTGCGAAGAAGAAGAAATATGAGAGGGCGAAGCCGCAGCCCCAGTCCAACTCTCAGACATGTAACAGCCGACCACTTTGTCTCTTGTGTGGATCATACATAACTTACCGGTTGCGCAGAGTTAGGCCGGTGTATTGGCGGCGCAATTGCGACTGCAGCCATGCACTTCGTACACGAGACCGTAGTCGTCCGTCGATTTCTTCGTTCGAACCTGAAGGTGAAGTCGCTATGGACATGGAGCTGGGTCGCTGTGGACATAGAGCCGAACTCTCGTTCCATGAACCATAAGGACGAAGCCGTAACCTTCAAACATCAAGACTGCGGCCCGATCCAACCATACTGCTCCTACGCAATGACGATCTCATCCATCTAACCACCTCACCTCGCCTCATGTCGCCTGGTCTGCAGCTTCGGACTTCGCCTGCGCACCTTCGCGGCAGACGTTCGTTTTGCCTCTCACCTCGGACATCCAGTCTTCTCCCCAGCACATCCGGCTGCTTCCCGCGGCAGACGCCTCATCGCGCGGAAGCCATTGTATCAAGGTTCATCTCGCCCTCGAATCCGCCTCATCTGCCGCCCGGTACCGGCCATATGGCTCTTCTGTCATCTCTTTTACTCCCAGGCAGCTGCTTTTACTCGTTGGGGGTGCAGGCTTACTCCTCAGACGGCTGCATGCCTGGCACCATGTCGCCGGCAAAGCCTTCTCCGACCACTACATGGAATGGGTCGAACCTCAACCTACGGTACGTTGCTTTCGGTAGGCTCATCGCCATCCTTTGTTACATTCATGGCTACTCTATTGTACGTTCATCGTCTCTAGAATACGCTCACCGCCACTCTCTGGTACACTCACCGCAGGCTGCCGCCGATGACTCCATTGCGCCGCCGGCAGGGTGGCGTGAAGGTTAGCCTTGACTCCTTCGGAGGCGCGGCTTGGTTCCTTCGCGTGGCTCCCCGCTGCCCCTCTAGGCGCGCCCTTTCGCGTCTTCAGGCCCCTTCAGCGCGTCATTGGACCCTACCTTCCGCATTGCCTCACCTCACCTACCACGCATTCTCCACATGTCGCAAATTCTTTGTACACGCGCGACGCCTCCTCATGTCCAGGGTCCACATGAGACGTGGAAAGCCGCTCCTAGAAGACCGATCGGCCGGGTGGCTCCCTCGTTAAACGGTGGTGCTCCCAGCGGACTCCCTATCGACTGCCACCGAGTGTTCGCTGGGAGCACTTGGTGTCGAAAAGGGATCACCATCTGCTGCTCGATAGGAGCATCCGATGTCGATTGACAGCAAAGAATCCGCCGCCTGGCGGCGAAGCGGCGCCATCGGGAGAGGTTTCTTCTAACCAGTCGTTTGACCCTAGGCGGGTGCCCGCCTGCGAGGGTCTGGTCTTCGTGAAGGTCTGATATCATCGGTACAAACCGCCAGCGAGCGTGATACTGACCGCCGGCGGGAGTACCGTTCGTCAAAGAGGACTCACATTCGTCAAGGAGTACTGATATCATCGCATGTGAGTGCTAATATCTCCCGTCCGCGAGGCTTACCATCAGCCACGGCAAGGCTTAACATCGGCCACCGCAAGGGCTGATATTAGCCTCCGCAAGAGCTGATATGAGCCACCCTCGAGGGCTGATAACATACGCGGAGGGCTTATATCTGGGAAGTAGGCCACCTCTCCGACGCTTGACTCTTGCCGCGCCCCATTGCACTTTCTTGCCGCCGCTGCTCTCCACGCCTCGCACCGCTGCCCTGCCCTGCCGTCGTCGCGTCCTCGCCGCGCTTGATTCGTCGCGCGCCGTAGCATCCACGCCTACGCTCCAAAAACCATAGTCAGGCCACTTTCATCCCTGGGGTCGCTTATATGCTCTCGCGACGTAGTGTGAGTGCTACTTCCTCAGCCTGTGCCACCGTTGTCTACGTCTTCGTGCTACCGTCGCCTCACACGTCGTCTCACACCCACACCAGCAGATGTACTACCGCTGCCTCGACCCGGCCGCGCCGCCGCCCTCCATGCTGCCGGTGCGGTCGCCCTCGGTGTCCTCCCTCCTCGACAACCCCGCGATCGTCTCCATCCGCTCGCCGCCAAACCTGAAGGCGCTGCCCGCGACGCAGGTGCTGACGAACCGGGTTCCCACACACGAAAAGACCCTGTCTACCCCACCCAACGCGATCCCCACAATTCGCGTGCTGCACGCGCCGAACGCGTACGCGTTCGACGTCGCGCTGCCGAGCACAATCCTGCCCGAGATGGTCACGATCTCCGCGAAGAAGGGGAACAAGCTGCGCGTGATTGCGGATGCGTGGCATTTGGAGGATAATTGTGAGTCGTTGGTAACCTCCTTGCAAGGTCGGATACTGATGAGCGCGATGCAGGCCACTACGAATGGGAGATCGCGTTCGCGCCGTACGACGTGGACATGAGCTCCGTGAAGGCCAAATTTGAGCCCGGCGGGCGGCTGCTGATCACGGTAGCGCGGCGTTGAGCACGGTGGCGCGGCGCTGAGCGCTGCCACCGGACCTCTCCCTGCCCCTCGCGCTCCCCAGGCTATGTGTCTCATGATACCTCCCAACCTATCATTATTGGCACGCCTATTATTGCTGGGACTACGTACGCACACGACATACCCACCGCACGCCCTCATGGACTCGAGTCTCGACTCGCCTCCATACCAATGGCTTCTCCGCTCCATTGCACGCCCCCGCCACGCATGTTAGAAACTGATCACCCAACCATCCTAATGTATACTTACCGATACCTACCACTAGCCTAGCGTATGATACATGTTTTATCGCCTACCTATTGCGTTATGTACGCGGGCCCCGCGTCGCCTGCAAAGTACTGTTTTGTTCTGTAATACTGACGCCGCCGCTTCGTTCGCTTCTCTTCGCGCGGTGTCTAGCGTGCTTCCCTATGTACATAGGCCACTTCCTTATGTCGCAGAAGACACCAGTGCATGTACTTTAGTCTACTGCCGTGGCGGTCGAGAAGGAAGGGACTGGGACTTGCCGGAGACGCCACACGAGTTGATAGTGACTGTGACGTCACGCGTCTCACGCGCTTTCTGCCATCATGTTCTCTTTCCGGAGTCCATTGTTCTTCCGCGTTCCTCGACGAACGGCTGCCCGAGTCTCGCATTCACCATCCATCTCACCTACACAGCACATTGTTTAGCCATGGACCTAAGCACACCCTCCGACGAGCAGGAAATCACTTATCTCAATGTCTCGATCGCCTTCACCTTCATCATCATCGACGCCGCCCTTTCCGTGTACTACAACCTCGACATCGGCGGAAAGCTGGTCTGGGCGGCATGTAGATGTGTAGTGCAACTGTCGTGCGTGTTTGCTCTATATTTGATGCAACTCGCATTGGCAAATGCAGCGAACTCAGTCGTACCTCTCCAGAATCCTGGGCTTGATCTTACGCCCCGTCTTTGAATTGAATAACCCACTCTTTGTAGCAGGCCTTGTGCGTGCGTACAAATTCTCTCTCATTTGCTATTTCGTACGTTGACTCTCACGTCGCAGTACTCCTCAATTGCCTTGGTACAATGGAAGTCGGTAAGCCCCTCCGTCAAATCCTTCTCCTTCTTCTCCCATCGGCCTCGGCCTCCTGAACACACGCCGCATCACTCCCGCACACCGTCAACTACCCATCATAACGCAATTCTCCAGTAATCAACAAGAGCAAAAAGCGCTTCCAGCACATGCTCCCCATCGTCCTCGCCGGCTTGCTAGGCTCAACAGTCCCCGTATCAATCATTGGCGTCCGCTTTGCGCTCGGAGTGGTGCCTTTTTGGACACCGGAGCACTATGGTGAGTGACTGAGTGAGAGGAACCTGCCCGACGGGTGGCTTTGGGAAGTGAAGGTGCAGAGTCAAATGCTAAGCCTTCATCCCCCAGTCCCCATCGCGGGCATGCTCATTGGCAATGCGATCTCTGGGATTGTCGTCGCGACGTCGTACGTGATGAAAGAGCTACAGTAAGTACTGCTGCTATTCTAGCTCTGCAAGTCCTATCGCTTCCATGTGATGCATGGTTCTATGATTCCGCAGAAAACCTGACCCACCCCGCCTAGAGAAAACCGCGACAAAGTGGAGACTTACCTCGCCTTCGGCGCCTCCCGCGCGGAGGCGTGCCGCCCTGTCGTGCTCGAGGCGCTGCGGCTCGCACTGACGCCGACGATTAACCAGATGAGGTGGGTGAAGGTCTGAGGCACCGTCCTGCCTTCTTCCGCCCCTCTGCTTGTCATTTTCTACAAAAACTCTCTTTCCAAACCTTGGATCTGACCCTCCCATCCCTCTCAACTGAACCCTCTACAACACAGCCAAAGCTAACCTATCCCCAGTGTCATCGGCCTCATCTCCATCCCGGGCATGATGACCGGCGCGCTCCTTGGCGGCGCCCCCGTCGCGCGCGCCTCGCGCCTCCAGATGATCATCATGTTCCTCCTTTCCGGCAGCGCGGCGCTCAGCGCCCTCATAACCACCGTTGGCTGCGTTGCTGTGGTGGTGGATGGGTATGGGAGGGTGAGGGGGGAGAGGATCACGACGGGTGCGTCGGTGAGCGACGTTTTGGGAGTTGGAAAGGTTTTCGGGACTAGCACGTCGGATATTTCGCGAAGGTTGGTCGAGGTGAGGCAAAGAGCGAGGGAGGCGGTAATCGGGATAGTCGCGCGATTGAGAGGAAACGAGGGAGGGCAGGCGAGGTACGAGCTCCTGGGGTGAGATACGGCTGGTTAAATGCAGTCTTACGGTGAACTTTACTGTCAATGAGTGCAAGAGGCAAGGATGACTTTACGCATCAACGAGACGAAGAGTGTCAGCGATGATCTCGAGTGTCGAGATGGGACCACATATCCTCGCACACCCTCGTCATACAGCCGTTTGCAGAATAGAATGCAGTCTCGTGCTGCGAGAATTCGAGCACGCGGCCGTTGCAGACCAATCAGACGCGTCTCTCGCGGGCCAGCGACGCTCTGGGCTTGCACGTATGGGTCCCTGGCGACGCGACGGGACCCACGTGCTGGAAACCTGCCAGCACGGGACTGCAATCTATTCTGCAAACGGCTGTAAGTACACAGGCGCCTCGCGCTTAGGCGTCGTGGTGCAGATCGACCGCCAGATAAAGACGAGGGAGGGGCGTGGGAGCGTGTTTCTCCCTCGTTTGAGCATATCTGAGTATATAGATATGGATATGTGAATCTCTATCCACTTCATGAGCGACGGAGACAGCGACGTGAAGTCAGAAGTACAACCGACCGCACGCGGCAATCACCGAACACTGGCACGTGCAATCATCCGCGTGCTAGTGAGTCATCATCGAACTTCCAACCTTGACCTTGACGTTCATCGGACAACCGCTCATAAACTATGTTGTGTATACTCAGCGCGCGCCTCCTCCCCTTACTCTACTCTGCTGTCCTCCTCCTCTTCCGAAGCGCTATCCACCTCGGCTGCCGTCGGTTGCGGTGGAGGAGCGGGTGCTGGGTTGCTGGAACCTTGCGCGGTTGCGCCCGACGCTCTTTTGCGTGCTTGTGTTTGTCTCACGCCAGACAATAGAAAAAACTGGCTCTGAGCCTGCTTGCGGACGTCTAGGACCCCTCAACAAAATTCGTCTCGACGAAGCGATTGATTACTGAACGTTGACTTCGAGATATGTCCCTTCGGCCTGGCAACTCTCAGACCGTGCCTGTTTCCTTCAAATTCCGCCAGCCTGTCAGGAATAGTGATACAGAAGCGATGGATTTCATATACCCTTTTTTCCTTACCCCTACACGCGATGCGACTGAACTGAAGACTCAAGGACCATTTTCATCCTCGATCGGGGTCCTTTCCTTAGACTTCGGGGGCCATTATCAAGTCAAATATTCCTAGTCATGCTCAGCTCCTTGCCTCGCCGCCGCCTCACCCATCACTGCGCTTGCTCCAACTGGGGGGCTCCATCGACCCCTCCCTGAGACTCGCGCTCAGGGAGTGCGCCCCAATCGCAATTTCCCGAACATCTTCACGACGCTGTGCTCTTCTTACGGTGCTGACCTCCAGGCGACAAGTGAACTGTATTCACGCTTCTCCCGCGAAGTCCTACAGATGTCATTGGCGGTCCCGGCGCTAATTCTGTGCGTGTACTCGAGGGCGACGTACGTCCGCTTACTGAAGTGTTGCAGGATCAAGTACACGTACTTGCCTTTGCGAAGCCAGTGGGAAGTTAACGGCCGACACCGTGCAAGAGCTTCGTCAAACCGACGGTCCGCACGGGCGAAGACCGATAGGTGGCTATCACCATTGTATGCCACCTTCTGTCACGCCGACGACCTTCGAAGACCTAGTTCCCAGCATAGTGAACCAATTTTTCACTTCGGCGACGCAGGTTCTTCTTTGCAGTGACACTCGGGAAGGACCCTTCCTTTTGTCAACGCCTATCGCTCTGGTGGTTCTAACGCCGCTGACTGAGAGCGTCTCCCACCGTAGTGAGCCTTACTGTCACCGCAGTAGCATCCGCCTCATCGCAGCGAACCCTGCTTCATCAGCTTGCGACCCTCGCTTCGAGCATACCGCCGACACCTTGCCTCGCCCGGGCTGAGCGGCCCATAGAACGACGACCTGGCTACCTTATTACGTCGCAGAGGTGGGCTACGAGAGGAAAGGCCGCCGACGGGAATATGCGGCGGTGCATACGGTACGGAGCATAAACTAAGCATAGTTGGGTTCCTACTACTGACTTGCTTTCGATTACACGGAAAACCAGGACATCTACTCCCCGCCGTGTAACAGCTCTCAATAGGCTCCATTGCTAATATACTCAGTGTTCTTTCGCTTGTTCCTCTGTGCCCTAACGCGTGCATACCAGCACATCCCCCGCGTGCGTCCTCGGTCCCGCGCGATCTACCGCGCTCGCGCTGATGTGTCTCACCGCTGCCAACTCCGCGATATTGCCTTGACCACGGGGTGTAGACGGGCGCAGGTCACGCGGGCATTTCGACCGGTTCAATTATCGGTTGCTCTCGGTTGATCGTATGTACTGCGAGTTTTCAAGCGTTCGTCCCACGCAGGCATCGGAGCAGCTTCGGTGGACCTGCAGTGGCGGTGTACGTCCTGAGGCGTTGCAGGAGGCTTCTTGTGAGAGATTACTTTTTAGCGCGCGCTGCTACCCTTGTTGAGCCCGTTTCCCTCACCCTTGCTGAGAAATCGAACCGTCGCTTCGCTTCAGTATCTCACGAGCGTGCAGGATACCAGGTGAATGAGGGTCTGCGCTTCTCGCGCTATTTGCTCAAATTGCTCTGCTACGCAGGTTGAAAAATCACCCAGTATCCGAGCGCAGGTCCGAGTCCATATGTCAACGAGTGGCGGATCTTCTCTGCTAAGCAATCTTGCCTATGCTAGGCGACGACCAGTTTCTCGTAGGACAGGTACGTGTATGGCTTAGACCCGAGTGGCGCAATTTATGGTAGGACACTCAGTGGGCGCTTCGCTGCCTGGACACAGCCAATCTCTGCTCGATTCTCGAACCAGACGCCTTCCTCGAATTAGCCGCCCTGTCGGTCAGGGCGAGGGGCAAGAGAGAACGGCGAGAAGCGTACAAGATTCCGGTTAATAACGTCCTGACATGTCAACTCAAGTGGCAGGACGTACAGTCGGTACAGTCGGAGCATGCACTCAAATTCCAAGTTCCGTCGGCCGAGGCGAGGGCTCATTCAAGACGGAAAGACTTCATTATTCGGTCAGCAAGGACCGACTGCCTGTTTCCTGAATTCGCTTAGTCTCGTCTTGAGCGTAGCGATGTTTCCTAGCTTCGCGCGGCGTTGTTTCTAGGGTTGACTACGTACTGGCTTCGCGCAGGCTTGTTCAGTGCATTTGCATGGATTAGTTCATAGTTTCGCATGAGCTTGTCTCCCAGCTTCGCATCGCACCGTCTCTTCGCACCCCTAGCGTCGTGGCGACGCTCGGGAAGCGCCGCGCCACATACATCCTGGCCGCACTAGCTCCCTCAGCTGCACACGCCTCGGCGGTGACCGACGAGACGTTGATGGACAATAGTATGGGATGATGCACGATGAAGAGGAAGTGATGCGCCAGCTATACAAGGTGACATGCGCAGACTAGTATAGAACGCGATGCTTGCGCCGTAGAATGTGATGTCCAAGGCATACGAGTAATAAGTAGAGCTGCGACGATAGCGACAATACAGTCAAGAGTTTGGCCAATATTATTCCCTCGACGGCACATCAGATGGGCGACTGAATGAGAAGCAATTTTCGCGTCGTCCGAGATGAAGTTTTCCTTGGTCCGCGGCCCGAAATAAAGTGCTCAAAGTAGGGAGAGGGCCACGGTTGCATGATGCGCCGGAGATGAACTTCGTCATATCGAGTCCCGGAAATGAGGATGCGGCTTCGCCTAGAAGACGGATGGTATCCAAGGTCTTCAGGTCGCAGGGCGGATGGATGTGTCAAGTCGAAGGAAAGGCCTGCATTTCAACTGCCGCCAGATTCCACGTTCCTAGACGGCGAGAGTTTCCCAGAGAGATGGCAGCTTGCGAGAAAAGGGCCGCCAACAGAGAAAGGGCCGCTCGGAATCTGCCGAATGAAACGAACTTCATAGTCCTGTGACCCTGGGAAAGGACTGACTCAGCGCCGTCGAACTTCCGCTCAGCCAGCAAGAACCAGGGCCGCATTGCCGCTCCGCTGGCGAATAAGTGAGGAGCAGGGTATATAGGTAGCCGTGATAGCTCACCTGGCGCAGTCATTGCTTGGACGTGACCCTCACTACCCAGGGACCTTCGCGTGAAGCACCCTAACCCTTCGTGCACGTATTCGGAGGATTTTGGCATCAGTGACATCGGTGGGTGGCTGTCTCCTTCAGGCTGTTGGGCTTCAGCCGCCCGGCGCTATGGACTTCAGTCGCTCGCCGAGATGAAAGATCCACTCACCATCAACGCAGATCTGACATGCAGGGCGCTATGATGGGTTCCCCGACTTCTACTCCCGTAGATGCGTGCCGCGCGACGACGTGCAATGCGTGCGGCAAGACGACGTGGACGGTGAGTGTCGGGCGTCTTCATGCAGTCGCGAGTTCCTTCTCGCTTCCAACCGCGCGCCGGCGCCGCGATCTCCCCCTTCATCTCCCCCGTCCCCATACTGACCCCATCTCCGGCCCTGATCCCGAGCACTTCCCATCCGCTCCCCCGCATGCGCCCATGCTGGCCGTGCTGGGGTACCACTAGTCTTGTGCCTGCAAGCCGCGCTGACGACGCTTTCGCAGGGCTGCGGGCTGCACATTGAGCAGGTATGTGGCTGGCCAGGTTGATTGCCGACATACATAGTTTCAAGCGCCCAGTACGGCGGCGGCGGGGCGCGTGCATGAAGGAGCACAGCACGACTGATGGATGGCTCATACCCGTGCACACTGCGTGCGGGATCGGCGTCGGGTAATAGCAGATCTGACAATTCCATGCAGGCGCTGAAGGGGGTCAAGGACGAAGACCGGTGCAAGTGCGAGCGCGGCGGGGCGAGATGCGTCGTAGGGTAGATACGTCGCAAGCTAGATCTTCCATAAGGTTATCAAGTAGAATACGCCCAATCAAAGGCTGCAGACCACGCACAATCAAGAGATACGGTCGAGATCTGGGGAGAAATAGGGGTCTGTAACCGCATTAGGAAGGTGGTTATTGAAGGGCGGACTCGTGCGCGGGCTCTTGTCCTGAACGCCCATCCGCGCGTGCTGAACGCTCACCGTGTCTTGAACGCCCATCTGCTCCTCCTACTTCTACCGCATCTGCTCTTCTCTTCTCATATCCCTCGCGCGCAGCAGCTCCTTGCTCGAGTCCGCCCATGTCCCTGCGTCCGCCATGACACCGCCCCCACGTTCCCCAGTAGACGCACTTGATTCGCATTCACAACGCGCAGGCGAATCGCAACACGCAGGCGCACCCGAATCTCAACATGCCCTCGAATCGCACGCGCACCCCGTCCCGACCACAGACCACCTCATCAAGGATCGCGCGCAGCTGAACCAGTACCACATCATCTCGCTCATTGGCGCAGGGTACCACGGCAAGGTCTACTATGCGAAGAAGGTCAGGTCGCAGCCGCCAGTCGGCGTCCGGCGCGTGGTGAGTCGTACATTCTCAAGCATAGCACGTTTGCTGATGAGTTCTGTCCCGCGCTGCTTTACTCTGCGCCGTCCTGCCTAATCCTTACCCGCCTCGCCTCACTCCTCTCTCTGCCTCTATCTTCTCCACCCTCCACCCTTGCGCACCAGGCCATCAAAGCCCTCCGCCGCGACACCCCCCAAGACCGCACGCGCCTCCTCCGCAAGAGCGCGTTCCCCAAATCCGACGAGCATACTCCCGTAGGCGACAAGCTGGGCGCCGCGGAGCCCGAAATCCGGAGGGAGATTGCGATCATGAAGAAGCTCACGCATGCGCATGTCGTGAGGTTGTACGAGGTTATAGACGACCGTATGCAGGATAAGATCTATATGGGTGAGTTTGCTTCCGTTCGCTGCACCGAATTTCGCTTCGCGTTTATATGCTTGTCACCCCGCTTTGCGTTCATGCCATCCCGCTTCCCCCCTGTAGCCTTGAGGTAGATCACACGAGCTCACGCGCACGCAATGGGGCCTTGTATCTGCTTCAAAGTTACTGCCCAGACGTTGTCCTTTCCACCACCTTTCTTCTTGTCTAGCTCCGCTTCCCCGTACGCTGGGTCTTGCGATATATGTGCCTGGCTAGCCGCCACCATCCGCCAGTCAACTTGACATCCTTGTCCCATTATATCAGCCCCTGCCATCGTCCTTAGCACCAACCCCGTCCCGCAAACCACCTTCAGTCATGCTTCCTTGCTTTTTGCTCGTCTGAAGACGTACTGACAGATTTGCAGTGATGGAATATTGCGCCGGTGGAGAGGTCACCTGGACGAGCAACGACCAGCCTATTCTAACTGTAGACCAAACGCGGCGGATAATCCGGGATGCCATTCTGGGCCTTGAATACCGTACGTCCTTTCTCAGGCTTGCCGTGACACATACCCGCCCTGCACTGCCGCATACCCGCTATGCATCCCCGCATATCCATCATGCACCAATGCATACCCATCGTGTACTAACGCATATCCGCAGTGCACTATCAAGGCATTATCCATCGAGATATCAAGCCCGCGAATCTGCTGTACAGCCGCGATCGCAGCGTCGTCAAGATCGCCGACTTTGGCATCTCGCAGTTCTCCAAACCGCTGCGGCTCGAGTCGGCCGGAAAGTACGCCGCGAACGACGTCGATGACCCCATCCTCCTCGAGAACAAGGGCCTCTCGCGTGCGGGCACGCCCTCCTTCCTGGCGCCCGAGCTCGTGAGCGAGCACGCAGGCCCACGCCCCTCCGTCACGAAGGCAGTCGACATCTGGGCGCTCGGCGTGACGCTGTACTGCCTGCTCTTCGGTATCCTGCCCTGGCGGCCGGATCCGGATATCCCTGTTCAGGCGAAGCAGTACAACGTCTGGCGGAAGATCGCGGAGGAGGACTGGGAGGCGCTGGACACGATGGGCGCCGACCTTATGCCCACGGGCGGTCGCCATCCGCCTGCTGACCTGACAGACACGGGCGCGGGCATCATCAGACTTCTCGACCACTTTCTGCAAAAGGATCCCGCGAAGCGCATCACGCTCGAGCAGGCCAAGGTTCGTCGTGTTGCTGATTCTCTGCCATGCACTTTTTCTCCGTCATGCGCGCTTTCTGCGATAGGCCGCGAGCTAACCCTTCCTTTCTTGTATAGCAACACGACTGGATTCTCCACCGTATCGCCGGGCCTGAGAAGTGGCTCGAGGTTACGTCGCAGGGGAAGATCGACGTCGATGACCACGAGACGACGGCAGCAGTGTCCACCGTGCGCTTCCGCTGGACGTGGGCGCCTCGTCTAGGTTTAGGGCGGCGCATCTCGCGGTTGCTCGGGCGCAAGACTGACTCTACGCGCGAAGACACCAACGCGACTGAGCTCGGGCATCGCGCCAGCGCGAGCGGCTCGCTGCACCACAGGGCGTCGAGCTCCTTGCATCATAAGGCCTCGGGCTCATCGCAACACAAGGGCTCGAGCCCCCTGCGACATCTCCCGAAACGCCTCCCGAGCCTCAACTCGCGCAACCTGCGCTCCAAGTCTTCCGACCGCTACCCGACGCCGCCGCAGGCGCGCCCGCGCACGCCGAACAGCCTGAACGGCGTTCCCGGCGCGGGCGGCGGCGGTGTGCTCAAGTCGTACTATCGCCGTGGGTCGGACGTCTACAGGCGCGATGCGCGTGGCTCGGAGGTCTTCGCCGCCAACGAGTCGCGCAAGTCGTTCGCTCCCGAGTCGCGCAGGGCGTCGGGGTCGCGGCCGGCGAGCCCGGCGCCGTCGGAGCGGCGCCGCTCGCGGCTTGACTTCCTTACGAATATGCTGCGTCCCGTCACGCCCGTGTCGTCTTCGCCGGATAACTCGAGCCCGACGGCGAGCCGCGCGGCGACGTGGGGGCGCGCGAAGCAGAAGGCGCTGCGCGAGATGCCGTCCGGCTCCATTGGCTCGACATCGCGGCGGAGCGAAGAGGCCCCGGGCATGGGGCGATGGCGGCGGGGGAAGAAGTCCGGGCTCGACGAGGCACACCGCGCATCGAGCTGGGGGTATGACGACGACCCAGACGTCGCGGCACCGAGCTTCTACAACGCAGGGCAGGACTTCGAGGATGTCGTGCAGCAGCAGCACCGCGCGGGGATTGACGACCAAGACGATGACGATGATGACTCGTGGTCGTCCTCGGGCAGCGGGACCGGCAGCAGCTTAACGCCCGGCGACATCAGTGAGGACGAGTTCGAGAATCAGGCGACGCGAACTCCGTTAGTCCTACCCTCGGACGGCGAAGACGACGAAGAGCAGCCCGAGAACGTCCGCTTTGAGTACGAGTCGACCATGGAGGAGGACGACGAGGGCCTCATGATCTCCCCGAAGAAGCGACGTCCAATACAAGGCTAGCTCTCCCCCGCCTCTATCCCATCTATCCTCCCTGTCCAATGTCACCTATACCACTCACACCTATACGCATCCCCTCTCTCACACTTACACCCATTATCCCCCAAACCGCACTGTATCCCAAACACCAAGTTACAACTCCATTACCTCGGACTTGTTATCTACACCTTCGCCTGACCCGCGATCACCACCTAGAGTAGCATTACTATTGTTTCGTCATTAGAGCAGCCCGTCAGCCATGTAATGTATACGTATACGTACGCCCTATGCCTAGAAGTACAACTCGTGCACCGCACGGCATGATATACACAGCAGAGAAAGCCTGCCTTGAACAACGAGAACAACATTGCACAGTCGGGAAGGGAGCAAGCAAGAGAAAGAAAGTAGGTACGTGGGCTCGTGAGGGATCGTAAGAGTGCGGATACATCGCTGGGGCCATATAGACATCGTGCGCAAGCCATCGTGAGGGGGCAGTTACTGCAAAGGATACAGAGAGGGATGCGGTGAGTGGGGAGTGCGCAGAATGTACATATGAAGGATGTGAAGCGAAGCAGGTCGGATGCTTGTGTGTGCAGGGATATGAATGAGAAGGTGGTGGTATGGTGCATTGCATAAGGTATTTGCCAGTCAGCATAGTATGTCGGCGAAGCCAAAGAGCGGGAGGGGGCGGTTGTACGTCCAGTCGATAAGACCATATACAGAATAAAGAAGCTGAAGATGATGCAGAGGAAGTTGAAAGAAGCAAGCATGGGGGGAAGCATATGCATGAAGCGCAATAATAGGTCAGTCGGGTATCGAGATGAGCGTCGTGGCGGGTGTCGTTAGTGGTCGGATCGTAGGCGAGTCGGAACCAGGGTCAAGGAAAAGTCGTGCACGGAAGCGAGAGGTAGCAGAGTCGCAAGGGCACCTCATGTCGGCCAGCCGCGCGCATACATAGCAGCGCCGTTCACCCCGCGACGCAAGAACGACCAGACCGCCTCCGTCCCATCGCCCGCGCCGACATTAGTGAGCATGCCCTCGCTGCCGCCCGCAAGCCGATTGAACGCATTCCACGCCTCGCGGTCGTACACAGTCGGTCCGCCCGGGATCATCTGGTACTGCGGCGCCTGGGCCGCTGACGACAGGTAGAACACGATCGCCGTAGAGAGCACGCCCACGGAAAGGTGGATCCACGAGAACTGCGGCCGATTGAGTCCGCCGGGCGTCGACTCGGGGTAGATGTACGTGTTGTAGATGTTGTAGAAGCGGCTGCGGCGGCGCGGTGCAGACGCGTCGGAAGTGGACGCGGCCGAAGACGAGGATGAGCCGGCGGCGGACTCGAGGAGGCGCTCGATGACGAGGCAGTCGACGCCGGTTTCCTCCTTGAGGTTGCGCCACTCCTCAAGCGCTTCGCGAGAGATGCCCTTAGGGCTGAGCGTGAGGTGTGGGTGCAGCTTACGCGTAATGCGCTCCTCCTCGTCCTCCTCGTACGCGGGTGGCGCATCGGATGCGGGCTGCGGCTCAGGCTTGACCTCGACCTGCTCCGCCGAGACGTCAGTCTGCACAGACAAGTCGACAAGGTTGCGCTGGCGCTCGCGGAAGACCTCGACCTCTTTCTCAAGCTCGACGATCCGGTCGACGTACACGGTCTTGATCTCCGGGTCGACATTGTCCGTCTGAGTCTCCGCGGTTGACATATCCCTAGGGGCAGCCTGCTTCTCGAGCTCAATGATGCGGTCGACGTGCACAATCTGCACCTCCTTCTCCACGGCCACCACGTCGGTCTGCACACCGCCCTCGGAGGTGCGCGCGGCAAACATGCTATCATCGTGCTGCACACCGTTGTCGCAGTAGCTCTTCTCGATGATCTGCTCGGTCTTGCCACCCTTCTTAACCTGCAAAGCGTCAGCCACAAGCCAGCACCAGGAGCAGAAACACTCACCCTCTTCCTCCTCGTGACGATGGTCTCGGTCTGGAACTCGTCGTCGCTGCTCTCAACGACGGTCTCCTCCTCGATGGTCGTGTTGCCATCTTCGCTGTCGTCTTCGTGCTCTTCACCGTCATCCTCCCCAGCGCCGCGGTACCCAAACTTCATCTTCCCGAGCATCTCCGCGCCCAAGCTCTTGCCAACGCTGCCCCTCTCGCTCGGCGGCCTGCCGATAGCCTTGGTCGCGGGATCCATGAGCAGCCCGCTGGGCTGCGACGCGCGCAGCTCGTCCATCTCAAACCGCATGCGGTCGATGGTCTCCTTCAGCGCCATGTTCTCGTTCTTCTGCCCGATAAGCTCCTCCTGCGCCTGCCGGAGCTGCTCGACTAACTCCTGCATAGCCACAAGGCGTTCTTCGTAGCTGGCGATGACGACGGTGTGTTTCTCTGCCTCCTGCTGGTGCCCCGCGAGGTGCTCTTGCAGCTCGGCGACGTCCTTCTCGCGCTGCCGGAGATCATCGCGATACCGGTCAGCAATTTCTGCAAATAAATGGATGAGTGAACTGAGAAGGCAGTCAATATCCGGCCACATACGTATCTGGTCTTGCCACTTCTCGCGAAGGTCGTTAGCCTGGTTCTTGACGGCTTCCAGTGACTTCTGCAGCCGCGCGACCTCTGCCTCCAACGCCTGAATCTGGATGTGGTTCTGGCTCTGTGGCAAACGTCAGCATTGTTCATAATAGATGAACTCGGCGCATACCTCCTTCGTCTTCAGCTCCTTCTCCTGACGCCGCATGTTGTTGAGGTCCGCACGCATATCCTGGAGACGCGTTTGCAGCTCATCAATATCCGACTCGTTCTCGGAGATCTTGCGCTGGTACGACGCTTCCGCTTCCTGCAGCTTGCGCTGCGTCTCAGTGAGCGTTCGGCTCAGGACCTCCTCGCGCGACTCGGAGTCGATGCTCGCCATGCTGAGCGTGCGATTGCTGTGGTACTCTCGGATGAGGCTGCTATCGCCGTCCTCATCACTGTTGCTCCCGCTGTCACTGTTCGGGCTGGGGCTTCGAGGTGGCGGACTGGGCGAGGAGCGGCTTCGGGGGAATGACTCGTCTTCGGACGACGAGTGGCTGTGACCATTGCGGCGGACAGGGGCAGAGAAGACCTGGGTAGGCGTGTAGTCGGGGTGGGGCTGGGACGCGGTGCGTGAATGGGGACGGGAGAACGTCTTGGGCGGCGAGGTCGAGGAGGAGGGGTCGGGTGGGTTGGATGGGGCGCGGCGCCTGCCGGTCGATGCAGAGAGTCCGCTCCGCTGTCAAATGTAGATTAGCTTCCGTATGCGAGACGGCGCGTGTGGCATTGCGCCGACGACGCGTATGCAATGCCGTACTCACCTCAGAGTCGCTCGTGGCGCCATCAATGCTCCTGCGCCTAGACGCCGGCATGGGCCTGCGGTGCGAAAAGCTGCTTGGGGGATTCGCCTGCGCGATGGGCGTCGAGCGCTGGCGGCGGTCGAACACGCTCGGGCGCGCTGCCACGGGCGTCTGCGGCGGCGGCGGGGCCGGGGGACGCGAAGTGGCGCGCCGGGTCCCCGTCGACTCGTTGCTGCTGGACCGATCGCTAGACGCGCCCTCGATGAGCTCCGCTGTGCGCCCGCGCTCCTCCTCTTCCTCCGCATCCTCCCCCGTGCTTTCTCGCTGGCTCCTCGGCCCCACCTTGTGCGCGACGAACATGATGAGGGTCGCGGGCGTGCAGGTGAGATTGGGGTGCGCTTCGAGGAGCTGCTGCAGGGACTGGATTTCGAAGTCGCTCATCAGGTCCTCGCCGCCGTACCGGCGCGAGAACTCGCGAATAACGTCGACTAGGTTATCCGCATTGATGCAGGGTTGGCCCGAAGCATCGAGGTACGCGCCCGGCTGCTGCCAGTAGATCTCCTGCAGGTTCGCCTCTATATCTTCAACAGATTGGCGATTGCGGCCGAACAGCATGTCTTTCTCGTTGTCGGCCATTGTAGTGGTGCAAAGGTATGTTCGCGTGTGGTTCTTTGGCGGTGGTTATGGTAGGAAACAAGATGCGAACATGCCACTAAATTCCCAAAATGGCTTGACCATTGTTCACGGTCACGTCACGGCTTCTGTGCTTGTGATGCGTGACGCGTTACCTGAAGCGGTCCGTTCCGACTTTTAATTATCCAGCCACGTATGCATCAACAATCATGTCCGTACTACAGCAACAAGCCACGTAGGGGAAGCATGATGATCCTGCAGAACGCAGCAAGAACAACGCTGTATACTTATGAGGAAGGCCGACCGCAAAAAACAAGCTGGACTGGGACTTTCACGGCAATCCTACGGTCGAGGCAGGCCTGACCGATCCGTCAAGAAGCTTACTCTACGCTCGGGTCTCTTCTATACCAGGCTTCTTTCCTGATGGTCCTCACTCTGCTCGGCCCCGACGGCGGTTTTTCTTGCTAGGACCCATGACTGGCGCATCCCTTCCTCTCAGCAAATCTTTGCTCGCTTCGCTCAGATCCACCCTACTCTATAAGGGCATTGACCGCGATTGCTACTGTAAGTCATACAGTACGTGAAGGCCTGTGCCTTTCTCCGTGAATCGTGCTTAATATACTGTAGTTCCATACAATGGCACGGACGCGGTCGTCCTTCTACAAATTCTGCAGCGTCACGACCTAGAGCCTCTCGCCAGACTCTCGAATGTGCTTGCGCTATAGTCAGCGCGCGGTCCGTACCAGTGAGATTGCTGAAATAGGATGTTGCAACTCCCCAACGCAACACAAGTCTATTCAAAGGATCATGCAATAGCAACTGGCATTAGCAGCGACACAAGCCGAAGTGACAGTAAAGTACGCCGATGGTACAAAATAAGATGCTTTATCTGTAAGTTTCGTGATATGAGTACAACATGCTGGTAGTCCGTAGGCATAGAGCCCGATTGTGGTACAGTGTCCATGGCGCATAGAGCCCGATTGTGGTACAGAGTCCATGGCGTGGATGGTACGAAGTCCGCGTCGTGCGTGAGTCAGTCAATTCTGTCCGTGCCGCCTGGGGCGGAGTGGCAGGAGAGGGGAGTGTCCGATGACGTGAGGTCATCGTAAGGATCGTCGCCGATTAATCGACGGTGGCGTCATTAAGGGTGGGAGGGGAGGGCAGGGGAGGTAGACAGCGCTCTTGTGAAGAGGAGACGCGATCTCTTTACCCATCGTACTCGATGGTAAACTCATCGCCCCAGTTGCCGGAGTCACCGAACACTGAAGGGAGGTTAGCAGGTGCTCAACGCGCGATGGGAGGATAGGCTTACGAAGGATGCGATAGTTGTCGCCCGTCTCGACCCAGGGGACCGTGACCTCGTACGTGCCGAGCAGGATGTCGAAGTTGTCGGCGAGGATGACTATCGAGGAGTCAGCGAAAGGATGCGACAGCGTGGGTGACAAGTACGCACGAGGAGTAATCCGGTCATCCTTCACCAAACGGATCGTCCCGACGGGGTTCGTGATCTGCTTAGGCGGGTCCGATACATCCCTGCGGTATGTGTAAGCCATCGCGATCGGCGAAGGCGAAGACAGCACACTCACCAGGTAACGTTGTGCTTCTCAAACGGCTTCCACACCGTCCCGTTGGAGGGGTAGGTCACCGGCGGGGCGTACACGTCGCGCTCCACGGGCAGCGCAGCGGCGAGCGAGACGAGGGGAGCAGCAAGGAGAGCGGTGAGCGTCGCGAACTTCATGATGGGAATCGTAACTGAGCGTGAAGGTGTGTGAACGGTGAGTGTGGTGGTGGTGGTAGGAAGGTAGGTATGAAAAACCTGGGGGAATGTGAATCGAGCGAGGCCCCTTTTATATAGGCCCGCCTGTCATGGAAGACTCCAGACCGAATGACGCGCCGATCCCCCTAATTAGCCTCGGCCCGAGACCCGGGGCCAATTTAGCGCCCGGCGATGCCCGCGTGGCAGCGCCCTCGTACACAATCGGCACTGCCTGGGCACCGCGCCCCGAGGCGACCATTCCGGAAGGCCCGAGGGGCAACTGGAAATACAGTACGCGATCCTTCGACGTCCCCGACGCACCCCGAAGTTGGCGGCGTGCGGCTATGAAGGGTTTGGTCCCGTTTGTCTAGGTCTCGCATTCATGAAGATCTGCCTTGTCTCGTATTGCTGAATTACGATCGGCGTCGGCTGGCCGCAACTTTCGCGCTCGACGGAATGGCTTCCTCAGTTCCTGACCATGAACGTCGAGTGTCAGCTCCACGAGGTAAGGTCGGAGGCTGGGTGAAGGTCTGCTGCACTACGAAGGCCCCCATCGTGCTATGCATGATGAAGGTCCGACGCGGGCCAGCCAATCGCGGCCTACGTGTCCTCCTGCTCATCTCAATAGAGCACATCCTCGACGGCCTTGCGCCGCCGCAACCTCGCTGCCCCAACGCTGCCCATGACTCATCGTGCCTGCTTCACACTGTCCTTGGCGTCCTCGAGACCATGGTAGGCTGGCTATAAAAGAGGTGAGCTCACGCTAGTAGAGCTACCGATTCACATCGAAGAGCATCTCTTCTCGCACCCCGAATAGCGTCCTCGCCTCTAGTAGCACCTGTCCACTACCTCGCGCCATGAAGATCGCTGCCATCTTTGCTTCTACGATTGCCCTCGCTGGTTCTGCCGCCGCCGTTCCCATCGAGTCCAGGCAGGACAGCTCTTCTTACCCTGAGTGCGGCCCTAGTACGTGCACCTCCTTCCCTCACTCCTTCCCCGTGGTCTTTCCCGTCACCCCCATCACCTCCCTTCGACCACATACTCACCACTAACACCTCCCCAGCGACCGGCGCCTTCTACTACCCCTCCTCCGTGACCGTCTCTGAGCCCTTCGCCCTCCGCTTCTGCTCGGGCACCTACTTCAAGACCTCCTCCAAGTCTATCACCCTCGCCATCAGCGCCGCCGGCGACACCAACCTCGACCGCGCGGTCATCCTCACCGACGAGCTCACGTCGCCGGACTACAAGACCTATGACTTTGAGGCGGTCGTGCCGAAGACGATGTTCACGTTTCCGGAGGAGACGTACTTGATTGTGGTGGAGAAGACGAATGATTATTATGTGGTGAGTAGAGCCACTTCTTCCCACATCTTGGAGGAGGGCAGGGAAAGCGGGAGAGGGAGCGGGATACGGTCCTGTTGCGTGCAGGCGCTGACGATATATCACCAGAAATCGAGCTATGCAATTACTACGGGGCAGATCAATGTTGTGACGCCGAAGGATTCGTAGAGGGATTCTACCTCTGTTCTCGTCAAGCCCTCGCGCTTGACCAACCATGTCGGATTGGACTACGGACAAGAATACGACCAGTCACGTACTTCACGATACTATTATCTGTAGAAATCGAGGACTAATCTGTCAGTATAATCATGCATGCATCGTATGCACGCAAGTTGAGGAAGATTGAGAGACGAAAGTCGCGAACAAGCAGCGTTTGATCCCGAAAAGGTAGTCACGGACATTGTGACACGTGTGACCATCGCGTCATGCTTCGATCCAGATCACTAGTCCATCTGCAGCGCACTCGAACTCTGCGACCTCGGATCTCTACTGCCCGCTCATACACCAAAATGTCCGAACTCGCCATCACCGAAGAGCGCAAATTAGAGCTGCTCGACAACCTGCAGGACATCCGCGACCGCGTCAAGGCCGCCAGCGGCGCCTCAAACCCTACTTTGGTCGCCGTGTCGAAGTACAAGCCGGCGTCGGACGTCCTGGCGTGCTTCGAACATGCAGGGCAGAGAGACTTTGGCGAGAATTACGTGCAGGAGCTGGTTGACAAGGCCAAGCAGGTGGGGCTGGGCGAGGTGGTGATGGGTGCGAAGATGACTCACGTGGTTTACAGCTGCCCGCAGAGATTCGATGGCATTTCATTGGGACTTTACAGTCCAATAAATCAAAGACGCTAGTTGGTAAGTAATTTGTCTTCTGGCACTGTGATTTTGACTTACCTTGGTCAGCCATCCCGAACCTACACACCATACAAACCCTCACCTCGACGAAGGCGGCTAACCTACTAAACAAGGCGCTCTCCGAAGCAGGCGATGCGCAGAGGAGACTCAACGTGCTGATCCAAGTAAGGCCTGCATCTTCTTGACTCACTCTAGCCCGCCTAACGCCAAAATCTACCCTCAGGTAAACACCTCCGGCGAAGAGAACAAGTCCGGGCTGCCGCCTCTCACCTCGACGGACGCGACGCTTACCCAGACAGACGCCGCGGACACCCACGAACTCGTCAAACTCGCCGTCCACGTCCTCGAGCACTGCCCCTTCCTACGACTGCAGGGCCTCATGACGATCGGCTCCATCGAGCAGTCCATTAACGCCAAGGAGGGCGAGGAGAATCACGACTTCAAGACGCTGCTGGCGACGAGGGATGCGCTGCAGGCGCATTTGGGTGCGCGGTTTGCTGATAAGGTGGGTTTTCATGTCGAGTGGATAGGAGGAGAAGTCTAGTGGATGGATTTCTCCCCCCTATCCTTTTAACGCTTCTCTTTTTCCCCTTCGTATCTTTCGCTCTTATCTTTCTTCATTTTTTTCGTTCTTCCTATCGCGTGGACCTTGCCCACTCTTTGTATCCCGTCAATGAGAGCGAGCTGAACTCATACCATATAGACGGCTGCATACGGCGAAGAGGGCCGGCTGCTCGTCAGCATGGGCATGTCCGCTGACTTCGAGGCCGCGCTGCGGGCGGGGAGCGACATTGTGCGGGTGGGGACGGGGATCTTTGGCGGGAGGCGGACCAAGGAGGAGGTGAAGGGGACGCACTAACGTTTGACGGGTGGACACAATGGCGATTGAGACGGGCGCGCAATGGTGATGGAAATTCGGGCGCAATGGCGAAAGGGGTGCGCAGCCCTTGTGCGATATCCTAACATGTAAAGCCCGACCTCTTCGTCTCTTGGCTTGAGAAGCAGGTCAAGGGGCTTTGAAATTAAGCCCACTTTCACTTCCTTGCCTTCAGGGTGCTCATTTCGCTGGACAAGCTCCAGAAAGCTCATTGGCAGCATATTACGGAGGAATACTGTACACGAGTAGTAGGTGTCGCGTAATTAATACAATAGCGAGCGTCTGCATCTGCAGAGCGATAGCAAGAGTCAACGATGCGCAACACAAGCGATGATAGGCGTCCACGATGCGATATCGTCTACATGCCGTCGAGCGCCAGCTCATGCTTCATCTGCTTGCGGTTCTGGTCTTCGTGCGCCTCGATGATCTTCGACCCCGACAGAGCCCTGCAACCGTAGCCCTCCTCGCTCCCAGCCTCCGTCACCCATCCATCCACGACCACGACCTCACGCTCCTTCCTACCCATCGCCTCGTGCTTAAGGTCATCCCCGCACACGCGCAGCCACTCCAGCACGGGCTGCCGCATCCAACGCCTTGGCTCTCCCGGCCGCTTCCCCGCCTCGAACCACGCCAGGTGCCCACCGAGCCGTGTCACCGCCAGCACCACATTATCGCTCCCATCGAGCGCAGGCAGCTTGTTCACGATCGGGTCGTCCGCGGCGTTGAGCGCGAGGAACGGCACGCGGATATCGCGCACGGCGGTATGGCTGGACGTCCCCGTGTAGTAGTCCTGCGCGGAGTCGAAGGGGAACATGGGGGCGCCGCCGCCGAAGAGGCGCGTGAAGTGGTCGTCGAAGACCTTGAGGGTGGGCGACTTGAGCTTGAGCGCGGCCTCGACGGCGGCTGCTTGTTCGGCGCCGGAGGCGAAGGCGGTCCTGTTGCGCTTGACGATCTTGCGGAGGGAGCGGGCCATGCCCTTGGAGTAGATCTGCGTGCCGAGGAAGGTGTTGAGCAGGCCGTTGCAGTCGTCGAGGAGGTTCCAGGGCTGGTGCGGGGTCAGCCTCGAGCGAAGGTAGGAATGGGTGAGCCGACTCACACATGCTACGGCGCACCCTGCCACGAGCCGGCTCTCCTCGCCCTCTTCGGCCAGGTAGCGGGTCAGCACGTTCGCCCCGAGACTGAAGCCGAGGCCGATTAGCGGCGCGTTGGGGTACAGGCTTCGAATGTACGCGAGCTCTTGCCGCAAATCGTCCGTCGCCCCAGACGAATAGAGCCGGGGAGACGTGATGGGGATCCCCGCGCAGCCCCGGAAGTTGCACACAACGGCGCGGTACCCCAGACCGCCCTGAGAGACTGGCGCGGTAGCAACATCGAGGATGCAGCGCACATACGGTTCGTGAGAGCCTAAGAGGATCGTCAATCAAGGAGGGCGCGACTCTCTGAAGCAGAAGGCGTACCTCCAGTGATCCCGTGCTTGATCACAATGATGGGTGCAGTGTCGGACACGCTGAACTGATCTGCAGGTGCCCAATCCATGCCACTATGAATCAATCAGTGACAAGCGAGGTGTGCGTAAGTGTGAGTACAAACACTGTGCCTCCGTCGCGCATACGGATGAACTGCCTAATAGCCGTCAGCAATCCCTTCTCGAAGTGACAAGTATGATTGGCCTCACCGACGATACTGGAAGCGATGCACCTTCGTAAAGTCACCAAGCACGGCGTAGATGGTCTGTATATGGCCGCTGCACGCAAAGCACGTGTCAGTCTATCTTATCCCTGAACGAACCGAACATTGCACTCACTTGGGCAGCCACCACGCGGGCCGGAAGCGCTTGTAGAGGCTCGGACATCTCTCCTTCACCAGCGTTCGTAAATCAATCATGTCGTACTCGTTCGTTTCCTCATCGTCGTCCGTCTTCTCATGATCGCTCCCCGAGGAGCCTTCGCTCTCCGAGGTGCGGATGTCGTACGCGCGCGTCCTCCGCCTTCTCCGCACCGGGTACGCTGCAGGTGTCGCTGGATAGTGGATTGAAGTCGACGAAACCTCCTTCGATTTGTGTTCGCGGTCGGTATGTACAGACGTGGAGATGCTGGAGGACGCCATGGTGGTGGTAAGAGGTCAAGGGATTGAAACAAAAATAGGGTAAGGCGCCCGGCTCACACATGTTGACATGGTGGTCATTAGTAACCGAGCCGGATATGAGCGTGGGGATACAAGAACCCGAAACATTTGTCTTCGATGCCGTTCCGATCACGCCTCGCGCGCGTGGCACATCAGACCTCCTCGACGACAGCCGTCGACGCTTTCGGAACAATGGCAGCGCCAAGCCCGAGCGGACGCTGAAGCGGAGGGATTCACTCGTTGACATTTACTCAGATCGCCGGCAAGGTTGCGGAAGACGAAGCTTGGTACCCTCGTCAAAACACGTCACTGACATGGAAGCCTCATAGGGACACGGACGTGCGCGTTTGTCTATATCTCCAATGTATCCCTTACGATGGGATTCGCAAGCCGTAAACTAGCGCTAGGCGTCGCAGAGAAGAACAATGGCAGAGTCTATGCTCCTTACATCATGGACGCCGAAACTGCGACGATGCGGTCAATAGGGGCCGTCACGATACTCAGCGCAATACTCTGCCAGCGCGACTGTCGAAGCTAGTAGATGATCATCGAATTACTGACCCTTCATGTATTCAAGATAGCTTCTTCAAGTGTTAAACCTCTGCGAGGAAGCCCGCGAAGAATCGACGCCCAGATACCCATCCTCGGGAGCGGACTGTTGGAGTTTTAGGAGCCTCTGACAGTGATCACTGCGCCGATGGCGCACTCTCTTTCCCCTCAACCATGACAAGGCCCATGACGACATAGAGCCCTGCGCTCGGGAGCATACTCTAAACATTCTGTCTTTCAGAGATGAGGTAGGTGTCAGACTGCGTCACCCTATAAATCTGTTGCAGCCCCCTTTGTCTTGTCCTTCTCCCTCGCCCCTCTTCCTCCTCCTCCCCCAGGCGTTATTTTGTACATCTCTCGTCACGACAAGCAAGATGAAGACACGGACAGCCAGAGATGATACGATCGACGATGGGACACGCACCGGCTTCTTTGGTGACATCGGGAACGACTTGATCGCCATGATGGTGCGCCGTTTTGTCCTTCCCTTTGTTCGAGCTGCGCTGACCACGATGATAGGGAGAGTTCTTCGGGACTGTAAGCGCATACATGCTCCAGGAAGCCCCTACTGACCTTGACGCTATGAAGATCTTGTTCCTGCTATTCAGCTTGGGCGTGAGTACCCTCGCCCAATTCCTCCATCGTCCCGTCACCATATACCCGTCACCATATACCTCTCATACCAACAACTCTGTCATACTAACGATTCATAGGCCGTCCAAACCGTGACTACCAACCTGATGCAGAACGGCTCGTCGATGGGGACGGGCGGAGCCACCGCAGGCTCGGACGCAGAGCGCCTCTTCGCATTTTACTACATCTCCGCCGCCTTCGGGATCTCACTCACCGCCACTGCGACCATCTTCTACCGCTTCACGGGCTCAATCTTCAACCCCAACGTTGCGCTAGCCCTATGCCTCGTTGGTGCAATCAAACCCCTGCGATTTATTCGTGCGTGTCATCCTTGCCCATTCTATCTTCCTTCCTTCTCCTCGTCCTTCCCCTATTTTGCTAACCGTTCCTTAGTCGTCGCTACCGCGGAAATGGTCGGCGCCATCGTTGCCGCCGCCATCCTCGACGGCCTCACCCCGGGCCCGCTCGCCGCTGGCGTCACCCTCGGCGCGAGCACGAACCGCACGCAGGGCTTGTTTATCGAGATGTTCTGCACGGCCGCGCTCGTGCTCAACATTCTGATGCTCGCGGCGGAGAAGCACCGCTTCACGCCGTTCGCGCCGTTGGGCTTTGGGTTCACGCTCTTCAGCGTGATGCTGTTCTCGGTGCAGTTCACGGGGGGTGCGATCAAGTGAGTGTTCGCTTCTCATGCGAGGGAGGCGAGCGCTGATCATGAACCTTACTGCAGCACGGCACGAGCCTTCGGTCCGGCGTGTATCGAGGGATTCCACAACTATCACTGGATTTACTGTACGTCCCCTCCCTTCGCCTCAGCCCTCACCCTTGCACATCGTATCCATCGCTGGCGCTCGTCCCATTCCGCTGCTAATATCTCGTCACAGGGCTCGGCCCCACGCTCGGGTCACTGCTCGCCACGGCCGTCTATGTCGGCTTGAAGAGCGTCCATTACTGGCGCATCACGCCCGGCCAGGACTCGATGGACCCGCGCGATGCGCCGATGCAGCAGGTTGTTTAGAAGCCGGTGCGCCCGGGGTCAACGCCACCTCTCGGATAGGCCAACGCCGCCTCTCGAGTAGGTCGACGCCGGCTCCCGGTTAGATAGGTCCACGAGAAGAGCTACGCACGCACGATCTTCATGGTTTCATTTCATCGTTGGACTTTCTCCTCGCTCTGCAATACCGCTCCTCGTCTCATATACAATTCTTGTACAATAGCCGTCATACACGCACTGTAAGATAGACCAATTTTTCGGGATCAAGTATTGCTTGCCACTATACTATCCTCGATTTGTTTTCCCTAGAGCGAAACGGAGGAGGTAAAGTCTGGTCATACATAAAGACGATTTGCACTGTCTGTTCCTGCGTGAGTAGTATCGAGGAGATAGAGACGTCGCGAACTTACTCGTGTATGCCCATACAGTTCCTCCCGCACACCTCCAGCTCGTCCGCCACCTGGCACATCCGGGCCTCTACCTTGTCAGTCCACCCAAAGTCAAAGTTCGACATGCCCATCAACATCATGTTCAGGAGGAACCGCTTCAGAGGGCGTCCCATCTGACGCCGTGCCTCGGCCATCATGACCAGCGTGTTCACAGTGAAGCCTTCTGACTCCCCGCCGAGTTCCAGGTTCTCTAGGAGCGGGAGGAGGCAGGGCGTCCCATCGCTATGCGCTGCGCAGAGCGAGTCGATGAAGGCCTTTGTCAAGGGCGCGTCGTCGTCCGTCCGGATATCGAGTGTGGTTAGGCCTTGCAGGGCGGGGCTGTACAAAGCGTCCAAGATGCCGCGTGGTGGGTATACGAGGAAAAGGCGCCTGAGATGGCACGAGGAGCGCGCCAGAAGGGAGGAAAATCCTGCGACAGGATGGTGACCCTAGGTGGAACCGGATCTGAAGGCTAGGTTAGATTCCTCCAAGGCGTTCTGAAGATGATGGAGAGAATCTCTGGAGTCAGTTCTCGAACCGGCACGAGGTATGCCTGCTGGACTTTTCGCCGCTCCTTCAGCTCTTGTTCTCCCTCGCGAAGCTGCGCAACCATAGCCATGAGGTCCTTCACTTCCGCGCCATGCTTCTCGAGACATTCATAAGTTCGCACAATAGTCTGGCCTATGCACTCTTTTTCTGCGGGCGACAGAGACGGCTGGTGCGAAGTATGGCGTTTTCCGAACCCGGCGGGGCAAGTCAAGTTCAATTTGGCATGCATTGTTGCACGCGCTGCACAGAGGGAATTGACGACAATATTGTGCAAGGAGCGTCTCAACCATGTCGGCGTTGCGCTAGCTGCTAGTGAGATGAGAGAATGAATGCAGGTTGAGTGCTCTGGCCGGCAGCGGCCGAACAAAAAAAAAATATACATAGTAACATGTGGCGTCAACTTTAACCGGCAGGCAAAAGTGATCGGTCATTGGATTAACCAGGATTGACACGGAACTCCAGCAGGTCGGGATCGGTTTAGTTCCGTGACAATCCTGGTTAATCCAACTCAGGCGATTGAGCTGTATGTGGGCTACTTACAGCCCACCTTGTAGTATAGAATGGATCATATCTCTCGGCACCTGCACCGCGCTGTCTTTCAAGAACCATCAATTCATTATAAGTACGCACATATCGCCACTGACAAACTATATCCAGCCTGGACAATGAGATCAGTCTAGGGATGCGACGAGCCTAGATTCAGCGTTGTATCCATTTGAACTCCTTCAACAATCCTTGAGCATGGTCAGTGGCAGTCCTTCGGCAGTGTACGACCTTGCCGGGAAGACAGAGAGAATGCATGAAGCTCACTTCGGCCTACCTTCGCATGCAACTTGAGGGCGCATAGCAGACTGAACCATCCAAAGTCACCCCTCGCATCAAATGATACCGTCGGGTCAAGTTCAACTTAACATGTGACCGCGAGCGCGTCCGCGTGCGTGGGGAATGACGAGAAATCTGATCGATGATACACGTGCGCCAGCGCTTCTTGTCCTTCTCAATCCCAGATTCGATTCGAATATCGCGGACAAAGACCAGGTCTTTGTCCCCCCGCTTCTTCTCTCTCCGGGGAAACCACTATCATCAGTGAAAAGTAGCGGGCTGCTCAGAGTCGAGTGCACCCGCGATGGACGTACCCGAGGTCAATGTACCCGCGGAGGTCACCGCAGAGCTGACCCAAATCCTTTCAAACCTCGTGTTGGGGGACAATGACATTCGAAGTAGCGCAGAGAAGGTGCGTGCTCGAGGTCCTCATTACATGCTTGTGCGCTGACGGACGTTCCCCCACACTCCACATCCCTCTTGTATCGTCCTTATTCAAACCACGAACGATTCCCCTCGACGGAATGTCCTTGCTTAGGCCGTCAATGAGAGGCTGGAGCACATGCCGGAGCAGTACCTGCTTGCGCTGGCGCAGTTCGCAGTCGGCGCAGACAGCGAAGTCATGCGCTCCTTCTCCCTCGTCCTCCTCCGCCGCTTCCTCTTCAAGCGCCAGTACTCGACCAAGCACAACCGGCTCACGCTCTACGACCATCTCTCCAACCAGACGCTCACCACGCTCGAGCGCGCGCTGATCCGCGCGCTCACCCAGGAGCCCGATCGCGTCGTGCGCCGCAAGCTCGCGGACACCGTGTCCGACGTCGCGAACCAGGCGATGCGCCGCGGCCGCCCGTGGCACGCGCTCCAGGCGCTCGCCTTCAGCATGGCGGGCGAGGGCGGGGACGCAAATGTCGCGCAGACGCCCGCGCATCGTGAGAGCGCCTACACCATCTTTGCCGGCTGCCCGAACCTCGTCCTCGACTTGCAGACAGACGCCGTGCTGCGTGTGTTCTTGCGAGGACTGCGCTACGAGGAGGAGGAGGCGGGTGCGGTGCGTGCGGTGTCGGCAATTCATCCTCCTCGTACTGACATCACGCCAGGTCAGGCAATCAGCCCTCGCCGCATCCGTGGCGTACATGTCGCACTGCGAGAGCGCGCAGCGTGCTCAAAGCCTCTCCCTCGTCCCTGCTATGCTCGACGTCCTCCCCCGCCTTCTACATTCCCCCTTCCCCGCCGCGGGCCCCAACGCATCCTCTAGCATCGACTACCTCACTCAAGCGTTAGAAACCCTGTCCCCCCTCGCCACCTCGTTCCCCTCTTTATTCGGTATGCATCTCCTCAAGTCTACCCCGCCCCTCCTCCTGATGGTTCTCCAGCTCCGCACGTTCCCGCTCTTTTATCGATAATGCCACAGCTCGTCTTGCCGCCCGTGGAAAGTGGTCCGACACCAACAGTGACGCAACCTTTCCAGCCATTCGGTACGCCCTCGATCCCCCGCATGCTGATCGCTCGTTGATCTCTCGCTTCGGCAGCGCAGAACCAAGTCCCGCGGTCGCCCAGTCAGTCTCCCACGCCTAACGGTGACGATGAAGATGCAGAGGAGAGGCGCAAACTACGCAGTGCAGCACTGGAATTTATGCTCTCTCTAACGGAGGCAAAACCGTCCATGTTCAAGCCACCAGAGAATAGGTAGGTGCGATCAATGGGACAATGTAGAAAGCTGACGTTGCTGTGCCAGCACTGTCGCTCCCTCGTCTGGATACCAGCCTCAAAATGACGCATGGGTGGCTATCCTAGTGCGAGCATGTTTAGAGGGTATGGCCGAGCTGTCGGATGACGACACGGAGCACTGGCTCCAAGAGGACGTACGTACGGTCACGATTGCTGCCCTTCCTCTCCTCCTGAGCATTCGTCCTCAGCCCTCCCAATCCTCATCCGACGACGATGACGTGCAAGTATACGAGCAATCGCTGGACCGCCTCGCATGCGCCATCGGCGGACGCGCGGTGCTCCCTGTGGCATTTCAGCAAATACCGTCTCTGCTTGCGTCGTACGACTGGCGTTCGCGGCACGCGGGGCTCGCAGCGATCGCCGCTATTGCAGAGGGCACGGGCGAGGTATAATTGCGCGTCTGGCTGTCAACGTCGTCCACAACGCTAAACCCCTTCATAGATCATGCAGAACGAACTAGGGCGCATCGTGGGGCTCGTAACCCCGCTCTTCAGCGACGCCCATCCGCGCGTTCGGCACGCCGCCTGCCAATGCATGTACGTGTATACGACCAGCACTGCACCCGCATCGAGCTTCATCTCATCCCTTTTTCTATAGCGGCCAACTATGTACGGACCTCGAGGAGATCATCCAGGAGCAACATCCTCAGGAATTGATTGGTGCTCTCGTCCCCGCCTTGGAGGACGCGGAGCCGAGGGTGCACGCTCACGCCGCGGCCGCCCTCATCAATTTCTGCGAAGGTGTTGCCCGGGATACCCTCGTGCCGTTCTTGGACCCGATCGTGGAGCGGTTGCTGAGGCTGCTGAAGAATAATAACGTGAAGAGGTAGACGGATCTGCGGCCTTGGTTTTTGGACGCGGTACTGATGAATCTATCAGATACGTGCACGAGCAGGCAATCACTACACTAGCGATGGTTGCAGATGCTAGCGAGGGCGCTTTCGCCAAGGTGAGCCATCAGTTTCTCCGAATCTATCGCGCGGCGGCTCATTGCCCGGCCCAGTACTACTCGACGATCATGCCGCTTTTGCTACGTGTCCTGTCAGAGGTTCATGGCCCAGAGTACAACACGCTGAAGGCAAAGACGATGGAGTGCGCTGGTCTCATCGGTTGGTATCTTTCTACTTCGGCTCGCTTTCCATTTTACTCACCAATCTGCAGCCATTGCTGTGGGGCGCGAGACCTTTATCCCCGACGCGCCCAACTTCTGCGAACAGCTGATCAGGATACAAAGTGAGTATGCCTTTTTTGGTTGGACGACGCTGGTTCACAATGCGTGCAGAGTCGCCTGAAGACATGCGAGACCCGCAGATATCCCTTTACTTGACATCAACGTGGGCAAAGGTATTCTTGGACTATGTTATCTTTGACGAGGCTAACACTCCTTCAGGTATGCCAAGCGATGGGACCGGATTTCGAGCCCTACCTTCCGGTCGTTATGCCCCCCTTACTTGCCAATGCGGGCTTGAAAGCGGAGGTTGCTGTTTATGGTGGGTTATCGGCCACCCGCCTTGGTAGTGTGCTGATGCCTTCCAGATGAGGAAGAGACCGAGCGCGAAGGCTGGGAAACAATCACCATGGCAGGCGAAACCATCGGTATACGTACCTCGGAAGTTGAAGACAAGTGTCAGGTAAGTTATCGGCCACCTAGATATTACCCCCTCGTGCTCACCACCGAATAAGGCCTTGGAAATGCTTGTCATCTATTGCAGTACCCTAGGGCCGAAGTTCGCTCCATACATGGCGCCGACGTTGGAAGTCTCGCTCCCATGCCTCCGCTTCTACTTCCACGATGGCGTGCGGGAAGCTTGCGCAATGTACGCCTTCGTTTGGCGCGTCCGGCTTCCGCACTCACACTCTTCATAGGTTAATACCAATGCTCCTGGCTTGTGGGAAGAACAGCGGCACCCTCACCCCAGCGATGGCCGGTGCAGCCCTTGCGCAGATCATCGGCTGCCTCGGAACGGAAGTCGATCCCTCTTTCCTCGGCTCGCTGTACAAGTGCTGCGGCGAGTCGCTGGTCGTGATCGCTGCCCAAGCCGGCTATACGCCCGGGAGCGGCGGCGACCTCCGCGGTGCCATCGGCGATGAGATGTACAACGCCGTGATAGAGGCGACGAAGCGCCAGCTGCACGCGATGGCCGAGCGTCGCCGGGGGCGGACTGCGCGCGCGCAGGCGATGGCCGCGGATGGGAGCATGTTCGACGCGGACGAGCGGGACGACATGGCGCTCATGGAGGAGATTGAGGAGTTCTGCCTGGAGGACATGGCGAAGCTGCTCGCGATGTTCGACAAGGATCATCCGCTGCTCGTCGCTGTATCGAGCGTGAAGGATCTGGGCTTTGGCGCGTGGACCGGGGACGAGGGTGAGGAGATTGGCTAGCGAGGGGAGGAGTAGGCTTGCGATACGTACTGATACGAGGCTAGGCGGATGACAAGGGTAGGTACTTACGACAGGATCATAGCATATGTATACCGACAGTGTTCATTCCTTTGGAGCGAAGCATGCAAGTTCGGTGCGTCCGAGGTCCCGCTTCATTTGTACGCGATCCTCAAGGCAGATGGCATTTGGAGAAAGGACTACACGTATGTGGTTACAAACTAGGGATGCCGGTCCGACGCCTTCACTGAGACCTCCTTGATTCCGTCTTTGTTTGCTAGGGCAGACGATCGCGACGTGATCTCCTTGTACCATCTGGATGTACCACGGTCAAAGTGATCAGCGCGGTGGTGTACTGTGCGTAAGCCCAAGCACGCACCTCGCCACGTTTGGCTTCGTCTCCATGAAGCGACAGCCAACGTCAGGTGCCAGGCGCCGTGCATAAGGGATATGAAGAAGGTCGGCCAAGCTGAAGTTCTGAAAGTAGCAGCATCAGAAATGTGCTCCTGCAATGCGATTGGGCACGAACATCTCCGGCCATGTACCGATGCTTCACCAAGATCTTGTCGTAGACTTCGAGCGCCTCGTCGAGCTTTGCGTAGGCCTCAGCGTAGACCGCATCGCTGCCCGGAAGACCAAGCATCCTACGCATGACGCATGAATCTTCTCATCGGACGCGGAAACTGTCAGTACGGCTTACGGCTTGTACACCTTCTCGGTGAACATAGTGCGGACGGCTGGATCGAAGACGGATGACTCGATCGATATGCCTTGCTCTACGCGCGCGAAGGCATCGAGGTCGTCCACTGGGTAGAGCGCGCGTCCACCACGATCAGCGTACTTCCGGCAGAGGTAGCGGCATATGGCGCGGCTTTCGAAGAGCATATAGCCGTCGTCATCCTGTTCGTGGACATCAGCGATGCTGCAGGGAAGGTGGAAACAACAAGGCTCACGATGTATGGGACGCGTCCGAAGGGCTGATTCCGGGTGTGTTCAGGGAGCTTGTGCTCTCCGCGGAGGAGGTCGAGCTGGATATACTCGAACGGGACGTTCAGTTCGTGCAGGACCAGAGCCACCATAGGACCAGTGGTCGAGATGTCGGCGCCATAGAGCTTGAGTACCATCGTGAGTGATAGGGGGAGGTGAAGAAGGTGTGATAGAGATTCTTTGAGGGAGGCGCTTCAATCACGGTGCTTTTATACTGCCTCCCACAGTAATTTTGGTTAGAGCGGAGGAGCGCCACGGTCGTGCGTCGTCATAAGATCAGCATCTACCACCCTTTTTCTTTGCTAGTGCAAGCCAAGATGAAGTATGAAATCCTCACTAAGTGGAGAACCGATTCATGGTCTTCATCTGGATTACCTTCTGATCAGCTACCTCGGCTCATGTGAGCGGATGAAGTACTAGTACAGCAGGGGAAGTATGGTTTCGCCTGTAGATATGTATACTTCTTCGAGTTGACAAGAGAGCTAGCAGGTGGTATCTGCAGGAAATATCGAAGGCTGGCGATTGAGGAGCTTAGGCGAGATGAGTGCGAGACGCAAGTCAGACCGGCAATTGCCGAATTCGCGTGGGTCGAGGTGTGACCACGGTGTGACTGCGACAGAGAGCACTGTTTGCTTTCAACGCCCACCGTATCGTCGCGCCTGACCCACGGCATCCTCGAAAATACGCATATAATGGAGGCGGATAATGTGAGAGAACTATGGAAATCAATGGAAGGAGGGAAGACATTGGAGGATCCCATCAGTACGCCGTTCCCAAGCTTGCCCTTCCGGACGCCCTGCACCCTCGCCCCAATGCCGCCCCCATTTCGCACTGGAATGGCCCGGACTACCTGTATACACCGAGAGCATATGCTCCTGAAGACATGCGACTCAATCCCCTACCAACGCTCACCGCCAGCGACTGAAAAGCCTGGAAGTCTCGCGCGAAACCTTCGAACTCGCTATCGTTGCCTGGTCGCGCTGCGTCCACATCGATGGAGCCCCATGACCTTGGTGGTCCGCGCGCCCTTTTCCCCTTGGCGCGCGTAGATTTCTCCTAGCCGCTCCTTTATATTTGGTGAATTCCGAATTGTGGATCAATGAAACCGCGCTCGATGGCCATCGACGGACGTGATAAGGAGGTGTCTCTTATATACTGCAGATGCAGGGCGCCTTCGTAGCAACGACCTCTTCCTCTTCCTCTCACGTCGCGCGCGAAAGTATCCTCTAATCCTCGACATAATCAACCTACGATCGCCATGGTCCTCAAGCTGTACGGCGCTGACTTATCTACCACCACCCCGATGGTGGCCCTCGTGCTGCACGAGCTCAACGTACCCTTTGAGTACCATCCAGTCGATATGATGAAGGGCGAGCATAAGGCGCCCGAATATGTGGAGAAGCAGCCATTCGGCTGCGTCCCCTACATCGTGCGTATCACTTAAACTCTACCTGCATTCAGGGCGCTCACCACGCTTGCATACATCCTAGGACGACGATGGCTTCGTCATGTTCGAGAGCCGTGCCATCTGCCGCTACCTTTGCCGTAAATACGCCGATCGCGGCGGGCGGGAGCTCTTCCCATTCGACGACTTGGTGGCCTTCGCACGCGTTGAGCAGGGCATGTCAATCGAGACGACTGTTTTTGACCGAGCTGTGATAGCCATGTTTGTGGAGAGGGTGTACAAACCGTGCGTTTGAACTTTCTGCTCTCGTTCATGCCATGACGTCCGGCAACAGAATGAAGGGGTTGCAGGGCAGCGAAGAAGCCTACAAAGAGGCGGAGGCGCTGTTCGGTCAGAAGCTCGATGCGTATGAGAAGATCCTGGCCAAGCAGAAATTCATGGGTGGTGATGTAAGTGTCGATATCCCTCAACAGACTTCTCTGCTCTGAACGGACGTGCTGTAGACGTTCACACTTGCGGATCTTTTCCACATTCCGTATGCAACGCGTCTGAAGCCTCGGGTCAACTGCGACTTCATGGAGTCGGGCAGGCCGAACGTGGCAAGGTGATAGACTCTCTCTGCTGCTCATAAACACTAGGCTGATGCGATTGGTAGGTGGTACAAGGATATTACGTCGCGACCATCGTGGTTAGCAAACAAGGATGGTGTGAAGGCGATCTCTCCGTAAGAAATGGGCCAAGGGCGTTGTAAGGGCCAGTTGTATATAGTAAGACATATTCTTTCGACCAAGTGCGCATAACTGAGAATTCGTATGAAACGGATGGACCTCACTTCGGTCTATCTTTTAGCTGCATGCGGGAACACATGCCATGTGCATTGCACGAAAGGTACTGGGGCCTAGCAAACCATGAGCGCTTGAGCGATCAGGAGGCTCGCATGTCTATGAATATCTGGTCAAGAAACGAAGTAAATCTCTGGAACGGAGTAGCAAGTGATAGCAGGGTTACGATGGACGGTATGCGGCGCGCATGCGATGAGCCAGAAAGTCGGCAGTTGCCGAACCATTGACCGTGGGAGATAGACTTGATTGCTTTCAACTCTGGCGCCCATCACCGTTGCTGCGGTTCTCTTCCAGCTCATCCGTCTGACTCTCTGACATATGAATAGACGAGCTACGCAGAGACATTTTGTCGACATACGGAAGCCAACCGGGCGCAAGACCATCCTGACAAAAACGCTTACCAATGCAGGTCCGGATTCCCTAATGCATGCTGGTCTCGTTGCCACCTCTGGTCCATGGACGTCTGGCGGTCGGGTTCTTGTGCATGATGGTGCTCTCTCATGTACGCTCGAGTCGCTGAATTATCGAACTGGCTGTCGCCGCCATATCGAGCCCTCGTCCTAACGAATACTATCGCATGACCCTCACGATCCGCGCCCCCACCTTTCTTAAGTGCCCTTGCAGTTATCTCTGGACCTCAAGCTCGCTGGTTCTTGCCGCTCGGAACATCCGGAACTGTAGGTAAATGCAATGGAGCGGGATGGCCATAACATTATTCAGCAGTGATAAGAATGGGTCTCATATATTCTGCTCGGCCAGGGCGCTTTGTGACAACGACTCCATCCTCACGTCGACACTGTCCGCTCTAAGCTACCAATCATCGACTCTGCATCATCCCTCCGTCGAGCACGTCTCCGAACGTTGCCATGACTGTGATGCTCTACGGCTCTGACCTGTCTTCCACGACTTTGTCGGTTGCGCTCGTGCTTTGGGAGAGTAATGTTCCTTTCGAATACGTCTACATCGACATGACCAAGTACGAGCACAAAATGCCCGAGTACAAGGAGAAGCAACCGTTCGGCTGCGTCCCGTACATCGTTTGTCTGCCTACCCTTCGAGTCCCCCGCCGAATCATCTTATTCCTTATAGGACGACGACGGCTTCTTTATTCGAGAGCCGCGCCATCTGTCGCTATCTTTGCCGCAAATACGCTGGCCGGGGCGGGCGGGCGCTCTTTCCTTTTGACGACCTTCGCGCCTTTGCGCGTGCCGAGCAGGGCTGTTCGATCGAGACGACCACCTTTGACAGAGCCTGCCTGGCGATCTTTACAGAGAGGGTACATAAGCAGTGAGTCTTGCGCTCTCGATATCGTTCGAGTTCCGACGACCGTAACAGGTGGCAGGGCCTCCCGGGCGACGGAGAGCTCTACAAACAGGCGGAGACGCTGCTCGCTCAAAAGCTTGACGTATATGAGAAGATACTCGGCAACCAGAGGTTCATGGGAGACGACGTGCGTATCTGTATTTTGTGCAAACTCCATGTCAATTGAAACCTTGCACTGCAGACCTTCACGCTTGCGGATCTCTTCCATGTCCCCTACGCCTCGCGTCTGAAGCGTATGAGTGGCTGCGATTTTCTGGAGTCGGGGCGATGGCCGAATGTGACGAGGTAAAGGCAGGCTCTAATGTGCTGGCGACATGTTGCTGACGTGATTCATAGATGGTACAACGAAATTACTTCTCGACCTTCCTTCCAGGCGAACGAGGACGGAGTCAAAGCCTACTCGCAGTTATTGATGAGTTGTTACTTCTCGGTATTTGGGATGGTCAGGGTGGATACTGTAGCTTTGATTGGGGGGTACTGTAGACTTTCGACCATAGATTCACTGCATGTTACGCGTTACGCAGTGAAGCTCCTTTGGTGATCATTCACGGCCCGGAGAGAGCCGTTATGAATGATGATTAACAGCCTTTCTGGGGCTTGTGCACCCTTGGACTATACCTGTACACCTTGTGGAGAGCATGAAAGAGCCGTATACTGCAGGAAGAAGAGAATTTCTGGCGCGGGGAGAACTTTTCGGGAAAATCCGCCAAAAATCGAATATTTTGGGGGGCTTCCGAGAGCCTCGTTACGCGTTACTCTTCACAATTAGGTTCACTTCACAGCCCCGCGTTACGCGTTATGTGAACCTACGGTCGAAAGTCTACAGTATAGTTCAGATATTCGGCGCGTTCAGAATGAGATCGGACAAAAATTGGGCCATCTGCACATAGAGCCCGAGGGTTTCTGCTCAAATCAATCATCATACCTGACCTCCACCCGAAACCCCGTGCACTTGACCAAAGTGGTAGGATGGTGGTCTGGTGAGGGAAGTTCAACTTGAGCACGGGAGATGCCGTTGGATGCCGCCGGCCCGACCCCCGCAGCCCGCGTCACTTGCCTGTGTCACACCTCGCCTCCTCGCCAAGCGCCCTTCTTGCCTCTGACCACCATGGGGCGCCTGTTATGTGTGCTGGCTGCAGCGCTCGCGCTGCCGCTGGTGACGGCGGCGAGCAACTACAGTCTTCCACGGCCTATGTCGAGCAGTCAACTATCGGTGCGTGTGCTGCATCATACTGCTAAGCTACAGAAGCTGATGTGCTATGCTTCTGCTTCTCTACCCCGTCACCCTCACTTCAAACCTGGATATGCGTACACTCGCGATCAGGCCCCCGTATCTGCCGCAGAGAAATGCCCACCTTGCTTCAACTGTCTACTTCCTGCCTTTACATGCGGTCAATACGGCGAATGTAACGAATACGACGGCCAGTGCAAGTGTCCCCCGGGATGGGGAGGCATCGACTGTCTCATTCCGCGTGCGCTATTCCCCCTTGCTCCCCAAGCTTTCGATTGACGCCTGAAGAACAGAATGCGACTCCCTCGCCGACGGCGACCATCGCAGGCTTCGTGAGGATGGGCAGGAGTGCGAGTGCAAGGACGGATGGACCGGAATCAACTGCAATGGTGCGTGGCTGAGGCATAGACGGTAGCAAGTGGGTGCTGACGCCCGATACAGTCTGCCAAGCAGACGACGCCTGTATCGGCTTCCCGCTCTACGGCCAGCCCGCGGACAGCGATGCGGATGGTGTACAGAACATGACATGCTACAAGGGCGGCGACACGGTATTCAACAACCATCAAATGTGCGATGTAACGAGTGCGTACGCCTACCCGAACAGTGGTGCTATGACTGACACATCCCCTCCCTGGTAGACCGCAAGATCCTCGACATGCTCCCTGACCGACCACCTCAGGTTACATTCAGCTGCGACGCACCGTCCAAGTCTTGCGACTTCCAGTTCTGGACTGCTCAGCAAGAGAGCTTCTACTGCGGCCTCGATGAATGTGTGTCCTCCCGTGAGACGACCTACGACAAGAACACGACCACATACAATTGCGAGAAGATTCAGTGTAGCTGTATACCAGGCCGCTTTATCTGCGGCGAGGCTGGCAGTGTTGGTACGTGCGGCTGGGCGTACGATGTGCTCGGTGGTCTGATGTGGACGCAGATATCAGTGACTTCTTGAAGGAAGATATCAAGGGACCCGCCAAGTTCAGCTGCGAGTCCGGCCATGGGTGCAAGTTCGAGGAGCCTGCGATGAACGGACTGATTACCGACATCTTTGGTGATTCGTACATCACGCTGAATTGCCAGGGTGGCGAGTGCCTGCACTACTCTCAAGTCCCCGGTTATGTGGTAAGGAACCTCTTCATATTCCTTTTACATGCTCTCACTCTGGCGACAGCGTCCAGAGAAGCCACCCAACACCAAGTGGGTTGCGCTCAGCGCATCCGGCGCGCTCCTGGCCGTCATCATCGTCGCCACCTTCGTCTGGTATATGGGGCGCACGCGCACTGGCGATCTGGGCAAGATCCGGCTCCCCGAGTCCGAGGCTGCGAAGCTCATGTCCGAGCACGTCCCCGCCTCGCTTTACTTCGAGAACGTCAGCTACAACCTCGGCGGGCGCACCATCCTCGATGGTATCACCGGCGCGGTCAAGCCCGGGCAGGTCATGGCGATCATGGGCGCCTCCGGCGCGGGCAAGTCGACCTTCCTCGACATCCTCGCACGCAAGAACAAGCGTGGCTCGGTCAGCGGGACGATGCTCGTTAACGGCCGCGAGGTGCGCGACGCGGAGTTCAAGGCGGTGTCGGGCTTCGTGGACCAGGAGGATACGCTGATGAGCACGCTGACGGTGTACGAGACGGTGCTGTATAGTGCGCTGTTGCGCCTGCCGAGGGAGATGAGTCTGGCGGCGAAGAAGTTTAGGACGCTGGAGACGATGAACGAGCTGGGCATATTGGGGATCAAGGACATGCGGATTGGCGATTCGGGGCATAGGTCGATATCCGGTGGTGAGAAGCGGCGAGTATCCATCGCTTGCGAGCTTGTGACAAGTCCTTCGATCTTGTTCCTCGACGAGCCTACGAGCGGTGCGTGAACAGGAATTCAGTCGCTGATACATGTACTAATGCACTTGCTAGGTCTCGACGCGTTCAATGCCTTCAACGTCGTCGACAGTTTGGTTTCCCTTGCGCGCAACTACAACTGCACAGTTATCTTCACGATCCATCAACCTCGCAGCAACATCGTCGCCATGTTCGACCAGCTCGTTGTCCTTGCGCTCGGCAAGATGGTCTACTCTGGCGAGTACAACAAATGCCAAGCGTACTTTGAGTCCATCGATCAGCCCTGCCCTCCCGGGTTCAATATTGCGGATTTCTTGAGTGCGTACACCTGAGCGTCATAGCCATTATCCCGGCCTGTGCTGACATCATTGCAGTCGACCTCACGATGCAGGCCACTCTCGAAATACAGCCCGCACCTGACAGTGCAAGCCTCGATCCGCCCTCGTCCTCCGAGGACCACGACAACCTTCGTGATGAAGAGCGCGGCCTCGCGCACCATGTCCATCTCCCTGGCGGCGCGCGCTCCGCATCTGGCGGCAGCGCCTCCCCCACCGAGGAAACCGAACTCCAGACGCGGCCGAACTCCGCCTCCTCCCAATCCGCCTCCTTCGCCTCCTCCCTCCGCAAGAAAGCCTCTGCCATCTTCGACTCCGCGCGGCGGCACGTCGGCGGCCACGAGGTCACGCCGCGGCTGCAGAACCTCGTCGACGCGTACGCGGAGAGCGATGTGGCGCGGGCGATCCGTGAGGAGGGCGAGCGCGTGCGGAGGGAGAATAGCGAGGCGGATGCGCGGGATGCGGAGCGGGGCGCGAATGGGGAGCTACCGGATGTGGCAGCGGAGACGACGTTGCTGCGTGGGCGCAAGCGGGCGAGTTGGGGGACGCAGTTCAGGATTCTGAGTGGCAGGGCGTTCAAGAACCTGTACCGAGACCCGTATCTGCTGGCTGCGCACTACTTGTCGGCGATTGGGTTGGCGCGTGAGTGACCTTGCTCGTCGCTGTTAAGAAGTGACTGACTGTCTTACAGTCATTTGTGGCCTTTTCTTCCACAATGTAACGTACGTGTTTACAGTTGCTAGTTTTGACGATGCTGACTGCTCCCTGCAGCAACGACATCTCGGGCTTCCAGAATAGGCTGGGAATCTTCTTCTTCACCCTCGCCCTCTTTGGCTTCTCCTGCCTCTCCAGCCTAGGCCTGTTTGCAAACGAGCGTATCCTCTTCATGCGCGAAAGGTCAATCATTGTTATTGGGTATCCGCGCCTCCGCTGACTGACCTATATTTTTTCAGAGCCAACGGCTACTACTCCTCCTTCACCTATTTCGCCAGCAAGGTCCTCTTCGACATCCTGCCGCTGCGCCTCGTCCCGCCCCTACTCTTTGGTGGCATCGTATATTCGCTCGTCGGGCTCGTGCCCTCCGTGGCGGGCTTCTGGAAGTTCATGCTTGTGCTCGTGATGTTCAATCTGACGACAGCGAGCCTGGTCCTGTGGCTATCGGTCGCGTTTGAGACGGTGGGCGTGGCGAGCTTGGTCGGCACGTTGGTGATGCTTTTCAAGTGAGGACTTGTGTGCTCGGTCGAGGGAGTGTGCGGTGCTGACCGAACAACGCAGCCTCCTCTTCACTGGGCTGCTCATCAATCGCGACTCACTGGGCCCGGTGCTGCAGTGGCTGCATACGATCTCGTTCTTCCACGCGGCGTACGAGGCACTCGCAGTCAACGAGCTGCGCTACCTGACGCTCAAGGAGCATAAGGTACGACCCGCGCATGCAACAACGACTGCAAAGACTGACCCTCACCTAGTTCGGCGTGGATATCGATGTCCCGGCCGCGACAATTCTGTCGATATTTGGGTTCAGGGCAGGCGTAAGTTGTTGGTGGACCCGATATCGTGAGGTCAACAGCTGATGCACTTCATAGTCGTTCTGGTGGCCGAACGTCGCTCTGCTGGGCATCTTCTTCGGCGCCTTCACAATCGCGAGCTTCCTGACGCTGCACATTTTTGTGCGCGAGAAGAGGTAACCGGCGGGCCCCACTTCATGTGGGATACCTCCTTGTCGGTATTGATACTGACTGACCTGCTCGATGTAATATGTAACTCTGCAAACTTCACCTCGGATACACGGCCCTGCAATGCTTTGAGGGCTGATAATCCGTTGATATTGTCGAATGATGCTCGAGTACGCTCTGGCCTGCGAGGCCGCCGTTAGCACTGTCACTGACGGCAACATCAATATTTTCCTTTTTGTCTGCGGACGAGCGCCGTCGACGCTTTTCGGCCATTGCCGACAGGCTTCTCCCTACAATCTTTCTAACTCCCAGGAGCGCCCGACATGGTCGAGACGCTCCTTTCACGATATCGTCGCTCACATAGAGCCTGATCGCATCAGTCGGATTAACCAGGATTGCCACTGAACTCTGAGGATCCCAACGTAGTTCGATTCCGCGGTAATCCTGGTCAATCCAAACCCCGCCACAAGCTTTCGGTTATCGCCGACACGCACGACGGCTCGGTCCGGCTTCTCCGCGTGATCTACCTACTCTACCCCAACTTCCATCCTCCGACATGGTAGAAACGTTCCTTATAGGCTATCATCGTGATCTCTCTCTCTGCAACGCATGCGACAAGGCTTGTCATGTCGAACTCGACATACCCCCTCCGGGTCCCCAGAACACCATCCTCCGCACCGGGCGCCTTCTTTTGAGCGCGGAAAACGAGCGCATAGGTCAGGCCATCGCGCGGACGGACGAGTGTCTCGCAGAAATAGGCGCCAAAGCGAAAGAATTGATGGACCTAGTCGCCCAACTGCACGAAGGCGAGCGAGAGTTGAAGGCACTGCGAAGTGTTCAGCAGGCGTATCTCGCACCGGTTCGCAAGTTACCTCCGGAGATCCTATCGATCATCTTCAAGATGTACTGCGGTGACGAGAGCATAAATCTCTTTGTTGATCGGTGCCCTCCGCTTATCTTGAGCTCCGTGTGCAATGTCTGGAGAGGTAAGCCGAACCGGCGTGTCGCGCACGGAGTAACACGACCCATGTGAGAAACTGTTCTGACTGCTCCCCTCAGAAACTGTCCTCGGCTTGCATTCGGTGTGGAACCACTTTGAGTTCAGCAGATACGGAGAATCAAATCTCGAAAACCTCCTCATTCGCCTTCGGGCGTTTCTTGAGTACTCCGGCGACCTACCGCTGCGGCACTGCGTGTTAGCATATGACCTCGATACTGTCTCCACGCCAGATCTCAAGCGGATGCAGGCGCTGGATCTGCTCATCGAGCATGCGCATCGCTGGACCGAAGTAGAATTCGAGTCAGGAGGCGGCGGGCTATCCGAAGGAGCGCGCAGGGTGCTTGCAAAGCTAGACGGCCGGCGATTAACCCATCTGCAGAAGGTGGACGGCGATGTTCACGTTCTTGCCGCATGTAGCGCAATGGGGCTTTTCGAAGGATTGACAGCCTTGCGAAGGGTCAGTTTGCGTGGAGGCCCGCACGATCTGGGCCGGACTGACATGCTTTCCGATCTGCCATGGGACCACGTCGAGGAACTAGAAACATTCCTGCCCTGCGACTATGCCTTGGCGTATCTGCAGCGCTGTCCCAACCTCGTGAAGTGGGAATATGCGGATACGTCGCAGTTCGGCCCTGGCCAGATGTACCTGCCCAGGTCACACATTATCCTGCCACGCCTGCACACCGCCACCTTCAGCCTCTCCCGCGAGAGCGACATCGGCCTGCTCAGCGGCATCACCACACCGGTTCTGCAGGACTGCGCTGTGTACTTCTTTTACGGATTCTTGACTAGGGCTAACATCGGATTTGACAATCTCCTGACCCGCTCCGCGTGCCCGCTCCGTCGCCTCGTGCTGGAAAACCCGTCTTCACCCGTTATGAGGGCGCTTTACAGCGACTCGCTGCAGGAATTGACCTTTCTTAGTGTGCACGCATATCGCACTGTGCCGATCACAGATAAATTCATCGACTTGCTCAGCACTCCTGACAGCGCAGGGAGGCCGCGCCTACTCCCTCTTCTGGAGAGCCTGGAGCTCGGCGGGAGGCCGGACTGCTTCAATGCCACCGCGCTGGTCAGGCTGGCCGAAGCACGGCGCGAGATGGGATACCCGCTGAAGCGATTTGTGCTGGACATGCGTATTGCAGGAATGTCGAGCACCAGCTTTGGATGGAACGACAATATTGAGAGGTGCATGGCAAAAGTGGTGGACTCCGTGGAAGTGCGCGGGAGGTTTCGTATAAGGCCGTTGTCACCCTCACCGTAATTGCTTATGGATGGGTGCTGGTAAGTCTTTCGGTGGCATCATCCCTGCTGCTCGATAGCTCACATCCTTGTAGTGAAGTTTAGGCTTTTCTCTCATGCCTGGCCAGTGGTTTCGTCCAGATCATCACTCGGAGGATGTTGCGGAAGAAGGCTTTTAGTCCTTTCGGCACCAGCCAGCGAGGACAGCGACAATGAAGCAGCGACCTCGGTCTTCACCAGCCAAATATGACCTCTAGATATTACCACCTAGACCATGTACAATTTCGCTGAAGGGCTGAGTGCGATATCCTTTTGCCTTGACCAACATTACCCACTTTCTCGTTCCAACGTGTCCATATATATGTACGACTTGGGAAGTCAGGTCAAACTTAGGTCTCGGAAAATACCGAGACTGCTTGCCTCGGTCCACTGCCCTAGCTTTTTGAGCTCCCCTCTCTGTTTATCTATCGGTGAGTACCATCTTCCATACGAGCGCATAGCTATACCACTCAATCACATACTTACAACGACAACGGCGTGATAGCTCAGTTGGGAGAGCAGCAGACTGAAGATTAGAGGTTTCTGAAGGTCCCGCGTTCAATCCGCGGTCATGCCATAAACTTGGGTATTTCCTCTGTTTTTGCCCTCAAGAGGCAAGTGAAGAACACAAACCACTGACCTAGGGTTTCGAGCAGTCCCATCAAGACGCTCAGAGTCCAAGGTGCCTTCGAGTTGATAGAATCCCAGCCAACAAGTACGCCCCCGAGCATCGAGTTCGCAACTCAGCCCTCGGCGCAGAATCTACAAACTGCGCGCATGCACGTCATATGGTGTCTGTAGTTATGCTCGAATTTATGAAGCGTATCCTGACTTCAGTTATAACACCTCCTCCAATTGAAGATCTCGACTTCTGCCGAAAGGTCGTCGTCGTACTGTGGGAAGATCCTCGTCATGATCTCGTACCACTTTGCCTTCTTTGACTTATAGTACGGTAGGTAGAGGGCCTTCGTATACTCCCTAGATCATTCGAATCAGTTTGTGAATTCTCAACAGATTCGCTGATTCGCAGGGCAACAACACGTACCAATATTCAGGCATCCACGCCGACATTTCCCAATCCACCAGCCCGGTGACGTTGAAGTCATCGTCGACCATGATGTTTCCGGGATGGAAGTCGTTATGCGTGAAGCACACCCGATGAGTCTTTGTATGACTTTTCTTGATTACAGAGAGAACCTCCTCAGGGTGCTCGCATTCGTCGAGGCGAAGCTCGGAGCGATGCACCAGATAGTCGTGAAACTCGGGCACGGAAGAGAATGGGCCCCAGGGCTTCATGGCGAATGACAGCCGATTGTCGCGTATCCCCCCGCCACCCAAAGCACAAACACCTGTCTGCGGGGGTGGTATGGCGCGTATCTGAGCCAGAAGGCCGGAGAGCTGCCGCACGACATGCGCTGTCTGCTCCTCCGTCATGTCTCGGAACGTCGAGTCGAGGTCGCTGCCTGGGATCTCGGACATAACAATGAGAAAATGGTCATCGCCAAGGTGTAGGGTGTCGATGACGGTAGGCACGGGAATGGTCGTGTGCTTGGCGACATAGGGAAGAACTTTGGCTTCATAATCGTAATGTGTATGCTTGAGGAAGACACCAAGCGGGAGCGCGATACCCATCACCTTGAAGGCAGAGCATTCCATTCGATGCCAGAACCGAGCGCGCTTGTCGTGGGGAAATAGTCGAAGGACCCATATGAGGATGCGATGAAACAGCGATACCATATTCGCGAGTATGTCAAGCAGAGGCAGACTTTGTTGCTTGAGGCAAATGTTAAGTACGGGCGATGTGGCAAGTGGCAAGAGGCAAGACGAACATTGGTCTCGGTTCGCCTCCCATATGTGGCCGGCACTCACCGAGCTGCCGTAACAAGGCTTGCGAGCGCCAGCCCGAGCGAACGTGCCAAAGACCATCTTAGAAAAGAGAGTTGCGATAACGAGTCTTGCTGATCGTAATATACAGTGAGTACGCGATAACATACTAAGCTCTACTGTAGCCACACTACGCGGCGGGCTTCAAGGGACCCTGCAGCACCTCGGGCGAGGACGCCTCGTAAGGCATCCGCCCGCGCCGTCCCTGCTCTACCCATGCCACATCGAGCGCGCTAGGCGCGCACATTAGATGTCTCCAGCCCGTCGATCCCCATCTACCACGGCATGCGTTCCCTCCAGACATCGACAATCTTCTCGCCGCGGAAGACCTCCTCGAGCACCTCGCGCACGTCCTCGACGTACACGAACCTTATGCCGGTCTTGACGCTCTCGGGGACCTTGTCCTCGATGTCTGTCATAAGCGTTAGTCCTCTTCGTATCCTCCATGCAGTATGTGGATTATTCACCAGAGCGGTTAGCCGCAGGCGCGATGATAGTCTTGATCCCCGCACGGTGCGCCGCCAGGATCTTCTCCTTCAAGCCACCAACAGGCAGAACCTGGCCCACAAGCGAGATTTCACCCGTCATAGCTGCAAGCATCTTGTCAGCAACCCACAATTCCCACCACATTTGCAGCACCCACCAATATCAGGGTTCACCCGCGTCCTTGTCAACAAGCTGACCAGCGCCGTCAGGATCGCCGTGCCCGCGCTCGGGCCTTCCTTGCCAATGCTGCCCTCGGGCATATGCAGGTGCATGTCGCGGTCGGTCAGGAAAGGCTCCCCGCGCCGGGGCTCCGCCTTCGCCGCATCGTCCTCCGCCTCCTCGAACGCACTCGCCGTGAAGCCGCGCGCGTCGGTGAGCCCGAGCTCGTACGCGTGTGCCTTCACCCAGCTCAGGCCAATTTGCGCGCTCTCGCGGATGACCTCGCCGAGCTTGCCGGTGAGCTGGAGACCACCCTTGCCGGGCATGCTCTGCGGACGAGGTTAGTCAACATTTGGATGGTCTTGTCAGAACAAGCTTACGATCGCCTCGATGGGCATTACAGCGCCAGACCCATTACCGAGGTAGCCGAGACCGGTGCTCACACCTGGAGGCGGTTGACGAGCATACATGCGGTCCTTCTGGTAAACGGGCGGCCCGACATAGTCCTGCACGAAACGCATCAGCCTCAGCCCCCTCATCGCCCTCAGCCCGAGACCACCACCCACCTTCAGGTTATCCGCCGTAATCCGCACATGCACATAGTCCGGCACCTTCATCGGCGCGCGCTCGACCGTCGTTACCTCCTTCTCCGGATCCTCAGCCGGCGCACCTGGCGCATTCGACGCCGGCTCAGTCGACGCGACCGTGCTGTCCTCGCCGTCCTTCGCCGCCGCGGCCGAGTCGAAACCGGTTTTCGCTGACGCGGGGTCGAAGCTGCTCTGCGGCGCCGCCGGGTCCGTCTCTGCACCCGCAACGCGCGCTGACCGCGCCGCCTCGTCCTCGCCCGCCTGCTTCTCGACAGATGCGGACGCCAGCTCGTCGTCCTGGACGGCCTCCTTCACGCGCTCGTTGGCGTCAGTCTTGAGGGCAGCGTTTTTCGGGATAGCAGAGGCACCCGCTACGCGCGCCTTCCTCGCTGCCTCGTCCTCACCGGCCTGTGCGGCCTCAGACGCAGATGCGGGCTCGTTGTCCTGGACAGCTTCAACCAAACGCTCATCCGCCGCCGAAGAAGCGCGCGCGTCCGCCTTTGCCGGCTTCGTGCCCGGCTCCGGGAGTCCCTCCTCACCGAGGTCCTGCACGATCTTGAGCGCCGCCTTGCGGAAGATCTGAAAGTATCCGCATCAGCGATCCATCCCTCTGCCTCCGGTATATCCCCGTCCCATCCCCCAGGCATGGACTATAACTCACCTTCTCCACATGCTTCTTCAGATTGCGCACCCCACTCTCGCGGCAGTAGTACTTGATCAGCCGGTCCACCGCGTTCTCCTCGAGCTCCACGTCCGCGTCCTTCAGGCCCGCGCCCTCCTTTGCCTGCGGGGCGAGGTACCGCGATGCAATGACCATCTTCTCCTCGAGCACGTAGCCCGAGACCTCCATCACCTCCATACGGTCGAGCAGAGGAGCCGGGATCGTATCGAGCGTGTTGGCCGTGCACACGAAGAGGACGCGCGAGAGGTCGACGGGGACGTCCATGCTGTGTGGAGTAATTTAGCAAAAATACGAAGGTACGGAAGGGCAACGCACTAATGGTCCATGAACCCTGAGTTCTGCTCCGGGTCGAGCATCTCGAGCAGCGCACTGCTCGGGTCGCCGTTGATGCCGCGGCCGACCTTGTCCACCTCGTCGATGAGCACAAGCGGATTCTCCGTGCCCACGCGGCGAAGGGCCTGGATGATCTTGCCTGGCAGGGCGCCCACGTAGGTGCGGCGGTGACCCTTGATCTCCGCAACGTCCGTAAGACCACCGACGGAGAACCTGGAGAGCGGGAGCATGTAAGCGACTTCGCAACGACGCACAGCACGAATTTGCCCTACCTGAAGAACTGCCGATCCAAAGCGCGCGCGATGCTCTTGCCGATCGAGGTCTTGCCAACACCAGGCGGGCCCACAAGGCAGATGATCTTGCCCGTGCCAGTCTTGTTCGTACCAGCAGCGACTATGCATCACATAAGCTACGTCCTCCCATCCTGAAAAGCAAGCACACTCACCTCCCACCGTACCCCTAAGCTTGCCCACGGCAATGAACTCGAGGATGCGGTCCTTCACGTCCTGCAGGCCATAATGATCCTCATCGAGCACCTTCGTCGCATGCGCGATGCTGTAGTTCTCCTTCGAATGCTTGCCCCATGGGATCTGCGTAAGCCACTCGAGGTAGTTGCGCGTCACGTTCGCTTCACTAGCCGCGGGCTCGAGGGACGCGAGCTTGGAGAGTTCTTCGTCGAAGACTTTACGAACCTGTTACTTTCGTTAGACGATAGACTGGCAAGTGAGTTAATTGGCACTTACGCCTTCAGGCATCTTCAGCTGCGCTGCGCGCTCCTTGAACTTCTCGATGAGCTTGTCCTTGCCGTCAGACTCCATGCCGAGCTCCTTCTTGATGCCCTTGAGTTGCTCCATGAGATAGTACTCGCGCTGGCGCTTCGCGATCTTGGAGTCGACGTCACGGGCAAGTTTGGACTGAGTGAAAAAGAGGTTAGCACCGGCGACAGGACAGTGTTCAGAAGAGGCGCCGGACTCACCTGCAATTCCGCATTGATGAGCTCCTTCTTCAGCACCAGCAGCGCCTGCTGTAACCGTGTCTGCACATCCGTCGCCTCGAGTACAGCCTGGAGCTCAGATACCTCGCCCGCGCTCACGGCAGCGGCGAAGTCCGCAAGCTTGTCCGGCTCGTCAAAGACGTTGGCAGCAACCTGGTTGACGCTCCAATTGGCGACCTGATCACGGAACAGTGCGTTAAGCTGCGCAATATCCTTGAAGACGCTGACGATCTCGGCCATGAGAGCGCGGAGGGCAGGTGCATCCTGCAAAATGTGTTAGCGAAGGGTTCATGTTGACGAATAGCACGAGTGGGACGGAGCTTGACTGAGTAAACGGCTGCAGCTATATGCAGTGCATGTGCCTGCGTATACGCAGGTGATGAAGATGATGAAGGGTAAAGACGCTCACCTTGTCGTACGGCGCCGTAGTGACATTCTCCACTGCAACGACCGAGACGGCGTGCGAGTGGAGGAAGGCCGTGTGCGCGGAGGCAGGCGGGGGCTGAGAATCTGTGATGATCGGGAGCAAGGAAGGCGGCGGCAGTGACAGCGGAAGGAAAGGATATGTCAGGAAGCAAAGGTTGCATGTCAAGGAAGGAAAGGTTGTTTGTCAGTCACAGAACCGAAAGCAGGGATCGCGTCACGCACCATCACCGGCCTCGCTGGCTGGCGGCGTCGGGATGGCGTCCTGGGTAGTCTCCTGGCCCGATGCGTCCTGCGAGGTGACGGCCTCCTCGGTCGCCGTCGCCGTCGCAGGCGCCTCCGAAGGCTTCTCCGCCGCTGCAGCATCCGTAACAGCGTCAACCGTGACCGTGTCTACGCCCTCCAGCTTAGCGTCCGGCGCATCCTCAACCTGAGCGACACCCTTGACGAGACTGGTAATCCGTATCCTCCTGTGCGGGTAGAGAACAGCCGTGAGGCCCTCCTCTTCGCCGTCCTTGCCCTGTTGCCCCTGCGCCGGAGCGAACACGCTCGTGATCTGCGCAAACACACCGACGTCGTGCACCTGGTCGAGCGACTCGATCACGTCCGCGTCCGCCGCCGAGTCCTTGAGGAGAAAAGCGCCGAGGTAAGGCTGCCCGCGCGCCATCATGTCCTTGATGGCCGCGACGACGCCGGGGTTGCGGATGACGACTGCCTGGGGGCGGACGGCGAGTCAGCAAGGCGCGAGGGCTGAGTAAGCCAGGAAGTACGGTGGGTGCGCACCTTGTAGAAACCGGGAAAGAGGGGCCGCCGCGCGATGGGCAGCGCCAGAACGTGTGGGTACTCCGCGGGTACAGAGGGCCGTGCGGGTGTCGAAGGAGGCGGCGGCGCGCCTGAGCCGTTGGACGAGGGCGGTGCGCGCGGCTGGCGCGCGATGGCGGAGGCTGACAGAGCGCGGGCGAGCGTCGTGGAGATGGGGAGCGCGGGAGGCAGTCTGGAGTGCGGCCATGGTGTCTGGGCTGTTCGTTGAGGGCGCAGGGCCCGCCGGGCGAGTGAGGCGAGCATTCGCCGCCCACCGTCCATCGTCGCGTCTGACAACTCTGGACGCGCGCAGATCGAGAAGGCGTCATCCGTCGGCAACGCGGTCCGGTGATGCCCGATGCACGTGGACGTGACTCATCCCAGAGTTCGGATTTGGCTGGCGCTCGCCTTGTGCTTGCTGAGGCCCTGACCTGAGGCTAGATCATGAGTGTGAAGCTCAACAGCTAATCTCAGCCAGGATTTGCGTCGCCGAATTTCTCAGAAGGGGGCAGGCCTCCATATGTCGTAGGTACCATAAAGGCGGTAAAAAAAACTACGCCGCCTTATCTTCTATGGCATGACCGCGGATTGAACGCGGGACCTTCAGAAAGCTCAAATCTTCAGTCTGCTGCTCTCCCAACTGAGCTATCACGCCTTAGCATCCAATGCTTTGAGTACTTACCAGTGAATTTATAGCGACGTAAATTCGTCTCACGCCAAGTCTACTGGCGGCATCAGATTTGAGGACTACTTTCTTTGCCTCGCAAAGACAGTATGATGCATTTCGTTGATTCTCGTGTAGAGCTCAGGTGCACAAAAGGCATGTATACATAATTCTATTTCATTGATGGCGAAGATCCCTCTCTAGCAAGGCCTAATTCTATAAATTTATCAGGCTGTATATAGACGATCAACCTCATACGCTAAGCGCTCGCCAACGCGCGAACAGCGGAAGCACGTTACATGAGACCAGCCACAGCTGGGAGATCCATCAGCTTTGGGAGCACTTAAATACGAGGACGACACGCACGTTATACAAGTCATAAGAGCGTTGATCGGCTTCCTGCGAGTAGTCCGTCAAGAAAGACACGGCGGTCGCTCCTGCGAGGCCGTAGACTACTGCACTGAAGAGCGCGGGAGGTGCCCAGTAGTAGCAAAGCGCTAGCGCCCATGCGAGGATAGATGCGCTTAGCGTCCACCTGGCGAATGCTTGAGGTAGGATCAGGGCGAGGGTCCTCCTGCCGATGAGCGAGTCGCCATCGCGGTCTCGGAAGTCTTGAGCGTGGCCCTGGCGACGAGATGCGTCAGAAGTTAGTCAGCACGTCGTTAACGTCGGATACCGACTGTGGTAAAGAAGATGAGGCCCAGTTGCGTCAGAGCGATGATGGCTTGTGGAGGCAATGGTCTGCCTTGACCTGATCAGATTCAGTGATGACATTCATTGTCGATGCTCAATCCCCACTCACTGAAGCAGACCGCAGGGCCCGATATAAAGCACGCGTACCCAAGGGATGCAAGCCCAGACTTGAAGTACCAAAAGCGCGCAAGGCCGCCCTCATTATACACCGTAATCGCAACGGCATAGACCGCGGTCACCCAAGTGATGCCATGTCGCGCGCTCATGAGAAGGGCACAGGCGACGACGCAGGCATACAGCGCGCGCGCAGAAGACGGTGAGATCCGCCCGCTCGGGATCGGGCGATGGGGCTTCTCGAGCTTGTCTTCCTCAATGCCGGTGACCTGAACACTCAGGATTCCGTCAGCCGGAGACGGAGAGCTAGGGAAAAGGAGCAACGCGGACCTGGTTCATTATCTGTGATGATGCGAGGTCAGGTCAAGAATACACTATGTCAGGGAAGGTAGGGACGTACCTCGAACGCCAGCAAATGAAGTTCTAGCCATACGAAGCCCTCGAGGAAGGCGCCGACGTCACTGACGCCGACGAGTGCGTAGGCCATCGCGAGCTATCGAGACACCCCATTAGGACTTGCGTAGCGCGAGAAGACTGATGCAAGGCCACGCACCGAGGGTAGCAGGACACCGATGATGTTCGACTCGGAGAAGAGGTAGAGGGTGTAGAGCGCGTCCGAAGAGACGTCCGCTGCCCGCTTCGCGACGCGGGCGAGGAGACGCAGCGCACTCGAGACTTCTGCGAACATGGAGGCGATGATTACCCATCGTTTACAGCGCAGCTTTTATATCGTCGCCGGCACCGCGAGAACACACAATGCTCGCAGCTGGAGATGCGGACATCAGTGTTGGATTTGGTAGTGACAATGCGCCCTGTAAAGGACACGGTCAATGTCATAGGAGCGGCATCAGGGCGCGGCGATTCACCGACTCGCCGTCCACGTACGAGCTATCCCTTCGTTGCTGAATAAAGCTCGTGAAGCGGCCAGTCTTCGGAGGCGGCGAGCATCCCGCACGCGGGGCAGCTTGGCCACCGTCCTAGTGTCCTTCGCCTGGTATTATGACGCAGGAGAAAGGTTTAAGCTTTTCGCTTCTCCATAAAGCGCGGGCGGATTAGCCACGCGACGCCCAGCCCACCGCCTACACACTCTCTTCAATACAGTCCCTAGGAATCCCTGCGTCAATGCCATCGAAGACCAGGCCTCGCTTCGTAATGATTCCGCTCGCACCTTCTCAATGCCTATATATTTAATGCTGAGAAAACGCATATAGCCACCGCCTCCGGGCATTACCCGCGATTCCGTCGTTCGCGAAGGTTTTTGCCGGCATTCACAGGAGTTGAGGGCCCCGGAGTCCCGAAACATGAGGCATGAGAAAAATGGGAGGGAGCTGTGACTGCAACCTGCGCAGCGGTGAACATTGTTATTGTCCGCAAGGGCGCAGGATCATGGTCGGAAGATCCCTCCCAGGGTAATTTACGAGACACTGTTGTTTCAAGCGACATGACTGGGAACTCGTCAGGATCGTATAGCACGCGATAATGGCGAACAGATCGTGAAAGTTGCGGCTGAAAGGAGGATATTTGAGGGTGGCAGGTCGCGAGGTCGTCTTGTCTGGGGAATTGACCGCAAGAGATAGACGAGTATCGGGCTTGCATGACGAGCCCGGGAAGCACAGAGCTATGAGAATCTTGCCTTTTCGAAAGCTGATTATGATGGTTGAGGACAAGTCTCAATGCGTGGGAAGAAAGCAAAACGTGCGCCTATGTGGCCAAACAAACACAGATCACTTGGCTCCCAATCTCCATGACGGTGCATTCTCCCTGGTATCTTCCAAGTATTGAGAAGTAAACTCATAGTTCTACCAAAGACTGCTTTTGGTACCATCTTTCGAAGGATCTAACATCATAGCCGGCCAAAATTCCGACCCATGGCTAGGCTCTTTCGCGATACACAAATATAGAGGTACGTCAGGCGTGCTTAGAATATAGCATAGTTTTAGGAACAAGTGCGTCTGCTGTACTTTCAGTTAAAGAGTTGGGCATGGCGCCAGGCCTGAACAATGGGCGCCTATGGACTGGGCGCTTAGACGCGGGTCAAGTTCATGTGATAATCACTTGTCTCCATCCATCACAACAGCATCTTGCCTTTGCCATCGACCATACGCCCCTGGACAGCAGTATCGCTGTGCTTCACAGTGAACGGAAGCCTTGAGGCGTAGTAACTGGCGTAGTTTTCTCCGGGATGAGCACATACCTCTACGAGCTGCCAACGACCGGCGCCATCTCTTTCGCCGACTTCTGTGCCGACCATAGCGCGGCGAAGAACTACTCATCACACATCACCGATGCAACTCTGCAGCGCGCGAGTCTGCGCGCCGCCTTGAAGGAGAGCAAACGAACAGAGGGTGATGAGAGGGACTATCTGAGACAAGTCAAGGTGCGCGAGAGCACCATCTCATCCGGTCGCTGTAGCGCTAATCCCTCCCAGGTCATCGACGACTACCTCCCCCAACTCCTCGGCATCATGTCCTGCGTCGCCCACGACGAGATCGGACTGCGCGAAGAGCCAGGTGCGCGCTCCCCCATCTTTTCACAAGCACGCTTAACCGAGCGCAAGTCTTCAGCTGGCGCACGACGCTCTCCGCCAACGTCTTCCACAACTCCCCGCGCCTGAACATTCCCACGCTGCACGGCGACCTCGCGTTCGCGCTGCTCACCTACGCCTTCCTGCTCTCCAACCACGCGCGCGCGGTCGTCGCGCCGCTCGGCGCCTACGAGCACGACCGCTCTATCTCCGATGCGGAGCGCCGCGCGAAGGACGAGAAGCTGAATTTCGCCGTGTGCCTGCTGTGTCGGGCGAGCGGGCTGTTTGCGTATATCAGCGAGCGGGTGCTGGTCGACTGGGAGGCCAGCCGTGATGGGGGTGCCGCCGGGTTCACGCGCCCGCCCGATTTGCACAAAGATGTGGTCACTGCGCTCGCGAAGTGCGTACGTCGAGCTGGTGCTCGTGGTCGATCTAGATCTGACTGGTCTTCGTAGGATGGCTCTCGCAGACGCGCAGACGCTCGCCATCAGGAAGCTGCTCACACGAGCGGCAAACGACAGCGCTGTCAACCCCGGACCACCATTGCCACGATCCCATCCATCGCCCAGCCTTCTCGGCAAACTCCACCTCGAGTGTGCTGAGCTCTATGGCGCTGCGCGGGCGTTGGCTATGACGCCAGGATCCGCATCGAAAGATGCAGGCGTGTCCCACGCATTGCGGGCATATCTCACGACAGAGGCAGCCATTCATGCCGCTCTTGCACACAAGTGGCTAGGCATTGACGCTGGTGAGAACGGCGGATCGGAGAAGGGCGGCGAAGCGGTGGGCTGGCTGTTATGGGCGAAGAAGGAGCTCGAGGCGATCCGAGACGCGAGCAAGGGCGTCAAGAGCATCGCGCTCAAGAAAGATGAGGCTAGGGGATTGCGCAAAGACCGTGTTGCCGACGAGCTTGCCACGGTCAACACCTTTCTCAAGCACTACAAGAAGACCAACGATTCAGTGAGCGCTGACCCTGCCATAGCACGATTTGCAGACTGATGTCGTTCCAGATACACTTTCAGCCGGTACCCACACAGCCGGAGCTGCAGTCGCGCATACCAGCAGGTCGCGCCGCTGTGGCCGCTAAACCTTATGTGCCGCCGATGCCGGCATTTGGCCCAGGCAGCGTCGAATACACGCGAAGGCAGACGGAGAATGTAGAACTACACGATGGCGACGAGCATGCGGAGAGGCCTGCCGCGGATAGAAGCACTTCGGAAGCCTCCAACTACTCAGGCGCAGGGTCTTACTATTGAGCTCGTTGCACAAGTTCGTACGTGCATCAGGCTACCCTGCGTCCCCCAGTCGCTGACTTTTGTCAAGGGCATGTTGTTTGTACATAGGCTTTGACGCTGCAAGATGACGTGAACAATGGCTGCGCACAGGCCTCATGTTCGTGTTCCCTGCCTCGTGACGTTCATCACGGCGTCACAAACCCCTGAAAGAGTTGCCGCATTAGGCCTTGCCATTGTCCCAATAAGGTAATTATGGACAACACGGACATAGCCGGTCACGTCACGCCGCCGACCATGGCCATGGCCCGTGTGCATGTCTCATTTAGACTCCGCTTATTCCTGTTTGTGATCCGACGCGCGCGCCGATATAAAGTGGCCGCGGAACCTGAGCGCGTTCCTTTGCGACGACCCGCCTTTGCTTTGCCAGGACCTCTTGGCCCTGCCACTCATCGCGATCGACTGACCGGCTAACAAACGCGCTAACCTGATCACTCGGCCTCCCAGCCACTCAACCCTAGACTCATCTTTTCCTTGCCACTCACCCACTATGCTCTTCCTGGAGCACCTATCCGCGCTCGCAGGACGTCTGACGGAGCGCGAGTTCTATAGACAGGTTTCTGCATGGATCATCGCGCTCGCCCTGCACGCCAGAAATGGACGTTACCAACCACCGCCTACCCTTTCCTCGGTGCCAGCGCACGATCGCCCCACTAGGCCAAATCCACACCACGGTCGGGCCGACGAACCATACATCGTGGTCGAAGATACCTCATATACCCCGCCAGACGACGCACAGTACACGTTCGATCGGCCCGCCAGATACCACGAAGCAGAGCCCTTTGCCACGAACGCCAACGCGTCGCTTCTCAATTCGACTTGTACCGACCTCGTCTGGATAGGCGATGTTCCGCCACCGTCCCTTCCTCTACCCGATCTCTTCCCTGTCATTGCTCTGCTGCTCCTACTCGGTGTTCTTGTGGGTGCCACAATGGAGGTGCGCTATCACTTGAACGGTGTCGGGTTTACGACTAACACAGACGTCCACAGGTGGCATCGGCACTGCACGAAATGAGATACAGTCATCGCTCTCCGCGACCGACAACGCCACCCTCTTTGCGCGAAACCTCGTTCCTTGTCTTCCTGGCGTTCTACGTTCTCTATCTATTCACGCAGCCTGTTTATGATCTATATATCGGTGCGTGTAGTGGCGCTTTGCTTGCGTTGTTGATACTAATCTATGACCTTCAGATGGCGCTGTGGTGTCCATCTACCACCTTCTCTTGGCTATCGTTCAGGACGAACTCACTGGTGAGCTAACCCAGTCGCGGCTGTTACCGTGGCGCTGAAGAATGACCAGTCCCCTTGCAAACGTTCCCTTTCCTTGCGCGCGAAGCCTACAAGGCCTCGAAGCTCGTTCTTTCATGCATTTGGCGTCCCGACTTGATCACCATCCGTGTAGCATGGGGCGACTCGTGCTATCTGCTGTTTGCTATCCCCTCTTGTGCCTTCACCTACGTCGATGGTAAGTGGTATACAGTACGGGCGCCGTATACGCATGCTTACGAACCCTTACAGAGCAACACCAAGCATACCTCAACAGGCTCATGGATATCTGCGACTTCTCTCCGAGAACTTGCAGCTTGAACTGCTCGACATCATCGACGCGCACCGAGCGTCCGTTCATTGCCACACCGTCGAAAATGAATCAGGTCGTCACTGCTATGGAGGATAGTTACTTCTTCGTCGATGAAGGGGTCTCGACCTTCGAACGGCCTGGAAGCCCGGCGGAGAGTACCCTGGCGGATAGCGCTGCTCAGACTGACGGCGAAGGTGAGGCTCCTTTCTCCACTTGATTGTGCGATGCTCACCTCAGACAAAGACAACCTGTGCTCGGCTTGCCAACGTGTGATGTCGCACGTCAAGCAATCTGACGAGAGCTCTGTCAGCGACACCAGCATGGACATCGTCGCGCAGAACCACGCCTTTCCCCAGTTCCCTCCAGAAAGCACGACGTACGCTTCCCGCCGCGCAGCCATCCCCGCCAAACAAGGCCTCCCCCGCGACCTCGTCCCCGACTGCGCCGAGGACGAGCTCATCTTCACCGACGTCTCCGAGCTGCGCATCTACCGCGCGGGCTTCGCCGCCGCCTCCGACGCCGCCGCGCACATCCCACCCGCGCACCACAAGATCCCCGACGTGCCGCGCAAGTACACGTACGCGCAGCGCGACCGGGACGTCTTCTGCTTCGGGTGGTGGGAGTTTCAGTACTTGCGCGATCTGACGGACCTGGGGAAGCCGCTGAGCTCGGAGTACTACTTGGGGATGATGGCGAAAGAGAAGGACCTGGTGATGATGCCGGGGACGAGGCCATATCAGGAGACGAGGGCGTGGCGGCTGGGGTGGTGCGATGACTGGTATCTGACTACCCACCCGATGCGCAATGGACAGCGGTCGTGCCGGTCGTGGACTTAAAGGTGTCCGCTTCGATTTGGCTGTCTTTCCGCTAGATATCTATGTTCTGTAGCCCGCACTCACGATCATGTAGCATATTATGACCCGTTTCTGTGCAATGTTATGCTTCACCAGTATCGTCGCGGTCTGTATCATCCGCCACAGGCAAGATGTTGGCTACCTTGATCAAGCGCAAAAAAGGAGAGGTCCCACAGGGAGCTGTTCAAAACACTGACCATCATATTCGACATGCATCGTATACGGTACAGGTACACAACTCCTTCAGCTTGGACAAGTTCACTTCGCCTGCAGTATGATATCGGCGGCCTGAAAGATGTAAGCTTCTGCGATCGCTCGGCATGAAGGCAAACTAACCTTCTCTGCGATAGCATAGACCGTTGACTGCGGGTGTGCAGCGATATGGAGAGGAATAACGGAGGCATCCGCCTTCGGTCGGTCAGCACCATAGCAGACACGTGGACGCTCATTCCACTCACCACCCGCACGTTCGCAGTCCCATACACCTTCAAGTTCGCATCCACCACACCCCCGTCCTCGCGCGGCAGCATCGTCGCCGTGCTCACCGGGTGGAACACCGTCTGAAAGTTGTCGATCACATACTTTTCCAGCTCCTCCTGCGTCTGCACTGCCGGGCCTGGCGCGACTTCGCGCGTCAGCGCGGCCTTGTAGCCCTCGGTCTGCACGAGCTTGCGGATGAAGCGCACGGAGTCGACGAGGAGCGTGAGGTCGGCCTTCTTGCTCAGGAATTGCGGGTCGATGGCTGGCGCGGCGAGCGGGTCGGCGGATTGAATGTGCACCGAGCCGCGCGAGAAGGCGCGTTGGAGGAGGCCGCCGATAGAGCAGTGGACTTTCCCGGGCTCAGGCGTGATGCCGACGGCGGGGTGGTAGTTGGCCGCTTGCATAATCCTACGAGGGGGCTTAGCGTAGGTACTGGACAAGGTACCGAGACCCTCACTCAAGCGCGGCGACCGCCGGATTGTCGAGGAGATCGCGCTGCAGAGCCCACGTTTTGGCGACGGACGGGAAAGCCTCACCGCTGTCCTTCAATGCCTCGTCGACAGCTGCGCGAACCTCGGCCTCGGACGTGACAGCTTGCCAGGGTATGTACCCGTATGAGTACGGAAGCGTAGTTAGCATACCCCTCTTCTCGGAGTAGCTTGATACACCGAGCCGTCAGACGAGGGAAAATCGAGAACGCAGGGGAAACACGCACTACTTCTTGATCTCTTCCTCAAGGCGTTGTGGATTCTGAAGCTCGTCCCAAGACTCGAGCCCCTCCTTGAGCTCAAAAGCGGTCGGGACGTAGATGTGCTCCTGAGCGAAAGTAAACAGCCGATAACATAGGTCTTTCCAGTCATGCTTGCCTCTGAGGTGCGATGGGTCAGCCTGACTAGGACGAGAGCATTGAAGATGACGCACGTAAGTTTTCACCGACACCAGGCAGGTCGACGACCGTCTGGATGCCATGCTTCTCCAAGAGCTCCTTGTTGCCGATACCTGTGGGCATCGCATCAGCAAGATAACACGTTGATGCCGCGATTGTGCCCGATTGTGGGCACTTGTTCGATGGTCACCAACTGGACAACTCCAGCCCACTCGACAATTCACGACAATTGGGCAACTGGGTCGAGGAGCGAACTCGCGGCTCCTTCGAAAAGTCACTCGAATTAAGTTGAATCAAGAGAGAAATTCGTGCATATGGTGGTCGGAGTAGTGATTCACGTAGAATGTGCGGAAGGCATCGAGCGAGTACGAAAAATGAAAGTCTTCGGGTAGCATGTCCTTTCCGTATGTACCTATCAAATGAACTCCCCGCGCAATGGTCTCGAGATGTATGACCTCCAAACTAGGGCTGCCGTCGTGTAGGTATTCGGGCTCTACTATCCACATGCCTGTCTCGTTGTCGACGGCGTCTGACGCAGGGACAAGCCACTGAATCAACGCGCATGGGTAGGTAATTCCATCGTAATTGAATGCCATAAACAAGAAGACACGGCCAATATTCATACCTTTCATTACGGACGGGTCGCCTCCAACATTGATGAGGACGGTGTCTCGGCGTGGACAGCCATACCAGCTGGGGGTTGAGCGGATGCGCTCGCGGCGCATGCCTCCCGCTCCGCAAAGGTCGCTCGGTGCGTAGAAGCGTGCCACCGCAGAATGGAAAACATCGATCTTCGTTGTGATGTAGGGGAGATCGTGCGGGGGGATTTCCGTAATGGATTCGCAGTCGGGGTGTAGCTGGGAGTAGAGGAATTGGCGCAAGAGGAGGGGGAGTTGTGGCTTCGAGATGTGTTGACTGAGTTCCTGCACATAGCGAGGATAATCGCGCTCTGTGTCCGTGTAAGCTTCTGTGCGAGATCAAAGAGCAAGTAAACGCACGTCTTGTGGCTGCTAGATCCACCGACGACAGCGCGCGTGGGCCAAGCGGCGGTCCTTCGTCCTCCTCCTCCTCCTCCATATCCTCCTCGGCCATGACGATCGGGCGCCCCGCCAGCATGTCGGCTGTAAATGACGTCGCTGTGCCCTGTAGCATACCGCGCTTCTCGAACGATAGTTGCGCTGCTTGCATTTTGTCGAGGCGGACGTTCGTCAGAAGCATCTGCCGCAGAGCTGCCATGTTCCGACTCGAGCGGCGCCACGGCTCCTTGACGGCCTTGATATGCTTCGACTCCGTGATCGAAGAGCAGAGTCCATTTGGTGAGCCAAAGAGGACAATCGAGTCAATGTAATGCTTAAGGGCGTGTTGACGAGGAAGAGAGATGCCGTCGGGACGTACACCAGTCTCAATGAAGACCTGGCGGTGGTGATGGAAGCGCCGAAGAGCCCCACGGAGGTCGTCGATCATGGGAGCAGTGATAGCGTTGCGTCGTGCGATATAACAGAAGTCCAGGAAGGCAGCAAAGCACTTCACCATGTCCGATGGCACATGCCCCGCGATTGCGGCCAGGTATACCCGCATGAGCGCCTTCGAGTCATCTCCAGTCCACTGCGCGAAGTCGCGTCCTTCGGGAAAGCGACGAAGGCCCGGGAACGATGGTACGGCTGAGAGTCTAGATACTGTGAGAATAGAATAGGATCAAGCAAGTAATCTACGCACCGACGGTCAATATCATCCAATATCTCCTTTGCTCGCGCAGCCCCGTACGTCACGTTGAGGTACTCGCCGATCCATGTAACGAGATGATCTTTGAACGTTCCCTTAATGACTTGATGCAGAAGGTCGGGGGACAGGAGTTCGTGGATGTCCGCTCGGGGAAACTCGTGCGTGAAGGGCTGGGTCCCAATTAGCTTCATTCCGTGCGAGAGATGACCCCACACGCACCACAACATCTACTCGTACTCCAAAGTCAGACCAGAGAATGCCTGGATCAAATACACTGATCAAGAAGTCAGTCTTCTCGTGGGTCCGTCGTCGAGCATTTTCCGAGTCAAGGTCATCTGGCTCAGCGTCACATCTGAATCTCGTCAGAGAATAGCAATGTCACAGAAGACGGGGACGTACTTAGGACACCACCCCTGCACTATGCCAGACAACCAGACTTGCTCGGGATAGTCAGCGATGTATGGCCCAAGGCCGTAGACAACGCGTCGGTAGTATCCGTCGGCACATCGAACGACCTCTGGGGTGGTCATTCCGTCCCTCAAAGGGCGGAATGTGAAGGCGAGGCATGCGTGATAGAGTTGCCGGACAAAGGTTTGATAAGCAGGTCGCCGACGATGTTTCTTGCTCGCTGGGAGCACGTCAGTCGAGGTTATGGAAGAGGAGCTCAAAGCGCACTTTTGGGGATGGGAAGCATAGCGACGGGAAGCACACCATCTCCGCGCGCACGACGCGCGTTGTTCGTGATACATCCGGGTGACTGGTACACAGGATGGTACTCCTGGTGTCCCGTTGCGACCGAGACAGTTGTCTTGTCGCTTCCGCCTATAACGGGCACAAACATGGCCCCATGAGTGTTCTCGTCATGCGCGATGATGTCCTGAGAAGGGGGTGAGTGGTGATCTGAGTGCCAAAAGGTACGACGCACGGCCTGCTTGAATGCCCAATCACCAGACATGAAGTTCGAGAAGACGCGCTTGCCATCGCGATCGAACTGCAGGTATGGCCGCGGCGTGAGCGCATCGCGGAACTGCTCACTAGCAAGCTGCTGATGAAGGAGAAGCCGCGAGTCTCGCACGAACATCTCGTACGTCTCCGTCATCCACTTCGGTGGTGTTCCAGGAGGGAGAGGGCCAGTGTAGCGCATCTTGATGGACCGAAATGGGGTGGAGCTCGCTTGAATAGAGTCGATGGAGTCGTATACATCTTGAGCGTTCTTCCACGGGAATGTACGGCCACTGGTGGGTAAAAGCGTGGCAGTAAGAATATCGAGGTTCTTGTTGATTCCTCCAGCAGAGCTTTGATTGGTGACGAAGTGCCAGTGCGCGAAGTCGAACTCAGCACGCGAATGGAAGGGATTCCATGCGTCATCATCCGTCACGTCGGCTGGAACAGGCGGCGGTGGTGGCGGCGGTTCCGGCGGCGTGTTGGAAGGCAAATAATGTCCTTCAACATCACAAGGCAGAGCTGTTGCCACGAATGAGTACACGATTGCCTACGAAGGGGTAACCCGTACCAGTAAGGTGCCTGTGATAGAGGAAAGTCGACTTGGCTGGATCCTCGGCCTCATCGTTGACCGGCGTGATCTCCCGGTGCTTCGCGTTGATATGTCTGGTGAGGCCACTCTGGTTGCGACATGCCTGTTCGCAATGCGGGAATGGGCAGGAGAAATTCAACCGAGGCGGGGGCATGGCGGGAGGAAGTAAGATTGATAATGGTCTAGAGAGATACACAGACAAACAAGGAGCGGCCAGGAACGGCGTCGGACTTTGGCAACAAATCGTGCCAGCCAGTCCGAAAAATTCAAACCTTTCCTTGTCCATCATCGCTGCGCGAGACCCTCCGCTCCTTCCGCTCCTTCAACAAGTCATCGTTTCCCCTAGAATCTCGACCTGCAGATGGCAAAGCGTGAGTCGGGGAGTTGAGATGCACACAACGAAGCGACTCACTCCATGCAAGCAGCCACGAAGCAGGCAGCTGCAGCTGCGAAGGCCGCAGCTGAGGCTGCATCCACATCCCCCGGCGACTTGCTGAGTGACCCTAACCCTCCGGCTCGTCGTCGAGGCCGCCCGCCAAAAGGCCAGGCGAAGGTCGCTGCAAGTCCTATGAGCACCGTAGGAATCGGCGCTGGCGAGGCTCTCGCAGGGAGTCCTGCCAGCGCAGGTGCCGCGGTTGCTAGCTCGGCTAGACGGCGTACACGTTCGATGGCTGAGAAAACGTCAGGAGACGCGACGGACAAGGACGTACCGGATGATCTCGATGTTGTCAACGATCCGCCCGCAAAAAAGGCGCGTACGATGGAGGAGTCTGCTCTCATCACCGCACTCGCTGGTCAAAAGCCCGGAGGACGTTCGAAACCTGTCATACCGCCTCGCGAGCCGCAGCCAACCCGGGCTGCACGTCAACGTGTGTCCTCTACCACGACCACGACACGAAAGCGGCGGCCCGCAGGAGAGGTGGCAGAGGAGAAAAGGAGGCTGGCTGAGATACAATATGAGGAGGTGGCGCTCAAGAAGGCCAAGAAGGAGGTCCTCGTGCGCTTGGAGGCGCAGGGAATCATCGCGGATGCCGAAGCTCGTGAGGGCGCAGTCATGTCGCTCGACGATGTGGGGTCAGATCATGGCTTCCCTGCAGAGGACCAGGAGGAAGCTGACGTCGCTGAACCCATGGACGTTGACTATGCCGAGGACGAGTGGGAGCAGGAGCCGGACACGGATGATGAGAAGGCGGACAAGGTTTGTGTGTTTATCTTTGTTATTTACCTTCGCTTACTTCTTCCCTTCACGTTCTGATCAGACCAAGAAGAAAGTGGTCCCTGGCCTCGCGCGCGCGCGCCTAGACAATGACATCCTGAGGGAGCTTCTCCTTGCTCAAGGCTTCGACCCCGACTCCCTCAAGCCCCGCAGCGTTCTGGCTCAGGAGAAGGATGTTGGGTAGGTCATTTTTCCTCTGCGTAGACCCGCAAGAGCTTGCGTGTTGACATGGCATCTAGGTCATCTTTGCCGTCTACCAAGCGGAGCCGTCCCGTCACGGAAACCGGTCTCAAGCGCGATTGGGCTACCCATGTCTCGAAGTCGACGCCCGTTCGTCTGCCGCCGCCGCCACCTTCCAAAGATCCCCTCCACGGTGGCCTCACAGACGAAGATATCGGGCTCGGTCCTTCCCTAGCATCTGGCCACGGTCATCACCTGGACCGCCATGAGAGGGCGGATGCGCTTAAGCGTGCAGTAGAGGGGAGGCGGGATGCGGCGCGACGCAACGATCAGGTGCGTTGACCATTCATACGTATTCAGCCGATAGCTGACAGTCCCTCAAGGTTATCGTCATCGATAGTGACGATGAGAAGCCTGTTGTCACTGCGCAACGGCAAGGCGCACGCAAACCCACACGCATGGCGCAGGTCGCACGTAAACCCTCGTCGCAGCCTTCGTCGAACAGCAAGATCATCACCCCCTCATCGATCGTCAAGGTGGAACATCTTAGCCCATCTCCTCTCTCCGCCGACCCTCTTTCTTTGTCGAAGAGCTCCGCTGTGGTCCTCAATGACGGTGTTGCGTTCAAGCCCGTTCCGTCCTACGTCAAGTACACGACGATCTGGTTGCCCTGTGCGTACGCGAAGCTCTTCATGTCAAAGTATCCCTTCTCCTTCGTCAAGTCCGTCGTGTACCTCAACCAACTACAAGTCTTGTTTGATGAGCTCCACTCGGACAACACCTACATGCTGTCATCGAACGACGAGCTGTACGTGAAGGTACGTGTCTGTAAGTTCACGGACTCTTCCATGCGACTGACCTTCATTGTAGACGATCAAGCGCGTCAACGAGAAGCGCTCAGCCATCGCATCCCAGGCCGTCGCGGCCGTCGATACCTTCTTCCGCAAAGCCGAGTACCGAGATCAGCCAGACAAGATCAAGGAGTACGTCGGGTGGGCTTTGAGGGACGACGGGGCCCTCATCTACAAAAACCCGACACCCATGAATTGCGGTGTGGGTGAAGATGACCCGTCCTACATCGTGCGTAACGCTCCGCTGTTCTTTTTTGCGATTCTCATATGTTCTTCAGAAGGCGTACGGCATCTTCGAGTCCGACATCATCATTGATGTGCTCTCGCCGCACCTCAAGCACTTTACCTCCACACCCATGATCAAGCTTACTCGACCCGTTGGCCTCCTAGCGCTTGTCGTGGCAGCAGTGAGTGGTACTATCTCATTGATCTTTTGTAAGCTGATTTCGTCACTCCAGCTCGAGCGCGCGTTTGATGCATATGGCGAGACGGGCTCAAAACCCACGGAATACGACGACTTCACCAAGGACTACGCCAGCACTGCTGTCGAGCAATACGGCCGAATGATTGCCAGCCTTCGGGACAGCCACTGGGCCAGTATCTATGCAGCTTGCGGCGTCAAGCAAGAGCAGAAGAAGCCCGTCACGATGGGCCACAAGACACCTCTCGCGAGTCGCCGGGACCGTCTTCGTATACCCAGCTCACCGTAATCAGTATTATTTGCCCTCGTATGGTACCCTTTCTATACTTTACAATTTGTGCTGTATCTACTGCATGTCCGCTCCTTCGTACGTCGTATTACTGTAGAGACCCGGCTTTTTAATGAATTCTAATTTCCGGAATCTCAATGGCTGAATGGCCAGTGGCGTGATGGTGCGACCCGAGACTCAGTTGGCGAATTGTGGTCACTTTTATGCGATGATTTCGCCTCGGATTGTCCCTTCCAGAACATGGAGTTGCTGGATTGCCGATGGTGTGATGGTCGGGGATGGTCCATCGCAAACAATTCGAATCAATTCAAAACAATCCATTTGTGATCTTACTGATGCGGTTATCCGTATTCGACATATATAGTAAGTCACTCACCTGACAGCTCAAGTACTTGCGGTGTTTGATACGCTCCTGGACGGCGCAGTCAGTGAGAGTTGTTTGGGAAGGAGAAAGGCCCTTCATACCACCGCTGACGATCACTTCCTTTGTCGCCTTCGCGAACCGCTTCTCTCCGTCCTTGATGTACTCTACGCCAGTCGCGGTCACCAGACCGTCCGCGTTCGCCTCGTCAGCAAATACTACACGAGACACATGGGCGCTTGGGATGACTTCGAGATGAGGCAGAGACGACTTAAGCTTGAGGTAGACCTGTCCGGAGCATCAAAGTCATGGTCAATGGACGGCAGGATATGGCAACGTACCGATGCGCTCGATGACCGCGTAGCATCCGCAGGATCAATGTTTGCAAGACTCGTCCACGCCCCGATGTTGTCTCCGTCCGACTGTATAGTGCGTGAGCAGGCGAGGCGGAGCCTTGCAGAATTCGCAAACGACTTACGCTGTCGTAGTTCGTTGGGAAGCCTAGTTCTTTGAACCCTTGGAGGAAAGGGAGATGCACAGACGAGATCTGCGTCGGTGGGGCGACGATGATGGGGCCGGACGTTCCGTGCGCGGCGGGGTCGAGCTTCAATAGGGTTGCTTCCTGCGCGCTCTCCGGAGCGACGAGGGTCTCTGACTGATGAAAACTCAACTCAACGAAGAAACAAGTGAATGACGTATGTCATACCTTCTTGAAGTAATGAAGTAGGTTCTGCCAATTCCAACCCTCCAATCCGAGGGTTTCAAGCGCTGCAAGATGTATGAGCACTTGTTTGACAACAGGTGTCAGAGGCCGTACCGTCATACTCAGGTGCCGACGCCCTGAGACGATTAGCAATTACGTTCTCGTGAGAGACTATGCCACACACCGATTCCATTGTATGAAGTTCAACTGTGTGCGACACGCTTGAGCTCAGTGGAGGAGCCGAGAGCAGACGACTTACCACGCTGGTACCTCCGACACCCTTGCCCCTACATGGAATGAGCACCGAGCGCAATAGATATATATTGTACTCACCGAGGCAGAAACACGGCGCGCGAGTTGGCGTGCGCCTGCGGCTGAGAAAAGAAAGCCCAGTCGCGGTCCGGATGGCCGATATTCTTCATGAAAAAGCCTTGACAGGAAGTGAGCGTACGAAGTGGGTCATTCCTGCCTCCCTCACCTGGAACATTGATCTCTGCGGCTTCGCTGGAGTCTTTACCAGCTTCGAGAACGAGAACAGACTTGTCTGCCTGCGCAAGCCGTGTCGCCAGCGAGAGGCCCGCCGTGCCGGCGCCAATGACGATGTAATCGTACTCTGCAACAGCCATGTTGATGGAGATAGAATATGAGAGCTCAGGGTGCGAGGAGCCGCTAGCGTCGCGTATCGTTCGTCAATCCTTTTGAACAACGGGCGCGTGCGAATACATGCTGTCGAGACCCTCTTCTGCCGTGGGTTGTTGATGAGAGGGTGATGAGGGATGTAAGCCTCTGAGATTCTGCCGGTGTTAGGGGGGGCATCCCGAGCTCATTCTAGTGCGGGCACGGTAGCCTCCGTGATCCTGCGCCGTGGCGAGAGGATCATTGAGAGTTGTGCGATACCTACGCAGCAACGGAGGGTCGCGGGACTCGCAATACCTCTTGTCTATAGTAGATTATCAGGGACCAGGGTGCCAAGGGAGCCTTCGATTCAACGGGTTCGCACACGAGAATACGATGATGGTTCGGGAAGGAGCACCGTGATATCCGTATGGGTCCTCGGGCTTCCGGATGGAGGGAGTACTGGCGGAGGACCGCGTCTTAGCTTCACCTTAGCTTGTAGCGGTATAGAAGTGCAGAGTTTTAAAAAAAAAATCCGTATGGGTCCATGTTCGCACGTGGATTTCATCGGCGGCAGCCGAAGCCACCTTCCACCGAACCATCATGCTCTCTTCATGCATGGTGCTCCTGCTGGTTCCGTCTACCCAAGCCTTTCCCAGAGTAATTCTTAGCCAGAATCCATCTTGCCAGATCGGTTTCGCCTGAACATCAAATGCAGCCGGGCTTGACTCACTCGTGCAACGAGTTCCATGGTTACGCTGAGCCCCTCAGCGTTCAAGTCTGTACGCTAATTCCCGAATGAAGATCAGCATCTGACTGTCGAACATCTTCAATACGGTGCTTACTCCTCGCAGACAAAGACATTCCGTTGATCGCGCTATCCTATGCATTGGCCTCCGCCAGGATCGTGAGTTCAGCTCTGACATCTTTCGAAGGTGATTTGCGTGGGATCCCATCTTCACGCACATGCGTCCGTATCTCGGATAGCGAAGAAGTCTTGTCGCGCCGAATCCGTTCGCGTCGATGACCTCCGGGCCAAGCAACGGCTATACCCCCGTGTCTTTGTCCTGCACTTCCGTCCGCAATAGCAGCACCATGATCCCAGCATCAGCGTACCGCTGCCAATGTACATATGGCGCCAACTCGACGCACTTCTCTGCATCAGGCGGCCTGACGTGGGGCTGAAGCTCAGTGGGACTTCGACTGCATTCCGAGACCTAGTCGCTGATACAGATGTACATGCAACATCGGAGCGCAAGTCAGCGTGGGACTGTGTATGCGGTGCGGGAGTGCACAGCACCTTATAAGGGTCACGCTCTCTCCGTGCGCTTTTCTCCGGCACGCGTGATCCCTTCGCAGACATGGCTGCTCCCGAGCTCCTCGCAGTGTACGCTCGTCACTTCTTACCGCGCTCTGGACTTCGCTGATCGTACTTCAGCCTGGTCCCCCAGTTCATCGGCATCATCTTCAACTATCTGCTCTTCGGCGTCTTCATCGTGCAATTATGTGCGAATCCCGCCTCCGCACTGATATACGGGAACTCATCACTTCACTCTTGTAGACCTCTATGTTACGTTCAGCATCCAGGATCCCTTGCCGATCAAGCTTTTCGGTGCGTTCCTTCAACGGTATACCGAGGACGCGACTTATTTCGATCACTAGTATACACGATCGCCATACTCGACACCGTCCAGACGGGGTTCTTGACCGATCTTTCGTACGGACTGCTCGTCACCCGCTGGGGAGATGTTGAAGGATTGGCGCATCGGCCATGGACCGCACTCACTCTGCTCGTCGTCAACGGACTGGGTATGTGCAACCTCGTACCCCAACCGACGTGACATTCATATATATATATCAGTCGCCGCCATGATCCAGATCTTCTTCTCATGGTCGGACCTTTGCCCTCTATCCTTCCCTCCCTTCGCTCATAAACACCCGCAGGCGTATATGGGTCTTGTCCGGCAAGAAGTTATGGAGCTACCTGCTCAGCGGTTTCATTGTCATTGTACGTGATCTCCTCTGCTATTAGGGCTTCTTTTACGGGTTCTTACAGGTAGCACTCATACAATGTCTGGCCGCAATCATCTCCGGAGCGAGGGTACGCTCTGCCCCTCGTCCAACCGATCGAAATGACCTCACACAATCTCTCAGTCCGCCATCATCAGCAAGACGGTGTCGCCAATCGAGACCGTCATCGCCATCTTCCCTGGATGTGTAGTTTGGCTAGCAGGAAGCCTTCTATGTGATCTCATCATCACGGTCTCAATGTTCTTGCTGGTGTGTCAAGCGCGCAGTGGTGCGCGATATATGACTGACTTCGAGCAGCTCACCCGTTCGCGGCGTGGTACCCCTTTCCGCCGGACGGAGGACCTCCTGACGAGGATGATCAACCTCACACTGGAGACTGGTCTTGCGACCACTATAGTCGCAGCACTAGAGCTGTCTCTCCTCGTTGCTCGTCCGTACGAGGAATTCCATGAAGCGCCGTTAGTTTTCTTTCCTCCCTCGAGTCCTCGACACTCACGTCGTTCGCAGAGGCTACGCATTGGGAAAGCTGTACTCGAATGCGCTTCTCGCTACTCTGAACGCGCGCCACATGCGACATGCGGCCGGAGAGGTGTCGGACATATCGATGTCCATACGATCAACCAACTCAGTGCCGGGGCGGCGTGTTCTTCTATCGGACGACTCGGACAACCAGGTCCCCACTGAGGGCAAACGCTCCGGCGGGGTCGTAATCACCACACAGACCTGGGTATGCGTTTTTTTTCACCTCAGTAGAGACTAGTTGCTAATTCATTCTCTCTACAGAAGGACGCCGGAGCAAGCGCCGTGTAAAAGTGCACACCATGATGCCCCCTTTCCTTGGATTGGAGTCGTTCGTTATCTATTTTTTGTACGACTTTGTAGCTTGGTGTATACATGTATTGCATCTGTGGTATACCCTGAATGAACAGAACCTTCTCAACGCGAAGCAGTTCGACTCTTGCGGCTGTCAGAGCCGCACACGCGCACTCAAAAGTTCAACCGTCCAGTCACGTGCTACGTAATAACTCCAGTCGGATATCGCCGAATCCTCTCACGCTGAGCCCATGCCAAGTCCGAGAGCATCCGGACTTGTCTTCGACGTCCACACGACCAACAAGCTGCGGTGCGCTTGCACCTCCCCTCCGCTCAACTCGCAAGTATGTTCTCAGCCCCAGAATAGGACCCGCATTCGCGTCTCTGACACACGGAGGGCGGCTAATGATTCTCATCGCTTGTCCACTGACCGCATCCCTCGAGGCTTGCCCGAATTTCAGCGGTTGTATCCCGAGATGCATCGCTATTGACATTCGGGATCAATGGTTCTTACCTTTCATATGCATACTCTACGCGCTACACGAACGCCATTCGTCGGCATCCGAGCTGAACACGGACATCAGCTTCTTCCCGTCTTGCGGTCTCTCACTCGTCCTCTGCGCCTTCTTGCATCACGACATACCTTGTCGCATCGATGGTATGCATGAACCTCCATCGCCGTCAGAGGCGCCCGTGATCTGTGCAGGTTCTAGAAGCGTTGGGGCGTGCTTTCGGTGGCACGGGTTCACCTGCGAACTATGTCCTTGGGAATTTCCTTGTGTCCTAAATGGGGTTCGGTGGCTCTCCGTGCGCATCTGCAGACTGCCCCGTCAATGATATTGGCGTCCTACCAATGGTATCGAGCCCCCGCCATTGATGGCTCGCCCAGCCCTCGAGGACCTCCGCAGAGCGTGGCGAATGCCGTAGGTATCGCGAGCGATATCTTCCCCGAGTGCGATGGGCGTGCAGTACGGCGGTGCGAGTGCATTCTGTATGATACTCTCAGACTCTGGAAACTCTGATCTTGCATGCGGTGAGCCCGGGAGAATGGGATGACACGAGCGACTCCATAGTGGATGTGTGCATGGGGTTGCTCGGCAATGGATTCAGCAAAGCGATGGCGATATAAAAGAGAAATCGATAGCTTCATGCCCAAGATCGCTTGCGATTTTGTGCCCACTCTCACAGCACGATGGCGGTCGCCTCGTCTCTTCCTTCGATATCCAAGACCATCCGCTTACCTCTCCTCGCCGGGGAGAGGGCGGCGCACTTTATTTACACTCTCTACCTGTTCAACAAGACTGACATCTCTACGACGGTCCTTCCTATGGTGCGTACTTCCCAGAACGACGATGCGCGCGACCTTCATTCATAACAACTTTCAGCTCACGTTCGGCTACGCCTTAGCTGGACCTCGCAGCGTTGCGGCTTTCTTCAGAGGCTTCCTTTGGATGGAGCTGCACCTCATCGCGTTCGAGGTAAGCTTCGAAGCAATCTATGTCCCTTGCGGCATATGTTGACATCTACACAGATCAAGAATCAGGTATCTCAAAAATCTTCCTAGCGATAATACCACTAATATGCCCCAAAGACAGTCGGCCTCGAAGAAGACCGGATTTCCAAGCCTTTTCGCCCGATCGTCTCTGGACGCATCTCCCTCGAAGCCGCACATCGTCTGCACGTCACGCTGGTAGTCCTCTCGCTCATCATGAGCGCCATATACGGGGGCCTCACGCCAAGTATCATCCACCTCATCGCCATCTCGTCGTACAACCAGGGCGGATTGGCCCGCTTCTGGGCTCTCAAGTCGCCCGTCGGCGCGCTGGGGTATACGTGCCTTTGCTGGGGAGTGACTTTGATGTTCGGTGAGTCGGACTGCATGCTTTGAGATCGTCTATCCTTACGATGCAACTCAGAGGACGGACATGCGCTGTCCCCAACCGCACAGCTAGCGTTTCTCCTTCAATTCTCGATTTTCTCGACCACCGTACGTGCTCCCTCGCCCGATCTCCCTCTCTTTCCATCACCTGACCGCTCTCCAGGGACACACACAGGACTTCCGCGATCGCGCAGGCGATGCGGCCATTGGGCGGAAGACCCTGGCCATCGTCCTCCCTCAAACCCTCGCCCGCTGGTCTCTCCTCTGCTTGCTCTTCTCCTGGAGCACGGCGCTCGTGTACATTTGGCAGCCTCCAGCGTACGTCACTCTCGTCTACTACGCCCTCGCTGCTCGCACGGCCTATCACCTGACCACGGACGAATCGCACGAGGGCGACGAGGCGTCCTACTTTTGGTATAATGTAAGTATTGGTCTCATGCGCTGCCGTGCACCGAATGCTGAGATTTTTTCTCAGCTCTGGTTTTCTGGGTGTCAGCTTCTGCCCGTGTTCGTCAGGATCTAGGGTCTCTGTTGTAGTGGGTTGCCAGTGTATGTATTGTGTAAGTTGTAAGTATTCCTTCGGTGTATGTACGTCGGTGAGCTTTAAAGTGGCTGGGAAATTTATGAGAATGTCTAGGATTCTGTGGAACTTGGATTTGATACGTCTTGAATGATGCTTTCTTGAGTACAATGGGCGTTCAGGACAAGGTCATGGCGCCCGTTTGCTTGTTCGTATTTTGGCGCCCGGCAAAACCCGCACCTGTGACTGTTGTCGTAACGTCACAGACTTTCCCAGGCCTTCCCACCGACTTCCACCATCTCCGGTCGTCGCCGTGGAAGGATAATTATTTTCTCCAAGTTTGAAGGTCATTCTATCTCGTCAGACGACATGCACTTCGATGCGACTTCCACACGAGATCACTGCAGAACAGGCTCAACAGACTGGAGTCGATGATCCGGGCTCGCCGCCTTCGCTGCGCTGTATGTCGGAGCACGTTGGATCTTCGCGCCCTATATTTTCGGCTGCTCACATGAGCTCACGTTGCGGTCCTCAAGCCACGTATCGACTTTCGGACATTTCCAGGAAAGAGGAGAAGCGATGGCTCCGCCTGATAGACGTACTTCCGCTCCGCCGTCATCGGCCTCTCCGTCAGTGGCCCCCTTCAATGACCGCTTCGTGCTGTACCTCGACTTGGCACCTCCAGAGCTTCACTTACATCTATCGGCGAGCTGTATCGCCGCGCAATTGTACTCAAAGCCCGAGGCGATACCTCCAAGCCTCTATCATCTCGTTGGGGTTTCCCAGGATTTCCCAAGCGGGCCCAGGCGGGTGCCACCTCGCCATACACCCAAGCATCGCGAATATCGACAGTTAGTGATGAAAATGACTCTCTGACAGTACTGCGGGCGCTTCCGCTTGCCTACTCAAGGCGCCTGCTGACTGTTGGGCCGATCTATGGTCGCACTGCTGTCAGTTCATGACCGTCGTACGCCCGACAAGCTACAGCACATCGGTAAGCTTTCAGTTTGAGAATGGAACAAAAGTATTCCCCTGCACCTCGATGTACCTCTCTCTGCCATCCCCTAGCGTTCCTTGCCCTCAACAAGCCCTCAGCCTAACACTTCAACCACATCCCCGTCGAGCCCTCAAAGACTGCCATCTGGGGATATCGGTGTCCCTGGTTCCACGCGCACGACGTCGCCCTTGCCACACACGCGTTGGCTAATCATGATTACCCTGCTGACGCGCGCTTATTCAGTACGCCCATTTGGATTGATATCAGATTGTGCGCGCATTCTCTCGAACGTTAACCTCGCAGCGGCATCGAAATTAGACCGCGCGATGGTTCCCTTAGAGCGGGCCAGGGGCGCGCGGTATATAAGGGGCACGTCGGTGGGGTGGACGTCATCGGTCTGCCCACCTTATACCTCCCTATCCACAACGCCTCGCTAGCAACTCTCCTCCACACATACCTTCCCGATGGTCCTCACGCTCTACGGTTCCCCGATGTCGACGTGCACGCGCCGCGTTGGGATTGTGCTGATGGAGAAGAAGATCCCGTTCAAGTTCGTGCCCATCGACCTCGCGAAGGCCGAGCACAAGAAGCCCGAGTTCGTCGAGAAACAGCCGTTCGGGCAGGTCCCGTACATCGTGCGTGACTCTCCTCACTCGGCCTTGCATTCGGTTCGGCAGGGCTGATGCACTAGCGCAGGTCGACGACGACGGCTTCACGCTGTTCGAGAGCCGCGCAATCGCCCGCTACCTGAACGACAAGTACCCAGAGCAGGGCATCAACCTCGTCCCGACGGGGCTGAAGGAGAAGGCGCTCTTTGAGCAGGCTGTGTCTATCGAGGGCAGCAACTTTGACCGCTATGCGAGCAGCGCGGTCGCGGAGAAGATCTTCAAGCCGTGCGTGGCAGCAGCCTCATCTCGCTCTTTGTTGACAACCTTTGCAGGATGAAGGGTCTCGGCGGCAGCGACGAGCTCGCGAAGACCGAGCTGGAGGTGCTCGACAAGAAGCTCGACGCGTACGACGTTATCCTAGGCAGGCAAAAGTACCTCGCCGGTGACGTTCGTGCTAAAGCTTGACTACCGAAGAGTGCGATGGCTGACCCCCGCTGCAGAAGCTGACGCTTGCCGACCTGTTCCACATCCCATACGGCTCGATGCTGGCGAAGATCGGGTACAACGGGCTGGAGAAGAAGCCGAACGTGGCGCGCTGGTGGAAGGACATTTCGTCGCGCGAGTCGTGGCAGGCGGTCAAGGATGGTGTGAAGGGCACCGCGTAGGTGATGAAGGACGAAGGAAAGGACTGTAGAATCTTGTATAACTAAAAGGACTATGCAGTAGCAAATCAAGTGCAAATGGCTCGTTCTCTTGCCAAATTACCAGACTCGCTCGGGATTTGCCGAGCGCACTTACAAAACTTGATTTCTTTCCCTGCACGTCGACGTCGCCTTTTCTGTACTTCCAAGTCACCATCGTTTCATGAGACTTCAGTTCAGATCCAGATCTTCTAAGCCCTAGGTACACTGTGCCCAACAGCCGTTTGGGACCGCGGCAATTTCACGTGCAGTCTCGCCAGCCAATCCCCTCCCCCGCATTGTCAGACAATCACATGCGAGCCTCTTACTCTCATTTAGCGCCGGCTGCGACAGTCATGCAGTACTGTTCCCCCTTGCTCCTGAACCTCATCTACTTGCCATGGCTACCAAGGAGCTTAAGACTCTGACGCGCGAGGAGGTCGCGAAGGTGCGCTTTCTTGGGCTCAGGGGACGGACAGACAGGCTGACAGCCGCCGAAGCACAATAAGGAGGGAGATCTCGTCAGTAGAGATCATATCGCTTACAAGAGCGTCAAGCTTGACATCTCACCCTCTTATAGTGGCTAGCCATCGACGGCAAGGTCTACGATGTCAGCAGATTCATGGGCATGCACCCCGGTGGCGCCTCCGTCCTCCTCGACCCGGAAGTCGGTGCGTGTCCTCCCCCGCACCCTACCCCACGGGGCTGACACCCCCTCCCCCATCCAGCCGGGCAAGACGCGACGGAAGCTTTCTACTCCCTCCACCGACACGAAGTGCTCCTCCGCCCCCAGTACCAGCGCCTGCAGATCGGCGTGATCGAGGGCGAGCGGAGCGTGATCACTAGTCGTGTGCCGGGCGAGCTGAGCAAGGTCCCATATGCGGAGCCGACGTGGTTGTCGGCGGGGTATCATAGCCCGTACTACAGCGAGAACCACCGGAAGTTCCAGAAGGCGGTCCGCAAGTTCTTCGACGAGGTCGTGCAGCCGGATGCGAATGTGCGTGAACTACCAATCAAGAGGTTAATGGGTGAACTGACTTCCACACAGGCAAGAGAAGCGGATGGCAAGCGCCCGAGCCAGAGTGTGATCGACGAGATGGCGTACGGTGAACCGACCGTATCTCTACTCCCTATGCTCACGAATCGCACAGCAAGCTCGGCTTGATACACATGCGCATGGGTCCCGGCAAGCATCTGAAGGGTCAGACCCTCATGGGTGGCATCGTGAAGCCGGAGGAATTCGACTACTTCCACGAGCTTATCATCACACAAGAGTTTGCGCGCGTTGGGCAGCGTGGATATGGCGATGGTGAGCCAGATCTCTAGTACATCTTGGGCGTGGTTGTTGATCCTCGTAGGTCTCCTTGCCGGAACCGTCATCGGCCTCCCGCCAGTGTTGAACTTCGGGTCCCCGGAGCTGCAGGCGAAGGTTGTTCCTGAGGTCTTGTCGGGGAAGAAGCCAATATGTCTCGCAATCTCCGAGGCGTTCGCGGGATCGGATGTACAAGGGTAGGCGTTCTCTTGTGGCATCCAACGTGCGCCCTCTCAACCACGCGTAGCTTGCGCACCACGGCGACGAAGACCGAGGACGGCAAGCACTGGGTCATCAACGGCACGAAGAAGTGGATCACGAACGGCACCTTCTCGCACTACTTCACCGTCGGGTGCAAGACCGAGGACGGCTTCACGGTCATCCTCGTCGAGCGCGGCGAGGGCGTGGAGACGAAGTCGATCAAGACTAGTTATGTGCGTTCGGATTTGATGATCTGTCGTCACCTCAGCATGTCCTCGACTCAAAATGCCGTCGACTCAGAACGCTTCTCATTACTTACTTGTGAACTACTTTCACTGACCACTCACCCTCTAGTCCCCCACCGCCGGCACCGCGTACATCACCTTCGAGAACGTGAAGGTCCCCGTGGAGAACACGCTCGGGCCCGAGGGCGGCGGCGTGTTCGTAATGCTGAGCAACTTCAATCACGAGCGCTGGGTGATGATCTGCTCGTCGGCGCGCTCGCATCGGTTGGTGGTGGAGGAGTGTTTGAAGTGAGTGGGGTTCTCATTGTGCCGCTTGTTGTTTTTGCTGCGGGGGCTCGGGCGCATCTTCGTTGGTTTCTGTGAACTGAATAGGCGCTGATGAGTACTTTCTAGATGGACCAACCAGCGCAAAGCTTTTGGCAAGCCCCTGCACTCGCAGGCGGTCATTCGCGCGAAGCTTGCGTCCATGATCGCGCGCGCGGAGAGCGTGCAGAACTGGCTGGAGAATATCACCTACCAGATGAACAACATGGTGCGTCGCTGGTATCTGATTAGTGAAATGGGGGTGTTATGGGTGACGTGGCGGCGAAAATTGGGCGAGAGAAGGCGATGGGCGAAGGGGGGAGGAGAAGGAGGCAGGAGAAGACGGTGAAGGTGGCGATAGAGACGCACGCCGGAGCGAAAATCGCTCAGACCGCGGAGGCTTTCGTTGCGCGCTCGGTCTTTGTATGGGCGACGTGGCTGATCGATGTCTCTTTGCAGTCCTACAAGCAGCAGGCGTCGAAGCTCGCGGGGTGAGTACTGCTCCTCTGTATCCACTTCCACAACAGAAGGACCTCACACTGACACACGTGGGGTTACAGGCAAATAGGCTTGCTGAAGATGTACGCGACGCGGACGGCGCAGCTGACGGCAACGGATGCGGTGCAGGTTGGTTGGCGATCCATGGCGCTCGACGTACAGATGCTGACCACGCTTTACCCTGTAGATCTTTGGTGGCCGCGGTGTCACGCAATCTGGTATGGGCTCTGCGATCGAGCACTACCACCGCACGGTGCCCTTCGACTCGTGAGTGCAATTGCTTCCCTCGGATATTCTCTTGCTAACGCTCGGTTCCAGCATCCTCGGCGGAGGTACGATGCTTTTTTGCGGGGCTGCCGTACTTGACACTGATCCCTTCACTCACAGCGGAGGACGTGTTGGGCGACTTGGGCGTGCGGCAGGCAATTCGGCAAATGCCGAAGGACGCCCGGCTTTAGGGTCGGTGGCTGTATACCCACGAACTTGTACTTCAGTCTTCAGTACACTTTGTACCACTACTCTTGCATCTATACGGAACGTATCCTTATTTTCTTCATATCTTACTGGGGGAAGAAACTTCATGGCGCGAGTCATTGAGCACAAATCAGGTTTTTGTACGGCCCATATTGTCATGGCTGTATGCGGCGTTATGCGGCCTGCAGCTGGTGAGGCTACTCCCTAGGCCGGTAGTCACTGTCTGGAGAGAAGGAAAAAGCAGTCCTTAGGGGGCGATGCAGAAGTACTTGTTAGGTATTGATGGGTAGGCGGCCCAGGCCCGGGTCGCACCTGAAGAAACTGTCTTCACGTAGGTCGAGCCATATGAGCAAGCTCGCGTGAAGTCGTTTCCAGGGAGGCAGAAGTCATTCAGGCCCTCATAAGCGCGGTCATTCATTCAAGAAGTGAGTAGTCGTCTACATGTAGCGGCAATGTCCCGTTGAGCCTGAAATCCTCCCTACCGGCGGAAGGGCGAGTTCTGCGTCCTGAGACCCGCGTTTGCAGCGGTAGAGCCCGGTGCTGACCACCCGAACCACTTGAAGACGACGTTCTTGGCAAAGATTTCGCCAAAGCCGAGCATGACGCCGTTGACGAAGGGCAGGAAGAGGTTGATCGCGAGCGCGGAAGCCAATGCGACAGCGCGTGACCGGGGCGGGAGGGACGCATCGAATACGTCCAACGAGACCGAGCGAACCTGCACCTCGCGTTCCCTGTGCGCGGGGGAGGACGCGTCGGTGTGCAGCTCGGGGAAAGTCATGGAGGGGTAGGACGAGGTGAGGTCGGAGGGGACGTTCTCCCATTTTTGCGAGTTGTCGTCCTCGGTGTGCTGTGCAGTGTGCGACGTGCCTTCGGGGCGGCCGGCCTCTTGTGAGGTTGCGTGCCACTATAGCAGTATGTGAGTATCTACGCATACTTCCCAGTATGACAGCACACGCACCTGCTTCTGGAACTCGCCCGCCACCAGGTCGCGCACATCCGCGGGGCTCGGTGACGCGGCTGTCGGCTGCGCTGGCGTAGCCTGCGCATTCGACACCTGCTCCCAAGCCGAGGACGCAGCGAGGGACTCCGCCTGGCTGCCTCCCGCTGCGCGCTCCGCGGCTCGGATCTCCTCCCACTTCTGGCGCTCCTTCTCGGCCTTCTCGCGCGCTTCGGCGGACTGCGCCTTCCAGGACGCGACGTACGCGTCGTACTGCGCTTTCCACTCCTCCTCCGTCATGTCCGCAGGGGGATGTGTGAGGTCGGGCTGCGGTGGGGGTGCATCTTGAGAGGCTGGGGGCTCCTCGGGCGCTGCAGCTTGCGGCTCAGGAGCTGGCGGCTGCGTTGGGGGAAGGTCGAATGCGCCGGTGAGCGATTCCTGGTCTATGTTCAGTAATCCCCCTGTTCCGTAGAGTATAACACACCTCGAGAACGGACTCGACGCGCTCTGCAGCCATGATCACGGTGCCCGTCAAGGATATTGCGACGAGATTCGGCGTCGCGGCGGCGAGAGCCTGCAGTCCACGTGCGGCACGTGTGACCGCCACAAAGGTTACAAAATCCGAAAGTCGAACTTGACGATGTCTTCCATGTTCTTCAAGTCTTCACTGCTGCTGGCAACCAGGGCTCATGGGCTGTTGCTCAGCAGTGCTTATCAGCATTTCCAACACGCGAACGGCCCACTTGCACTTGGTGATAATGGCTTGTGATCACCTGGTTCTCGGCGAAGAGACGACCATCAAGCTAGAGGAAGTCTCTGGCAAGGTCATTGCTGCTATTCCACCCTCATCTGACTTGCTTCTCGAGGTCCTTATGAGAATTATAGGCCTGATCTGCGCTGTACGTATGCTGAACAATGTGAGTCATTGCGCTGTTCATAAAGACCGTTACCAGCGTGCTAGATGCCCGTCTATGTCGTGAGGGGTCCCCCATTCTCCTCCAGATCTATATGCCTGAACCAGTCAATGAGTGAGCTAGACCTCCTCTCCAGGCCAGATGATGATACCCCAGGTTCTCCCAGAATACCCTCCTCCTTCTGCCCACCGCTAATACGTACAAATTACACGAAGGACGCCCAGCTGCCGGCGGCTCGCCCCGCTGCCGGGTCAGTTGCCTTCATAACCTCCGAGGGGACACGCGCTCTCGGGAGGCTGGGTCTGCGCGGCCGGCTTTTGATGACGAAACCATCGATGGGCAGCCTCGCGCCGGCCCGCACGACCCTGGGGCGCACCTGCCTCTCGTGTCGATGGCGCGCGCGGATCTGGTCCCAAAGGCAGCTTTGACCCTTGCTCGAGGTGTGACAGTGCGCGGGCGGGCGAGGGACTTTGGGCAGGGAACAACTCAGTGAGGTTTGAGCCAGCCGGAGGTGGCACGGCTTTGGGTCCGCGCGGGTTCGAATGCGAATGACGCCGTGGCGCATCGATAGCAGCCTCTCACGCCCCGCGCATATAAACGGCCCCGGTACAGGGCCGGAGGTCCTACCCCATACGCCTCTAATTCTTGGCTTTATATCCCACCCTTAAGGCTTTGTCTTGTTCACGGTCCACGCTTCCTCCCTACTCGACCTCACTGCCTAACGGCACACCTCAACGTTCCGCTAGGCCCGACTTAAGACTCTCAAACCTCCGACCTGCTTTCTCGTCACCTTAGCCCTGCCCTGGAATTATTCTTGCGACCACCTCGGACTCGTTACGCGAGATGTGCTACCGCCAAACGTACGTCGTGCTTCCGACCTCACGTACGATACTCTCTCACTAACCTGCCGTAGCGTGGGGGATATCTACGAGGCATGCAATGTACGTACCGCTTATTGTCTTCATTCCTTTGCGGTCTTACGCTTTCACGCTACTTCCCCATCTCCATGCGCCTCCGATATGGCCTCGTTTCTTGTCCGTTTGTCTAGTCCTCTCCTTCCTCCACGAAATCATCTAGCTTTGCTTCGGAATTTTTCTCGTACACTTGACCCAAACCTCTCCCGCTCTCCTCATCACCTTCTGCACCTCTCCTGACCCTCGCTGACCCTGCCTCAGTGCTTCTACATGCTCTACAATATTCCCGGCACGATTGACTGCGAGGACCCGCTCTGCATACACAGCACGTTGCATAGGCATACGCATCCCAACTGCGGCTGTCGTGATGTACGTGAGCATGACTCTGTTTCTCAGTCTGCCCTCCCATTCAAGACTACATTTTCCTTGTTTTTGCTTATCACCCCCCATTCCATGGTTGCCCTCATTCCCGTCGACGACTACCCACCATGTTTCTTCTCAAATACGGGACTTGTCCCTATATTCTTTGTCCCAGCCGCGTTCATCCCACCAAGCCTGTCTCACATTCCCCTTCGAATGTCACCGTTGCTTTATTTTTCCTCACACGCTGACCACCTCCCTCAGCAAATCATCGAAATTCGCAAGGCGCGCAACCGCTTTCATTTCGCCTGCGATGATTGTCGCCGCCGCGAATTCGACCGGCGGGCGCGCGAGCCCGTACGCGGGAGATAACGACTACGTCTGGAGGGAGGTGGGACTGCTAGCGTCCACATCCCTGGAGACGTTGCCTTGCGAGAGATAGCCAGCGCGAAGGTCTTGCGTCAAGGCCTCGCGTGACCCACACGTCCCTGTACAGGTTTCCTTCTTACCCATTGTGTAACAACAGCATGCTGTATTCTATTGTATTGCTTGGATCTGTGACGTCGTTTGGCCTCTTTCGCCTAGTATCATCCTAGTAGGCGGAACGAGCCACTTCTGGCCGAGTTGGCGGACGAAAGCGATTGGCGAGCGCCGACCAAAGCAAGGAGAGATCATACCGGCTGGCGCTTGGGTTCTGCGCATGAGCATGCGGGTGAGGGGGAATTGGGGAAGGGCGAGGGCCAGGGGTACCGTAGAGGCTCTCCACCTCCACGCGCCAGGCGTCGCTCCAGGCATACGCCTCGCACGGATCTGAGGAGAAAGGGAGGTGAGAAGCACGCTTGGTCGACAGACATGACGCGAGGGCGTTCGCTCATAGAGGCAGAATCGCGCACGCGACCTCGCTCACCATACAAGCATAGGCCACTTCGCGACGTCGACAGCTACCGCGACTGAGTGCGCTGAGCCCCGCCACAGCCGATAGACGCGCCCAGGCACGCGAGGGCGTCGGGTGGTCAGGTGGGTAAGCGAGGATGATTGTCGGGATCTGTAGGTTGGCCACATCGGTTTTTCAGCACGAGTAGCGAGGGGCACGTCAAGCGGCCGCGGCCTTAGTTGGCCTCTCAATGTCCTACCATACGCGCTGTATCAGTCGGACGATCCCGAGTATTGCGTAGCGGGAATCATCAGGGAGGTAATTTGTTCGGCGCGTAGGCAGTACCGAAAGGCATGGGCCTCGAAGTACAAGTGCAATCTACCTAAACTGGGAATGGTAAGAAAGAATGACCAACTGTAGCATAATAGGTTGAAGCATTACGCACCCAACTCACGAGTCGTCATCCCCTTGACCGCACAAAGCACCTTCCCGAGTTTCCCATGCAGTTCATGTACTTACGCCCCAATTTCCAAACCTCCAATGGGCTCACAAAACTTGTCTTCCATCAGAAACGCTTCCTGCCACGTCTGAGCGGCTGTCGCGTCCCTCGTCTCGTTGGCTGATCATCGTCGCTCGACGATTCCGTCCGCGTACGCTTCGGTGGAGGCGCAGGGCTATCCGAGTCCGAGGAGTCCACCACCCGCGCCTTCGGAGCCGGCATGCTTCCCTGAGCCTGAGGCTTCGAGCTTCCTGCCCTCGCGGCACTACTGGCAGGCCTGGACGTAGTCGAGGCATTGACGCTACTGGAAGGTTTGGCGCTACTCGTAGGCTTCAGCGAGCCCTCTGCACCCAGCTTCGCCTTCATGGACGGCGGCGGCGAGGGAGATGAAGACAGCAGCGGGGAGATGCGGCGCGACGCGGGCTTGGAAGCCGCGGCTTTGCCCTTGTTGCTTGGGGCCACGACCTTTTTCGGAGGTGGCGCATCTTCGTCGTCAGTCGAGGACTCGGTCACGGATTCGTCTGCTGGCGCGTCCGATGTCTGCGGTAGGCAATTCGACGAGCGGTAGGCGCGATAGGGAGGAGTAGCATGCGGGCGACGTCGAGAGAAGGTGATGGCGTATGGGTCGGGCGCCGCAGGCAAAGTAAAGTCGAGGCAGGTTTTCCGGTTTTGGGGAATGAGGTAGAAAGACGCAGAACAATGACAGCATGGATGGTTGGAACCGCAATACGAGGCCAGCAAAGTAGGAGAGGAAGCAAATTAGCATATAGCACGTAGCCCCGACCGAGCAGCATGAGGACCAGAAGAGGGGTAGAAAGAGGAAGGAGGTTCCCAAGAAGCCAAATTCGCGGAGTTTGAAGGCATGGGCGTACGCAAGGGGGCGATCAGGAAGGCATTGCGGACATTGAGCGAGATGTGGGATTCAGTCAAATAAATACGCACCTTCGCCGCCGGCGGTGGAGTCGACGTTCGACGAGGTGCGGGAGCGGGCGAGTCGCTGTCGACCTCTATTGGCGACCCCCTGGAGGGCGGTGGAGGCGACTGGGCCTGAGGTGTAGGCGAACGCACTGACGGCGGGCGCGACGATTTCTTCGCTGACGACGGTGGCGCACGACGCGAAGGGACCTCACGTCGGATGTCTTGCGGTAGCTCTTCCGGCGCGCTGAGGTCCGGCTTTTCTGCGGTCGATACAATGCGCGCTGTTTTCGGGGCAATTTGTCGGTAGAGGAGAGATAGCAGAGGCGTTAGTGGCGATGAAAGACTCTGGATCGAGAGGATAGAAGCAGGACAGGAAGCATGGATGTGGAAGGAAGGGTAGATAAGACGCGACCATAAGGGATTAGGAGGGGACAAGATCTGAAGGATTCGAACGAAAAGGGAAATTTACGAAGGAGTTCAGGTGCAGGACCGAGGTAGGCGGTTGCTTGTGAGGATAAGGGGACTCACGTAGAGGTTCTGGTAGGAAATTGAGTATGGCGCTCATCCGGCGAAGACATGTGGCGGCGCGAGGTTTGGCGATTGCATTTCGGACATGAGTGTCTGGCGTTCGACGTGCCGTGCGCCCGACCTTGTCGACTGCCTGAGGTACTGTGTCAGTACCGAGCGGGCATTTCAAATAATATGACAAGAGGGATAAAGCAGCTAGCGGCATAGATGGTGTTGTGAAACTCCTCAACACCTACCTTCTGTAGGTCATCGTCCGTCATTTCTGCGATGACTTCCTGACTTCCAAGCGCAAAGTGAGAGAGACTGATCATCGGCATGATGAGCTGCTGGGAAAGCAATTCTGCAGAGAGCCGATATCCAACGAAGGTCGTCTCCCAAACCCAGGTGAAGGACTCGGCCTCGATGCGCACAGCGAAGTCCTGAAGTTGTAAATCAATATGAGTCTCGCGAGCATCGACAGAAGTATATTTTATCATCCAATGACGCAGGTAGCGCGTGATGATTACCAGATGGAGGAGAAGGATAATGCTACGCACCGAATATCGTGTCGACACTACTTCAAAAGCCAAGTCGGCGAAGGCGCCAACAGAGTGCGCCTTTCCGAGGAGATCTAGTCGTGCTTCTCGCCATTTGTCTTCTTCTTGCTCGTCAAGAAGCGCATACGACTGCGCCTTTGGGTTCGTTGTGCGCCATCGCCTTGCAAATTGTGCACTGGTCATCGCTACATGCGATGCAAATGAGTCGCTTGACTTGATAAACTTCCAAGCAGATACATCATACACACCTTCTGCCCATACTTTGCGAGTGTCGGTGATCATCATTACGCAGGATAGATTCGCTGGGTTTGTGGCGAATTTCTGGGGTTCAATTGACAGTCAGCGATGGACAATTTATGATAAGACTTCGAAGATAGAAAGCCAGTGACACAGAGAGAAAGGAGAGTTAAAGACGAAGGGGGGAGGTTTTGAGAGAACCATTTCACTTACAAGTAAATATGGTTTGGACGTCGATGCATCTGTCTTCGCGAGCCATTCTTGACCAATCAAGCGCTTGGCATGTTCCTTTGGGCCAGTATTACGCAGTAAGTTTGGATCACTCTTTGATAGAAGTAAATTCCGTTGCTGACCTCTGTTAAGGTATCCATCACTTTTGAAAAGGCCAACGTATGCCGGCGCTACTAGTTAGTAGGACGCTACCAATCGATCGCTCTGAGCGGGGGAAGCCCGCAAAGTCGCAGGTCAGACAAGATATATGGAGGAATTCGATACAGCCTTAGTTTATGGACCAATTCTGACGGCGTAAGTTGAGCAGCGGCGGTAGCTGGGTGGTGGTTCAAGTTGAAAGGCCCCGCACGTGGTTCCGTATGTCAAAATCACGCACGTGCATTTTCGGCGAGCGCCGGAATCACGTGCATCCGTTGATTTCGGCCCGAAATTCCCTGTCAGGCGCATTTTCTTCTTCTTGTCTCTCCCGGTCATGTTCACAGCGCGAGCGTTCTCAAGATACTCAAGTCGAAGCTCTGCATCCCTCTGTCTGTTCTCATAATGTAGGGACAGACCCTGTCAGGCCATTTGACCGACGAAAGGCCGCCCGATCTGCTGGCTTTGCCGACTAGTTTCCTTTCGACCGCATATATGCGTTTGTTCTTACTACGGCAACTAATCCTGGCGGGACTGAAGTGGTCGTCAATTACAAAGCTACGCTCTGTCTGTCCTTACTTGACCGGCCTCAGTACTTCGGCACGTCGCCATCGTTTTGTCGCCATCGTCGCCTTCAAGTCCTATCTCTGCGTCCCCGCCCGCGAACGACCAGAAATCCACCTACCTTGTGGAGCTTTCTGACGATGACTTGAAGGCGCATGCTGAATGCGGCATATTGTACTGACCGTGCTTACTTCGCGGGTGCCTCGCTATACATCAGGGCAACTCATCCTTCTGGCCCCTACGCTGGCTCGCTCGTACCTTTACTCAAACTGACGACAACTCTGAACCTGCTGGCGAATTATACGGATCCTTCGCTTTGTTTCGCCCGAAGCCTTGCTTCTTCGATCTCTCTCGCACACTCGCGGTGCATTGGCTTTCACCTCTGGGTTACTCTGGCAACTTTCTCACTTCGTACACTCGGCGAACCCCCTCCAGCTTCAATTTGGCTCTGACGCCGCTGCGATATTCGTCCGCGTCCTTCTTCCTCCCGCTTCTACCCTCGTTGTCTTCTCTCTTCGCTGTTCTTCAAACCTACTGCTTCCCGGATGCAATCCCCCCAATTTTCCATCGTTTGCTCGTGATTGTAGCCCTCTTGTAGGAATTTGACCCCTCGTCAAGCCCTTATTAGTACTATTCATTGTTACACAAGTCCCGGGGACCTTGTTACTTCGGCGAGCAGCATTTTTGGATCTCCCTTCATATCAGCCACCTCCCCTTCTTCAGGCTTGATATTCCCTTATATTTCCATTCAAGTTCTCTTCGCCGGGCCATGCTTTTGTTGCGCATACGGCCACGGCACTGGGCAACATCGTCAACAATATATGCATCGGGGCCATGTATAGGGGTGCCACCGGAATCAATTTTACGCGACGTTCACTAGACTCTTCCACCCTCTAGTCAGTGAAGGACTGGACTCCTAGTCAACAGGGGCCTCTTCTGTCGGTCCTGGGACGGGCGGTACCGACCTGACGCCGACGTGCCGATTGGCGGTGCTGCAGGTAAGCGCCGTCCATTCATGTTTCTCTGTCGACCCTCCTTCTGCTGTGTCCCATCCCAGCGGCCCTCTTATCGATGGGTGCGCCCACTCACCGTCGACTCACCATGAATGAGTGGTGACTCAGACGGAGGCGTGGGAGTCGCCCAGTGCGTCACCTGGGGGCATGTGGCGGTCGCGCTTTGACCGCATGGCTGCTGTCGCGAACAGCTACTTAGCAGCAGGCCAGTAAGCGCTGTCGATGCGCGAGGGCGATGTCCAATGAGCAGCAGAAGACGGACCAAATAGCAGCGCGCCTTTACACGAAGCTCGCCCACGTCGTCAACCACGGACGCGCGACAGACGCCCGCCCCGGAAAGACAGACAAATGGGTGAGTGCCCCGCAGTTGCATGTGCTACAACGCCCGCTCACCAGCTTGTCTCTTGTTCAGTTCAATCTCGACCTCCCCGACTCTGAGGTCCTCACGCGCGAAGACCGCGAGCGCTACAAGGCCGTATCTATTCCCCCGCACCCCCCGCCACTCGAGCTCCAGGTCCTGCTCACCGTCCCGCCGGCGCCTAACCAGGCGCTTGTCTACGCCCCGCAAGATGCACCGCGCGTCCGCGTCGAGCCCGCCCCGCGCGCGGTCGTCCTCGAGTCCTGGACGCTCACCTTCGTCCCCCGCGGCGAGCTCGACCCCGATCTGCCCGCCGCGACGACGTACAAGCACGGCATCTCGCTCTTCCGCAGCGTCTTCACGCTGCTGCGCCTCCTTCCCGCATGGCGCCTCTGCAAGAAGCTGCGCAGGAGGGGCAACGGCCTCGCCGTCCAGCTGCGCGTCAAGCCCCCTGGTCCCGAGGCGCCCGGCATGAGCGCCAGCGGCGCGTGGGATGGTATCATGGGCATGCGTGCGTTCTCTGCTCAACATGTCGTGATAAGCACTCACATCCCCCCAGATATGCCCCCCGCGCCCTCGTCCGCGCCCCTGCCCACCTCCACGCACACGTTCGCGCCCATTCCCCACGCCGCCGGCCTCTTCTCCCTATCAGCCACCTACCTCACCACCCCCGAATTCTCGCTCGAGTCGCTCGAGAGCTTGCTCTCGTCGCGCTTCCTGTCCGAGGGCCCCGACTTTGTGCCCACGCTGCGCAAGAACCAGCAGCGCGACAGCGTCGTCGGCTCCTCTGGCTCGCTCGGCCTCGGTTCCACCCGCGCGCCACCCACGCGATCACCACCGCGCGACATTCCACTCTCGGGGCGCTCGCCGCCACATACGAGCAGTCCGCTTGCAAGATCGCCACCGCGACAGCCGGTGTCACTCCCGCGCTCACGCACGAGCTCGCTCGCATCCGCGTCGGCGTCCGTGCGTTCGCATGCGGCGGACCCGCCATCCCTCGCAGCGCGCCTCCGCCGCGAGAGCGCCACCGGGCGCGCAAGCCCTGACGCGCCCTACACCTCACGCGCAGCCACCGCACCTGCACCCGACCTCAACACCTCGCCCCTGCCCATCGGCACAGCGCCGACGCGGCCGAGCATCAATCCCTTCAAGTCGGGCACCGTCAGCGAGAGCCTCGGGGGCGGCACTGGCAGTCTGGGCGGCGTCGCAGGCAGCCTCGGCAACTCGCCAGGTCTCGCATCGCGCCGGCAGGCTCCTATGTCCTCCAAGCCCTTCCCTCCAGCGCAATTCCCGCCTTCGCCCAGCGCATCGACGCGCGGGCCGCCGAGTCCTTCGCTGCGCGGAACGTCGAGTCCCTTCCCGAGCCCTTCTCTCCGGCCCGCGCCAAGTCCGCCGGGGAGCCGCCCGGCATCCCCCCTTGAGCGGGAACGTCGCATCTCAGAGCTCGGTGCGCCCGAGCCCAGGCCCGTGGCGACCCGCAAGCGCTATTCAAGCTCGTTCGGCCACCGGTACGAAGCCGCGGGAAGCGTCGGCAGTGGCCGCGGCGTGGGTGTGCCCAGCAGCTTTGGGAGTGCAAGGCCAGGAAGCATCGGCAGCGGGCAGCCAGGCAGCGCAGGAAGCGGACTGGGGCGGGCGGGAAGTACGGGGAGCGGGCCTGGGAAGCCGGGGAGCTACGGTAGTGGTCCGGGACCCAGTCGCCCAGGGAGCGTGGGGAGCGCAGCGCAGGTCCCGCCGGCTCAGCTGCCGCCGCCGGGCTCGTCGTTCCTCAGCACGACGACGGACGACGACGAGATCTCGGCGTTTGTGCAGGATATCGACAGGAGGAAGCCATTGCAAGCAAGGCCTCCGCCTGCGAGGGGAGGGGAGGAGGAGCGGGACAAGCGCTCGCCGCCAAAGCGAAACCCACTGCGCGAGGAGCGAACGATTACACCTGAAGACATACGCCGCTCATCACCGAGCACGTCGGATGCTCGCCCGCCTCCTTCACATCGGCGGTCCCTCACCGCACAAGCACCTCGCCCGCCAGCGCCTGAAGAAGGGCCTGAGATGGCGCGTTCCCCACCCGGTCGCGTGCTCGCAACAGAAGACGAAGTCGACGCTCGCCTCCGTGCGATGAGCGATCAGTTTGCAGAGAGCCTACGCGGGCTAGGCAGCCGCCGGCGCGCCGTACCTGCTGGGAGTGGGGGGAACAGCGCTGGTGGGAGCGGACCTGGCAGCAGCGCGGCGAGCAGGCTCGCTGAGGAAGGCGGGACGGGGAGCCAAGGCTCGGAGGAAGTCATCGGCCGCCTCGAGCTCGAGGGACAAGGCGAGGGTGGTGCGAGTCCCGGGCAGCTGGGCTTCCGCCGTGGGGGCGCACGGCCGCCGCGCTGAAGGTGGGAAGCACTACAAGGTTCGTGAGGAGGAGGCGAAGCATCTTTTCTTATGGATTCACGACCGGACCCGACTGGACTGCGCGCGTTTATGTGTATACTGTCCACCCCTCATGCGTAATCCTCTGTACACATACGTTCTACATACATTTCTCTCTCTCTGTCTCCGTCCCGTAGCTTGCTATCTATGCCTGGGTGATGCCTAGATGTGACCGGTTTCTGCAGCGTACTTATTCATACATTTGTAGCATTTGTGAATGGAATGGCTTGCTTGATATATTTTCTGTTCTGATGCGTGCAGAGTAGACGTCAGCCGTCCAGAGTAGCAGTCACTCAGTAGTCGATAGGCAATCTCACTGGCTGTGACGAAGATTCGAACTTACGGGACAATAGCACGTGCACTAAGTTACTGAAGGAGAGATTTGATGAGGCATCGTCCCTTGTCCCATTCCATCACAACAAGCGGACGCCCACAAGCCCCGACTGACCAAAACAGTTGTCTGTTCCACAAGAGACAGGGTACGCGCTAGGGCTCTTGCAAAGACGCCACTCAGACGATGAGCACCGTAAAGGGTGATGTTTATGGTCCAGAGTTGGAATTTCCTGGCGACTCGTCAACAGCCTCATATGCTGCGTACGGGGTCCCAGACGGCACTACGTCAAACCATCCCCTCGCAGAACACCAGGAGGAGGGAGAAATACAGGACGAAGTCGACTACCCGTCGAAGTCTAAGCTCCACCCGATATTTCGCTTGGTGGTTGACAGCTCATCCATCTTACCCCCCAAACATCGCATCGCCGTCATAGACGGATATTCGTCCGTCGAAATTGGCAGAGATGCTCAGATACAGGGCTCTACGACCCCGCGAGTCCGCTTAAAGGAGCTCGAGGTCTCCAAGATCCACGCGACGGCGTACTGGGACGGCGCGCAAAAGGAGTGGAATATCGTAGACATGGGCTCCAAACATGGAACTTTCGTTCGAGCAGCGGCAGACCCCCAGGGCTCGGACGCTCGCTTGTCGCAGCCACGCGTAGCTAGCCTACCTCGACGTCTCTCGCATGCGGACGCGCTCACAATCGGCGGTACGGTCTTCACGGTGCATATCCACAGCGACGGTCTCGCATGCGAGGAGTGCTCCATAGGCACGCTTACGCAGGAGATACCCCTCTTCCCGAAGACGAAGACCGCCGGCGTGAAGCGCACGAGGGAGGACGCCCAAATTGACGAGGCAGCGCCTATCGCCCAACCTCGTGTCAACGCGAAGCGCGCTCTGCATTCCTTGCGGAGCGAATTGCTTTCTCGCACCACCGCATCCGCCGCCATTTCAGGACCCACGAAGGAGTACACCGACCGCTCAGCGCGCCGCCGGGCGCTCCAACCTACGCCACACACGATGAGCCCAGGCGTGCAGACGCCCAGGGTGTACAGCCCTGCACCGCCGAAACCGGTACCACTCTCCCGCCCCGCGCCGTCCTGGGAGCCGCCTCCGCGACCGCGTACGCCTACTTCGGCGCCTCCTGTGCCCATAGCGGCGAGCAGTATAGGGCACAAGCTCCTGATGAAGCAGGGGTGGGAACCTGGGACGGCGCTGGGCACTTCGTCCGCGGATGACGAGGGCGGCGAGCGGATGGCGCTACTGGAGCCACTGCAGACCGTCGTTCTGGGGAAGCGCGCAGGGTTGGGGTCTACGCCTGCGTCTGGGTCGTCGACGCCGCAGCCGGCGGGCGATGGCGATTGGAAGGAGGAGGCTCGCAGACGGCGGTGGCAGTCTACTCAATGATAATCACTCCAGATTTTCCTTTGCAGATGCGGTAAATTGGTGGTAGTACAGTGTAATGATTCAGGAACGGGAAAACTATGAGTAGAAGAGAGCGGTCATTAGTAGCTATGCGCAACAGTACAGTAGAAACGAAAGCGATGCTCGAAAGCCTAGAGAAAACAGAGAAAACAAGGAATTCAGTCAGTCATTCTATCACCCTCTAAACGCCAGCGCCATCTCAATCTTCTCATTCAAACTTGGCTCCCCTAAATGCACCACGTCGATATCGCACGGGCCCGCATAGTCGTACCTCCCATTCTTCCTCCCCTTCTCCCCCAGCTTCTTCCATCCCTTCCGGAGGAACGCCCCAATGTCACTTGGCGTCATCTTCTTGATGAACCCGACCAGCTCGTCTGGCGTCTTGGGATCCTGATCCACCCACGTTGGCAAGCCCATGCCGCAGCACCAGGCCCTGGGGGCCCCGAGTCCGTCGTGCGGCGCGCCTGCGGTGCGCGCGACGAGCTCGAGCATGCCGGCGAGCCAGCCGCGGCGGTAGTCGTCGAAGGTGGGCGCGTCCCAGTCGCGGGCGGCGAAGAAGCGGGTGGTGAGCCCGAGGGGGTTGTGCGCGAAGCCTTCGACGGCGTGGGCGTGGCCCATGAGGTACTTTTCGGAGCGTGGGGGAGGTGGTGGAGGCGGAGGGGAAGGCGAGGGAGGAGGGAGGGGGGAAGTGGGTGTGGGGGCGCGCTCGACCACTGCTTGAGTGGGAGCTGGCGACGGGGCACGAGAGGCGTTCTCTGATAGCGGGAGTGGAGGTTGCGGAGAAAGAGGGCAGACGTCGTACATGTCGGATTCATCTTCGGAAGGCGCAGGCGAGGACGCACGCGAGCTCTGCGGCGACCCGGCAGAAGACTCTTCGTACTCCTCCAAGGTAGATGAGTGAAAATCTGCGATGCTTGGCGCCTTCGTGTTGGAAGTCACAGCCCAAATATCCCCGATCTCGTCCCATATCTCCTCCAAAAACTCTGCCATCTCCTCCGAAGTCATATGCTTGAACCGCGTGGCGCAGGTCTCCGCGTCGCACTTCCCGCTGCCCGCATGCGCGAAGTAGTTCTTGGCAAAGTCGGCGACGGTGAAGCGCTTGGGGACGACGGCGTTGAAGGGACCGAGGTACTCGCTACCCCCCATGAGCCGGATGAGCAGAAGCATGGCCTCGAGATAGGCGCCGCGAAATTTGGCGAGTTCCTCTAGGGTGAAGTTCTGGATGGTTTGGCAACGTTCTTCGCGCCGGTCGGCTCCATACAGCGCCTGGCACGTCCCGAGCCACTTCTCCTTCTCGATAGATCGCTGGGTTGTGTAAGCCAGGGCAGCCGAAGCAGGTACACTCTTACTCACCATTGCAGAATCCAGGAGGACATGGGACGTCGCAGTGAGGAAGTCTTCAAGCTGTGTCTGGTCCATGGAGCAGAGCACATCCTTTGCAATGACCTCGCCGTCGCGAAGTGCGTTCAAGCCATATTCGAAGCAGTCTATGTCGAGGGCTTTGCGTGTCCTTGGACCCGCCGCACAAAGCTCACGCATACTGGCGCGCCAACCGGCGATATAGGCAAAGGCTTCTTCCTTGCGCTCGCGTGGCATGAGAATATCGTCGACGCGCTCGCATTCCCCCTCCAGAATGACTTGCGTCGCCGTTTGCACGCCCCAGTTGTACATGTACTGCTGGTCACCCGTGTTTTCCCATGCCGCGAAGTCCATTCCCTCCTCCACGCGGTTCGCGAATAGCTTACGAATGAACGCGGGGAAGGTATCGAGGAAAGAGCATTGTTCGACAACAGCCTGTGGGACGAAATCGGTTTCATCTGCGTGGTCGAAGCCCATCCAGAAGGCGAGCGTCAGGACGGCGACGTCGTGGTGTAGGTGACCCTTGGTGTGGGACTTCGCAAGCGTGAGGGACGCGTACACCTCGCTGGCGAGCGAGGGCGGTTTGAGTAGGTTGATGGCGACTTCGGCGCTCTTTTGTACAGCTGGCGGGGTCTCAGGCGCATCTGAGGGCTCGAGCTGGTCTGTTGGCAGAACCTCTGGCGGCACGTCCGCGCTGGGCTTGTGAGAATCATCGGCATCGAGGTCGAGGCGGTCTTGGTCTTCAGATACAGCATCAATAACACGGTCGATGCGCGCATCAGGCGTGTACACACCACTCCTTTCCTCGTCAACCGACTTGGGAGGGGGAACCGGGTCATACACAGTCTCGCTATCATCTGAGATGGACTTCAGAGGCATGTTCACCCACTAAGTGGAAACTGAGAGCGTACCGGAAGCGTGCATCTCGGAGGCATCAGAGTCCTTGGAGATGAGGTTCCATGCTGAGAGATACGTCTTGCCCTCGGGCGGGTACTTATCGAGCGTATACTGATCAGCATCAAGTGTTGGCATGTTGTTGCCAGCTAAGAATTATTAGGATCGCACACTCTGGGGAAAGAACGGCAGACTCACAAACGTCCTCCCCGTCGAGGTAAGAGAAGTCATCGGTGGGTTCGGGGATGGACTCTTCGTCATCGTCGTCGCTCTCGGCATCAGAGCAGAGGGGCTCGGGAGACGGTTCTGTATCGCCTTCAGCTGGGAGTCGCGCACATTTGGCAGGGTAATTTACCTTCTTCGCTGCCTTCGGAGGCCGCCATGTCGTCTTGGGGCTCCGAGGAGTGTTCGTCGGAGTTGCCTTCATCGTCTGGGACAACACTGATGAGGTCAACGTTATGAACGGGAACGAGGTGCTTACCATCTGAGTCGGTGACGGGCTGCAATTCGGAGAGTTTTCCCTCATCGACGTCAGGTGCGCTGGCGTCTGGAGCGACAGATGGCATGAGGGCCGATGCGGGTACAAGCGGAGCGAAAGCTATCCAGCCGAAGAAAATGCGTTCTGAGTGCAATGCATGAGCAAGTGAGCGGTCAAAGGGCTCCTCCTTACGCACCTCCATTTGCATCGCGCCGGTATTCAGGAGGGAGAAGTTGTTCGGTGTGAGGGGCTAGGACAGGGTGTGAGAGAACTTGGCGCCATTCGGCCTCTGGTACTGGTTCCATAGGGTGCATTTGGGACACAAGAGCGAGCCTCAGGAGAGCGTGGGCAACGAGGGGGCTATGTGGCAAAGACTTGATCTCATTGGAGGGCTCGGAATCGGCTATACAATGATTGATCAATCGTGTGGCAATGATGAGTAGGCGCGGCGTACCGGTGATGGTGGTCGGCTGAGGAGACAGAGGGGGTGGAGGAGTTGAGAATTGAGCGCGGGAGCCGATCGTGCCAAGTGCCTATAGGTACTGCGTCAGCAACGACAGACTCACTCGGACACTGAGCAAGTACGCACGAGCAGAAAGCCGAAGAGAAGCGTGAGGAGGGACAGCCACGACAAGAAGGAGGTCATGGTATCGATAGTGGCAAAGAAGTATGGTTCGGGAAGGGGTAGTGGCAATGCAGCTGTGATGGAGGCCGCGACGGTTGTGGTGGTTGCGGTGACGATCTCGTCCTCGGGAGAGACAATGGGCAGAGCACAAGGCTCGATGTCGAATAAGCGCCGACCAAGCGTGTCGAGGAGGTCCGGGCGTGTTGCGCATGCGAGCGCAGAGAGCCGCGCCCACATAACAGACATGGTGAAGGTGAGAGGAGTATGTGTGAGTGCTCACTCGTTGCGCGCTATGTGATAGCGGGATACAAGCGGGGGTGGGGAGGAAAGAGTGCAAGGGCGCCCGCTTTTTATGGGCCTCCTCACGTGCTGTTGCCGCCAGAAGCTGTGCGCACATCAGCAGGTGACGACGGAAGACAATTAGCGAACAAGGACACATCATACGGAAGGGGTTATGATGAAATGAGCGGGGGCATCCTTATTGTTTCCTTTCTGGGTGATCCCGTTGTACCGCATACTCGGTGCCGCGAAGAGCATGCGGCCGACGGTGAAGGGTGGATATCGTCGTCAGGTCTCGTCAAACTATTGGTCAATAGGACGGAAAAGCTGGAAGAACAGAAGTGTAGCGTGCGAGAAAACCTGAGAAGCCCGTGTTAGGACCAGCGGTGTCGGCTACATGAGCAGTCGATATTCGTTGCTCAGACTCCCAGAAGAGCCGCCCAGCCAGCCGGATGAGAGTGCTAAAAGTATACGTTGATACACAATCGATGGATCTGACTGTGGTGGCAAGAGGCAAGAAGGCTCACGGAATTTACGAGTCAATTATTTTGGATTATTTGTCCTACTTTGGCCATACTGTATGTGTCCGGCGCGTCGACGGACCGACGTACCAACACAAACTTTGGAACTTAAAGAGACTCCGGTTTCTGGACGCAAAGGCACAGTCGAGTGTCTTGAAGAGAACTAAGTATACCTTCTTATAATCAAAGTCCTAAGTCTCATGCATCTCCACTAGGACACCCTTCCTGGCAAGGTTTGGCTTCACCGTCTTCGGTCTTTGCGCGCAGGATATGAACTGTCATTGTTCATACGCTGCCGGAAACGCTTAGGCAGTCTCTGCATCTAGTACACTGGTCAGCTTCTCGCCGAAGCCTTATGAGCGGACTCCAGCTCCAGTAATGGCACGCGATTGAGTAGGGTACATGGATAGACTGGTGCTCGATCAGCCAGCTGCGGATGCTCTTACTGGCGAGCTTTCGCATAGGTACGCAGGTAAAGAGTAGAGACCTTGAGCGACAGGAAGAGAGAGGCCGGCCTCGTGCGAGTACGCAGATTCTATCGGCAAAATATAGTCGCTCTCCGTGGGATGCAAGAAATGCCCTCATTCATGGCCACGGGCAGTCCCGCGCATATGGTGTACACAGGCGCTACCAGCTGTTTGTTGATCCAGGGAAGTCGACGCCGTGATATAATAGCACGTACCGATACACAATGCTTGCTTTTGAGCCCGCTCGGCACAAAGTAACAGAGACGGGCAAGGGCAGCGCTGGGTTTCCAGGTCGCCGTCGAGTTGATCCTTGCCTTGTCAAGCTCGCAAAAGTGATAGCCGCGAGCGAGAGCGTCTTCAATGAGGCAATTTGAGAAGCGAAGCACTTGAAGGAGACGCGTAGAAATAAAGAGAACCTTCTCAAGCTCCGTCGTCCTGGGAAATTGGGCCAGACGTCACAGTTGTTATGTAGATATGGTGGAAAAGTATGTCCTGGACGACAGCACACGGCGCGATACTTGGCATGGCCATGTCCAGTGGGCGCCTGAACGAAAGGATTTTCGCCGGGCGGGATTGACGGATTAGGAAGTTTATCACTCCACGTGGCGGGCTGCGTGACGAGGTTGAACTTTGCAAGATGTTGGACTTTCACCATCTCTCCTTGATCTCTCATCCTTCGGCTCAACCACGACAACAATGCGCATAAGTCTGACAATGTTGACTTACTGACATCTGCAACTAGCGAGAAGATAATGTCGATCAGCTCTCCATCGTCCGTCTTCGCTCCAAGACAGTAATTTTCGCATGTCGCGTCTCATGAAGTTGTGAACTAGACCTGCATTGGCATACTACTGAGTCCTATCTGTCCGCGATGAAAGGGAACAAGATATGGATATACTGTCATTTTTTGGGATGCGGTGAGATACACAGCCCTGCTTGAGCGCGCGAATTATGGCTTCTCTCGAAGTCCCGTACTGAGCACGAGTGGTCTGAACAATGCACTTGCAATTCTCCCATCTACACCTTTCGACCACCCCCTACTATACTCTAGTACCTACGATCCCGTACGAAGAGGACGATGTGGCGACTACGTAGTAAATCGGATTTAATCGTGAACGTCCTAGTCGAAGAGCAGTACCGCGGTAGACCTTGGCGACGTTAGTAAATATACAGACAGAATTGTGAAGCTCTCCGGCAGTTGAGACTTGGAATGTGGGCGACTCGAGGGCGACGGGGCGTGCCCGACGTCGGCCAAATATTTGATTGTTGGTTGTCTCTCACCATCGTGCCTCTCCACATTTTGCCCGTCGCGGCACCCCTTCTTCAGCGCTGCTCATTGCGCCGTATTTCTCAAGTCCATTGCGTTTGTTCCATAGTCCTTCGTCGGTTGAGATAGCGGTGTCTGGACCACCCAAAGGCCGTCTCTCTCTTTTTCCAGCTTTCTTTCCGTTTCCTCGATAATCTCATACATGGCGACTACCGCTCGCCCGCTCAAGCCAGGAAAGAAGGCGCCAGGGCCCGAGCCCGCCAGGTGCGTCCCCTTTGCCCTGCAACGAACGGCACTGATTGGGCCGCAGACGGACACCCGCGTGGACAGGCGCGCGCGCATCCCCGACCTTCTCTCCCAGCGGCACCCCGCGCCCGCCGAGCGCAGCCCCGACAGCAGCGAACCCGAACGCACCAGCAGCGACGAACGGCAGCGCCAAACCAGAGGACAGCGTCCTGCGCCCGTTGACAGGCCTGATAGTGCGTCGCCGCGCGCATCGCCCACCCACATATACTCATCCCCTCTCCCTCAGGGCACGACGATCACGCTGCAGACCAAGACCGGCGCGCACTACGAGGGCGTCGTCATGTCGACGAGCGGCGAGGGCGACACCACCGGCGTCACTCTTAAGGACGTCAAGGATATCAACCACCCGGGCGGTGCACTCAAGGACCAGCAATTCGTTGCATCCACAAACATCGATAAGTGGTCGTCGGGACCCGCGATCGTTGCCAGCGCCCCCGACACGTTCCGCACAGACACGGACATCAGCGCCAAGAAGGGCCCAGGGCGTGAACGGGAGTTGCAAGCATGGCAACCGAGCAGCGACGGCGGCAGTGGCGGGGGCATCGGCGGCGGCAGCGGTCCTTCTGGCGACGAGCTCACCTTCGGCCCCGGTGCATCCGGCAACACGAGCTGGGATCAGTTCGCGACGAACGAGAAATTGTTTGGCGTCAAGACCGACTTCGACGAGAACATCTACACTACGAAGCTGGATCGTAGCGGGCCCAACTTCAAGGAGCGCGAGCGTGAGGCCCAGCGTATCGCTAATGAGATCCAAGGGGTGCGTTAGATGCCGTTTGGCCTCGATCGGGTGCTAAATATATATTCAGACTGCCTCGAGCAACCCTCACATCAACGAGGAACGCAATCTCGTCGATGACAGCGGCGTGAACGAGGAGGACCGCTACGGTGCAGTCGTTCGCGGTCCAAATGCATATGTTCCTCCAGGCGCCCGCAAGGCCGGCGATGGACCCGCCCCCAAGGCCGAGGTGCCCAAGGTCTCCGTCAACGGGCCCGATGGCAAGGCTGCCCAGCCCGCATCACCCGCTCCGGCTGCTAACAAGGTGCGCTAGGCGCCGATTATACCCCACACATGCTCACGGTTCATAGCCGGCTGCCGAGGCTGCCTTCCGCGAGTTCGTGCAGGGCGAGAAGCAGCGTCTTACGCTCAAGCGCCAGGCCATCGTCAAGAGCGAGATGGATAAGAAGATGGCTGAGCTGATCAAGTTCAGCCAGAGCTTCAAGGTGTCGTAGCACGTCGTCGTCCTGGTAACGGTTGTTAACACTTGCGCAGCTTAACAAGCCCATTCCCGAGGATCTCGTCAACATTCTCGCCAAGGATGAGGAGAAGCAGAAGGCTATCAAGGAGAAAGCCCAGAAGGACGCTGCGGCGGCCAATGCTCGCAGCATAGGCCCGTCGTCCACCGCTACGCAGACGGCGGCTCCTGGCGTGCCTCGTAGCGTGTTACCTCCCCCGAGCAACAAGCTCAAGTCGACCACGGTCTCGCCCAAGGAGAGGCCCCTCGCCGCTCCTCCCGCGAGCGCGTCGAATACGAAGACGACTGCGGCGAAGCCCTCGGACAAGCCCCGCCTGAGCGCTAGCGGGAAGCCGCTTGTGCCCATGGTCATCCAGCCGATCCCGCCGTTCAAGGGCCCCAAGTCGCGTCCCGTGTCGCAACAGCCGACGCCTAGCAGTGCGCAGGCCCCCTTGAGCCCGAACGGGATCAACAAGTTGAACGTGAACGCGTCGTCGTTCAAGCCCGGGCCCAAGGCATGTTTTGGACGCACGTAATCTCACACGGATTAAGCTCACGGCATCATACGCAGGGATCGCCGGCGCCATCGCCGTCGCCGGTCGCCCCTACGCCCAACGGCGCGCCCGCCGGGAAGCCGAAGCCAGAAGCAGTGCGTTGGTCTGCAGCGTGGTGAACACGCTCTCACACTACATTCCCAGCCGAACCCCTTCTTCGGAACGCGCCCCCTGCGCAAGCTCCCCGCCGTTCACCTTAAGGATGACTTCAACCCGTTCAAGTCCGGGAAGGTCATGGACAATGCGCGCGAAGTTGGTCAGTGCGGCTTCTCGGCGAAATAGGCTCGCGCTGACGTATGACTGCCGTAGCCCCCGCATGGCCGTACAGTGGCAAGCGCTTCATGCTCATGTTCCCGATGCCGCAGCAGCAGCAACAACAGCAGCAGCCACCCCAGCCGTCGCCGCACATGGTGCAGCCGGTACCCCCGCCGATGCCCCCTCCGACGTACGAGGATCCCGACGCTAACCAGCAAGCGCAAGCGCGTGGATACGTGTACGCGTACCCGCCATATGCTTATCCGGGACAGGTATGCGAATGAGTACGAACATGAGAGCGATGTGCTTAAGAAGTTCGTAGATGATGCAGCCGATGATGCCACCGCCGGGTCCCCCGGGGGCTTATATGCCTGGACCGTATATGCAGCCTATGCCGTATCCTCCGGGGATGCCGCCCAACGGTCAGTATGGTTCGTAGTCCATACAATTACTGAACTTCAGGTGCTAACAGCAGGATCAGTCGCTATGTACCCGCCGGGTATGCAGATGCCGCCTCCTCAGGGCTATATGCAGCCCCCACCACACCCAGGTTACCCGCAGCCACCGAATGGTGCGGGTCCACGACAGTCGATGCCGGCGACGCCCATTCCGCCGCACGCGCACCCTTCGTACTACCACCAGAGCCCGCAGCGTGAGTGCTGCTTGTTCTACGATTGAAAACTATCGCTGACTGCCTCGCTAGTTGCCCATGCCGTGCCGTATCCGATGATGATGCCTCCGCCGCCGAACGTTCCGCACCAGGGGTACGAGGGCGCCCCTGCGCCACCCGTGCAGATGGGCGGGCATGCATGAGGCGGGCGCGACTACGACCACGCTTACGATTAGTGAGAGGGGGAAGGACCTTCCTTGATTTTAGACGGGTGAGGGGGTAATGGATGGATGGGGTGACCCGCTCGACCCGTCGTTTTTATCGATCGTTTCTACTCTCGTATCCTGCCGTTTTCGTCTTCTCACCTCATCTCACGCTGCCCCTGCGTACGCTTCACCCTCTACGTACGTCTCTCGCCTCTCCTCCGCTCCACGTACTCCCACTCTTCCTCACGTACGTACCTCTCTTGCTAGCTAGCTGCCGGTTCCTCCCTTCGCGATGTTGTGCTAGTACTACAGTTCTGCGCGATGTTGTGTTGTCGATGCTTTCTTCACAAAATTTGGTGGGCGGATAGCTTGCGCTGTGTGTGAAGGCATGCAGACGGCATGTGTAAAGCGACCAGGCAGTACGTGCGAAGATCAGTGCAGCTGGCCATATCGGTGCAAAGTGGAAATTTCCAATTTCTATCATTTGGCAGGTCTTCCCGCGCTCTCTCACCTGGTCGGTCGTGAGACAGGTATCGAGATGCCGCCAGCGACCGAGCTTCAGGATGTTCTCTCTTCCTTCCTCGCCGTCACTCTAAAGAAACCAAATGCACCATCTTCTCGTAAAGCGCTGGCGGAACTTAAAGCTGCCCTCGCTCGTGGCCAACTCTTTCGCAACTTTGACCAGGGCCCACCTCAACGACAACCTGGTAAACCACCGTTGCGACTGCCCTCTTCTGCCACCCAGCTGGCCAGGGAAGAGCTAAAGCGATACGTGTCGCTCTGCAGTGAGATCGACGCCCTCCGGCTGTCGAAATACCCGTCGCGCCTGTGGGACTCCCTCTACGCGGTGGTGCCAGTCGTCCTGCAGTGGGTGGACTTTCTGCACCCCATGAACAGGAATATCATGCGAGCAGAGGACTTTGTGCCGTACTCCCACGACATCGGTCTTCTCTTTAGGATGATCCTGGACGGTCTTGTACGCCCACGCATCACTGCTGAAGACCGGAGCCTTCGCAGCTGGCTCTCGAGCACTCGTCTGGACGTCTACCTCGTGGACCTCTGGCTGCATCTACCGCGATACGTTCCGGCACCGCCAGGCGAGATGATCGCCGGGATGCTGAGGTGGATGTATATGTTCTGTCTCTGCCTGCCGTTGTCGTCGGGCGGCTTTCCAGAATCTCCATCCATCAGCGCAGAGATGGGGCGTATCGTCGCCTCCTGCGTCAAGGGCCGACCCCGCCGCCTCTATCGGGCCATCTCGTACTACGCCCAGGCGGTACGCACGATGGAGTCCGAGCTGTCGGAGGACCTCTACGAGCTGGCATACCACTTGATGACCGACTGCGCGGAGCTGGCCCCGCGCTCCGTGCCCGATGCCTCAGTCGCCGATATCATCGCCGCCATGTCGTACGCCAACGACGCCAAGGCATGGAAAGTCGCGGTGGACGCCTGCTTGTATCTGCAGCACCTCTGGATGTTCGCGTCGAGCTATCGCATCTACGAGGTTTCCATCAAGGCCGGCTTATTCAATGCCATGGTGCGCATGATCGAGGCGGTGCCGCAGACCGAGGACGAGCTGCAAGTCAAGATCACGGCGATGATTGGCGGACTCACGCGAATATTCAACTATTGGAGGCCTTTTCTGGCTTTTCATGTCGCAAATGGACCAACGCTGCTGAAGGACGAAGCGCGATTGACCACCCTGAACGAAGCATTCGAGGACCTTGCTTTCGCCTACGAGGAGCGGTATCCCTCGCTCGATATCGTGCAACAACAGCGGCGAGCCATGCGCATGCATTGTCAAGGCTGCTGCACAGACAAGGTGATTCAGTTTCAAAACCTGGCCTTTTCTGCGAGAATAATCGTTTGTACAGCAGGAGGATGGCAGTTGCTGTAAACGAGCCGGCGCTACGAGGATGCTGCGTTGCGGCAGGTGCGAAAACGCCTTCTATTGCTCTGAGGATTGCAGGAAGAAGGATTGGCGCGGTAAACACAATACCGTGTGTCGTGCGCCTACAGGTTAGCTCAGCTCACCTCTGGAGTTTGGCGCACTGCTGACACAGTTTTCCAGGGTGGATGAACGCGCGAGATATGGCTCTCATTGGTCACGTCTCCATGGCCTACTTGCACGCCAACGTGAGGGCTGTGGTCGCGGAGGTCTCGATGCGCGATCCTGACCGCCGTCGCCACTGCGACATCATCGTACTCCTCGTTGGCCATAAGTCAGGGCATGTGGTAGGTGATCTGGACGAGTGCGAGTCCGGACCGCGTATCTGCTCAATCTACTGCGTATGGGAAGACGGGCCAGAGCGGCGATTCGGGCCTGTGGAGAGCACGCCCATGGTTGGATTGGAGTATCGGGTCCTTCATGAGCAGCTGGCGAAGTATCCAACAGAGCTTCTTCAAGATATGGATTCCGAGCGAAACCTGTCAGTGTCATCAGAGGAACGCCGGGAGACGCTCGACCGGCGCAATATGGAGATGCTGAAAGTGAGGAAGTTGCGGGAGAGGTTGAAGGTCGTTGAGGAGGAAATCAAGGCTCTGGCTAACGATATCAGGGACATATCTACGTAGTGTTCTCCTCTATATATTCCTGCGAGCTTTGCCCCATCGAAGGTACCACAAAAGATAGTTCGTCCTATCCGAGGATCGAGTGACCAAATATTTGGTCGTTTGTTGTCCCCATTCGGACATCCTTTTGCCAAGGCTTGTTGACTTGTCCTTCTCCATCATCTCGCTCCGCTATGACCCTCCGAACCTCGTCTCGGATATCCTACTGCACAATGAACAATCGATGGAGAACGTAAAACATGTCCATGGCGTCGGTACGACGGCGACAGATGCAGTCATACATGGAGTCAGCGCCCTAAGCCTTCTCGTCACCCCGGCGTCATTGTCGTCAACGATGAAGAGGAACCCCTTATAAGCGGCAGCTTGCTACGGCACGATCTTCAGTACATCCTTCCCCATCTTTGCTCGCGAACATAGCACGAATTACAATGGGATCTGACCAGCCTATCACTGCATACGACGTCGCGGTCCCGGAGAAGCAGAAACAGAATTTGCCTGGTTTGGACAAGAAGATCGAGCGTGCGCGTGTTCCGACTGTGCTTGATGTACCTCTTCTGACAGCGCTTCAGCGGGACTGGAGTACAGCCGTCTTGAAGAATGGGACGAGGAGGGGAACCCTCGTCTGGTCGAATATCAGGGTGCGGGAAAGTGCGTAGACTGCTCCCCCGCGACTTCGTTCGTGTACTGATTGTCCCCTTCCTTGTAGGCTGAAGAACAAGGCTATTATCGTCACCGGAGGTGACTCTGGCATCGGACGCGCGACTGCGATCGCCTTCGCGCGTGAAGGCGCGTCAGGGATCACGATCACATACCTACCCGAGGAGGAGGCGGACGCGAGGGATGCGAAGAAGGATATCGAGGCGTCAGGCGCGAAGGTCATAACCGTCAAGGTGGACCTGGTCAACGAGGTCGACTGCAAACGCGTCGTCGACGAGCACGTCAAGGCGTTTGGCCGCGTCGACGTCCTCGTCAACAACGCGTCAAGACAAGTGTACGTCCCTTTCGATCCATCGCCCAGGCGCCTAGGATATAACGCATCCTCATCCCAGAATCAACTCCGACTTCGCCACCATCGACCTGAAGGAAGTGCACAACACCTTCCAGGCGAACATCCTCCAGATGATCACGACCACGAAGTACGCGCTCCCGCACATGAAGCGCGGGTCCGCCATCATCAATACTACATCTGTCACCGCGTACAAGGGTAGCGCGTCGCTCATCGACTACTCGTCGACGAAGGGCGCGATCGTGACGTTCACAAGATCGCTGGCGCTGCAGTTAGCGCCGAAGGGCATCCGGGTGAATGCAGTCGCGCCGGGGGTTGTGATTACGGCGTTGCAGGCTGGCTCGCGGGGCGCGGAGGATATGGAGGGGCTTGGGCTTGGGATTCCGCTGCTCAATCGCGGTGCTCAGCCTGCTGAGATGGCCCCGACATATGGTGAGTGCCTATCGTATGTTTTAGTGCCTAATTCATCAACTTAACACTCCTCAGTCTACCTTGCAAGTGCTCGGGACTCAAATTTCATGACGGGTGCGGTCTTGCATATCAATGGTCCGTGTCAACGATCAAGGGTGACCTCTGGTGAAGCTGACAATCGAATGTCTCTAGGTGGTCAACATGTCGGGGGATCGTAAGGATCGCAGCATATTGTATCACGCGTGCGGATAGGGCACTGAATATCACGTTCATAATGGCAGCATTTGAGACCGCTAGCAACGATGAGCGCGCCCTCGTGAATCCATCAGCTTCTCGCCTACGGTAACATTCACGTATACTTGCTCCTGCTCTCAAACGCAGTGCAAGTATACGTACGTTCGTCAGGCCGTCCTCAAGCGGTGTCCTGACACAGTTCCGCCAGCGCTCCTAGGCCTCCTATTCAAATGCAAAATCAGCATACTAGGGTTTCCATCCTAGCAAGTATACAGCACGTCCGGAACAATGATCTGGACTGACACTGTGCACGCAACGGCCCTGAGAATTCGCCGACGTGTGAAAACGACAAGTAAGCCTAGAAAATGCTCTCTGGAGATCCCACTGCTGATCATTGACGCTCATCCTGCGCGGTCGGCGAGACGAAGCGCGGCATGTTGAAGTCAGGGCGCCCATTCAAGCAGCCTACATCCGGTAAGTACACCTGCACATTCTCATGCTCACGCTGCTACAGCATTTCCAAAGCTTGTCGCTTTACGCTTCGTGCTGTAGCAGCGCAGCTGAAGCTCGAGTCTCATTATCCATAACAGGTAGCAAGAAATTCACGCCGGAGAAAGCAACTCCATCTGAAACGCACAAGGATACGACTGGTCATCCCGCTGGAATACAAGACACGGGTGTGCACTTCGATCCGGAGACACGAGGTGGTGCTCACTTGAACTCGTCCGTGCAGTTCAGGAGATGGCTGACCCTGCTTTCGTTAGAATTTCTCTACTTCGATGATGGGATCCGTCGGCCCGATCCCCCTTTCGCAGGTGCAGGCCCGAGCGCTCGAGTCTGGCACATGTACGCGCGTGAAGTCACCGCCTTTGATGCCGACACTGTCACTGGTTGGATGGATAATCTCGATGTTTTCCTGGTATTCGTGCGTCATAAAACAGAATGGTTCATTCACTGTCTAACGCTCACATAGGTCGGTCTATTCTCAGCTGTCGTGACATCCTTTCTCGTTCAATCCGCACAAGGTCTTACGGATTCCAACAAAATCAACTCCTATCTGCTGGGGGAGCTCATCGCCCTTCAACGCGCGGCAGCACTCGGTATATCTCCCTACGACGTGCCTCCGTCGTCTTTCGGTCCAGAATCGTTCACGGGCAGGACGGTTGACGTGCTCATCAATGGGCTTTGGCTCGCGAGCCTAACGGTATCGCTTGCGTCGGCCTTGGTCGCTGCGCTGGCCAAACAGTGGCTCCATCATTATGCTTCTAGAACGCCAGGAACGCAGCGCGACCGTGTCTTGCTACAGCAGTACCGCTTCATGGCGATTGAGAAATGGCACATCCCATTCATCGTCGGCATGCTGCCCATGACGCTGCATGTCTCGATATTTCTTTTCTGGGCCGGGCTTGCGGTGTACTTCGCGTCTGTGAACACCGCCCTTTTCTATACGATTGTGGTGCTCTCGGGCGTTACGTTGGCCTTCTACGTCGTGGTCCACGTCCTCCCCATATTCAAGACCGATTGCGCGTATATCACGCCGTTCACGGAGCACATCTACCCCATACTCTGTCTCTTCCGCGAGTGGCTCTACGGCAACCTCTCTGCCATACATCTGCGCCAGCTGGACCCTCTCTCGAAATCTACGGAGGACTCATCCGAGAAGCGCTCGCTCAAGAGGGAGCAGCTTAAGCAAGTCAAGCGGGACGTCGACACCCTCGCTGCGCATTCTCTCATTCGGCTGCATGCCTTCTCCCCGCACACCTCTATCCCCGAACTCATCACCGAAGCTATCGCAGGTACACCAGCATCCATGACGGTGCTTAACCTGGTACAACAATGCCGTCCTCTACGGGACGATGTGGTGGAATACTGCACGCGCGTCACTTCGTTCCAACCGTCAGCAGCTGATGAAAGAAGCGTCTTCGCGGCTCAGCTCGCTCAGCTCCTCCTCGTGACGTCCTCGCGTGACATATCGACGGCATCTGCGCGCGACAACGACACAGATGTCAACGACAAGGACGCCCCCGTACTCCTGGCGCCAGAAGAGAAGCCGACTTTGCAGAACGCTATCACGCTCCTGTACGGCTTACGAAAGGCTTTTGTCCAGTACGACCTCGGCAAAGCCCCTGCTCCGAGCCAGGATGTCATGCTGGTCTACGTAGGGCAGGTGCTTAAATTCGTGGATTCTAATGTGGGCTTGCCACCCGTCGTCTGGCTCAAGATGGCCCATTACCTACGAGATATCAGCGGCAAGATGCACCCAACGGACGTCGCGAAGCGCCAGGTCTCAGCATACCGAACGATTTCCGGCTTGGTTGCTGCTATAGGTCCCGATTTGGTCACAGACGACGATCAGTCGGTTCTACAGCGACTATGGGATCGACCTCATCTCCTATCGTTCCAGGAAGTACACGACATGATGGCACCCCATCTGTACAACGTCCTCCGCAAAATCACTATCGTAGCCTCGGGGAGTCCATTGCAGCCCACGGTGATCTTTCACGCTCCCAGCCCTCTATATGCACGGCTTCATATATATCTGAATATTCTTTCCTCTTACAAACAGTACTACGACGCTACCCCTCAGCCTCACCACGCTCACGGCGACAAACTGAGCGTCAGGGTACAGGACGTTTTGGAACAGCTTTATGGGACTATGAAAACTCTAGCTCACGAGAAGCGTCGAGCACCGATGCTGTACGACATATGCATCACTGTCTTCCGAGCCCTCGCTGAAGATGCCACGCCAGCCACCGCGTACCCCACCAAATCGATGCTCGAGTTGATGGAGATGGTCATCACGCGATTGGTGTCAACCCCGACATCGGCTTTCATCCAGGCTACAGCACAGCGTAGGACGCAGCTCTGCCGCTTGCTCGTTCGCTTCATCCTGATAGCATTGTCTATATGCGCGCACGATGATGGCACTTACTCCAAGGCCTTCATGTACGAAGGCGAGTCGAAGGCGGGTGGGGGCAAACTACTTGTATCGATGCTCTATCGGTTGGTGGCGCGGCCTGGGTCCCACGATGCCGATTCCCTGGACCACGAGTTTCGCGCACACAAGGGTCTCAACGCGCTGCATCGTTTGTTTCCCATCGAATTCGACCCATCCCCAAAAACACATCTCGGCGACTTGATATCCGTGGTACGCTGGTATGTCGATACAAGCGTCCGTACTGTGCTCAATCATCATTCGGCAACCTGCGACCAGGGCGGAGATGACTGTGAAAACTGCCAGCGTACCGCCATCGTCAGCTCTCTAGCAGACGTCGATATTCTGTGCTGGCTGTTTTGGCTTGATGGGTATATCTGTCGCGCGGGATATAACGATCGCACGGGTTCTATTTCTCAACGCAACGGAGGAATCATCCGCCTTCTTACCCGTCTGAGGGGAGAACCTCGCAATAGCCCTCCACCTTGGGTAGAGCTTGCTGCGCCACATATGCAGCCACTACCCATGGAGGCGGCGTGGGGACGGCTCAAGAAGGAATTCGTGTCTTCTCTGCCATTTACTACCACTGAAGAGACCTTCTGGCGCATCTATATCTATCATGAACTTGGTTCCTTCCTTGCATTCCTGCGCCAGCACTGGAAAGCGAAGAAATACATGTAGGTCTTCACACGCTTCAGCCGACTTTGGCTCACTGTCGTTAGTGTGCCTCCCAAACTATACGAAGAGAGCAAGGAGGAGACGTCGCAACAGAGTCTTGCCGCCGCAGATGCACTGGACCGTGCGGCATATACCGACGAGGCAGCCGGTCAGTTACTGGAACTCCTCGGTATGGACGACACTCTGCGACAGCTGCCTTTCCACTATTGCGACATACCCTCGACAAGCAGACGGCGACCTAAAGTCGACTCGAGTTTGGCCGATGCATACGCCGAAGCGCGCGCCTCTGCTACAGCCCTCGACGAAAGAATCAGGAACCTCATTGTGAAGCATTTCGGTGACCTACATGACCCAGGCAATAGCCTGCGCGAGCTGCCATACTACTCGATCTCTATCGCGGATGATGACGAGTCTGCGGCTCGCCAGAGGAGTGCGGATGTCATCGACGCACACGAAAGAGACGGCTCTAGTGATACTAGCGCTTTGGCAATTGCTGGAGGGGACGTCGACGCAGCGTTACTTGATCAGCCTCACCGGTTGCTTGAATGGCGCTCACCGGTGGGTATAGAGAGTCACGCACAAATCAGCGAGGAGCCAGGGGAGACAGATAGCATCCATTCGCAACTAAGAGGGGTAGAGGCCACTTCGGGAGGAACCACCGCCGAAGAAGTCGAAAAGTAGGGCATTCATACACATCGTACGAAGGGTAGCGTCACTCTCTCGCGCAGTCACACATATCCTGACGATTCTGACATAGGAAGCAATGGCGGGCGTGGATTAGCTATATCTCATGTCAGCTATGAACAAAAGAATGAAGCCTCGTGCCTACCTTTGGCTCGAAAGGGTTGGCTACCTCACGAGGTAGGACGGTCAGAGTACCCTGTCGCATTTCACGCTATTCAGGACGTAGACATACGATCAGGAGAGATGCTACGACTGCGCGACCGGAAGCGTGACCCCGACCGTGAGCGCGACGGGCTGCGGGACACATATCGCGACCCCGCCTCCGACGGCGTCTTGTCGCTCCTGCTGAGACTCCGCCCGCGCGCGCGGTCAGGACTGACGCTCCCGTCCTTGCTCCTATAGCCTCCTGGACTCGACCTGCTCCGGCTCCGGCTCCTACTTCGACTGTGGCTCCGATCCCGCTCGTCGTCGCTCCGGCCCTCGAGTGCATCGAGCAGCCGGCTCTTCCGCGGCCCAATCTCGCCGTTTTCTTCGAGGATCTCGCGCTTTTGTAGGCGGGGGAGAATGATGTCGCATACGCGCTCTTCGGTAAGGAGGGAGTCGACGAATTCGTCGATGAAGGTGAGGCGATAACCGCCTGGGAAGAATGTCATTGGTCGGATGCGGCAGAGGGACGGGAGACGCACCCATGTCACGGTAGCGTATTTTGCGATAGTCTTTCAGCAAGGGCTCGAGTAGTTCGTACACGTCGACAGCGCGGAATGTCATGCGGATGTACATTGCTGCCAGGGCTCGCAGATATCTGACTTCTGCGTCAGGGAGAGCAAGAGACCGAGGAGCAGAAGGCGCACTTGAATTCATCTGCTTGTAAATATTCCACCAGGATCTCCTTCTCGGGCTGAATTTGCAAGAGCTTCAGGAGCAAGCATAGGAATTCGGTAGGACGCTGGTTTCCGTAGACACCACCGATCGCACGCAAGGAGATGGCTTTGTCAATGAGACTCTCGGCTGAAGGTAGTATAAGTGATATTAGCGACGGATACTTGAAGGGGACGCACCGGTCAGCGCAAAGCAGTGCTCCTTCCAGTAGCTCGACTCCCATATGCGGTTACGGATGACGGTTTCTACAAGGAACTGCGTTCATCAGGAATGCTCATGTAGAGCTATATCGATGCATACCTGAGGATTCTGGCCATGAATCTGCTTCGCATCGCGAACTGTCGTATTCGCCATGATGGGGGAGGACAAGTCCAATATTCCGCCGTCACGCTGTCACCTATACGGTCATGTGATTGTCGTGACGAGCGCGCGCCGCGCCGTTGATCCGGCTGGACCGTGCAAGCTTGACCTCGACGGCCACAACGACGACGACGCGCGTTCGCAAGACATGAGCCCTGGCCCCGAAGCTCGGAACGCGGCACTTGCGAAACTCAGGGAGGGGCTAGCCTCGCCCGATGGCGCCCTCGACCCCATCGGCGTCTACGACGACTTCGTGAAATGGACGACTTCAAACTATAACGAGAGTGATGCGAACTCGGGCCTGAAGGAGATTCTGGCGGAGGCGACAGAAAAGTTCAAGAACGATGATATCGCGAAGGTCGACATGCGATATGTCAAGTTTTGGAGAAGTTATGCGAGGCTGCAGTCCAGAGCCGAAGCGATTACGACGTACGAGAGGATGATGTCGCACGGGGTAGGGACCGTGTTCTCCCCTGTATATCAAGAGGCGGCAGTGCTGTACGAGCAGGACGGAAGGTGCGTCCTCCGTCAAAGTGACCCGGCGACTTTACTGACCGTGCACGCAGACTTGATGACGCAGAGACTCTGTACCGTAAAGGCATCAAGCGCCAGGCGAGACCGCTAGACTGGCTCAGGACTCAGTACAAGGAGTTCCGAAGACGTACTGGCCGATCAGCACGAAAATCATCCTCCTCGACCGCGCCTTCCTCATCCTCAGCCCCTCCTCCTAGAGCACCTGCACCCGCACCCGCATCGGCCTCTTCATCCTCCAGTACTGTCGCCGTACGATCGACCGCCGCGCAACGCTATGCAGTCATGCTCGAGCCAAATCCGCCTGGCAAGCGTCCAGAGAAATTCATGTTCAATTTTGCCCTACTTTGGACCGATGACGGAGGCGAGTTCAACATCGCGGAAGCTCGCGCCCGATCCATGGGCCTGCTCGACAAGAGATGGAACCCGCCACCCGCGTCGGAAAGCCGGCTCGCGCCAGGCAACATGCCCTCCACCTCCGAGAGCACCGGGATGCACACTACGCGCACGCTCAAGCGGAAGAGCATCATGGGTGGCGGGCCCGAGCCGACGATGACGATCAACACGAAGGAGGCGCTCGCGGACGTGTTTGGCATGTACAACTCGCCCGAGCGGACGATGCGGCATGCGCAGGTCGCGGGTGGGAAGCACGCGCCTCTGATGAAGGTCGATATCACTCCGTCAATACAGTTTGAGAAGAGGATCGCAGGTTCGTTGGTGTCCAGATTCCGTACAACTCATCTGACTGACGTTGGGTCAGAGCTGCAACCATTACCCGAAGAGATACCTCCTTCCTTCCGACCTGGACAAGGTACGCTTCGCGGTCTGTCGCTCGCTCATGATGCTTATTCGCACAGCTTCAGCGTTCAAACCCTTTGTCGATGCGCAACCCACCCCTAGATCCAACTCTCCCGGTAAGTTGTCAGCATATCATGCTGACGGACAGCTAACTCTTGTTATAGCTGACAATCAACCCAAACTTGCCGCGCGTATGTTACTTCCACTCACCGAGATTGATTTGTGCTTATCGAACTGTAGCTTTCCAACCCTTTGTCGATAACTCTGCGTCCAAATCATCAGGTGAGCACTCTTTCTTCCGTAGAGTTCATATCGCCTGACAAATGTCTCGTAGCCTTCCGGCCTTTCGTGGACAACGAACCTGCCCCACAAAGCCAGAAGAAGCGCAGCAAGGTAGATTTACACGCATATATCCACTTTCCCGTCTAATCTCGCTTCCTAGCTCATGCCTTTCGTCGACCCCGAAAACGCGCCCCGCGCCGCGCTCGGCATCAAGGATACCTCCACCGACCACAACCCCTTCGCGCCCCAGAAGTCCGTCCTCAAGACCAAGGCTATCGCCGGCGACGCCGATGCGTCTACCAAGCCCGACGCGCTCACCAAGTCATCGGACGCACTCACCAGGTCCTCCGACGCGCTCACGAAGCCCGTCTTCACCCCCGCTGGCGCCAAGCCCGCGCTCGCGCCCCTCCGCGAGGCCTTCACCGACGACCACGGCCTGCCATCGCAGCAGCGCCCGAAGATGGGTGGCCCGACGCACGAGCGGGCGAGGTCGTACCAGGAGCAGAGCGCGAGCGAGGACGCGCAGTCGCAGTCGCAGCAGCGCGCGCCGGTGTTCTCGCAGCAGTCGGTGTTCTCGCGGCAGCCGGTGTTCACGCCGAAGGAGAGCGGGGTGGCACCGAGGTCGCGGCTGGTGGAGCAGGCGAAGGCAGAGAATGCGTTTACGCCGAGGCAGGGGGCGGCAGGGGTGAGGGGGGAGAATGCTTTCACGCCGAAGATGGAGAATGCGTTCACGCCGCGGACGGAGAACGGCTTTGCGCCGAGGGTGGAGAATGCCTTCACGCCGGCGAGCAAGAGCGAGAACTCCTTTGGGTCGGCGTCCAAGAGCGAGAACGCATATACTCCAAGGAGCGAGAATGCATTTACCCCGAAGGAGGAGGTTGTCTTCAAGCCGAAGCCTGTTGGGGAGAAACCGAAGGCTGCGTTCAGCATCTTCCGCGATCCCGAGCCGGAGGAGGCGCCTCCTGCACCGAAGGTCGTGGAGATCGAGAGCGATGAAGAGGAGCAGCAGGAGGTCGAGGAGGAGCAATCACAGGAACCCGATCTCAGTAGGCACGCTGAAGATGAGGTCAACGAGCATCTGCCGGACGACTACAGCGGGGACTTCGAGTACGACGACAACGAGGAGGAGCTCGCTGTCGACCCTGATCAAGAGTACTCGACGCCTCCGCCGAGGGAAATGCCGCTGCCTGAGGACGGGTACAGCGAGTACGACGCCAACCACCAACCGGTGCCGTACAGCCGGTGTGGTCCCGTCACTATCATGACGCCCATTGCCGAGCGCACGCTCGAGTTCACGCGCTCGACCTTCGATGGGACGCCGTCCAGGAATCGTCTCGCGCATGTTCCCGAGGACGACGACGAGGATTACGACTTCCGCGAGCTCGCGGACGAGGTCATCGGCGAGGAGGACGAGGGAGAGGAGGAAGACGAGCGCACGCGCGAGGAACAAGAGCAGGATGAGGATATGCATCACATCCAAGAGAAGACCGGCACGCTGAGCCTGGCCGACTCGCTCCGCGTCAACTTCCCCAACCCGTGCAATCCCTTCGATCCGGAGGTCGTCACCTCCTTGCTCTCCCTCATCCCGTCGGACGACCAGTTCCACGACCTCGCGGGCGAGCATGGGCGCAACCTCGACGAGCTGCAGAAATTCGCCAAGAAGTCGCGGAAGACGAGTGGGAACCCCGGCGGGGCGGGTGTGCTCGATGTTGGCGCGCGCTTCCCGGTCTGCCTCGCAGGTCAGCGGTTCTCGATCGTGGAGAAGATTGGCGAGGGCGCGTTTGGCGCGGTTTTCAAGGCGGAGGATCGTGGGATGCGAGGGGACGATGAGGATGAGGATGAGGATGAAGATTTGGACATGGACGACGATGAAGCATCAGTGGTTGCTCTCAAGGTCGTGCGGCCACGCAACCTCTGGGAGTACCACGTTCTACGCCGCTTACATCAGACCCTGCCTGTGCCGCTTCGTCCATCGATCGTCCTCCCTCACGCTCTGTTCGCATACCGCGATGAAAGCTTCCTTGTGCTGGAGTACGCACCTCACGGCACCCTCTTGTCCGTCGTCAACAAGGCCGCCAACGCCGGCTTCTCACAGCAAGGAGGCATGCTCGACGAACTTCTGGTCATCTTCTTCACCACCGAGCTCCTGCGTCTCCTCGAGGGCATGCACCGCGCGGGCTTCATCCATGGGGATCTCAAGATTGACAACGTCCTCGTGCGCATGGAGGACGTGCCCGGCGGCGCGTCGAAGTGGGATGGCGCGTACTCGCCTTCCGGCGCAGGCGGCTGGGCGTGCAAGGGTATCAAGCTTGCGGACTTCGGGCGCGCGGTCGATACGCGGCTCTTCCCGCGAAGCCAGCGCTTCCTCGCGGACTGGGAGGTCAAGGAGTGCGACTGCCCAGAGATCCGCGAAGGGCGTCCGTGGACGTACGAGACGGACTACTTCGGGCTGGCGGGCATCGCGTATTGCATGCTGTTCGGCAAGTACATCTCGCCCGACGCGGTGACTACGGCGGAGGTGGATGGCGAGGAAAGGCGGCGGATCGCGACGCCGCTGAAGCGATACTGGCAGGGCGAGATGTGGAACCAGCTCTTCGACGTGCTGCTCAATCCGCGCATGGTCCGCGAGGATGGGGAGCTGCCGCTGTGCGACGAAATTGGTGCCATCCGCGAGGAGATGGAAGAGTGGTTGCAGCGTAATTGCAACCGCGCGGGGAACACATTGAAGGGCTTGTTGAAGAAGGTGGAGTTGGCCTGTTTGCGATAGCGCGTTATATACACTATGTACTGGTAGACTGTGTTTCTGACGAGGGTTATGGCTACGTTACTTTATGACACATTTCATGCGATTGTTGACGACGTCGGAAGACTGAGCTAACCGATCTCAGCTGATTGCATTATTGCATTAGTTATGGTACATGAATCTGGGTAACAACACAGATCTTAGTTTGGCCGTGCGGCCGGTGGCTGTCTCGTCGTTAGCCATCCATCCTCGTCTAGATCCTCTCTGTTAAATGTGGCAACATTTACTGCACTCTTTTCCTGCCCTTGATCCAGGACTCCCCAGACGGTAAACGTACAAGGTTCTTCGGGTTCGCATTCCCGGACGAGTTGGGTGATGAGCCGAGCCCGTGGCGCTTCGAAGAAGAGGTAGGCGAAGCATTGATACCGACGGTCAGGATCTATCCTTGCGAACTCGGCGCGAAACGCTCGCGCATTGGTAAAAAGGTAAGCCACGGTTATGCTTACGATCAAGCTCTTGTCGCGGGCAGTACACCAGCCTTGAAAGGTTGTCAGTATGGATGGAGGGATGGTAGACTGCGGCCTAGAGTGAGTCTCACCTGTTAAAGGCTCGCAATCAATTCGGTGGGTATCGCGCCAATGGGACTTTTGACACTCTACTGAGCAATAAGACACATCATGGCATTGCTCGCACCGCAGGAGCTTGATCGCCTCTGGGCTTTGGCAGCATTTTCCTTCACCACCCTGTAATGCCCAGTCAGTGATGCGACGACGACGCAGTGAAAAGACCCTGACCTTATCCACACAGCAAGCCGCACAGTGATTGCGCGATTGCAGACGCTTCGCTCTTGTCTCTTCGAGGAATATAGACCGCTCTTGGTAGGTGGTAATGAACTCGACGAAATGGGGGCCCAAAGCGTTGAGTTCAGCCGCGGTTTCCACGATGGCAGGACCATGCTTGAGATGAAATGCTGACAGCGGTCTCCAATACATGAAGCTCTGGGATAGTATCTGCAGAAATCCGCGCACGAGCAGGCGTAGGCCATCTGTGCGCGGTATCACCGGAAGATGCTTCGCCAGATGCACGAGGAGATCGAAGACTCCGCCCGAGATTGACGCTTCGAAGACGCGATAGCTCGATGCATAATCCCATAACTGGTACATGAACTTGAACCCGCCTTCGGCCACAATATAGGCCTTGGAGTCAGCAGCGTGCTTTATCTCGGCGATGGCGTTTGCGACGACGACATCCGACACCGGCAGCAGGGCAGGGATCTCAGAAACGAGGGTGTAGGCGAGGAAGAACAGCCTGTGCGCGGACTCCTCATAGTCCCAGTTTTGTTCGCGAACCAGCTTCATAAACCAGAAGATTGCCCGATGGATGCGACGAGAGCTGTAGCCGGAGCTTTCCACGATCTCTTGCACGCGCGGTGGCACATCGAAGGCAAGTTCCCCGTTGGGCGCTGCTTTCGAGCAGAGGAGGAACATCCAGCAAAGCGTGTCGTCCACCGTCTCTCGGCTGGGGTCCGGGATGTATCGGTGGAGGTTGACGAAATAGTCGACGATGAGCACATCGAGGTGCGTAGCCTTGAACCAGTCCGCCAGCCCCTTGTCCGACAACTTCATGATACGCGGCCGCACGATGCCATCGAGAAGGTTCAAGAAGACCGAAGCCACGTCGGTGTTATACTCTGGGTCCTCGATCTTCCGAATGTTGTTGTTCATAGGGTGCAGGAAGTATATCCACTCCAATGCCACGGGCACGGCGGAGTAGAGGGAGTCCCAGAGATGCGAGGGGTACTTAGAGAGCCCGAGGTTGGCGACCGAGGTGCAGAGGAGCGAGTAAAGCTTGAGTCTACACCGCGCATTTGCAGTGGCTTCAGCACCAAGCTTCAAGGGCGGTTGGCCGTGTAGGCGCTGCGGCGGGCCTTGGTCGAAGCTTCGAAACAAGCGTCCGCGCGCGAGAGATTTCTTGAGCAGGGCAAGAGCTGCAGGCTTCGAGATAGCGTCCGGATGTTCATTCTTGATAAACAAGAGCTGACCCACGACGTGCAGGAGCTCGTCCTCGGCTATGGAAGGGATAGGCATGATGATCGATCGAAATGCTGAAGGTGGTGAAAGTAGGAGAGGGAGAGAGAGTTGTGGCAAAGCACGTGTATATATATGCCCGGCATGAATGGTCACAGCGCTGATGCGGTGCTCGAACACCTTCTCCACCTTCTTGGCAACGTACCCGGGTCAACACAAACATAAACCATGCGCACTCTTGAGGTAAGCCTAGTAGGTGATGGGGCTGATAGTACAGCATACTATTATACGTGTAATCATTGTTATGCCGAAAATTGAGCCTGAGTATGCTCCCGGTTGTTGATCAAGACCAGCTCCGATGTCTTCACTGCGATCGCCGACCCTCTTGAATCGACGGCCCGTCCTTACGCAGCGATGTCATCCGTACGCTGCCAACCTCCGTGAGTCTTTTTGCCACAGCGTATGAACCACGCCATGTTGCGCCCACCAGATTGGCGCTCGCCCCCGAGTCGTATGAGGTGCCGCGTGCGCGACTTGCAGACGAACGCAATGTCGAGGCAAAGTCTGGGTCCTTTACCTTGCATTCATCGGATGCAGAAACGCGGCCCACTCCATATCAATTGGCACGGCGGAGTAGAGGGACTTCCAGGGAGGCGACAGATATGGGGAGAGCTCGAGGTCGTCTATTCTGCTGCAAAGCAGCCCGTAGTGCTTCAGGCTGGTAGTATCTGTTGCCAGTGAGTCCAGCATGGCCGTTTTGCGGCTGCGTGGTTGAATTCTCGGAAAAGGCGTCCACGAGCGAGAGAGGCCTTGAGCTTGGCAAGAGCGACATGCCTGGGTAGGGCGCGAGGGCGTCTCTCTGTGACATCCGCAAACATCCTCAATTCGAGTAAGCTCATCGCCGACCTGCATGGGCATGATGTGGCGAACAGATGGCTGTCCAGGAAGAAACGCAGCGAACCACGTGTGCTCAAATGTCCGCATTAGGCAGGTATTGTTATCTCCTAAATCGAGCCTTCGCCGCTCGATGTTGCTGCCTTTCTTATGCAGCCACCACCAATACAAGTACCTCAAGCCCCTACTAAAGTGACACAATGATAAGTAGCTATAATGTAGGCTGCCAGTCACTCCGATTATCCGAGGTGTTCAATGGCTGTGTAGGCTACAATCTCACGTATTTTATTCATCCCATCCTCCCACTCGCCGATGACGGTCGCATGGCGCTGACCCGTGTTGCATGCGCTGCCAATGACAACGCGATGTTCAAGGCGAGCGCCAGTGAGTACGACATCAATATACACGTGATGGGAACGAGTTACGTCGAGCTCCCGGACCTCGTTTCCAATATTGGCCGCATTCACATCGATATAGGCGATGCATATGTTTTGGATATATGTTTTGTCGCGTGCGCTTGCTCTACCTGCGTTTAGGCGTCATGACTGAGCGTGCCGAGTCCGACAATCGAACGCACCTGGAAAGGGACGGCATTCTATATTGTGACCTTGGTGCCAGTGCGCTCGCTGACACGCGGTGGAGCAGTAAAAAGCGTTGAAGCACCCGCTGCATCGCATGACTCTAGTCGTACGCGTGTCTCTGCAGCAGCGTCCTTCACCGCTCTGTGATGTTTGATTAGGCGAGAGTCATCGATGCGTTGTCGACTAGATCTTACCTTGTTCCGGCAACATACTTGGCAATGCTGTCTGGCCTCCCGCCGCTGCTGCCGTGTGATTTGGAGCAGAAAATATCTATCTTTGTGACACGCGACAAGCGTTGCAAGCATCGGGCTCAACCTGGACAAAGTGGCGCTTTCTTCGTGTACCATCCGGCCATTCAAATCGTGAAAAGCTTGCAGCGGGCGCCAGAAGACTAAGTTGCGATAGATGGTTGATAGTATCATACCGAGATTCTCGTGCAGCGCGCGCTCGAAGGCCGGGAGTTTCCTGCTGAGGTCGACCAGGATTTCGAACACACCGGCCCGGAGGGAGATCTCCAAAGCGCGGAGGCTCGAAGTGCGTATCCAAAGGTTTTGGAGATAGAAGCCCGAACCCATGGCAATCGTCCATGCGTTGAAGTCGGCGGCGTATTTGATTGCAGAGACAAGGCGCCTGATGACATTACAGCGATCGTCAGGCTCGTAGTCACCTCCCTGCTTGTGGAGCAGCGGTGATTTTTGTTTAGTTGGAGCACGTACAAACAGAGCTAATAGCGCACGGCGGAGACATGAATGGTGAGCCGTAGTTAGCTCTCTCTTCTGCTCGTCCTCCTACTGCTGTCGGAGGCTACAAGAAGGTGGAAGCGTGGGATCAGGGCCCCTCCCGCTACGAAGAAAGTCCAGAAGCCCAGGAGCCCCGCCTGCCGAGCGCTGACTTCGTTTGTTTGTACACGCTCCAACTAAACAAAAATCAAGACCGCTCCACGAGCGGAAGGGTGACTACTAGCCTGACGATTGCTGTATCTGACACCGTAGAAGGAACGAGCTCGGGGGCTTCGGAGATGAGATGGCAGGCTAGTTCCCAGAGGTTGTCCGTCAATGTGGCATACTCCTTTACAGGTATGACCTCCGCGTAGTATGCGATACTACGGCACAGACGGCGTGGATTCTCGCTAGTGCGCTCGAGAAGGAGTTCGCCTATGCGCGCAGGCATCCGCGCGCCTCGCAGGCAGCGAAAGAGGGTATACATCCACTCCATCGCTCTCGCGGCTGTGCCACCCGACGGGTCCACAACGTACCGAGGGAGGTTAACCCAGAAGTCGGTTATATATACGTCCAGTCGATGACCGATGATCCAGCTAGCAAGCTGCTGGGTCTCCATAACGAGGCGCGGGTAAATAAGGCCGCCGAAGAGGGATATGAGGGTAACCCCGACCCCATAGGAGTACTCTGCGTCATCCTTGAGTCGAATGTTTCTGTTCATGGGATGGAAGAATTCTATCCATTGGAGGATGACGGGCTGGACAGCGTAGAGAGAGTTCCAGAGAAGCGATGTGGAACTGTACTCCTTGACGGCGCCGACCTCGGCGCACAGCAGTCCGTACAGGTTTAGCTCATCGCAAGCAGGTTCTGTAGTAGACCTGTCAAGCCTAAGTGGCCTAAGGCCAGGTTGCCATTCGGGTGGACCTTGAGAGAAGCCGCTGAATAGGTGCCCGCGAGCGAGAGCGCTCTTGAGCTTAGCGAGGGCAGCGCGAGGTGAGAGCGCTCCTGAGCGCTCTTCCGTAATGTCTAGGAAGACCTGAAGCATGCGCCTGAGCTCCGTTGCGTGTGTAGGAGGCATTGCGCGTAGAGGGACAGTGGAAGTTTGAGACAAGCGTGGGCGTTCTGGGGCTCGGCACCTGCCGCCGATCCTGACCCATCCCAATCAGGAAGGCATTGTTCTTTTTCCTGACCATATCCTTCGAATATCCGATATGTTATTCTGCCCGACCTGCGCCAATCTCCTTGTCATATCCTCGGATACGGGGCTCAACAAGTGGTCATGTAATACCTGTCCATATGAATTCCCTATAACAAAGCAGGTTCGTCCTTCTCATTCATCGTGTACCCAACTCGCCGTATGTCAAAGCATGGTCCCACTAATGCGCTGTCCCAGATGACTACCCGAACACGAATGAAGCGGAAGGAGATTGACGATGTCTTCGGTGGTGACGAGCAATGGAAGCACGCTCAGTCGACCATGGGTAGGCAAACTTGAGTCCTTCCTGCACATTGCTCTGGACATTCATCATATCTTCTCCCTTTGACAGCACAATGCGAAGCTTGCAGTCACGATCGTGCATACTTCTACCAACTCCAGATCCGCTCCGCAGACGAGCCAATGACGACGTGTCAGCCCTTCTCGCTTCCGATGCGTCTTGATGTTGACTAACATACATTCGCTTGCGTGCTCTTCGCAGTCTACAGGTATGCAGAGTTCACCTTCGTCTGCTCAGGGGCACTTATCATCTTCAGATGTGCATCGTGTGGCAATCGCTGGAGGGAGGGTTGAGCCACGTGGCGTCGCAACTCGCCTCAGCCTTCCGGAAAGCTCATCGCACGGGCACGGGAAAGGCGCACAACATGCGCCTGAGACGCGCAATGTCCCTCTGACTCTTCTCCCGATGCAGCCGAAGGTGTCGGTGTATATAGCCTTGAACTCATTCAGCTGCACATCGAATATCGACGTGCATGTACTATAGCAAAACGCACTTATTGAACCAAATCATAGCATGGGTATTCGGTCCTTGCAATGCACCCTGCGCAACATGTCGTACTCCCCGCATTACAGCGAAGCACCGACAACAACACGCGAGCCCCACTCCCTCGATGATCCCTCACCTTCCGTATTCTCATTCCGCCTCCGCCTCCTCGGTCCCCGCCCTCATCATCTTCTTGCGCACTCTATGCAGCACGTCCCCCTCGATCGACAGCTCCCACAGCTCGACTTTCGCCCGCTCGATCGCGCCCTCGAGCTCCGCCTTGCGCTCGCGCGCCTGCTGCAGGACGCGCGCTTTCTCCGCCGCGGTGGCGGGCATGCGGAGCGGGCCTGTGGATGAGGTGTTGGTACCCGCTGGCGCGGGACCCTTGGCCCTCGCAGTCGCAGCATTCGGCACCGCGGCCGCGGTCGCGGTCGAACCAGCATCCGACGCATTCGAGCCTGCAGGCTCGATGTCGTTCCGCGTAGGCGCGACACTACTCCCCACCGGAGCGAGCGCCCTCTGCTTGCCCTTCGCCCGCTGCGACGGCGGACGCGGCGACATCGGCGGCGGTACCCACTTGTCGACGGCGAACGTCCACGGGGTGGGCGGAGCAGGAGTCCAAGGTGTGGGTGGTGCGAGAAGTGTACTGGCGGGTGAGGAGGATGAAGGAAGTCTATTGGCGGGCTCGGCGGTCGAGGATGATGATGAGGCTGCTTGAGATGACGATGCATCTTGAGCGCGCGCCGTCGCTGCACTCGGCTGGGAGGATGTGGTGTTGACAGTGTGCCGTATTCCCGTTGGAGGTGGGGGTGCAGGTGTCGCAGACGTAGGTACATTGATCACTGACGAGGGTAAAGTTTGTGGCGGGTGAGCAGCTTGATCAAATGGGACGGGATGCGTCGACGAGTCTTGCCACGGCTGCGATGACTGCAACGTCGAAAGGGATGTGCCTTGCCCTAGAAACAATCCCGAGTCAGTCCTGGACGTTTCCCAAATATCACGCTGGAGCAACGCACCTGCTGCGACCCAATCGACGTCCATATTCGTGTCCAGTCCCACCAAAGTCGTATGCATTCCATCGCCCGACAGCGCCTTCCCCGCCGCCGGAAACACATTCTGACGCGCTACCATGGGCGCATAAGTCTCCAACATCGTGTTGAACATCCGGAGCAACGCACCTGGGTCGACCGTCTCCGTATTCCTAGGGGATGCCACGTTCGCCGCGTTGCCATCACCAGATGGCTCCGAGCCCACGTAAGACGGTAGGCCTGTGCCCACTTGAGAGGGATTGCCTGTGGCTACTTGAGCGCCATGGTTTAAAAGACTGTACAAGAGAAAGGACAAACCATCTTGAAGGGTGGCCGGCTCCTCAGACGATGGATTACCTGTAGCCGCGCCAGCGTCCGGCTCAATGCCCGGTACTGATGCAAGCCCTGGTGTCGGAGTATGCGCCGCCGAATGCAAGGTGTCCGAGAAGGTGCCGCCGAGCCCGCGTGATGCAACAGAGAACGCGTCTGATGGACGCCGACTCAGCTGCTCCTGATCCAGGAGCGGCGTATATGGCCCATCGCCCGCCGAGCTCGCGCTCGCAGACATCGACATAGAGGGCAAGTCGGTGGGCGAGGGCGTCATCAGGAAGGACGAGCCCGCACCCGCAGCACCGTCGCCGAAGCCCACACCCGCGACGCCGTCTCCGAAGCTCTTCGCGGTGTCTCCGATTCCCGCCGCCTGCGCCTGCCCCATGTCCATCAGCGCCGGATCGAGAGGGAAGGTAAAGTCCTGCGCAGGCACGCTCTGCCCTAGTCCGACCCCGCCCACCATGCCCACCCCGTTCATGCCCATCCCATCCATGCCGACGTGGTTCACGCTGACGGGATCCATTCCGAGCCCATCCAATCCCAGCCCGCAGCTCTCATCCGACGCGAAGAGCGCGGTCAGCTCCTCAAAGCTCATCTCCGGCATGGGCGCACCCGCATCTATACCTGCGGACGTGTCCACGCCCGAGCCCAAGTTCAAGCCCACATCCCCGTTCATATTCATCGGCATCCCATTCGAATCGAGGGGTATGCCGTTCGCATCGACTGACATGCCCGCGTTCAACCATAGCGCGTTGTAGTCGAAGCCGTCGGAGGGGAACGTCGACTGGATCAGCGACGTGAAGTCGTCGCACTCGGTGGGCGCGGGTGTACCAGAGGGCGTCTCGAAGAGCCCGTCCGCACCGAACACGCCCGCGTTCACGCCGGAGCCACCATGTGAGAGCAGTGAGGTCAGGAGCTGGTCAAGGGGGCCACTTGTGTCGAGGGCAGAGCTGTTGGCGTTGAGAGTGGCGGCGACGGCGGGCAGCGGCGTATGAGCTTCAGACAAGGGAGTCGCTGAAGGCTCTGAAGTGGGGTCACGTGCTGTCTTCCGCGTTTTCCGCGGACGTTTTGGCGGGCGTGGAGGCTCCTCGTTCTCGGGAGGCAGCGTCCCGTCCAGCTTCATCTGCTTGTACTTGCGCACCGCGGTCTTTTTGGCCGCCGCCTTGATGAGGTTGATGAGCTGTCCGATGAGCCTGCGCGTGCGCTGCTTCTCCCACTTCTGCTGATAGTCTTCCGGGCCCTCGCCTTCTTGGAAGGGAAAGGGAACGTCCCAGTCCTGCGCGCCGGCGGGGACCTTGGTAAGCTTGCGTTTCCCTTTGTTCGACGGGTCTTTGGGGGGAGGGGGCGGGGGTGCGTCCTTCAGGGATGGGCCGATGCGGCGACGGCGGGGACGATCGGAAGGGGTCCCGGAGCCAGAGGGGGAAGTGGTGGCTGTGGGGAGGTGTGGCGATCGGGCGACGAGGAGAAGGGTTCGGAGGAGAAGCGGAAGGACCTCCTTCGTGTTCATGAGCGTCTGGACGATCTCTGCGGTAGTGGGTACGGGTAATCGGGGATCGAGATGGTGATGGTCTTCGACGACGATAGGGCGGGAGGGAGCGTCGCCGAGGGCTATGGCGGGTACTGAAGAGCCGGGGCTTTGCGGCCTCTTGCGCTTTCTCGTCGTAGTCGTGGTCGTCGTCTTTGGACGGCTAGGTCCTGGTGACGCGGCACGGCGCGCGCGTTTCGCGCCACCGCGTGCGGGAGGCGCAGGGGCCTCAGGCCGCCGCGCTCGTTCTTGCTGCGCAGTCGGTTTGGCAGACGTCGCCGCGGTGTCCCGCCCATGATCTTGCGCCGGAGGCCGAGGAGCGTGGCTCAACGACAAGGCTAATGGGGCAGCGGGAAGTTCAGAAAAGTTATGGGAACCGGGAAGTGCAATGGTCCCCACATTTTCATCATTGGCGTCCTCTGGCGCGCCGGGTATCCTCACGATGTTGTGCGCACTGGGGAGGGCGAGGCCGGGCGAAGGCGATCGCGGCGAGGATGGTGGCGATCCGAAGAGCGAATCATTGTCGCTCTTGGAAGACATTGATCCTGTGGTTGAGCAGCTTCAGATCGCGTAGAGTATCTAGTCAAGAGGAAGCCGTACTTTGAGAGGACGAGAAGAAACCGAAGCCTCCGATACAGGAGCTCGACAAATGGTATGGGAAAAGGATAAGAAAAAGGAATCATATTTTTTGATGCTGGATGCACGACCGGCAAATGCCGAAGCTCACGTGGAGGAGGGGTCGCTGCGCCACAACTCTAAGTCTTGTCTCTGACTTGCAGTATCCACCTGCGCGCAATGCCTCCAACGCACGCGACCGAGCTCAGTCCCATGCTTCACGTCTTTTTGTACATCATAGAGGAGCGTTCCGGAGCGCCCTCGCCTCGTTTCGCTCTTGCTAAGCTACAAAGCGCTCTCGCCAGTGGGCACCTCTTCAGCAGCATCTCTTAAGGTCTACCTGAATGGAGACCTGGTCCGAGGCCGCTCTTCCTTGATAGATCCGCTACAGAACCGACCTGCGATGAGCTCAATCTGTACGGGCCTCAACATCGACCGCCTGCCTAATTCGAACATTTGGGCACACGTGATTCTCTGCGTTTCTCCCCGGACACCCATCTGTCTGCCACATGATGCCCATGCAGGTCGGCGATGAGCTTTCTCAAACGCTGAGAATGTTCGTGGACATAACAGAGAGACGCCCTGGCGCTCTACCGAGGCATGTCGCTCTTGCCAAGCTCAAGGCCTCTCTCGCGCGTGGTCGCCTTTTTCGAGGATTCGACCAAGGCCCACCGCAGCGGCAATACGGCCAGCCACCATTGAAGCTGGACCCACTGGCGACGAATACTGCGAGAACCAGCCTGAAGCACTACGGGCTGCTTTGCAGCGAGATAGACGACCTCGAGCTCTCCCCGTATCCGTCGCCTCTCTGGAAGTCGCTCTTCTCCGCCGTGCCGATGGCTATGGAGTGGGTCGCGTTCCTGCATCCGATGAATGGCAACGTCTACAAGGTGGAGGACCCAGAGTACTATCTCGACATTGCGTACGTCTTCACGGTCCTCCTTGACGGCCTGATACAGCCGCGCGTGGGCGCAGACGAGAAGGACTTAGCGGACTGGCTTGTGACCACGCGCCTGGACGTCTACATTGTTGACTTCTGGGTAAACCTGCGCCGCTACACTCCCGACCCTCCCAAGGTCATAGCGACGCGGTTGCTACATGGGATGCACACGCTCTGCCTCGCCCTCTCGTGCCCGCGTGGCACCTTGATACCCGAGCGCATAGGGTATAATCTCACGAAGATCACGAAGTGTAATCCTCGTCGTATGCACCGGACGGTTATGTGGTACGCAGGGATGATCTGCGAAGGCGCCGACTCCGCGGACATGTCGGAACAACTGTACACGCTTGCCTACAGCTTCCTCAGCGACGTTTACAAAACCCCATACTCCCCGCCTAGCGACGTCGTCAAAGCTCTCCTCCGCGATATAGAACGTAACATCGAGCTGGAAGCATGGCCGGTAGTGAAGAGCGCGTGCTCCTACCTTGAACAGATGTGGACATACGCGACGAGTTACCGCATATACGAAGTGTCTATTGCCCACGGGGCGTTCGACGTGCTCGTACGCCTCGGAAAGGCCTTCCCTCGGGACCCTGCAACACATGGGGGAATCAACCGCAGTCTGTTTACGCTCTCGCAAAGCTTCGTATATTGGCGGCCAGTATCTGCCTTTCATCTCAAGCATGGGCCCGAGGTTATAGAGAGCGAGGAGGAGTTGTCAGCCCTGGGCTTCGGATTTGCATCTTTTATTGCCGTATATAAGGAGCGATGTCCTCTGCTTGAGCCCACCAGGGCGAAGAGGCAAGAGAGAAGGAGGCATTGTCGAGCGTGTTGCACGGACCAGGTGAGTTGAGGACTTATCTCCGAATCCACAACTTTGACGTCTTCCTCTACAGGGTGGTGGTGGTTCCTGTTGCACCAAGCCAGATACAACGAAACTCTTGCGATGCGGACGATGCAGAAATGAATCGTATTGTTCTCCCGAATGCCAAAGGACGCGCTGGCTGAGCGGTCATCGGGAGATCTGCGACCCGCTAGAAGGTACATAATAATATTGCCTTCTTTGACCAGAATCCTTTGTCCTGACTCCCTTCAAAGGCTGGATGAGCGCGCGCGACAAGGAGTTCATCGGGAATATATGCACGTCCTATCTTCGCAGCAACGCAGCAGCGGTCGTCGCGGACCTCAGGGAGGTGGACCCCGACCGCAAGCACCACTGCATGCTCTGCGTGCCTCTGGTCGGGCGCCGGCACCACGTCATCAGGCTTACCGAGGAGTGCAGACCAGGCGAGCCTCGTGTGGGCGCTGTTCTTGGTCTGTGGGACGAGGAGCTGAAGCGCATGACCGTGCACGTCGACGCTATCTCGATAGCGGAGCTGGAGATGCTCGCTGTCGAGGAGCGGCTCAGGACGGTGCCCAGGATGGAGCCGTTCGACATATCCGCGCATGTCAATGATGGGACTGAGGAATTGGCGGCGGCGATGGCGAGCCATATTCAGAGAAGCTCCGAGGTGGTAGATGAGCAACGCAGAGCCGTAGAGATGGCTGAGCAGAGCATGCACACCCTTCAGAGCTTGTTGCGTAGACATTGAACTTGTGCTTTCTCAAATTCACTTTGTAACCCGACATTCAAATTTGTTACCTGCCAAAATCATTTGGCCAGCTAATCGCCCGGAACACTTCTACAAGCAGGACAACGATCCCAGATCCTGATGATAAAGTCACAAGAAGGCACCGTCCGACATGAAGATCGAGGCAGCCTTCGCAACGCATTTGACTAGCTCGAGGACCCTCGCGCGAAGAGCTGGACCTGCGAAAGTAGTCCTCTCCCAAGGAAGCGACGGCGCAAGGCGGACATCCCATGAAGATGGTACTACTATATACAGTTGGATGCATGAAGTAGAAGTTGTACATATAGTAGGCTGTATTTCCTATCAACTGGGGAGCGATCTCAACGTGTCGCCAACGCCCTTCGGCTCTGAGCCCTGCATGCCGGGCTGTCAGAGACACGCCGAAAGACATGATCAATTCACGCACCACACCCTAATCCAACCAGAACGACGCCTCAACCATCCGCCACGGAGGAAGAGCCTCGTCTACCGCCGCCAGCTGCGCGGGAGCACCGGCGGACTCCAGCTCAAAGACGCCCGAGATCGTGTGCGCCGCCTCGCGCGCAGCGCCCCGAAGCACCGACAGTTCATTAACGCCATGCATCAACGTGCGGTCCGCCCCCGTGCAGCCATTGAAGTAGGGCAGCGGCGTCGCGTACGCCATGGGATCGGCGCCCGCCCAGACCGCATAGCCTACGACGATGGGCGCGCCCTGCCAGGGGAGGACGCTCGCTTCGGCAAGGCCACTGCTCTGGAGGGACTGCTTCTCGCATGCGCCGTCGGGCGTGGACGTCATCACTACGTCCTCATGATTCTCCTTCTCTGCGATACTCAGAGTCCTCGAGATCCTCGCGGTCTTCCTCTTCAAGCTCGGCTGCAATTTATCGTCGCGCAAGGGATGGGCAAGCCAGCTAGGGTCGTCACGAGCGTTGTTTGTGTATCGAGTCCAAGAATTGGCGGAAGGAATCACCATCGCCGGGTTCTGTATGGGCGCAGGAGCGGCGGGCGCCGGAAGACAGTCAGTGAAGAGACCCAGAGCGTTCCCTAGAGAGCAGGAAGTGAACAGAGCCAGGTCGTCCGTCTCGGAGCCCGCCTCGCAAGACTTTCCAGACTTTCCCTTCGTCGCGGGTCGCTTGTACGGAGAAAAGCGCCGAGGACTAGACCCTGAACGAGCGCACAGTTCGTCCGTATCGCCCCAGCCGCGGACGGAGAAAGCTGGCTTGCTTTCTGTGTCCGAGACCAAGTTCGCCGCAGGCGCCGCCGCGTCCTGCGCCTCCGCTGGGTAAGTCGCGATCGAGGTCAGCATATCGAGCATATCGTCGTCGTCCGGCAGGTTCAGATACGTCGTCAGCGCCTCGCAAGTGTCGCTCGAGAAGCCCGGGTCCTCGTTGATGTCGACGTCCAGATGGATGCCGGGCAGGAAGAAGTCCTCGAGCACCTCGTCCTCCTCGATCGTCGCCATCGCCCAGGGTGTGGTCTGGCGACGCGGCACTTGAGGCCTGCTCGCGCGCACGGAGTCGGGGGATGGCGCGGCGGAGCGCCGCAGCGGAGAGGGCTCGGGCTGTTCTGCCTTGATCGGGCTGCTGAAGAGCGGGGAGGAGTCGACGTGGAGGGGCACGACAGCGGTCGGAGTGGGGACCTTAGAAGGCGAGAAGATGACGGAGGGCGAGGCTGCAGTGCGTTTGGCACTAGGCGGGGTCGAGTAGACCGGGTATGGGCTTGAGAACGAATCATCTTCGTCGTGGGAGGAACCGCGAGGAGGCGTGAAAAGCGAATTGTTGTCGACAGTCGTGTCCGCAGTAGGCGTGGTCGCATGCGAGGCGCCGAGCGTCTGGTCTGCGATGGGCGAGCTGGGGTAGAACAAGTAGTCGCTGATGGAGAACGTCGAAGACCGATCTTCCTGCTTGACAGCAATGGTCCGCAGAGTACTCGCGCTCGTAGAGCTGCTGAAGACGTCCGACGACTGGGCTTCGTACCCGGAGTCGGACGCGGAGAGATCGGCTATCGATGCAGAGGACATGGAGGATCGGTGTTCGGCTATAGTCAATTCGAGAAGTTGTACGTGGTAGGCGTTATTGTTCTTCTTATTGTTCTTGGGTGCTTAGCGTTGTTCGGATAGTATGAGAGCGGATAGGTTCGGATCTTATGAGTCGCTTGAGGTTACGGAATCAGGATGCGGGAGAGGTATTCGCGGAGGATGGTGGTCGTTTGAGATGGGATACGGCCTTCGGGGTTTCCCGAGCGGAGTCGCACGGATTTTGTGGCGTACTTCCGGGGCGTGGCGTCGTTTTCTCAAGCTCCACTTCGTCTCGTCTAGCCATGACCCTCCGGCCTCCCTGTGCTATCCCTTGACGAGTTTCGTGCCTCAAGATGCTTTACACCTGCCCACAAGAACGATCTTGACATCCTTTTTGTCTCCTTTCTCCCTCAACCGTGCCTCCGTCTCCGTCTACGCAGCCCGCGTCGCCCTGGTACCTCAACATCGCACGCCAATGGCGCCTCTATCGCACACCCGCGGCAACTTTATTACAAACCCTCGTGGAGGCTCTCTGCTTCTCCGAGGACGCAGGGGAAGGCGCTGCCGCATCCGGCGACAAAGTCCAACTCTCCCAGGCTCTTATTGTCTTCCGCCCGCCGTCCTTATTGTCATAACACGGCCTTCATTCTACGTACTGGCGCCCGGTATCGAATGTATCGACTGTATCGGACACCGTGCCCGGACTATAGTGTGCCGTACACCCGCTCATGCGACGTATCGACCGGATCGTGCAGCCGTACTGACTTGGTTCGGCGTCCTGCTTATTGTCTTCGTCCCCCTCCGCACGCGCTATGCCCTGCCCTCCGTCTAAACTTGCAGCGTGCTTCCCATACCAGGGCGGTGTTTACGCGCGTCCGGGCGAATGGATATGCGTCGTGCGTATATAAGTAGTCGGGGCGCGCTCGGAATGACCCTGTCTACTTCTCTGAAGCCTCGACACCTGCTCGCGCATCCAGCTTAATAGCCAACCCGCACTCGCGCCAGTGTCTCTACCAGCCATAACACCCTCACATACGATGGACTTCTTCCGCGAATTCTCGCTCTCGAGCGTCAACGACTCATCAGCATCACTTTCATCGCCCGCACCCAGCGAGCAGACATCCTCGAGCCATAACACATCCGCACGGCATGATGCACCTCTGCCAGTTTCCGACGCGTCTCTCGACGACGTCGAGAACGCCCCTGTCGACTACGAGCGCAGTACTGTTGCATTCTACTGCATCGTCGCATGACGACGCCCTACGAGCTCGACACATTCTGTCTTGTAAGTCCGCCACATATTCGTACTCCTTCTTACTTGCTAACTACATCTACAGGAGAAACCTACAGATATGAACCATCTTCATCCGTCTTTGACATCGCCGGCACAGGCATGCGCGCGATGCACACCCTCCTTCGCCTGTTCCTGCTTTTCTTCACTCTACTCATCGTTATCATTATTCATCATCGCAATTGCCAACGTTCTTTCTTATACGACTCGCCGTCGTTGTACTCTACCTGTACTTTGAACCTTCTCTCCTTCTTGGACCCGCGGACTGAACGAGGTCTCGCGTAGCTACAGCACTCGCCTGCGCCGCATTTGTACTTTTCGACCTATGTATTCAACTACCTACTTCCCCCGTACGCCACCAGGGCGTACTACTGCTTGTATCATATCATACAGCGCCTACCTATTCTCCTCTCTACCTATCTTTCTACTGCAATCAAGGACTCTGAACATCTCTGTACGCCCGGCAGCGTCCGTCCCGCCGAAGTTAACCATGAGACGAAAACACGTGAAATCTGATTGGCTCCCGCTCGCCGGGCCGCTGCCCCAGCTTCCGGCTATTGCCGTCCGCATCTTGTCCTCCTCCTCGTCTTCCCTCCGCCGCTGGTCGTACTTCATCATGCTCGCTACTCGTGCTGTTGGACTCGGTCCCGCACTCAGGCGGTCGGCGTTTGCGCAGACTGGTGCGTGATACAGCGACGAAGGAAGTTCCCGCGATCCTGACTTCTCACAGGCCGTGCTGCCGCGCGCAATGTCGCTAGCAAGCGGTGAGCGACCTCGGCACGTCGGAGGGGCGCCCTAGCTGACGGAGGGACAGCTTTGTTCAGATTCAATCCATGAAGCCGTCCGCGACGGAGGGCATCCTCAACGAGCAGCGTCTCCGTCGGCCCAATAGCCCCCACATGACGATCTACCAGCCGCAGTTGACATGGTACAGCTCGATCGCCAACCGTATCACCGGTGTTGGTCTCAGCGTCCGTGAGTAGCCTACCCTTTGTCCCTGTTTCTTCGACTCACGCCTTCCCACTCGAAGTCCTCTACGGCTTCTCGCTCGGCTACCTCTTCCTCCCTGGCACCTTCGACAGCGCGCACGTCGTCGACTTCGTCGCCGGCCTCCCCGACGCGGTCAAGTACGCCGGCAAGACCATCCTCGCGCTCCCCTTCGCCTACCACGGCTGGAACGGCGTGCGCCACCTCGGATGGGATATGGGCAAATGTGCGTCATCGGCCTTACCGCTTGCTGACACGAGTCGACTAACTTTGCGATAGTCTTGACCCTCAAGAACTCATACCGCGCGGGATATGCCGTGCTTGCAGCAACTGGTGTCTCGACTATCGCCCTCGTCCTCTTGTAATTCTATAGCGCGGAATGTAGACCCGAATGCATGCATGAATACCCGATTGGACCTTCGCAGTAACGACGCGGCGATCTCGCATGTCCCCCGCCATTTCCGTCAGGTGCGCAAACCTACACCCGTGGCCTCTCAATTTTGCTAGGGTCGACATGTAGATAGTCGACCAGCGTCTCAAGGATGTCGTTCCCGCCCAAGCGCCTGATCTCCGCCCTCATCTGGTCCTCGAGCTTCTGCATCACATCAACCGTGTAGTCGTAGGACTTCGTCACGTCCGTCAAATAGTCGATCGCCTTCACCTTGAGGGTCGGTGTCGTCGGGCGTTGCTTCAGGATGTCTACGAATTGGGTTCAGTTCGGCATGGTATATTCTATCTCGAGGCGTCGAAGGAGAAAGAGTGGATCTGACCTTCCAGCGTAGTGTCCCCCATACTCGCCTGGATGCCGTGGATCATCGGGAAGGAGTACTTGCCCTCCGAGATGTCGTCCGCGAAGCCCTTCGTGTTGGTGTACTGCGATCAGGCGTCAGAGCCCGCTCGTTCACACACACATTTCTCAGCTTGCGCTGATGCCACCGACGTGCAAGGCAGACCCGATGCCCACTCACCTCCGTGCTATAGATGTTCATGAAGTCGTCCCGGATCTGCCCAAATATCCCGACGAGGTTCATCAGGGGGACGTAGTCCCTAGATGCCAGTAAGCACATATCACCCTGTGTAACCTTCCTCCTCGCGAATTTGCCGTGTCACCGGAGGGCTCACCTATCCGTGTTCGTCGTTCCGCACGCCGATAGCAGGCGCGCTGCGAGACGTAGCAGGCCGCTCGCCTCTGGTCGTCGTGATCATGAGGTCAGAGTTATGGTCGATAGGTTTGGAGGTACGCACTCCCATTGATCATCCGCACGTATCCCTCCTCCGTCGGACACCGGTGCGTATCCCGCCACAGGATATCCAGCCCCTGCCCTCGAAAAAGCGATAGCAGCTCCTCTGTTGATGTTCTAGTCAGCGCCTGCTTCCTGCAGTCCCCTGGCCTACGGCGCGAAACCTGACTGCTGTTCAGACGCAGCATGGACGCCCCGCCCACTCACCCGTCAAGACATCCTCCAGGCTCGGCTTCTTCGCAGTCAGGAAGGGATACAGCTTCTTCACGTCTGCGTAGACCTTCGCGCACGCATAGTTGCCCGCGTTCATGGTCTGCGGGATGCCGTAGACGATATGGGCGGCTGGAAAGGAGGAGATTGGCATCGGCGAGGGTTAGCTAGATAGTAAAAGCAATACAGCAACGAGACCAACCAGGCTGCCCGCGCCGCGTATCTGAGCTGTCCTCGATGTCGTCCAACCTGTTCGCAGTACACGTCAGTCAATTTTCCTGTCCTGCTCCCTGGCCCTTCGTCCACCATCTCCTTCGCACGCCATTCTCCTCTTCGTTCTGCACTAGTGCACTCACATCAACGATGCCGCATGCAGCCCCGCCACAACCTCCGCCACGGCCTGCACCGCGTCGGGAGGGGCGTTGAGCCAGAGGTTGAGGCCGGCGATGAGGCGACCGCGGATGTCTTTGCCCTTGTGCTGCGCGGTGTACGCGAAAGGAGCCATGATGGACTACATGGGCGTGATTAGTAAAGATCTTCATCTATAGGAAGGTCCGGTGGGGTGAGAGGGTAGCGCAGTTGGATTCAAAGAGGGATCTTCGGCATGAGAAACAGGCTGGGTGAGTGGTGTTCGGGCAGGCCTGGAGTAGCCAGACAAGTTTGGGATAACCAGCACGACATGGGACAGAGACATGGGTATGCCAGAAGCCGGGATAGTCAGCGAGAGGCGATAGCCAGGCGATAGCAGTTATCGTCGAGAAAGGTTCAAGGGCCTTAGGCCTATCCAGACCGAACTTCAGATCCCAAGACCAAGCTGCACATCCGAAGATCGACCTCGCAAATCCAAAGATTGACCCCGCGTACCTTTTCGTCCTCTTTCACATGCGCGGCCTCGGACGGAAGGTGCGCGAGCACGTCGTCGAAGAAGGACATGGTGGTGTTGGTGGTGGTTCTGCAGCTGGTCTCGATCGTGGTATTGGTAGGCGCGCTTTCTGCGGTCACGGTAATCTTGGTGGTGGTGGTTCTTCGAGAAGTCGTACCAGCTGCAGTCGTCCTGAGCTGAGGCGCTACCGCGGCAGATTCAGATCTGCGATAATCGCGTGTCGTGTGATAACCGCGTGTCGCGGTTAACGTGCGAAGTGCCGAACTGTCAGCAATCAGCGACTGAACTTCTGACCGACTTGTCGACCGAGTTTGCGCTATCGTCCACTCTCCGCTCACAAATCGCCAGAGATGGCGGCGACCGACAAGGCTAAGATAGCACCGCCTGACTCTCCTGAGCTGACTGATTCTGAGCCGCAGCCGCCCGATGAAGCGCTATCGATGGCGCGCACCTGTACGACATGTCGCTGGCAAGGACCCAGCCTCACAGCGGAAGTGGCCCGGTGGGAAGCCATCCTGTACTTAGCGAGTTGCGGTAGGATTCGGGGGCCTGAGGGAGGAAGAGCGGATGAAGATCACGTACAGACAATGTTGAACTTCCCGGATCCCCGTTAGGATAAATGCTTTCTAGAGGCCTCTGAATCGTCGACTGTTCACGCTGAAATAGCAAGACTCCCAACCGCTGAATCACACAGTTAATCTGGGAAGAAGATAGAATCTCTTGCATACTAGTACATACAGTGTTGCATAAAGCCCAAATAAATAGCCCTATAAGTTACGTGCGTGCATGATGTGGTATCTCGTGTCCATAGTGTGGTGTGATGTCTCACGTTGTGTGTGGCGAGGAGTCGCACCGATAGCTGGTGGTTCGTGAACTATGTGTCGAAAGCGGTGCAGAGCAGTAAGGTTTGCCGGAGCCCCATTATGGGGTAAGCGGGAAGGGGCGGAGCCCGACGGTAGCCCGTATGAGCGCACCCATCTATGAGGCGACGACCGTGACCGCGCAGATTTGACTGAGCGGCGTGTCGCTGAGCACGAGATGCGGCTTCGACGCAGCGACCTTGCGGACGTGCTTGTGCGCCGGCGGGAGCATCTCGGCGGTGTGCGGCGTGCGCGGCGGCGTCGAGTCGGCGGAGGATACGGAGGAGACTGGGCTCGTGGACGCATCGCGGGGGACTTCCTCGATCTCCTCGCGCATGACGCGCCGCACGGGCTTGCTGTGCCGGTACGCGGGCGTTGGCTCCGCGCAGCCGAGGAGCGCGTCGCAGTGCGCGAGCAGGTCCGCCTCCTTGAAGCCGAGGTCAAAGTCGAGGACGGCGAGGAACTCGCGCTCGATGAGGCCGATGTCCGCCTTGGAGAACTCGGCGGTGTAGCGCGCCCAGTGGCCGTTTTTGGGGGAGCAGTCGTTCAGGTACTGCGAAGGACGTGAGATGGGGTAATCGATGCGAAGGGGCTTGTGAAACGTACCTTGGCTGCCACGATGAGGGCGCCGAGGAAGATGCGCTCGTGCACGTAGGCGTCGGAGGCCACGCGCAGATGCGGCTTGCACCTATCGATGTAGGCGAGGAGGACGAGGACGACGGTGATGGGAACTTCAGCGCGGGCAATCACACGTTGGATGAGCTCGGTGAAGGCGACGCGCTTTTGGTCGCGACGTGCAGAGCGGCCGCGCTTCATCGCGGAAGAGCGCCCGAGGGCAAAGTCAACCGTGTCCACAGTTACGTCGACAACGTAGTCTGCAGATACGGTTGAGTATCGTGAGGATAGCTGTAGAGGAGTTGGTCGTACCGATCACTGCACGGTTGACCGGGACCTTGAGTACATCTGCGAGAGCGGGATGATGGAGCGCCGGATTGACGAGGCTGAGGTGGTGAATGTTGCGCGTCATGGCGGGGTAAAGGCTCGAGGAGGCAAAGAACTGGAGGCGGGGGCGGGGGCGGCTGCAGTTGACGACATGGCGGACGCTCTCGAGCTCTTATAAATATGTGATGGTGGCCGATGAAGGAGACGCCGAGGCCCGTTTCCGAATCCATATCTGGTGCGAGGATTGTGGGCCTGGGTCGCAGCTGCCCGACCAACCGGGGACGCGCAGATCGTCGCCAGGACGCAGGACGCAGGAGGGGAACTCGTCCGCCGATCGCATCTCGCATCTCCCATCGCGCATCTCGGCCCGACAGCCGCACCCTCGCCCCCGCCCGTCGCGTCTTGCCTCTGTCCGCCATGTTCAAGTTCGACTTGCACGCTCACCCCCCGCCGTTTGCCTCGAAACCACCACCAGTCGATAGCAAAACTGCGCTACACAGCTACCCTACCCTCGCCGACCCTCCCCCCGCCCTCCCGCGCCCGCAATCCGCCCTTTGATCCCGTTCGGCAATTGCCGAAAACGCCCTCTTTCGCGCCGCCCCCAGAGTCCATCCCCCCTCCGCGCGTCGCGAGCGCAGCGAGCGCTTAAGCTCTGGCCTATCCACACCGAAACACCTCTACTTTGGCTCTCACAGCAATGCTCTCCCCTCCCCTCCTCTCCCCCTCCCTTCTCCTCCTCCTTCCCCCTCCCGCCCCTCCTGCCCCCGAGTTGCGTGGGGTCCGAGGGGCGGGCGGGGAAGGGGAGGGTCAGCGCGACGCGGTTTAGAGAACGAACACTTACCGCGCTCGCGCGGGGACCTCCCGCGATTTTTGACGCCCCAAATCGTCGGTACACGGACTTGCTGGTCCCGGCCCGGTGATGAAGGAGGGGAGGGTGCGAGTACGTCCGACCGACTGCCCCGCGCTCGCGCGGGGAGCTCCAGGCGATTTTGGTGACGGAAACCCCCAATCCTGCGCTCGTGCAATGCCGCGGGACACTGGTAAGCTTATCGACGACGGCGGGAGTGAACAGAAAACTCACGTCGCGCTTGCTCGCACGATCGCGCCCATTACTGCTGGCCGAGAGGACGTCGGTGGCGCTCTTCCTGCCAATCACGCTCATCCGGCTCGTCTCGAAGCGCTCGATAGCGGGTGGGATGGGTACGCTGTAGTACTCGATGTATGGCTCGACTTGATGAATACAGGCCTTGCTCGACTCGAAACTGCGTGCTCGGCGGATCTGTACGGCTCTGGTAAGCTCATCGTCCGTGCATCGCGCTCGATGCACGCACCTTGTCCTTGTGCTGATCCTGCTCGTTAGGCTCGTGCCACGCCCTCCGCAGGAGGAATGATGTCAGTGCTGGACTCGTGAGACGAGGCAAGTACTCGTACCTTTGCGAGCTAACCTCGCTCGTCTGCAGCCCGACCGCCTCGGCTGCTTTGCTCTCGCGCGCTTCTCTCGGGCTCCGTCGACACTCGCTGGCGCTCCTCTTGGCCTTGTATCGCCGTGACTGTCCTGCTTGCACGGTCTGCTCGCTCGGGCTTCAGGGCAACCCTCGGCTCCTCCTTGCTCGCTCCCGTGCTCTCGAACATGCCCCGCCTCGCTCGCACTGGTGTCGTTGCATCTCGCCCCTTGTGAACAAGTTGCTGACCTCCACCTCAGGTAGCTGACATCAGAGCAAGAATCAGGAAGCGTAGACACTCGGAGAAAGCCAGAGTGTAGAGGAGAAAGCTTGAGTGTAGACAAAGAAGTGCAGGGAGGTGACGAGACACACGGCATGTACCGTGATCGCCGTTGGTGGCGTGTGATGGAGCGGGACCCTGATCCTCAACCCATCAACTCAGCAAGCCTGTGCGCTGACAGTACCTGCCTGTTTGGGCGCTCTCCGCGCTTGGTAGATTTATCCAGCGGCGGGCAGAGAAGCTCGAGACTCGATGCTCTCTTGAGCATCAGCTTAATGAAATGAACGACTTGAGACTGATACAGGGCTTGATTGTGTAGTCTACAGTATTCATAATGTGGACTGATACTTCCCAGTGCGCAAGACAGCACCCGTCGAGCACATCGAGCTGTGAGCAAATAGATGAGCACGAGACAAAGAAATTGAATGCAGAGGGAAGACACTCACAGAACGTGAGCTCAGTGCATGCACAACGCCGGAGGGAGCCCCCGCGACAGCCCGCACCCCATCCGCAGTCGAGAGACGCCATGCACGACGGTTGAGAGCAGGATGCTCATCGCGGCGGCAGCAAACTCGTGAGCTCCCCGGGAGTCGCGCCGGTGAGCCGCCGAGTTCGAATCCTGCTTGACGTGTCGAACCCGTCCCTTGTCTCACGCGCTCATGTGCGGTCCCCACCGATGATGACCGCCGACACACTAGATACGTATACCTACGACTTCGATGCATCTATCGATGGCCATCCGTGCCGGATTCACTGCGAGTATGCCCGAACTCGTCAGCTCAAGCAGTTCCCCCGCGGTCGAGATCAGATCAGCGATAAGTCGGCGGGGACAAGTCCCATCGACTCGTGGGGGAAGAAGACCTCGAAGAGATGTGTAGCCAGGTTCCCTCACGAACCGAGCATCCCAAATGAGACAAAGACCCTCGGAACGGCATCGACAACTCATAGCTCATCACCGAGCCGCGGGACCCCTAGGTCCGTTTGTGCGCGGGCTTCTGTGACTCGGGACTGGCTCGAGCTGACCTGAACGAGACTTGGGGTCACGCTAAAGTGCCTGTGAAGAAGACACACCGAGTTCCCCTGCCGGAATGCAGGGATCAGCTCAGGAGCGCTCGAGTTCCCCGCTCGACTCAAGGCAGAACACTTCGCCGTTTCGCCTTTTCCCGCCCTGATAGTCACGCGTAAGTCGTCCCCCTCGTCATAACATTCTGTCTTTCGCTTCCGAGCGCCGCAGAACAATGAAAAGTACACTTATCGACTTATTCCAAGACCCTGCCTCGCCCCCAACCTTCCGCGGCTCACCTTCGAAATTCGCGCTCCAAATCACCGAAACACGGAGGTTCGGGGCGTGCCGGACCGGCGGAATGTTGCCGCGAGTGAGACGGAGACGACTGGTGAGTTGGACTTTTGGCTGGGAGTGCAGAATGCGGCGCTTCGCGGCTGCACGCTTGCAGTGTATCGAAGCGCAGCTAGTCGAGTGTGGTAAGGGACACTCGCTGGTATTGTGTTACACGCCGAGAGAATGTCCGTCGGACGTCTGGCACTTGTTCTCTGCGGGGGCTGAAAGCCTGCCTTATGCGGCAAACGCACGCTCAGCGATCACGACGCTTTCTGGAGGTTTTGCTCACTGGCCTTCAGACTTGGAAAACCACACGAGGTGGACTGAGACGAACGAAAGACGACAGTGCAGGATTATGGCGACGTGATCTATCCTTGCTACCGCGCAAATCGCCGTTATGCGCCAAACGACACTCTCCTGGCTGAATGAGCAGCAGTGGGTGTTCCTCGACGTCTGAGAACTGTCCACCGCCAACCCCCTACTCGCTCACAACATACTCATACGACTCTGCAGTCATCTCCCTCCCCGACATCCATATACTTGGTTTGCCAGCATCGCTCCTACCGCCTCGCCTCGCCCCGCCTCGTAACTTCCACTGGCGCGGAGGCAGTTTCTCGACACCGATCACTCAGGGTCCCATCATTTGTCATCATCAAGACACGGGGACCCGGACGCCGGCCTCCTGAATTCGAAGGGAAGCTCGGAATATGCGCCGTTGGGGCTGAGCAGGAGCAGGGCGAGGCGGCAAGGAATATCCGGCCGATGGCAAGTCAGACTCGCTTAGCGCAGAGGTGGGGCATCAAGGGGAGGATGCGGCGACGTTTGACGAGTCCGTGCGCTCGAAGGATTGGTATAAAGAGCGGGGTGAGTTGACTGCTATCCTCACTTCCCCTCCCTCCTTCCTCACTTCTCTCCTCTCCTCCTCCCTTCCTCCGTCCTTTCCTTTACTCAGACAACTTACTACCTACCTCGTTCGCTCTCTTTGCTTCCTCTGAATCTCTTGACGAAGCGCTTGTCCTCGATGTCAGCGAGACTGCAGCCCGCTGCGTCAAGTCGCTTTTTGGTTCGTTGTTTCTCACCTCTACTTTCCTTCGACTAACGACTTCATACAAACGTGATCCAATCTACTACAGACGCTCGACGATTCGCTGAGCGTCAGCACTGGCAAGAAGGTAGAGCCTCATCTTCCCTCATCTCGCATTTACTCACTGCGATCAGCCATTTTTCATCGTCTCCTTTGGACTTTCGGCGCTCTATGTGAGTGGCATCGATATACGAAGGGATTAGAGCAGTCTCCTGACCCTCTCTCATGCAGGGCCACCGAGCGCTGCTGTCGACTTAGTGCCGAATCCTTGTGAGTTCGATTCCCTCTACACATTCCGGTCCGCTGCCAATCGTCGACTCCCTCCCTAGGCCCTAAATCCGCCTTCGACGCGGTCATCGCATGCGGCAGTCGCTCGTCTGGTAAGCTTTTGTTTTCATTTCGTTACCACTTCGTCTCAATTCCGAGCCCGCTGGCGTCCTAACCTCGCGGTTTCTATATCTCTACCGCCTCGCTCACCACGCATCTGCCTGTTTGGCAGCTCATCCCACGATCAACGAAGCAGCCTCCGGTCTATGACCTCGTCGCTGCGGCGCATGTCGTAAGTCCATTGAATTCATTAGATTCATTACGACACGTGTCGCTGACCTCTTGCTTCCCACCACCACCACGTCCCCGACGTCGCCAGTACACAGGACAACGACGGGGCTCAACAAGGATGCCTCTGCGCGAGACCATCAAACTATTCTCGATCTCCTCCCCGAACTGACCTCGTTCTAGCAGGCCGAGGCGCTATTTCGGCGGGAGATTGCGATCGCGGCGGGATCGGGGTCGAAGGTGCGCTGCGCAACACTCTACTAGCACGGCATTGACTGGCGTCTTTGCCGCTCAAATCGACGTCGACGCATTCGACGCAATTGACGGGAAAGCCCGCGACGTTCCGCCGAGGTGAACACCGCCATGCCCTTGCGTCCACGAAACCCAAGCCAGGATCCCGCAAACGCCGAGATGACGGTCCATACTCTTCGCAAATCATGACTCCACCATGCTGTATACCAAGGTGAGCTCTATCAGATGACGCGTTTGACTCGGTGCTGAATTCGTGAAGCCGCTCCTCAGCCCCCCCGTCCTTCACCGAACGAACCTCCCCGACAAATTCACGCGAATCCCGAGCCGCCGGACACATGCGCGGGTCCCCTGGGCTGATATATACGATAACTTAGGTATGCATTCCGCTTCTGGTTGAATATCTGGCTGACCTCTGACGTTCACCATCAGGTTCTGGAGGTGCCACGGGCGAGTACTGAAGATTCCGAGGCGTCGAACAGCTGCCAGACGGTTTCCGGATGAACGTCACCGTGACGAGGTTCTCGGGGTCATTGAGGTGCGTAGGATTCATTCTTTTGCCAAATCGCAACTCCATTGCCTTCGAGCTACAAGAACGTCTAACGGCCCTTATACAGCGAGATTTACGCGCACCCAAAGCCGCCGGAGGCACGCGCGCGCTCCCTGCGGCGATTGACTCGTAGGTGCACGGTAAGACTTTGCTCCTACCCGTTGATCGGCGTGCTAACTCTGTCGTGCACCATCAGGTTCTGGAGGTGCCATGGGCGAGTACTGAAGATGCCAGGCCGTCAAATCGCTGCCCGACGTCCGATTTCCGCATGAAGGCTGAATTGACTAGGTTCTCCTGGTCATTGAGGCAAGCAAACCACGTCTGATTGTTGCATTTTTGACACGAAAATATGACTGTCCTTCTCGAGTGCTCATTGACCCTTTGAACAGCTATTTCCTGCGCCCCCCGAGCCGCCGGAGGCATGCGCGGGGCTCCTAGGGCGAAGGATGCGACAGGTCAGGTATGCTTCCTTTGTAAATCTAAAGCTTTTACTGACATTTTCGCTTTGCAGCATATTTTAAGATTGCTCGCGAGGCAGGGAGGGGCTCGCGTCTGCGAAGCGGCGCGAGCGCAAGCTATATACGAGCTGTCGTACTCGACGAGAGCCAACGAGGTGAGCCGGTCACGCGCAAAGTCGACGGTTGTCTGACGAGCGCGCAGACAGGCTTGCGCCTCCCCTCCCTCTGTTCATCCGCGCATACCCAGACGACGCACGGGGGAACGCTGTCGGCAGCAAATCGACTTGCGCGATGGTCCACGACCTTGCCGACCGCCCCACCGCCGTTGGAGCCAGAAGGCTAAGTAGCCGCCGCAAAGACGGGTAAGTAATGTCAGCGGTTCGTCGCCTTAGCAATACGACTGACCTTCTCCCTGCAGACACGAAATATTGCCCCCACGCACCCTGTCCTTGCGATACCGACCCAATCTCGCAGGAGGGGAGACTATGCCGGTATGTGGCGGATGCGTCGCGCAGACGCTGCCGTCGTTCTGATCCGTCTGCGCAGGAAACAGGAGATCATGTACAAATGTTGCCCCGCTCGTTTAGCCGCCACCGCCGCCCCCGCAATCGAGGGCTGACTTGCACGTAAGTCGTCATCGCCGTCCGTCACCTTTACGCCACAACTAACACTTTCTCTGCAGATGTGAGATTTTGACCTCACATACCGCTTTCGTGGTAGCCCCGCGCACGGCTGATGGGAGGGGAGACTATGTCGGTACGCGGCGACGTGCGAGCATAACCCTAATCCTGATTCGGCGAAGCTGAGAACCGGTCAAGGCGAGGCGAAGCGCCGCCATGTCGATTGACGGAGGTACGTTCCCTCCTCTTGGCTCACCGTCATTCAGGCTGACTTGCCGTCCCCTATGCCGTCCTCATCGCCGCACGCCGCCTCAAGATGGACGAGTGATGTTCGACGCACGCGGTTAGGCCGACTCGACGAATTCACGGATTTTCGTCCGCCTAGCACGCTATCCAGGTATATACCCATTCCGTTGTCTATCCACTGATACTCATCAACTCCCAGACCTCCTCATCGCCGAATTCCACGCCACTCGAGGATGCGAGCACCCCAATACTCACGAGGGGTGAAGGGATGCGGCGCCCCCGCTCTTCAATCACGGCCATCCCCCATCACCCCACAACCCCCATGCCTTGCCAAATCACAAGGGGTGCACTGGCATCGTGAAGGATGGTGCTAATGACGCGCTTACGACGCGCTGCTGAGGGCGATCTGACTTGAGATTGAGTCGGCATGCAAGGGGGAAGGAGGTGGATGTGTCCTCCCCTCGCTTCAAGGTGCGTGTCGTACCCACTTGTTCTACCTAATTCATCGCTCATACAATCTATAGATAACGTATAAGCATTGCCGTCGGGTCCAGCACGTCGGGCAATGGCCAGTGCGCTTCAGAGGGGTGGGGTGGGGGTGGGGGGATTCCCCACCCTCATAACTCGGTGAGTCCTCGTGGTAAAGCACTGAGCGCTGGGTTCTGACATACCTTGTGCTAGAGGGGTCCAACGACGCTCGAAAGCGCGACCTTCGGCGCCACGCGGACCCGGCGAGTGGACATAAGCGGCGTGGGGAGGGGGGATAAGACACCCTCGCCGTGGGACGACGAGGACGCGCATCGGCGCATTCTCTTTGCGAATAGTAAGTAGCAACAGGCCCTCGACCACGCCCGAAGTTTCACGGTGAGCGCGTCCAAACTGAGCCCCTTTTCTCGTTTTCTTCGGAAACTCATATTACACTCCCCAGCCCGAGTTGCCTAGAAGCGGAAGCGGCGCGGAGAAGCCCGATTCCAGCGCCAAGGCACTGCACAAGACGACGGGTCCCCCGGGAAATGGCGCGAAAGCCGGTGCCGTGCTCAAGTCGTCGGTCAAGTCCTCGAACACCACCCCCTCCCCCTCCCCCCTCGTCTCGACAATGCCGGCTGCGCCCTCGGTGAGTACTCGTCGTGTCTGCCGTGTGCTACGTCGCGTACTGACTCTTGAGAACAGCCTGCGCGACGTCGGCGAGCTTTCGACGCCTTGAGACGGGGGGAATCGGCGAGGTACGAGGAGGCGAGGGGGGTGTCGAAATTGAGATGGCCGTCGCTGTCGGGTTTCTCTGGCGCGGAATCGCAGCGCGAAGGTGGCAGGAACTCGGGCGAGGCGTTTAGCGCGCGTGCGCGGACGATAAGCGAGGGTAGGAGGGGCGAGGCGAGGCGAGGCGAGGCGAGGTGAGAAGGAGCATGGGCAAAGGGCGCTCCCGGGCGCGCTAGGGGCGAGGCGAGCGACGGTGAACAAAGGAGGGCGGTCGCGTGAGATGGGGGAATAGCCCTCCGTCCGACGCGCACTTGGTCGTATCGGAGGGGGAAGCCTTCGGCCAGCCCACCCTCCCCTCGTCGTGTACAAGTAGTACCGTCATGTAGTCGTAGCGTAGACTTGAAATTCCAGCTCATTGGCATTCTATTCGCGTCTGAGTACATGCCTCTCGTGAGTACGAGAGGTAGGCAAGCCGGGGAGAGCGAGGTGCGCTCTCGCGGGACATCCGCATCCCTCCCGCCTCATATCACCACTGACTCCAAGCCGCCGCCGTCCGAACGAGCGCAATCAGTGGCGCACATGTACGACATGCCCAGCATCGCGGAGGTCACCGGGTAGGAAGTCATGCTGTACTTAGCGAGTCGCGGGAGGAGTCGGGGGACCGAGGGAGGAAGGTAACGTGCAGACAATGTTGAACTTCTCGGATACCCGTTAGGATGAATGCCTTCTAGAGGCCTCTGTTTACGCTGAGATAACTCTCAACCGCTGAATCACAGAGATAATCTGGGAAGAAGATGGAATCTCTTGCATACTAGTACATACAGTGTCGCATAAAGCCCAAATAAATAGCCCTATAAGTTACGTGCGTGCATGATGTGGTATCTCGTGTCCATAATGTGGTGTGGTGTCTCGCGCTGTATGTGGCGAGGAGTCGCACCGATAGCTAGTGGTCAGTAAACTCTATGTGTCGAAAGCAGTGCAATGCAGTAAGGTTTGCCGGTGCCCCATTATGGGGTAGCAGCGGGATGGGGCGGAGCCCGACGGTAGCCCGTATGAGGGCACCCGTCTATGAGGCGACGACGGTGACCGCGCAGATTTGGCTGAGCGGCGTGTCGCTGAGCACGAGGTGCGGCTTCGACGCGGCGACCTTGCGGACGTGCTTGTGCGCTGGTGGGAGCATCTCGGTGGTGTGCGGCGTGCGCGGCGGCGTCGAGTCGGCGGAGGACACGGAGGAGACAGGGCTCGTAGACGCATCGCGGGGGACCTCCTCGATCTCCTCGCGCACGACGCGCCGCACGGGCTTGCTGTGCCGGTACGCGGGCGTCGGCTCCGCCCAGCCGAGGAGCGCGTCGCAGTGCGCGAGCAGGTCTGCCTCCTTGAAGCCGAGGTCAAAGTCGAGGACGGCGAGGAACTCGCGCTCGATGAGGCCGATGTCCGCCTTGGAGAACTCGGCGGTGTAGCGCGCCCAGTGGCCGTTCTTGGGGGAGCAGTCGTTCAGGTACTGCGAAGGACGTGAGATGGGGTAATCGATGCGAAGGGGCTTGTGAAACGTACCTTGGCTGCCACGATGAGGGCGCCGAGGAAGATGCGCTCGTGCACGTAGGCGTCGGAGGCCACGCGCAGATGCGGCTTGCACCTATCGATGTAGGCGAGGAGGACGAGGACGACGGTGATGGGGACTTTAGCGGGGGCGATCACGCGTTGAATGAGTGCAGTCGACCGTGTCCACAGTTACGTCGGCGGAGGCGGAGGCGGCTGCAGTTGACGACATGGCGGAGGCTCTCGAGCTCTTATAAAGATGTGATGGTGGCCGATGAAGGAGACGCCGAGGCCCGTTTCCGAATCCATATCTGGTGCGAGGATTGTGGGCCTGGGTCGCAGCTGCCCGACCAACCGGGGACGCGCAGATCGTCGCCAGGACGCAGGACGCAGGACGCAGGAGGGGAACTCGTCCGCCGATCGCATCTCCCATCGCGCATCGCGCATCTCGGCCCGACAGCCGCACCCTCGCCCCCCGTCTTGCCTCTGTCCGCCATGTTCAAGTTCGACTTGCTCGCTCACTCCCCGCCGTTCGCCTCGAAACCACCACCATTCGATAGCAAAACTGTCCTACACTACTACTCTACCCTCGCCCACCATCCCCCCGCCCTCCCGCGCCCGCCATTCGCCTTTTGATCCAGTTCGGCAATTGCCGAAAACGCCCTCTTTCGCGCCGCCCCCAGAGTTCATCCCCCCTCCGCGCGTCGCGAGCGCAGCGAGCGCTTAAGCTCTGGCCTATCCACACCCAGCCACCTCTACTATGGCTCTCACAGCAATGCTCTCCCCTCCCCTCCTCTCCTCTCCCCCTCCCTTCTCCTCCTCCTTCCCCCTCCCGCCCCTCCTGCCCCCGAGTTGCGTGGGGTCCGAGGGGCGGGCGGGGAAGGGGAGGGTCAGCGCGACGCGGTGTAGAGAACGAACACTTACCGCGCTCGCGCGGGGACCTCCCGCGACTTTTGACGCCCCAAATCGTCGAAAATGCGCGGTACACGGACTTGCTGGTCCCGGCCCGGTGATGAAGGAGGGGAGGGTGCGAGTACGTCCGACCGACTGCCCCGCGCTCGCGCGGGGAGCTCCAGGCGATTTTGGTGACGGAAACCCCCAATCCTGCGCTCGTGCAATGCCGCGGGACACTGGTAAGCTTATCGACGACGGCGGGAGTGAACAGAAAACTCACGTTGCGCTTGCTCGCACGATCGCGCCCATTACTGCTGGCCGAGAGGACGTCGGTGGCGCTCTTCCTGCCGATCAGGCTCATCCGGCGCGTCTCGAAGCGCTCGAAAGCGGGTGGGATGGGTACGCTGTAGTACTCGATGTATGGCTCGACTTGATGAATACAGGCCTTGCTCGACTCGAAAGTGCGTGCTCGGCGAATCTGTACGGCTCTGGTAAGCTCATCGTCCGTGCATCGCGCTCGATGCACGCACCTTGTCCTTGTGCTGATCCTGCTCGTTAGGCTCGTGCCACGCCGGAATGATGTCAGTGCTGGACTCGTGAGCCGAGGCAAGTACTCGTACCTTTGCGAGCTAACCTCGCTCGTCTGCAGCTCGTCCGCCTCGGCTACTTTGCTCTCGCGCGCTTCTCTCGGGCTCCGTCGACACTCGCTGGCGCTCCTCTTGGCCGTGTATCGCCGTGACTGTCCTGCTTGCACGGTCTGCTCGCTCGGGCTTCAGGGCAACCCTCGGCTCCTCCTTGCTCGCTCCCGTGCTCTCGAACATGCCCCGCCTCACTCGCACTGGTGTCGTCGCATCTCGCCCCTTGTGAACAAGTTGCTGACCTCCACCTCAGGTAGCTGGCATCAGAGAAAGAATGAGGAAGCGTAGACACCCGGAGGAAGCCAGAGTGTAGAGGAGGAAGCCAGAGTGTAGACGAAGGAGTGCAGGGAGGTGACGAGACACACGGCATGTACCGTGATCGCCGTCGGTGGCGTGTGATGGGGCGGGACCCTGATCCTCAACCCATCAACTCAGCAAGCCTGTGCGCTGACAGTACCTGCCTGTTTGGGCGCTCTCCGTGCTTGGGAGATTTATCCAGCGGCGGGCGAGACTCGATGCTCAAGAGAGCATTAGCTCAATGAAATAAAAGACCTGAGACTGGTACATGGCTCTACTTGTAGTCAACAGTATTAGAAGTGTGTAGGGATACTTCTCAGTGTGTAAGATGGCTCCCGTCGAGCACATCGAGCTGTGAGCAAATGGATGAGCATGAGACAAGGAAATTGAATGCAGAGAGAAGACACTCACAGAACGTGAGCTCAGTGCATGCACAACGTCGGAGGGAGCCCCCGCGACAGCCCGCACCCCATCCACAGTCGAGAGACGCCGTGCACGACGGTTGAGAACAAGATGCTCATCGCGGCGGCAGCGAACTCGTGAGGTCCCCGGGAGTCGCGCCGGTGAGCCGCCGAGTTCGAATCCAGCTTTGACGTGTCGAACCCGTCCCTTGTCTCACGCGCTCATGTGCGTTCCCCACCGACGATGACCGCCGACGCACTAGATACGTATACCTACGACTTCGATGTCTCTATCGATGGCCATCCGTGCCGGATTCACTGCGAGTATGCCCGAACTCGTCAGCTCAAGCAGTTCCCCCGCGGTCGAGATCAGATCAGCGATAAGTCGGCGGGGACAAGCCCCATCGACTCGTGGGGGAAGAAGACCTCGAAGAGATGTGTAGCCAGGTGCCCTCACGAACCGAGCATCCCAAATGAGACAAAGACCCTCGGAGCGGCACTGACAACTCATAGCTCATCACCGAGCCGCTAGGCCGGCGGGACCCCAAGGTGCGTGCGTGCGCGGGCTTCTGTGACTTGGGACTGGCTCGAGCTGACCAGAACGAGACTTGGGGTCACGCTACAGTGCCTGTGAAGAAGACACATCGAGTTCCCCTGCCGGGATGCAGGGATCAGCTCAGGAGCGCTCGAGTTCCCCGCCCGACTCAAGGCAGAACCCTTCGCGATTTCGCTTTTTCCTGCCCCGCTAGTCACGGGTAAGTCGTCCCCCTCATCATAGCATCCTGTCTTTGGCTTCCGAGCGCCGCAGAACAATGAAAAACACGTTTATTGACTTATTCCAAGATCCCGCCTCGCTCCCAACCTTCCGCGGCTCACCTTCGAAATTCGAGCTCCAAATCACCGAAACACGGAGGCTCGGGGCATGCCGGACCGGCGGAACGTTGCCGCGAGTGAGACGGAGACGACTGGTGAGTTGGACTTTTGGCGGGGAGTGCGGAATGCGTGCGGTGCTTTGCGCTTGCACACTTGCAATATATCGAAGCGCAGCTAGTCGAGTGTGGTACGGGAGACTCGTTGGTCTCGTGGGTCACGTCGGGACAATAGCCGTCGGAAGTCTGGCGCTTGTTCTCTGCGGGGGCTGAAGGCCTGCCTTATGCGGCAAACTCACGCTTAGCGATCACGACGCTTTTCGAAGGATTTGCTCCCTGGCCTTCAGACTTGGAAAAGCAAACGAGGTAGATTGGGGCGAACGAGACACTACAGTGCAGGATTCTGGCGACGTGATCTATCCTTGCTACCGCGCAAATCGCCGCTATGCGCCAAACGACACTCCCCTGGCTGAATGAGCAGCAGCGGGTGTTCCTCGACGTCTGGGAACTACCCACTACCTACCCCCTACTCGCCTAAAGCATACTTGTCCCTCGCTGCAGTCTTCTCCCTCCCCGACATCCATGTACTTGGTTTGCCAACACCGCTCCTACCGCCTCACCTCGTAACTTCCACTGGCGCGGAGGCAGTTTCTCGACACCGATCACTCAGGGTCCCATCATTTGTCATCATCAATACACGGGGACCTGGGCGCCGGACTCCTGAATTCGAAGGGAAGCTCGGAATATGCGCCGTTGGGGCTGAGCAGGCGCAGGGCGAGGCGGCAAGGAATATCCGGCCGATGGCAAGTCAGACTCGCTTAGCGCAGAGGTGGGGCATCAAGGGGAGGATGCGGCGACGTTTGACGAGTCCGTGCGCTCGAAGGCTTGGTATAAAGAGCGGGGTGAGTTGACTGCTATCCTCACTTCCCCTCCCTCCCTCCTCACTTCCCTCCTCCTCTCCTCCCTTCCTACATCCCTTCTTTCGCTCGGACAGCCCACTACCTACTTCTCTCACAGCAACCTCGCTCTCCTTGCTTCCTCTGAATCTCTTGACGAAGCGCTGATACTCGGTATTGGCGGGTCCCCAGCCCGCTGCGTCAGGTCTCTTTTAGGTTCGTTGTTTCTCACTTCTGCTTTCCTTCGACTGACGGCTTCAAACAGAGACAATCCAGTCTACTACATCCGCTCGACGATTCGCTGAGCGTCAGTACTGGCAACAAGGTAGAGCATCATCTTCCCTCATCTCGCATTTACTCGCTGAAATTAGACGTTTTTGATTGTCTCCTTCGTTTTATGGCGCTCTATGCGGGTGTTATCGATATACGAAGGGATTGGATTAGTCTTTTGGCCCTCTCTTATGCAGGGCTACCGAGCGCTGCCGCCGACTTAGCGTCGGATCCTTGTGAGTTCGATCCCCTCTTCACATTCAGGTCCGCTGCTGATCGTCAACCGTCCCTCGACGACCTCCTCAACATTAAATTCCGTTGAATCTCTACCCAAGCCCTCAACGCTGCCCCCCACGCAGTCACCGCGTGCGACAGTCGCTCGTTCGGTAAGCTTTTGTTTTCATTTCGTTGCCACTTCGTCTAAATACCGGCCCCGCCGGTATGCTAGCCTCGCCGTCTCCATATCTCTACCGCCTCGCTCACCACGCACCTGCCTATTTGGCAGCTCACCCCACGACCAACGAGACAGCACGCAGTCTGTCACCTCGTCGCTGCGGCGCATGTCGTAAGTCCATTGAATTCATTACGACACGTGTCGCTGACCTCTTGCTTCCCACCACCACCACGTCCCCGACGTCGCCAGTACACAGGACAGTGACGGGGCCCGCCACGGATCCGCCGATGCGTGATCATAAGGTGGTTCTCGCTCTCTTGTCGTCCCTCCTCCCCGAGTGACCTAGGTGCACTCTAGCAAGACGAGGCGTTGCTTTGGCGGGGGGATTGTGATCGCGGGATCGAGGGTCAGAGGTGCGCGCGGCGCAGCACACTGAGAGCATGGGGTCGACTGACGTCTTGGCTGCTCAGATCGACGCCAACGCCTCCGATGCAATGGACGGGCGAGCGCGACGTCCCGCCGAGAAGAACGCCGTCTGGATGCCCTTGCGCCCGCGAAGCCTACACCAGGCTCCCGCAGACGCCGAGATTGCGCTGCATGCTTGGCGCAAATTATGTCTCTATCATGCAGTATGCCAAGGTGAGCTCTATGGAGCGACGCGCTTGACCCGGTGCTGATTCCGTGAAGCCGCTAATCAGCCCCCCGTCTCGCTGAACGAACCCATACCTGACGAATTCGCGCGACCCCCTAGCCGCCGGAGGCATGCGCGGGATTTTGGAGCTGATATATGCGATGACCTTGGTATATATCTCGCTTCTAGTTGAATTTCTGTCTGACCTCTGACGATCACCATCAGGTTCTGGAGGTGCCATGGGCGAGTACTGAGCATGTCGAGCCGTCGAATCGCTACCCGACGGTCCGATTTCCGCATGAAGGCCGCGTTGACCAGGTTCTCGGGGTCATTGAGGTGCGCAGGATTCGTTCGAGCTACAAGAACGCCTAATGGCGCTCATGCAGCGAGATTTACGCGGCCGCAAAACCGCCAGAGGCATGCGCGCGCTTCCTACGGCGATTGACGCGTAGATGCACGGTGAGTCATTGCTGTTACCCGGTGGAAAGCGTGCTGACTTTGTCATGCACCATTAAGTCCTGAAGGTGCCACAGACCTTGATCGAGCTCCTTGGGGTGCCGGCTTTGACGACACGACGCGCTGAGAACGCCGCAGGTTCTCGGGGTCATTGAGGTAAGCAAAACACGTCTGAATGTTGCATTTTCGACACGAAAATATGACTGCCCTTCTCGAGTGCTCATTGACCCTTTGAACAGCAATTTCCTGCGCCCCCCGAGCCGCCGGAGGCATGCGCGGGGCTCCTAGGGCGAAGGATGCAACAGGTCAGGTATGCTGCTTTTGTAAATCTACAGCTTTTACTGACATTTTCGCTTTGCAGCACATTTTAAGATTGCTCGCGAGGCAGGGAGGAGCTCGCGTCCGCGAAGCGGCGCGAGCGCAAGCTATATACGAGCCCTCGTACTTAACTAGAGGCAACGAGGTGAGCCGGTCACGCGCAGAGTTGACGACTGCCTGACGAGCGCGCACTGCGCGGCTGGCGCGTGCCTCCCCTCCCTCTGTTCATCCGCGTATACCCAGACGACGCGCGGGGGAACGCTGTCGGCAGGAAGTCGACTTGCGCGGTGGTCCACGGCCTTGCAGACCGCCCCACCGCCGTCGGAGTAGCCGCCGCAAAGACGCGTAAGTAATGTCGGCGGTTCGTCGCCTTATAACCACGACTGACCTCTCCCCTGTAGACACGAGATATCTCCCCCACGCACCCTGTCCTTGCGCTACCGACCGAATCTCGCAGGAGGGGAAACTATGTCGGTATGAGGCGGATGCGTTGCGCAGACGCTGCCGTCGTTCTGATCCGTCTGCGCAGAAAGCGGGAGGTCATGGCCAAATGTCGCCCCGCTCGTTTCGGCGCCGCAATCGAGGGCTGAGTTGCATGTAGGTCGTCATCGCCTTCCGTTACCTCGACGCCACAACTGACCCTTTCCCTGCAGATGCGAGATTTTGACCTCACATGCCGCTTTCTTGGCAGCCCCTCGCACGGCTGATGGGAGGGGAGACTATGCCGGTACGCGGCGAGGTGCGAGCATAACCCTAATCCTGATCCCACGTAGCTGAGAGCCGGTCGAGGCGAGGCGAAGCGCCGCCACGTCAATTGACTGAGGTATGTTCCTCCCTCTTCAATGCTACTGACCTGGCTCACCCTAATCCAGGCTACCATGCTGTACCCTATGCCGTCCTCATCGCCGCACGCCGCCTCAAGATGGACGAGTGACGTTCGACGCATGCGGCTAGGCCGAGTCGACGAATTCACGGATTTTCGTCCGCCTAGCAGGCTATCCAGGTATGTACCCATTCCTTCGTCTATCCACTGTTACTCATCGACTAATAGACCTCCTCATCGCCGCATTCCACGCCACTCGAGGCTACAAGCGCCTGTCTACTCACGAGGGGAGAAGGGATGCGGCGCCCCCGCCCCTCCGCGGCCATCCCCCATCACCCCACAACCCCCATGCCTTGCCAAATCACAAGGAGCGCACTGACATCGTGGAGGGTGGTGCTAAGGACGTGCTCACGACGCGCTGCTGAGGGCGATCTGACTTGGGGTTGAGTCGTCAGGCAAGGTAGAAGGAGGTGGATGTGTGGCTCCCTCGCTTCAAGGTACGTGTCGTACCCACTTTTTCTACCTAATACATTGCTCATACAATCTTTAGATACTGCATAAGCATCGCCGTTCAAGCCAGCACGTCGCGAAATGGCCAGTGCGCTTCGGAGGGGTGGGGTGGGGGCTGGGGGGATTCCCCACCCTCATAACTCGGTGAGTCCTCGTGGTGAAGCACTCAGCGCTGGGGTCTGACATACCTTGTGCTAGAGGGGTCCAACGACGCTCGAAAGCGCGACCTTCGGCGCCCCCGCTGACCCGGCGAGTGGACATAAGCGGCGTGGAGAGGGGGGATAAGACAGCCTCGCCGGGGGACGACGAGGACGCGCATCGGCGCATTCTCCTCGCGAATAGTCAGTAGCAACAGGCCCCCGACCACGCTCGACGTTTCACGGTGAGCGCGTCCAAACTGAGCCCCTTTTCTCGTTTTCTTCGGAGACTCATTCCTCTCCCCAGCCCGAGTTGCCTAGAAGCGGCAGCGGCGCGGAGAAGCCCGATTCCAACGCCAAGGCACTCCACCAAACGACAGGTCCTCTGAAGAAAGGCGCGCAAGCCGGTGCCGTGCTCAAGTCGTCGGTCAAGTCCTCGAACACCACCCCCTCCCCCTCCCCCCTCGTCTCGACAATGCCGGCTGCGCCCTCGGTGAGTAATCGTCGTGTCTGCCGTGTGGTACGTCGCGTACTGACTCTTGCGAACGGCCTGCGCGACGTCGGCGAGCTTTCGACGCCTTGAGACGAGGGGAATCGGCGAGGTACGAGGAGGCGAGGGGGGTGTCGAAATTGAGATGGCCCTCGCTGTCGGGTTTCTCTGGCGCGGAATCGAAGTGCGAAGGTGGCAGGAACTCGGGCGAGGCGTTTAGCGCGCGTGCGCGGACGATACGCGAGGGTAGGAGGGGCGAGGCGAGGTGAGAAGGAGCATGGGCAAAGGGCGCTCCCGGGCGCGCTAGGAGCGAGGCGAGCGACGGCGAGCAAAGGAGGGCGGTCGGGTGAGATGGGGGAATAGCCCTCCGTCCGACGCACACTGGGTGGTATCGGATGGGGAAGCCTTCGGCCAGCCCACCCTCCCCTCGTCGTGTACAAGTAGTACCGTCATGTACTCGTAGCGTAGACTTGAAATTCCAGCTCATTGGCATTCTATTCGCGTGTGAGTACATGCCTCTCGTGAGTACGACAGGTAGGCAAGCCGGGGAGGGCGAGGTGCGCTCTCGCGCGACATCCGCATCCCTCCCGCCTCATATCACCACTGACTCCAAGCCGCCGCCGTCCGAGCGAGCGCAATCGGTGGCGCACATGTACGACATGCCCAGCGTCGCGGAGGTCACCGGGTAGGAAGTCATACTGTACCTAGCGAGTCGCGGTAGGAGTCGGGGGCCTGAGGGAGGAAGAGCGGGTGGAGAACACGTACAGTCTGCAGATACGGTTGAGTATCGTGAGGATAACTGTAAGAGAGTCGGTCGTACCGATCACTGCACGGTTGACCGGGACCTTGAGAACATCGGCGAGAGCAGGATGGTGAAGCGCCGGGTCGACGAGGCTGAGGTGGTGAATGTTGCGCGGAGGCCCGTTTCCATATCTGGTGCGAGGATTGTGGGCCTGGGTCGCAGCTGCGCGACCAACCGGGGATGCGCAGATCGTCGCCAGGACGCAGGAGGGGAACTCGTCCGCCGATCGCATCTCCCATCGCATCTCGGCCCGACAGCCGCACCCTCGCCCCCGCCCGCCGCGTCTTGCCTCTGTCCGCCATGTTCAAGTTCGACTTGCACGCTCACCCCCCGCCGTTCGCCTGGAAACCACCACCGTTCGATAGCAAAACTACGCTACACAGCTACCCTACCCTCGCCGACCCTCCCCCCGCCCTCCCGCGCCCGCAATTCGCCCTTTGATCCCGTTCGGCAATTGCCGAAAACGCACTCTTTCGCGCCGCCCCCAGAGTCCATCCCCCCTCCGCGCGTCGCGAGCGCAGCGAGCGCTTAAGCTCTGGCCTATGCACACCCAAATACCTCTACTTTGGCTCTCACAGCAATGCCCTCCCCTCCCCTCCTCTCCCCCTCCCTTCTCCTCCTCCTTCCCCCTCCCGCCCCTCCTGCCCCCGAGTTGCGTGGGGTCCGAGGGGCGGGCGGGGAAGGGGAGGGTCAGCGCGACTCGGTGTAGAATACGAACACTTACCGCGCTCGCGCGGGGACCTCCCGCGATTTCTGACGCCCAAATCGTCGAAAATGCGCGGTACACGGACTTGCTGGTCCCGGCCCGGTGATGAAGGAGGGGAGGGTGCGAGTACGTCCGACTGCCCCGCGCTCGCGCGGGGAGCTCCAGGCGATTTTGGTGACGGAAACCCCCAATTCTGCGCTCGTGCAATGCCGCGGGACACTGGTAAGCTTATCAACGACAGCGGGAGTGAACAGAAAACTCACGTCGCGCTTGCTCGCACGATCGCGCGCATTACTGCTGGCCGGGAGGACGTCGGTGGCGCTCTTCCTGTCGATCAGGCTCATCCGGCTCGTCTCGAAGCGCTCGATAGCGGGTGGGATGGGTACGCTGTAGTACTCGATGTATGGCTCGACTTGATGAATACAGGCCTTGCTCGACTCGAACGTGCGTGCTCGGCGAATCTGTACGGCTCTGGTAAGCTCATCGTCCGTGCATCGCGCTCGATGCACGCACCTTGTCCTTGTGCTGATCCTGCTCGTTAGGCTCGTGCCACGCCGGAATGATGTCAGTGCTGGACTCGTGAGACGAGGCAAGTACTCGTACCTTCTGCGAGCTAACGTTGCTCGTCTGCAGCCCATCTGCCCCGGCTCCTTTGCTCTCGCGCGCTTCTCTCGGGCTCCGTCGACACTCGCTGGCGCTCCTCTTGGCCTTGTATCGCCGTGACTGTCCTGCTCGCTCGGGCTTCAGGGCAACCCTCGGCTCCTCCTTGCTCGCTCCCGTGCTCTCGAACACGCCCCGCCTCGCTTGCACTGGTGTCGTTGCATCTCGCCCCTTGTGAACAAGTTGCTGACCTCCACCTCAGGTAGCTGGTCTCAGGGCAAGAGCAAGGAAGCGTAGACACGAGGAGTAAGCCAGAGTGTAGAGGAGGAAGCCGAAGCGTAGACAAAGTGGTGCAGGGCAAAGGCAGGAGGTGACGAGTCACACGGCATGTACCGTGATCGCCGTCGGTGGCGTGTGATGGGGCGGGACCCTGATCCCGAACCCATCAACTCAGCAATCCTGTGCGCTGACAGTTCCTTCCCGTTCGGGTGCTCTCCGTGCTTGGGAGATTTATCCAGCGGCGGGCGAGACTCGATGCTCAAGAGAGCATTAGCTCATTGAAATAAAAGACCTGAGACTGCTACCGGGCTCTAATGTGTAGTCTACAGTACTAACGATGTAGTCTGATACTTCCGAGCACGTAAGACAGCCCCCATCGAGCCCATCGAGCTGTAAGCAACTGGATGAGCAAGAGACAAAGAAATTGAATGCAGAGAGAAGACACTCACAGAACGTGAGCTCAGTGCATGCACAACGTCGGAGGGAGCCCCCGCGACAGCCCGCACCCCATCCGCAGTCGAGAGACACCGTGCACGACGGTTGAGAACAAGATGCTCATCTCGGCGGCAGCGAACTCGTGAGCTCCCCGGCAGTCGCGCCGGTGAGCCGCCGAGTTCGAATCCAGCTTTGACGTGTCGAACCCGTCCCTTGTCTCACGCGCTCATGTGCGTTCCCCACCGACGATGACCGCCGACGCACTAGATACGTATACCTACGACTTCGATATCTCTATCGATGGCCATCCGTGCCGGATTTACTGTGAGTATGCCCGAACTCGTCAGCTCAAGCAGTTCCCCCGCGGTCGAGATCAGATCAGCGATAAGTCGGTGGGGACAAGCCCCATCGACTCGTGGGGGAAGAAGACCTCGAAGAGATGTGTAGCCAGGTGCCCTCACGAACCGAGCATCCCAAATGAGACAAAGACCCTCGGAGCGGCACTGACAACTCATAGCTCATCACCGAGCCGCGGGACCCCTAGGTCCGTTTGTGCGCGGGCTTCTGTGACTCGGGATTGGCTCGAGCTGACCAGAACGAGACTTGGGGTCACGCTAAAGTGCCTGTGAAGAAGACACACCGAGTTCCCCTGCCGGAATGCAGGGATCAGCTCAGGAGCGCTCGAGTTCCCCGCTCGACCCAAGGCAGACCACTTCGTGATTTCGCCTTCACCCGCCCCGCTAGTCACGGGTCAGTCGTCTCCCTCATCATAGCATTCTGTCTTTCTCTTCCGAGCGCCGCAGAACAATGAGAAACACGCCTATTGACTTATTCCAAGATCCCGCCCCGCCCCCAACCTTCCGCGGCTCACCTTCGAAATTCGAGCTCCAAATCACCGAAACACGGAGGCTCGGGGCATGCCGGACCGGCGGAATGTTGCCGCGAGTGAGACGGAGACGACTGGTGAGTTGGACTTTTGGTTGGGAGTGCAGAATGCGTGCGGTGCTTTGCGCTTGCACACTTGCAATATATCGAAGCGCAGCTAGTCGAGTGTGGTACGGGAGACTCGTTGGTCTCGTGGGTCACGTCGGGACAATAGCCGTCGGAAGTCTGGCGCTTGTTCTCTGCGGGGGCTGAAGGCCTGCCTTATGCGGCAAACTCACGCTTAGCGATCACGACGCTTTTTGAAGGATTTGCTCCCTGGCTTTTAGACTTGTAAAACCACATGAGGTCGATTTGTGCGAACGAGACTACAGTGCAGGATTCTGGCGACGTGATCTATCCTTGCTACCGCGCAAATCGCCGCTATACGCCAAACGATGCTCCCCTGGCTGAATGAGCAGCAGCGGGTGTTCCTCGACGTCTGAGCACTGTCCACCGCCAACCCCCTACTCGCTCACAACATACTCATACGACTCTGCAGTCTTCTCCCTCCCCGACATCCATATACTTGGTTTGCCAGCATCGCTCCTACCGCCTCGCCTCGCCCCGCCTCGGAACTTCCACTGGCGCGGAGGCAGTTTCTCGACACCGATCACTCAGGGTCCCATCATTTGTCATCATCAATACACGGAGACCTGGGCGCCGGACTCCTGAATTCGAAGGGAAGCTCGGAATATGCGCCGTTGGGGCTGAGCAGGCGCAGGGCGAGGCGGCAAGGAATATCCGGCCGATGGCAAGTCAGACTCGCTTAGCGCAGAGGTGGGGCATCAAGGGGAGGATGCGGCGACGTTTGACGAGTCCGTGCGCTCGAAGGATTGATATAAAGAGCGGGGTGAGTTGACTGCTATCCTCACTTCCCCTCCCTCCCTCCTCACTTCCCTCCTCCTCTCCTCCCTTCCTACATCCCTTCCTTCGCTCGGACATCCCACTACCTACCTCTCTCACAGCATCCTCGTTCTCTTTGCTTCCTCTGAATCTCTTGACGAAGCGCTTATCCTCGATCTCAGCGGGCCTGCAGCCCGCTGCGTCAAGTCGCTTTTTGGTTCGTTGTTGCTCACTTCTGCTTTCCTTCGACTGACGGCTTCAAACAGAGATAATCCAGTCTATCACATCCGCTCCACGATTCGCTGAGCGTCAGTACTGGCAACAAGGTAGAGCATCAACTTCCCTCATCTCGCATTTACTCGCTGAAATTAGACGTTTTTGATCGTCTCCTTCGTTTTATGGCGCTCTATGCGAGTGTTATCGATATACGAAGGGATTAGATTAGTCTTTTGTCCCTCTCTTATGCAGGGCTACCGAGCGCTGCTGCCGACTTAGCGTCGGATCCTTGTGAGTTCGATCCCCTCTTCACATTCAGGTCCGCTGCTGATCGTCAACCGTCCCTCGACGACCTTCTCAACATTAAATTCCGTTGAATCTCTCCCCAAGTTCTCAACGCTGCCCCCCACGCAGTCACCGCGTGCGGCAGTCGCTCGTTCGGTAAGCTTTTGTTTTCATTTCGTTGCCACTTCGTCAAAATACCGGCCCCGCCGGTATGCTAGCCTCGCCGTCTCTATATCTCTACCGCATCGCTCACCACGCATCTGTCTATCTGGCAGCTCATTCCGCGACCAACGAGACAGCACGCAGTCTGTCACCTCGTCGCTGCGGCGCATGTCGTAAGTCCATTGAATTCATTACGACACGTGTCGCTGACCTCTTGCTTCCCACCACCACCACGTCCCCGACGTCGCCAGTACAGAGGACAACGGCGGGGCCCGCCACAGATCCGCCGATGCGTGATCACTAGGTGGTTCTCGCTCTCTTGTCGTTCTCCCTCCCCTACTGGCCTTGGTGCACTCTAGCAAGTCGAGGCGTTGCTTGCCGGGGGATGGTGATCGCGGGAACGAGGGTCAGAGGTACGCGCGGCGCAGCGCACTGACAGCACGGGGGTTGACTGACGTCTTTGCTGCTCAGATCGACGCCTCCGCCTCCGATGCAATCGACGGGCGAGCGCGACGTCCCGCCGAGAAGAACGCCGTCTGGATGCCCTTGCGCCCACAAAGCCTACACCAGGATCCCGCAGACACCGAGAGTACGCTGCATGCTTGGCGCGAATCATGTCTCTACATGCGGTATGCCAAGGTGAGCTCTGCGGAACGACGCGTTTGACCCGGTGCCGATTTCGTGAAGCCGTTGATCAGGCCCCGGTCTTCGCTGAATGAACCCAGACCTGACGGATTTACGCGACCCCCCGAGCCGCCGGAGGCATGCGCGGGACTTCGGGACATATGCGATCATCTAGGTATGTATTTCACTTTTAGTTGGATATCTGGCTGACCTCTGACGTTCACCATCAGGTTCTGGAGGTGCCATGGGCGAGTACTGAGGATGCCGAGCCGTCGAATCGCTTCCCGACAGTCCGATTTCCGCACGGAGGCCGCGTCGACTAGGTTCTCGGGGTCATTGAGGTGCGTAGGATCCGTTCGAGCTACAAGAACACCTAATGGCGCTCATGCAGCGATATCTACGCGGCCCAAAAACCGCCAGAGGCACGCGCGCGCTCTCGACGGCGATTGACACGTAGATGCACGGTGAGTCAATGCCTTTACCCGTTGGAAAGCGTGCTGACTTTGTCATGCACCATCAAGTTCTGGAGGTGCCACAGACCTTCATCGAGCTCCTTGGGGTGCCGGCTTTGACTACACGACGCGCTGAGAACGCCGCAGGTTCTCGGGGTCATTGAGGTAAGCATAACACGTCTGAATGTCGCATTTTCGACACGAAAATATGACCGCCCTTCTCGGGTGCTCATTGACCCTTTGAACAGCAATTTCCTGCGACCCCCAAGCCGCCGGAGGCACGCGCGGGGCTCCTAGGGCGAAGGATGCGGCAGACCAGGTATGCCTCCATTGTGAATCTACAGCTTTTGCTAACATTTTCGCTTTGCAGGACATTTTGAGATCGCTCACGAGGCCGGGAGGGGCTCGCGGCCGCGAAGCGGCGCGAGCGCAAGCTTTAACGAGCCGTCGTACTCGACGAGAGGTAAGGAGGTGAGCCGGTCACGCGCAAAGTCGACGGTCGTCTGACGAGCGCGCAGGCAGGCTCGCGCCTCCCCTCGCTCTGTTCATCCGCGCATACTCAGACGACGCGCGGGGGAACGCTGTCGGCAGCAAGTCGACTTGCGCGATGGTCCACGACCTTGCCGACCGCCCCACCGCCGTTGGAGCCAGAAGGCTAAGTAGCCGCCGCAAAGACGGGTAAGTAATGTCAGCGGTTCGTCGCCTTAGCAGTACGACTGACCTCTCCCCTGCAGACACGAAATATTGCCCCCACGCACCCTGTCCTTGCGCTACCGACCCAATCTCGCAGGAAGGGAGACTATGCCGATATGTGGCGGATGCGTCACGCAGACGCTGCCGTCGTTCTGATCCGTCTGCGCAGAAAGCGGGAGGTCATGGCCAAATGTCGCCCCGCTCGTTTCGGCGCCGCAATCGAGGGCTGAGTTGCATGTAGGTCGTCATCGCCTTCCGTTACCTCGACGCCACAACTGACCCTTTCCCTGCAGATGCGAGATTTTGACCTCACATGCCGCTTTCTTGGCAGCCCCTCGCACGGCTGATGGGAGGGGAGACTATGCCGGTACGCGGCGACGTGCGAGGATAACCCTAATCCTGATTCCACGTAGCTGAGAGCCGGTCGAGGCGAGGCGAAGCGCCGTCACGTCGATTGGTTGAGGTACGTTCCTTCCTCTTCGATGCTATTGACCTGGCTCACCCTAATCCAGGCTACCATGCTGTACCCTATGCCGTCCTCATCGCCGCACGCCGCCTCAAGATGGACGAGTGACGTTCGACGCGCATGCGGCTAGGCCGAGTCGACGAATTCACGGATTTTCGTCCGCCTAGCAGGCTATCCAGGTATGTACCCATTCCTTCGTCTATCCACTGTTACTCATCGCCTCATAGACCTCCTCATCGCCGCATTCCACGCCACTCGAGGCTACAAGCGCTTGTCTACTCACGAGGGGAGAAGGGATGCGGCGCACCCGCCCCTCCACGGCCATCCCCCATCACCCCACAACCCCCATGTCTTGCCAATACACAGGGAGCGCACTGAGATCGTGGAGGATGGTGCTAAGGACGTGCTCATGACGCGCTGCTGAGGGCGATCTGACTTGGGGTTAAGTCGTCAGGCAAGGTAGAAGGAGGTGGATGTGGGCCTCCCTCGCTTCAAGGTACGTGTCGTACCCACATGTTCTACCTAATACATTGCTCATACAATCTATAGATAATGTACAAGCATTACCGCCGGGTCCAGCGCGTCGCGAACTGGCCAGTGCGCTTCGGAGGGGTGGGGTGGGGGTGGGGGGATTCGCCACCTTCATAACTCGGTGAGTCCTCGTGGTAAAGCACTGAGCGCTGGGATCTGACATGCATTGTGCTAGAGAGGTCTACTGACGCTCGAAAGCGTGACCTTTCGCACCCCGCTGGCCCGGCGAGTGGACATGAGCGGCGTGGGGAGGGGGGATAAGACACCCTCGCCGTGGGACGACGAGGACGCGCATCGGCGCATTCTCTTCTAAAACAGTAAGTAGCAACAGGCCCTCGACCACGCCCGAAGTTTCACGGTGAGCGCATCCAAACTGAGCCCCTTTCCTCATTTTCTTCAGAAACTCATTCCCCTCCCCAGCCCGAGTTGCCTAGAAGCGGCAGCGGCGCGGAGAAGGCCGATTCCAGCGCCAAGGCACTCCACAAGACGACGGGTCCCCTGAGGAAAGGCGCGAAAGCCGGCGCCGCGCTCGAGTCGTCGGTCAAGTCCTGGAACACCACCCCCTCCCCCTCTCCCCTCGTCTCGACGATGCCGGCTGCGCCCTCGGTGAGTACACGTCGTGTCTGCCGTGTGGTACGTCGCGTACTGACTCTAGAGAACAGCCTGCGCGACGTTGGCGAGCTTTCGACGCCTTGAGACGGGGGGAATCGGCGAGGTACGAGGAGGCGAGGGGGGTGTCGAAATTGAGATGGCCCTTGCTGTCGGGTTTCTCTGGCGCGGAATCGAAGTGCGAAGGTGGCAGGAACTCGGGCGAGGCGCTTAGCGCGCGTGCGCGGACGATAAGCGAGGGTAGGAGGGGCGAGGCGAGGCGAGGCGAGGTGAGAAGGAGCATGGGCAAAGGGCGCTCCCGGGCGCGCTAGGAGCGAGGCGAGCGACGGCGAGCAAAGGAGGGCGGTCGCGTGCGATGGGGGAATAGCCCTCCGTCCGACGCGCACTTGGTGGTATCGGAGGGGGGCAGTCACCCTCCCTCGTCGTGTACAAGTAGTACCGCCATGTACTCGTAGCGTAGACTTGAAATTCCAGCTCATTGGCATTCTATTCGCGTGTGAGTACATGGCTCTCGTGAGTACGACAGGTAGGCAAGCCGGGGATGGCGAGGTGCGCTCTCGCGCGACATCCGCATCCCTCCCGCCTCATATCACCACTGACTCCAAGCCGCCGCCGTCCGAACGAGCGCAATCGGTGGCGCACATGTACGACATGCCCAGCGTCGCGGAGGTCACCGGGTAGGAAGTCATCCTGTACCTAGCGAGTTGCGGTAGGAGTCGGGGGACTGAGGGAGGAAGGTAACGTGCAGACAATGTTGAACTTTCCGGATCCCCGTTAGGATGAATGCTTTCTGAATCGTCACTGCGATAGCGAGACTCTCGACCGCTGAATCACACAGTTAATCTGGGAAGAAGATGGAATCTCTTGCATACTAGTACATACAGTGTTGCATAAAGCCCAGATAAATAGCCCTATAAGTTACGTGCGTGCATGATGTGGTATCTCGGGTCCATAATGTGGTGTGATGTCTCACATTGTATGTGGCGAGGAGTCGCACCGATTAGCTGGTGGTTCGTGAAGTCTATGTGTCGAAAGCAGTGCAATGCAGTAAGGTTTGCCGGTGCCCCATTATGGGGTAGCAGCGGGAAGGGACGGAGCCCGACGGTAGCCCGTATGAGGGCACCCGTCTATGAGGCGACGACGGTGACCGCGCAGATTTGGCTAAGCGGCGTGTCGCTGAGCACGAGGTGCGGCTTCGACGCGGCGACCTTGCGGACGTGCTTGTGCGCCGACGGGAGCATCTCGGCGGTGTGCGGCGTGCGCGGCGGCGTCGAGTCGGCGGAGGACACGGAGGAGACAGGGCTCGTGGACGCATCGCGGGGGACCTCCTCGATCTCCTCGCGCACGACGCGCCGCACGGGCTTGCTGTGCCGGTACGCGGGCGTCGGCTCCGCGCAGCCGAGGAGCGCGTCGCAGTGCGCGAGCAGGTCCGCCTCCTTGAAGCCGAGGTCAAAGTCGAGGACGGCGAGGAACTCGCGCTCGATGAGGCCGATGTCCGCCTTGGAGAACTCGGCGGTGTAGCGCGCCCAGTGGCCGTTTTTGGGGGAGCAGTCGTTCAGGTACTGCGAAGGACGTGAGATGGGGTAATCGATGCGAAGGGGCTTGTGAAACGTACCTTGGCTGCCACGATGAGGGCGCCGAGGAAGATGCGCTCGTGCACGTAGGCGTCGGAGGCCACGCGCAGATGCGGCTTGCACCTATCGATGTAGGCGAGGAGGACGAGGACGACGGTGATGGGGACCTCAGCGCGGGCGATCACGCGTTGGATGAGCTCGGTGAAGGCGACACGCTTTTGGTCGCGACGTGCAGAGCGGCCGCGCTTCATCGCGGAAGAGCGCCCGAGGGCAAAGTCAACCGTGTCCACAGTTACGTCGACAACGTAGTCTGCAGATACGGTTGAGTATCGTGAGGATAGCTGTAGAGGAGTTGGTCGTACCGATCACTGCACGGTTGACCGGGACCTTGAGTACATCTGCGAGAGCGGGATGATGGAGCGCCGGATCGACGAGGCTGAGGTGGTGAATGTTGCGCGGAGGCCCGTTTCCATATCTGGTGCGAGGATTGTGGGCCTGGGTTGCAGCTGCCCGACCAACCGGGGACGCGCAGATCGTCGCCAGGACGCAGGAGGGGAACTCGTCCGCCGATCGCATCTCCCATCTCCCATCGCGCATCTCGGCCCGACAGCCGCACCCTCGCCCCCGCCCGCCGCGTCTTGCCTCTGTCCGCCATGTTCAAGTTCGACTTGCTCGCTCACTCCCCGCCGTTCGCCTCGGAACCACCACCAGTCGATAGCAAAACTGCCCTACACTGCTACTCTACCCTCGCCGACCCTCCCCCCGCCCTCCCGCGCCCGCAATTCGCCTTTTGATCCAGTTCGGCAATTGCCGAAAACGCACTCTTTCGCGCCGCCCCCAGAGTCCATCCCCCCTCTGCGCGTCGCGAGCGCAGCGAGCGCTTAAGCTCTGGCCTATCCACACCGAAACACCTCTACTTTGGCTCTCACAGCAATGCTCTCCCCTCCCCTCCTCTCCCCCTCCCTTCTCCTCCTCCTTCCCCCTCCCGCCCCTCCTGCCCCCGAGGTGCGTGGGGTCCGAGGGGCGGGCGGAGAAGGGGAGGGTCAGCGCGACGCCGTGTAGAGAACGAACACTTACCGCGCTCGCGCGGGGACCTCCCGCGATTTTTGACGCCCCAAATCGTCGAAAATGCGCGGTACACGGACTTGCTGGTCCCGGCCCGGTGATGAAGGAGGGGAGGGTGCGAGTACGTCCGACTGCCCCGCGCTCGCGCGGGGAGCTCCAGGCGATTTTGGTGACGGAAACCCCCAATTCTGCGCTCGTCCAATGCCGCGGGACACTGGTAAGCTTATCGACGACGGCGGGAGTGAACAGAAAACTCACGTCGCACTTGCTCGCACGATCGCGCCCATCGCCGCTGACCGAGTCGCCCGTGTGCAGAGGACGTCGGTGGCGCTCTTCCTGCCGATCAGGCTCATCCGGCTCGTCTCGAAGCGCTCGATAGCGGGTGGGATGGGTACGCTGTAGTACTCAATGTATGCCTCGACTTGATGAATACAGGCCTTGCTCGACTCGAAAGTGCGTGCTCGGCGAATCTGTACGGCTCTGGTAAGCTCATCGTCCGTGCATCGCGCTCGATGCACGCACCTTGTCCTTGTGCTGATCCTGCTCGTTAGGCTCGTGCCACGCCGGAATGATGTCAGTGCTGGACTCGTGAGACGAGGCAAGTACTCGTACCTTCTCTGCGAGCTAACGTCGCTCGTCTGCAGCCCGTCCGCCTCGGCTGCTTTCCTCGGGCTCTCGCGCGCTTCTCTCGGGCTCCGTCGACAATCGCTGGCGCTCCTCTTGGCCTTGTATCGCCGTGACCGTCCTGCTCGCATGGTCTGCTCGCTCCGGCTTCAGGGCAACCCTCGGCTCCTCCTTGCTCGCTCCCGTGCTCTCGAACACGCCCCGCCTCGCTTGCACTGGTGTCGTTGCATCTCGCCCCTTGTGAATGAGTTGCTGACCTCCATCTCAGGTAGCTGGCGTCAGAGCGAGAATCAGGAAGCGGAGAAAGTCAGAGTGTAGAGGAGAAAGCTTGAGTGTAGACAAAGAAGTGCAGGGAGGTGACGAGACACACGGCATGTACCGTGATCGCCGTCGGTGGCGTGTGATGGGGCGGGACCCTGATCCTCAACCCATCAACTCAGCAAGCCTGTGCGCTGACAGTACCTGCCTGTTTGGGCGCTCTCCGCGCTTGGTAGATTTATCCAGCAGCGGGCAGAGAAGCTCGAGACTCGATGCTTTCTTGAGCATCATCTCAATGAAATGAATGACTTGAGACTGATACGGGCTCTAACGTGTAGTCTACAGCATTGATAATGTGGACTGATAGTTCCCAGCGCATAAGACAGCCCCTGTTGAGCACGTCGAGCTGCGAGCAGCTGGATGAGCATGAGACAAATAAATTGAATGCAGAGAGAAGACACTCACAGAACGTGAGCTCAGTGCATGCACAACATCGGAGAGAGCCCCCGCGACAGCCCGCACCCCATCCGCAGTCGAGAGACGCCGTGCACGACGGTTGAGAACAAGATGCTCATCGCGGCGGCAGCGAACTCGTGAGCTCCCCGGGAGTCGCGCCGGTGAGCCGCCGAGTTCGAATCCAGCTTTGACGTGTCGAACCCGTCCCTTGTCTCACGCGCTCATGTGCGTTCCCCACCGACGATGACCGCCGACGCACTAGATACGTATACCTACGACTTCGATGTCTCTATCGATGGCCATCCGCGCCGGATTCACTGCGAGTATGCCCGAACTCGTCAGCTCAAGCGGTTCCCCCGCGGTCGAGATCAGATCAGCGATAAGTCGGCGGGGACAAGTCCCATCGACTCGTGGGGGAAGAAGACCTCGAAGAGATGTGCATTGCCAGGTGCCTTCACGAACCGAGCATCCCAAATGAGACAAAGACCCTCGGAGCGGCACTGACAACTCATAGCTCATCACCGAGCCGCGGGACCCCTAGGTCCGTCTGTGCGCGGGCTTCTGTGACTCGGGACTGGCTCGAGCTGACCTGAACGAGACTTGTGGTCACGCTAAAGTGCCTGTGAAGAAGGCACACCGAGTTCTCCTGCCGGAATGCAGGGATCAACTCAGGAGCGCTCGAGTTCCCCGCTCGACTCAAGGCAGAACACTTCGCCGTTTCGCCTTTTCCCGTCCTGATAGTCACGCGTAAGTCGTCCCCCTCGTCATAACATTCTGTCTTTCGCTTCCGAGCGCCGCAGAACAATGAAAAGTACACTTATCGACTTATTCCAAGACCCTGCCTCGCCCCCAATCTTCCGCGGCTCACCTTCGAAATTCGCGCTCCAAATCACCGAAACACGGAGGCTCGGGGCGTGCCGGACCGGCGGAATGTTGCCGCGAGTGAGACGGAGACGACTGGTGAGTTGGACTTTTGGCTGGAAGTGCGGAATGCGGCGCTTTGCGCTTGCACACTTGCAACATATCGAAGCGCAGCTAGTCGAGTGTGGTAAGGGACACTCGCTGGTATCGTGATACACGCCGAGAGAATGTCCGTCGGACGTCTGGCACTTGTTTCTCTGCGAGGGCTGAAAGCCTGCCTTATGCGGCAAACGCACGCTCAGCGATCACGACGCTTTCTGGAGGTTTTGGTCACTGGCCTTCAGACTTGGAAAACCACACGAGGTGGACTGAGACGAACGAGAGACGACAGTGCAGGATTATGGCGACGTGATCTATCCTTGCTACCGCGCAAATCACCGCTATGCGCCAAACGACACTCCCCTGGCTGAATGAGCAGCAGCGGATGTTCCTCGACGTCTGAGCACTGTCCACTACCCAACCCCTACTCGCTCACAACATACTCATCCCTCGCTGCAGTCTTCTCCCTCCCCGACATCCATGTACTTGGTTTGCCAACACCGCTCCTACCGCCTCGCCTCGCCTCACCTCGTAACTTCCACTGGCGCGGAGGCAGTTTCTCGACACCGATCACTCAGGGTCCCATCATTTGTCATCATCAAGACACGGGGACCCGGACGCCGGACTCCTGAATTCGAAGGGAAGCTCGGAATATGCGCCGTTGGGGCTGAGCAGGAGCAGGGCGAGGCGGCAAGGAATATCCGGTCGATGGCAAGTCAAATCCGCTGAGCGCAGAGGTGGGGCATCAAGGGGAGGATGCGACGACGTTTGACGAGTCCGTGCGCTCGAAGGATTGGTATAAAGAGTAGGGTGAGTCGGCTTCTATCCTCACTTCCCCTCCCTCCTCACTTCTCTCCTCACATCCTCCCTTCATTTAGCCCTTCCTTCGCTCGGACATCCCACTACCTACCTTTCTCACAGCATCCTCGTTCCCTTTGCTTCCTCTGAATCTCTTGACGAAGCGCTTATCCTCGATCTCAGCGGGCCTGCAGCCCGCTGCGTCAAGTCGCTTTTTGATTCGTTGTTTCTCACCTCTGCTTTCCTTCTACTGACGGCTTCAAAGACAGATGTTCCAGTCTACTACAGACGCTCGGTCACTTGCGGAGCGTCAGTACTGGCGACAAGGTAAGGCCTCACCTTCCCTCATCTCGCATTTACTCACTGGAATGAGATGTTTTTCATCGTCTCCTTCATATTTTCGGCGCTACATGTGAGTGGGCTCGATATACGAAGGGATTAGGGCAGGTTTCTGACCCTCTCCTATGCAGGGCTACCGAGCGCTGCTGCCGGCTTGAGTGAGTTCGATCTCGTCTTCACATCCACGTCCGCTGCTGACCGTCAACTCTCCCTCGATGACCTTCCTCACATCAAACGCCATCGACTCCCTAGGCCCTCAACTTCACATTCGGCGCGGTCAGCGCATGCGGCAGTCGCTCGTTCGGTAAGTTTCTGTTTCATTTCGTCTCAATAGGGAGCCCGCTGGCGTGCTAACATCGCGGTCTCTATATTTCTGCCACCACGTATCTGCCTATCTGGCAGTTCACCCCACGACCAACGAGACAGCGCGCAGTCTGTGACCTCGTCGCTGTGGCGCATGTCGTAAGTCCATTGAATTCATTACGACACGTGTCGCTGACCTCTTGCTTCCCACCACCACCACGTCCCCGACGTCGCCAGTACACAGGACAGTGACGGGGCTCGCCACGGATCCGCCGATGCGTGATCATCAGGTGGTTCTCGCTCTCTTGTCGTCCCTCCTCCCCGACTGACCTTGGTTTAGCAAGACGAAACGTTGTTCCGGCGGGGGGATTGTGGTCGCGGGATTGAGATCAGAGGTGCGCAGCGCAGCACGCAGCTAGTGCGGCGTCGACTGACGCCTTTGCTGCTCAGATCGACGCCAACCGTGACGCATCCGATGCGATTGACGGGCAAGCGCACGACTTCCCGCAGAGAAGAACGCCGTTCGGATGCCCTTGCGCCCACCGAGCCTCCATCAAGGACCCGCAGACGCCGAGACTACGCTGCATGCTCGGCGCGAATCATGTCTCTACCATGCAGTACGCCGAAGTGAGCTCTATGGAATGACGCGTTTGACCCGGTGCTAATTTCGTGAAGCCGTTAATCAGGCCCCCGTCCTTCGCTGAATCAACCCAGACCTGACAAATTTACGCGACCCCCGAGCCGCCGGAGGCATGCGCGGGGCTCCTAGGGCGAAGAAGGCGGCAGACCAGGTATGCCTCCACTGTGAATCTACAGCTTTTGCTGACATTTTGGCTTTGCAGGACATGTTGAGATCGCTCACGAGGCCGGGAGGAGCTTGCGGCCGCGAAGCGGCGCGAGCGCAAGCTACATACGAGCCGTCGTACTCGACGAGAGGCTGCGAGGTGAGCCGGTCACGCGCAAAGTCGACGGTTGTCTGACGAGCGCGCAGGCAGGCTCGCGCCTCCCCTCGCTCTGTTCATCCGCGCATACCCAGACGACGCACGGGGGAACGCTGTCGGCAGCAAGTCGACTTGCGCGATGGTTCAGGACCTTGCCGACCGCCCCACCGCCGTTGGAGTCAGAGGGCAAAGTAGCCGCCACAAAGACGGGTAAGTAATGCGGGCGGTTCGCCGTCTTATAACCACGACTGAATACTCCCCTGCAGACGCGAGATATCTCCCCCACGCACCCTGTCCTTGCGCTGCCGACCAAATCTCGCAGGAGGGGAGACTATGCCGGTATGTGGCGGATGCCTCGTGCAGACGCTGCCGTCGTTCTGATCCATCTGTGCAGAAAACGGGAGATCATGGCCAAATGTCGCCCCGCTCATTTCGCCACCACCGCCGCCGCCGAAATAGAGGGCTGAGTCCTGACCCCAAGAGAGTCCCACCTCCACGATCCACGAGCGGGCTCGGCGTCTGCCGTCTCGGTACGCGAACGGCGAGCGCGTCGACGAGAACGGTGAGCACGACGTTGTCGACGACGAGGGATTTGACTGACCACGTTCGTATAATCTTAGCCAGCTGTGTCTCCGACGCGTAGAGGGATGCCAGACGACGTCGAGATTGACGCCGACGACATTCCAGTCAATCCCGACATTGCGCTCGAGGTGAGTACCTGCAAATTTCGTACTCCCTACCCCTACCCTGACCTTTTTACCCAGACTGACCGATCCCACGTTCCTCGGTGACGGCAGGACGCATCGCCGTATGCGGCAGCGACCTCGGCACGGATGTAAGTCGCCATCGCCGCCCGTTACCTCGATGCCACGACTGACCCTTTTTCTGCAAATGCGAAATTTTGTCCTAACATACCGCTTTCTTGGTAGCCCCTCGCACGGCTGATGGGAGGGGAGACTATGTCGGTACGCGGCGACGTGCGAGCATAACCCTAATCCTGATTCCACGTAGCTGAGAGCCGGTCGAGGCGAGGCGAAGCGCCGCCACGTCGATTGACTGAGGTATGTTCCTTCCTCTTCAATGCTATCGACCTGGCTCACCGTAACTCAGACTACCATGCTGTTCCCTATGCCGTCCTCATCGCCGCACGCCGCCTCAAGATGGACGAGTGACGTTCGACGCATGCGGCTAGGCCGAGTCGACGAATTCACGGATATTCGTTCGCCTAACGGACTACCAAGGTATGTACCCATTCACTTGTCTATCCACTGATACTCATCAACTCCCAGACCTCCTCATCGCCGCATTCCACGCCACTCGAGGCCGCGAGCACCCCAATACTCACGAGGGGTGAAGGGATGCGGCGCCCCCGCTCTTCAATCACGGCCATCCCCCATCACCCCACAACCCCCATGCCTTGTCAAATCACAAGGAGCGCACTGGAATTGTGGAGGATGGTGATAATGACGCGCTTACGACGCGTTGCTGAGGGCGATCTGACTTGGGGTTGAGTCGGCATGCAAGGGGGAAGGAGGTGGATGTGTCGTCCCCTCGCTCCAAGGTGCGTGTCGTACCCACTTTTTCTACCTAATACATCGCTATTACAATCTATAGATACAGTATAAGCATCGCCGTTGGGGCCAGCACGTCGCGAAATGGCCAGTGCGCTTCGGAGGGGTGGGGTGGGGGTTGGGGGGATTCCCCACCCTCATAACTCGGTGAGCCATCGCAGTAAAGCACTGAGCGCTGGGGTCTGACATACCTTGTGCTAGAGGGGTCCAACGATGCTCGAAAGCGCGACCTTCGGCGCCCCGCTGACCCGGCGAGTGGACATAAGCCGCGTGGGGAGGGGGGATAAGACACCCTCGCAGTGGGACGACGAGGACGCGCATCGGCGCATTCTCCTCGCGAATAGTCAGTAGCAGTAGGCCCCCGACCACGCTCGAAGTTTCACGGTGAGCGCGTCCAAACTGAGCCCCTTTCCTCGTTTTCTTCAGAAACTCATTCCCCTCCTTAGCCCGTGTTGCCTAGAAGCGGAAGCGGCGTGGGGAAGCCCGATTCAAACGCCAAGGCACTCCACAACACGACGGGTCCCCTGGGGAATGGCGCGAAAGCCGGCGCCGCGCTCAAGTCGTCGGTCAAGTTCTCGAACACCTCCCCCTCCCCCCTCGTCTCGACATTGCCGGCTGCGCCCTCGGTGAGTACTCGTCGTTTCTGCCTTGTGCTACGTCGCGTACTGACTCTTGAGAACAGCCTGCGCGACGTCGGCGAGCTTTCGACGCCTTGAGACGGGGGGATTCGGCGAGGTACGAGGAGGCGAGGGGGGTGTCGAAATTGAGATGGCCGTCGCTGTCGGGGTTCTTTGGCGCGGATTCGAAGCGCGAAGGTGAGAGGGACTCGGGCGAGGCGTTTAGCGCGCTTGCGCGGACGATATGGGAGGGTAGGAGGGGCGAGGCGAGGCGAGGTGAGAAGGAGCATGGGCAAAGGGCGCTCCCGGGCGCGCTAGGAGCGAGGCGAGCGACGGCGAGCAAAGGAGGGCGGTTGCGTGAGATGGGGGAATAGCCCTCCGTCCGACGCGCACTTGCTGGTATCGGAGGGGGAAGCCTTCGGCCAGCCCACCCTCCATTCGTCGTGTACAAGTAGTACTGTCATATGTTCGTAGCATAGACTTGAAATTCCAGCTCATTGGCATTCTATTCGCGTGTGAGTACATGCCTCTCGTGACTGCGACAGGTAGGCAAGCCGGGGATGGCGAGGTGCGCTCTCGCGCGACATCCGCATCCCTCCCGCCTCATATCACCACTGATTCCAAGCCGCAGCCGTCCGAACGAGCGCAATCGGTGGCGCACATGTACGACATGCCCAGCGTCGCGGAGGTCACCGGGTAGGAAGCCATGCTGTACCTAGCGAGTCGCGGTAGGAGTCGGGGGCCTGAGGGAGGAAGAGCGGGTGAAGATCACGTACAGACAATGTCGAACTTTCCGGATCCCCGTTAGGATGAATGCTTTCTGAATCGTCACTGCGATAGCGAGACTCTCAACCGCTTAATCACACAGTTAATCTGGGAAGAAGATGGAATCTCTTGCATACTAGTACATACAGTGTTGCATAAAGCCCAAATAAATAGCCCTATAAGTTACGTGCGTGCATGATGTGGTATCCCGTGTCCATAATGTGTGGTGTGATGTCTCGCACTGTATGTGGCGAGGAGTCGCACCGATAGCTGGGGGTTCGTGAACTCTATGTGTCGAAAGCGGTGCAGAGCAGTAAAGTTTGCCGGTGCCCCATTATGGGGTAGCAGCGGGAAGGAGCGGAGCCCGACGGGGCACCCGTCTATGAGGCGACGACGGTGACCGCGCAGATTTGGCTGAGCGGCGTGTCGCTGAGCACGAGGTGCGACTTCGACGCGGCGACCTTGCGGACGTGCTTGTGCGCCGGCGGGAGCATCTCGGTGGTGTGCGGCGTGCGCGGCGGGGTCGAGTCGGCGGAGGATACGGAGGAGACAGGGCTCGTGGACGCATCGCGGGGGACCTCCTCGATCTCCTCGCGCACGACGCGCCGCACGGGCTTGCTGTGCCGGTACGCGGGCGTCGGCTCCGCGCAGCCGAGGAGCGCGTCGCAGTGCGCGAGCAGGTCCGCCTCCTTGAAGCCGAGGTCAAAGTCGAGGACGGCGAGGAACTCGCGCTCGATGAGGCCGATGTCCGCTTTGGAGAACTCGGCGGTGTAGCGCGCCCAGTGGCCGTTTTTGGGGGAGCAGTCGTTCAGGTACTGCGAAGGACGTGAGATGGGGTAATCGATGCGAAGGGGCTTGTGAAACGTACCTTGGCTGCCACGATGAGGGCGCCGAGGAAGATGCGCTCGTGCACGTAGGCGTCGGAGGCCACGCGCAGATGCGGCTTGCACCTATCGATGTAGGCGAGGAGGACGAGGACGACGGTGATGGGGACTTCGGCGCGGGCAATCACGCGTTGGATGAGCTCGGTGAAGGCGATGCGCTTTTGGTCGCGACGTGCAGAGCGGCCGCGCTTCATCGCGGAAGAGCGCCCGAGGGCAAAGTCAACCGTGTCCACAGTTACGTCGACAACGTAGTCTGCAGATACGGTTGAGTATCGTGAGGATGGCTGTAGAGGAGTTGGTCGTACCGATCACTGCACGGTTGACCGGGACCTTGAGTACATCTGCGAGAGCAGGATGATGGAGCGCCGGATCGACGAGGCTGAGGTGGTGAATGTTGCGCGTCATGGCGGGGTAAAGGCTCGAGGAGGCAAAGAACTGTAGGCTGAGGCGGGGGCGGCTGCAGTTGACGGCATGACGGAAGCTCTCGAGCTCTTATAAAGATGTGATTGTCAGAAGACACGCGAAGATTCCGCTGTGCTGATTGCGTGCACAATGAAGGAGACGCCGAGGCCCGTTTCCATATCTGGTGCGAGGATTGTGGGCCTGGGTCACACGTTCTGGACTCACTGATCCGGAAAACAAGGTGCCCGACCAACCGGGGACGCGCCGGAGATTGATGCGCCCTCAGATCGCCGCCCCCGCGTCCCGACTCTGCCCCGCAATTTATTGAACCGGCCGGTTTCAGACGCTCGGTGGGGTACGTTCAAGTCGGTCTTGCTATCCTCCAACCTTCCTGAAAAGCGCATTTTTCGTTAGATAGAGATGGGCTCTGTTCCAGCACGGTCCACAACGACCCATGACCCTACGAAGCGAACCCGTGCGACGAGGAGAGCATCGCGCGAACGTTCTGGACAGCCGATGCTGATGCGGGTTTGAGTGAGCCTGGAATGCCTCAGTCGGTAACGGCGTGAGAGAATACGATGCCGGGTACTTGCCGACCCCCTCCCCCATTCAAAACCTTGAGCGCGGCATTTCGGCCAGCTCGTATCCTGGTTGGTTCGCTTGCCATCGACGGTCTTTACTCAGGTTCCCTTCGCCAAAGATGGTCTGGAGGCGTATCTTCTACAATTACCTTTTCTATACCTCATCTGCTGAGCTGACCATCGTCGATCTCGACTACGCTATCTGCAATCCAGATGCTTGTTAGCGCCAGCCATGACCGCGGCATGACCACGACATGATGCACCTGCCCGGATTAGCGTATGAAAACGGGACGTTCTTGTTAGTCAAGCTGCTTACCTACACCGCTTGATGGCGCGCCTTCGGGTCGGTGTGCTCGAGCTCGCGAAGCCGACGGTACGACTCGGCAATCCTAAAACGCAATCTTCCTCGACTTTGGTATGTACCGCTGCAGAGTCCTGGATAGAGCCACGCGAACGTTTGTTACCCTGATCTCTCTGTCACTTCCTGGATATCTGCCGTCTGCATCGCAGCCGTCTCTGTTAGTCCTTTCGCTCCCGACGCACGGATAGCGGTAGGTGCCTCTGACCACCAGGACGGACGTCAAACAACAGGCCAAAAAAGTCGGCGTGACGCCTCCGTGACGCTCGACATGCGGCGCCCACGCTCTTTTCGGGAACAAAGCGCACGGCACTTTTTCATCACCAGCACCACAACCTCCTCCACGCTTGAAGCTAATCGGCAGAAGTAACAGCGCCCTTCCCTGGACTTCCTGGGCACTTTTTGCGCAGTTGCTCTGACTCTGGCTCCATCGGATAGGATCGAATATTAATGGTGATCTCTCTGTTCTTCCCGCCACATAACGTTGGCGCCTCGTCCTCGTACGCTCGCCGTTCATCGGACAAGGCGCGAGAAGGAGAAGTCCTCCAACTTCGACCCTGCGACGTCGTAGGCGCTTTTCTCGGTGACGCCACTCTTGCCCGCCGACTCCACGTCACGGACATCTACCTCTACGAAGAGCGCGAACTACCCATGCACGAGTTCCTCCGCGTTGACTTCTACGACCGCTGCACGGGAATGTGCAACTGCATCTTTGTCGAGCGAGCGGCGCCCGCGCAGGTCAGCGAGCTACAAAAGCTATGCGCCTCGTGTCACGATCGTTGATTAATTCATGCATGTAGACCCTGGCGGAGGAGGTGGAGAACGCGTTCCTCAGGACGTTTGCTTGCTTCTTCGCAGGCGGAGAAGCAGTGGACAGCTTCATCATCCCTTGCCGCCGCAGCTACACGCGCAGACCGAGGCAGTTATCCGAGAAGCAGTACCGATTACTACAATCTTTACATCCGCCACCCGAGCAGCCCTTCACGCTCGAAGAGGTCGCCGTGATGTGCGACGTTGTCAGCCAGAAGTATCCGGAGTATAAGTCATTGACCTCGCAATGCTTTTGGTATGCGAGGAGCGTGCTGGGGATTGTGGCGCTCGTCGCTGGTTCGTTGTTTCTTTTCACTGGATCACATTTGAGGCTTACAAAATATTGTGGGCGCAGATGCCGAGCACCACGTGTACTCGGCTCCTGAACACCCCTCCTTGCGGCGGAACCGAGTCTATCGTGGCGTCAAGGCGATGTCGCAGGCACGCGCGAATTACCAGCGTGCCGAGCTGACCTCCGACTTCGAGTCTGCGTGGAAGACGTTCAGACGGAGGCTGGACGACAGGTAGGGTGCTCCTCTCATGACTGCCAAAAGGTACGAAAGCTCACCCTCCATATCGTAGTAGTAGACAGGGCCGCCGACCGAGCCACAAACGAGGGGTACGCCACCCGCCGCGGCGACGAAGTCTCGGTCACACCACTTCGAGTCGTCCTGAGTAGCGAGATGGGGGTCAAAATCGCCTGTCTTCGGTGAGATGGGGTGACTTCGTCTAGAGGGTGAGGTGATTATGCCTTCATATTCTCGGGTCGTATTGGACCGGCCAATTGGGTCGAGCTATCCGTGGTGTGATGTTCGACTTTGCGTAGCGGTACAACACTCACTGTCTATGCCGAGGGAGTGCCTTAAATCAATTGTAGCCTCGCGGACGTGAGCTCTCTCTGTCCCTCTGTCCATCCAGTCCGCCTGATCCGGAAAGAGCGAAGTCATCCCTCTGAAGCGGTCGCTGATTATTTGTATCCGCCGGGTTTGATCAAGAGGACTCTTAGTGATCCGGTAAAAGAAACAAACTCCCATTTCGCGGCAGAATCTGAGAGCAGCTCCGTATGCTCTAAAACGAGAACCGTCATAGATGGACGAGTTTCAGCGCGGTGGCTGGCATTGGGTTAGCAATGAGGCACGTGTGTCATGTGGCGTATATATCCCAATCTGGAACAATGTCTCTGCATCCGTGACAGTGTCACATTACTCTTTGTCCTTTCACCACCATCCGGTTAACCCGCCTTGCCTGGCTCTCGTGTTGTCATTCAGATCAAGACATAATAATACGCTCAGGCTTCCAACAACTACTGCTGATGAAAAGCATGCGGCAGAAACAGGGCCAGAGCGGTTCTGCACGTGGGCAGCTAAAATGACCACCCATTGTTCGATGTTTGGGTGTAATGTGACGGGGTCAAAGCGTATCCGAAGCCAGCCGATGTATATAAGCACTGCCAACAATGATCGCCCCCTTCACCCTTGCCTTTGACCCTCACCACCGTCGTTGACCTCGTCCTCTCGACATGTCCAGCAGTGCTTCCACACGTGTCGCCGAGACATACGAGCTTGCCTTCCGCATCTTCAAGCACGTTCAACACGACGGTGGCAACGCGGCTCTTTTATCTGTCGCTCTAGTCAATCACTTTGTCGGCTCTATCGCGCTAGACGTCCTCTGGGAGGAGCAGACGAGCCTTCTGCCCCTCATCAAGGTTCTCGGTGATCACCTCCAGTGCACAACTGAGAAACGTTGCGGAAGCGTTGCTGTCGACGAGAACACCTCTCGACTCACAGTCGAGGAACATCAGGTGTGTGCGCAATCGTATCACCGCATGACTGTTGTGTAACGAACAACACGCGTACTAGATTTTGTTCTTGAAGCCCAACGACGAGAAGAAGGTCTCGATCTCACCGGAGGAATGGCAGCGTCTCCAGTTTTACGCTCGTCGTATCAAGGTTATTGACGACAAGCCGCTCGTTCGGGGTGAATCCTTCGACATCCACCTGTGGCTGGGATCGTTGTGTGCGATACTCGCTGGCGGTGGCGACGAGCCACTGCTGCCCAACCTGCATCACCTCAATTTCGGTCAACGAATGGAGAACCTCTGCGACAGCGCAAAGCTGTCTGCACGCTACGTGGACGCCAGTGGGCAGCGTGTCCCGTATCTCGCCCTCATCGCATACACGCCCCGACAACCATGGGGCGCATGGGTACCGGGAAACCTCTGCCGCCTTGAACAGATTCGCTCTCTCGGGATCGAGCCCGACAAGCATTTGGCCATCTACCCCCTCCTTCGCGATCTTCAGTACCTCGAGGAGCTGCATCTCAAGCTTCCGGACGCTGAGACAGACGAGGACCTGATCCACGGGGTCACTGGCAGGAAGGCCGAAGTCGCCCTGGGATTCCCTGCGCTGACGAAACTACGCATCAGTGACCCGATCCAGATGCACAGCGTGGGGACCGTCTTGAGGGAGATGTCAACGGAGCCGCTGAAGCTGAAGGAACTGCACGCGACGGGCTGGCGCCACGACTTCACCCACGAGACGGACGCCACCAGCCTCTACTCGGATATCCACGATACCTGTGATCACAGCACGCTCACTCATCTCACTACGATCACGCACTCCGGTTCTATGCAGTTCCAGAACGCCTCCGAGCTCTACACCGACCTCCTCGCGTTTCCGAACATCACGCACTTCCAGCTGAACATCTTCGCTTGGCACCTCGACGTCGAAGGCGCGCTCGACATGTTTACGGAGGCCTGGCCGCAGCTCGAGAGCCTGGTCTTCTTGAACAGGCCTGCGTATTCGACGGACACCCTCGAGCGGCAGTTCACGCTCTTTACTCTTTTTGACCTGGAATACCTCGCGCGCCGCTGCCCGCGCCTCTCCTATGTCGCGCTGGAAATGGATTTACAGGAGGTTCCGTACCCGCTCGAGAACCTGGAAGGCGAGCCCTTACTGGATAGGCGCGTCAAGCTCTGCTTGGGCCCGCAGGACAATCTGCATGAGAACTTGTCCGACGACTGCACCCGTGACGTAGCCGACTACCTGGCGAGCGTCTTCCCGTACCCGACGCTGAAGTGCGTCACCTATTGGGAGGGCGACACGAGTTATGTGTGGCTGACGCCCGATGACCTGTACCCGAAGAGGGCGCAAGGCGAGGCAGGTGCGAACGCGCAGAATGCTAAGAAGAAGGGCAAGAAAGGCAAGAAGGGCAAGAAGGGTAAGAAGCCCACGGCAGATACCAATCAGATGCAGACCTCCGCTGCCACTGTCGAGACCTCCGCGACTACCGAGGACGCCGCTCTCGCGGTCGAGACTCCAGAGCCAGTCGCACCCGCGAAAACGACCGGCAAGAAGAAGTCGAAAGGCAAGAAAAAGCCTTCCACAGCGGCGTCAGCCACAAATGCTTAGGAAGATTACGATAGCGCTTTCTCTTACTAGCGGGGGCCTCAAGAACTTACATCTGCAAATGAGGGTCTCGACATAAACCGAGGACACTGAAGGCCGACGAAATCCCCATGGACTCACGGGCTCGGAGATATGATATAAATACCACTTACGAAAGGTTATGACTGAAGACGGCGGTATGAGTAGGCTACTGCGATCACCCAATAAAACGTCTTCTTTCTTATAGTACGTCGGGTCCTAACTGATGCGTGGTCTACTCTATTATCTGTCTTGACATCGCCTGAATCCCTTGTTCTGTCTGGAGTATTCAGGGATAAATCTGAGACGAGGAGAGCCTTGGAACACAATTGGAACAATTGTCGTGCTCTTGAAAGCTATGACCGTCGGGTCTGATGTCGAACGAAACAGGGACGGCACCTGCCGAGAACAATTGTGGCGTATCCCCATCAGCAACAATGACAATAAGCGGCGCACGGACCTTGGCCTTTGTTCTCTTGTGACGAATTGCAGTTTTCAGCCTAGGCGGCCTCTATATAAGGCGCCATCAATTATGAATACTCCCCACTCTTTCCCTTAACCCTCATCTACATCCTCGTCGTCTACTCCAACTCTCCTCCATGTACTCGAGTGCCGCTGCGCGTGTCGTCGAGACATACGAGATTGCTTTCCGCATCTTCAAGAATGTCCAAGACGACGACGGGAACGCTGCTCTTCTGCCGATCACTCTGGTCAACCACCATGTGGGCTCCATCGCGCTCGACATCCTCTGGGAGGTGCAGGGCGACCTTGGCTCACTCCTCTTGGTTCTACGCGACCGTTTAAAGCGCACTCCAGAGGAACGATTTACACGCGTGGTACAGTATGAGCATGGGATCATGGAGACGGAAACTCTGAAGCATTGGGTGAGTACTTCGTTACTTTCTGTGACTTCTGCGTCTGACAATTCACGACCCTAGGTTATATCACTGAAGCCTGATAGCAACAACAAGATATCTCTGTCGCCAACAGATTGGGAACGCCTTCAATTCTACGCTCGCCGCATCAAGGTCCTCTACGACGAACAACCCTACCCACCATGGGTTTATAGCCATCACCTGCATCACGATACGCTGTGCGCGATCCTCGCTGCCGGGGGAGGACAGGCGCTGCTCCCCAACCTCTACCATCTGAACGTCGGACAGCGTGTGATGCAACTTCTCGAGACAGCGAAGCTATCAGCGCGCTACGTAGACGAAGGCGGCGAGCGCGTTCCCTATGTTGGCCTGGTCACGCGCGCGGACGACGAAGGGCACAGCGAGTGGCTTCCGGGCAATCTCTGCCGCCTCGATCGGATACGTTTCCTTGGGCTCGAACCCGACGAACGGCTGGCGATCTTGCCTTTCCTGCGCGACCTACAGTCTCTTGAGGGGCTGCGGCTCAAGTTCCTCGACGTTGAGGCAGAAGAGGACCTACGCTTGGACAGCAAAACCGAGCGCGCGGTGGGCTTCACAGGCCTGAGGGAGCTTCACATCACCAACCCGGTGCAGATGGAGACCTTTGCGGCCACTCTGCACGAAGTATCTACAGAGCCGCTGAAGCTGAAGGAACTACACCTGACGGGCTTTAGCCACCGCTCTCACGGCGGGCGCGCCACTGAAGATGATTACGAACTGTACAAGCGCATCCGCGACACCTGCGACCACGACGCGCTCAAGCGCCTCAGCGTCGTCACGAACAGTTCCGGGCACATGAACGAGCCCGCCAGATGGATCTACGCCGACCTCCTCGCCTTCCCCAACATCACGCACTTCCGGCTCGATATCTGCGCGTGGTACTCCGACCCGACCGGCGCGCTGAAGATGTTCACTGCAGCCTGGCCGCAGCTCGAGAGCCTCGTGATACGCAACCAACTGTCGCTCGACCCGTGGGAGTCTGAGTTCAGCTTCTTCGACCTGGAGGACCTGCGGTATCTCGCGCGGCGCTGCCCGCGGCTCAGAAACCTCCAGCTCGACATGCGCTTGAGGTCCCGCGACAAAGTCCATCCGCCCCTCAGCGGCCTGGACGGCGAGCCCCTGCTCAACAGGCGCGTGGCGCTCGACGTGGGGCCCCAGGACGGCGGGGTCCTGTCCAGCAGGAAGTATTCGCGCCGTGTAGCTGACTTCCTGGCCAGTGTCTTCCCGTATCCTACGTTGGAATGCGTGTGCTTTTCGGATGACTACCGCGAGGAGTATTGGGAATGGATAGCTGCTGAGGATATGCGCCCGGGTCGAGAAACGGAGTTGGAAGAGGACGAGGACGAGTCAGAGCCAGAGCCTTACACCTACTACCGGTCATGGAGCTCAGGCTCTGGCTCAGACTGGGAATCCTCAGAGGAAGGCGACTCGGATCGGGAAGACGACATGAATGAGTCGCTACAACCTCGCGACACCTAGCTTCCTTTGCATACAGTGTTCATATGCTCCCTGCTGTAGAGTACACGTTGTCACAATCCTGGTCACAGAGCCTTCCTTGGCCATTGACTGCGGTGGCCATAACCAGCCCTTATTCACGTCAAAGACCAGATGATTGTCTGTGATAGTGGTGTGCGACGCTCGGAGCTCGCTTTGACCTGTACAAAGGACTTTTGTTGTTCGCGTGTATGTGTATGACCGGCGTTGAGGCAACATATATAAGGCGCGTACTGTCATGTCGAGACCATCCTCTCTTCTTCTTTCTTCTAACCCAGTAATCATGTCGTCGCACCCCGGAGAAACAGATGGGCCCTCGGCTGCCACTCGAGTGGCATCGCTCTACGAGCTCATGCACCCCATCTTCAAAAGCGTGCAAGACGACGAGCTTGATGGACCTGAAACCCTCATGTTATTGAGCACACTCTCGCGCTTCGTGGGTGGCATTGCCCTCGATGTGCTGTGGGAGCACCTAGGAGACCTCACACCTCTGTTCTCTATTCTCCCGCATGTAGAGATACAACAGTCGGAAAGCATACGGCAGCAAGGGAGCCAGGTCTCCAGGTCATACGACACCATAATGCCTACAGTGAGTAGCTCGATGCCTGTGACCCCGAGGCGCACATATACAACTAATGCACGCAGATCCTGACTGTCGACAACATAGAGGAGCGCAGCCTGCCCGAAATCATCACCGACGCTCAGTATACGCGGATGCAGCTTTACGCTTCCCGGATCCGCAAACTAGATGGCATGGACATGCACTATGACTGCCCCACTATCATTCACCCGCGCCTCCTCGCTGCCGCGCTCGCGCACGGCCCGCTGCTCCCTCGGCTGCACACCTTCTCTCATGGGCCCCTGACTATGTTCTTCTTCAAGGACGTGCGCCTCCGGGTCGCTGAAGGCCCCGTCAGGATGACCGCCGCAGTCGGCGACCAAGCACTCGGGACGCTCTTCCCGCTCGCCAACGTCCGCGTGCTCACTCTCAACGCTAAGCAAGGACTCCATGGGCTCCCCGTCCTGCGCGCGCTCCCCTGCCTCGCAGAGTTATCCATCGGCGGCGTCGGGTCGAGCAACGCGCCGCTCGACGACATCCCAGCAGCCACGGAAGCGGGCTTCCGCGCGCTGAGAAAGCTGAACATCATCTACCCCCACAGCCTGCGCGCCGCGGCGCTAGCGCTGCGTGCGCTCTCCTCTGGGCCGCTCGAGCTGACCCATTTCGCCGCCGAGGAGTGGTGCCGCAAACCCGAGGACGACATGGACGCCGCGCGGGGGCTCTTCGCCGCCATGCGCGCCTGCATCGCGCGCGACAGCCTCACGCAGGTCAACGTCGTCACCGGCCTGGCTGGCGCGCTCCCCAGCCACGAGCTCCTCGCCGACCTCCTCACGTTCCCGCACATCACCAGCGCCGCCATCGGGTGGCAGAGCGGCGACGCGGACATCGACGGCGCGGTCGAGCTGATGTGCAAGGCGTGGCCGGAGCTGGAGGAGCTGGAGATATTGCCGGATGCGCCGTGGAGCACGCTCGATGCGCTTGCCCCGTATACCCCGCGAGTGACCTTGCGCACGCTCATCCCGCTGGCGCGGCACTGCCCGAGGTTCAAGAGGTTTTTCCTCACGTATCTGGACCTCTCCGACATACCCGATCCGGTGGAGGTGCGAGAGGACGAGTGCATCGAAAACAGGCCGATCGTACTGGAGTTCATGTGCTCGGTATTGTCGTACGCGCAGGTGAAGCCAGTGGCGGCCTTCCTGACGAGCGTCTTTCCTAAGGGAGGGATAGAGTGCATAGAGCCCGGAATGTCAGAGGAGATGTGGGGGAGGGTATGCGCGAACATGGGCATCAATCTCGGCAAGCTGGACTTTTCCTCATGTGAAAAGTATATCGTGTAGGTGGAAGTGCCGCCAGTTTAGAGACTTATAGTGACCTTCGACCGTAACTTGAGACCGATCACGCCTCCACCACGACCATCCCAGCCTGGGATTGTGGCACGGCAGACGGGGCACCTGCAGTAAGGATTAGAATGATACACACAATGAATACGCTTCTGTGTCTTACTTTGCCTCCAATCCTTCCGGCGTGTGCGCCGCACGCAACATCGCGGTCTTGACGGCCGTAAACAGACAGCTCCCACAGCAGATATGGCCGCAGGGAGTCAGTGTCGCATTGGTCGGCGCGAAGAAGCATATTGGGCAAGTATACTCGGCGAGGGGCGTCTGCTTGGGCGGTGGCGCGGGCGAAGCGGGCTCGGCTTTGGGCTCGGGTGTAGGTGAGCGCGTAGCGGCGCGCTGTTTCCCCTTCGCGTTGGCAGAAGGAGAGGGGGGCCTGTCAACGACCCCCAGCCCTATGTCGGGCAATGTCTCGACGTCGGCGTACTGCTCCGGCTGCTCCAGTACGTCCGCGACTGTCAGGTCAAAGCCAACTTCTTCGGGGCTCTCGCCGGATGGGCCAGCTTCAGCCTGCATGTTTCCCGCCGTGGATGTACTGGTTTCGAGTCCGTCGTGCGCGACGTGTATAGCAGCAATCCTCCGCGATCGTTTGGACTGTCTCGGAAGGCTGATAGATCTGTGCTTTCGCTTCGTACTTCCAGAGGAAGACCCGGCCGTGGACCCTGGAGTAGATGCACGAGAGCGGGAACGAGAGCTGGTCGCGGAACGCGCGGCGCGAACGAGAGATGCGGCGCGTGAGCGAGGCTCGCGGTTCCTGCTGGTCATGGGCGTTGGGAGAGGGGAGTCGTCCGCTCGCGTGCAGCCCCTGTCGACGTGTCGCGCCTCCGCGCGCTCGCTGCCCGCATCGACTCGCTGCTTGGCATTCACTTTTCCCGCAACGACTGGGGACGTCGACGCGGCAACCGCGGATGACGACAACGATATGGGAGGAGGAAGTCCGATCGCGACGGCGTAGAGAGGACGCGGGCAGCCGCGTGCTGTGCTGTCTGTTGTCGTTGTCGCGCCGGATCCGACGAGCTGTCAGTGCGTACGCGGTCGGGTGTGCCAGCGATCGCAGGAGGAGAGAAGGGCGGGATGGATGCCGGCACGCCAGCTGTCAAGGCGCGACGTCATCGCCGCGGGCTTCCGAGTCTGCGTTCGAGTCCCGCGCGACCGGCGATTCCAGCTGGCATCGAGTCGGCGTCGAGTCAGCGTCGAGATGGCGGTCTCCGACGGTCGTCCCTGCGCGCCCCGCGTGACGTGACCGAACATCAACCGTCGCGTTTCCTAATCGGTCAAAAGTGAGAAAATTCGCATCTACAACCTCCTGTAATTGCTATCTCGCGATCCGCTGCAGCTAGCGACTTCGGACAAGGTGCGGCGGGAGTGTATTGACTAAACTAAGAGGTTCCCGAGGTTACAAGTCGCTGCAATTACTCCTTCCTGTACTATTCCCTCCGAACTCGCTGGGAAAGCGTGACACCTCGGCTCTAACAATTGTGCAGGCTCGAGTCCTTCTCCGTTTCCTGTTGTCCAAAGACGAAGTCGCAGGGTGTGGGTAGGCCAACCTCTCTGCAAAACAACTAGTCCCTCCTCTTCCTTGCTCCCCTCCTCTCGATGTTACTCTCCCAGTCACTCTCCTCTGCCACCAGCGCCCACCATCACAGGCCCCGCTCCAGCCATCACAAATCGTCCGTTATCCACGATAATTATTCCGTGATCTCGCTCGGACATCGTTCGATGGCTGTTAATCGCCGTCAAGGGCTCGCCTCGGCCCCCCTTCCGTCGTACGAGCTCTCGTTTACCTTTCGCGAGCTGATCCGCAGCTGCTCGAGACCCAGCCATGGGCGGGTCATATAAGGCAGGGGCGTGAGGTGGGTGCACAGTGATTCTGCTCTCTATTCGCATGCTACACAACGAGTACAAGTCTGAAGCGTACAAATCGCAGGACGTGCTACGAGCATACAGGTGACAAGCACTGTGGGTGATTAGGAGAGAATGGACGGAGCGCAGGGGGATTGAGAGCTCAGCCAAGGCATTGACGGAGGAGATGTAAAGGTCGAGGGTGAGATGAGACGCCGACGGGCGAGATGAGACGCCGACGGGCGAGACTAGCCGTGGTCGAGGCTGCAGGCATGGTTGAGAGGCTGTCGAGGGGCTGAGGAGATAGAGAAGGAGACGAGAAGACCGAAACCAAGATGAGAAGACCAAGACGGAGATGAGAAGACCATGGGGCAGATGTTGGGATGGCGGTGATGCTCGAGGCTCGGCCGAGGGTCAAGGGTCGACTCGAGCGGATCAAAGGTCGAGTCGAGCAGATCAAAAGCCGAAATCAAGGGTAGAGTCGAGACTCGTCGGATTGCCACACAGTCAGTCATGAGCAAGTCGAGATCGACAATGAGCAGCTTGAGATCAAGAATGAGCAAGTCAAGACCGAGAACGAGCAGGTCGAGACTGAGAATGAAGAAGTCAAGACCGAGAATGAGCACATCAAGACCGAGAATGAGCGAGTCAAGACCGAGCAAGCTCGACAAGCCCGAGCTCAACAGACAAGGTCATATTGCATAGTACACATCATGACAGGAGTATAGAAGGCTTCGCAGCAAGAGTGAAGTCGTGAGAAAGCGCTCGAGGAGGTGGAGAGCGCTCAAGAAGGTAGAAAGGTACCCGGGAGGTCAGGGAAGCGCTCGAGGGGTCATTGAGACGCTCACAGCTGCATCGGAACATTCGAGGGCCAGCAGCGCACTCGCGGGTTGGCGACACGCTCGTGGGTCAGCAACGCGCTCGCGGGTCAGCAAAGTGCTCGAGAGCCTATCTGTGTGGTCGAGAAAGTCTCGAGTAGTTAAGGCTGCCCCGGCCGTATCACCTCGCTCGGCGGACGAAGATCCATGGATATATAAATTGGGGGGCTTTGTAGATCACTCGGGGGCCTTCGTAGATCGCTCGGAGGGATTCGGGCGTTGTGAGATAGTTCGGGAGGCGACGGACGATGATGGGAGATCTAGGAGGGTTAAGAGAGTGCTTGGCAGCCTGGGAGAGCGCTGAGTGGCTCGAGGCGACCGCTGAAAGCTCGAAGCGAGACAGATTCATAGAGGGGTCGCGCTTGAAGGGAAAAGCGAGGGTGAATGACGAGCTCGAGAGCGGAAGCGGAAGCGAGGATGTATTGCAAAACCGAAGGGCCTGCTAGGAGCGAAGGTGAGGGTGAAGGTTGCGCTTGGGAGGGAGAGCGATGGCAGAGAAGACAGCTGAACGAGACAGTGAAGAGTCAGTGTTTGACGGACAGATGAGTGCAAAGTAGAGCACGTACCTTATTACCCCATTCGCCGGACGAATTTCTGTTGCTTCAGCGCTTGAATCGACGGGAGGGCTTCGGGGCTGGATTCGACGCGCGAGAGTTGACGAGGAGTAGTTGGGGTGAAGCCGCAATCGCACGAGAGTCACCGAGGTGAAGCCAAGGTCATTGAGGTGCAGACAAAGTCACTGGAACGAATCCAACGTTGTTGAGCTTGCACGACAGGGAGAACGATGCTGGAAGCGTCGATGACTTGCAGATAGCGCTGGGGGTTCGTTGCTCGACTTTGCGCGACGAAGATGGTGCCGCCGAGTGGATGGCGGCGTCAGCGAGTTAGCGAGTTGTTGAGTCAGAGCGCAGGCGCTTCGGAAGTTGGTGACTTGATTTCTGAACGTCGATTGGCTGCCTCGGGATTCTAAAGCGCCGTGAGCTGTCGGCTTTCGCATGAGAAGCAAGTTACGCACCATATATCCCTGCTCGGCGGACGAAAATACATTGCTTCAGCGCTTGATGAGGTGGTTGGCAAGGACGAGAGAGCGACGTGGGGGAATTCTCATTCGAAGACGAGCCTGTAAGTCGTGGGATGGCGAGGCCGGCGGTCGGCGAACGGAGATCTGGGCCGTGAGTATTCCGGCCTCATTCGGCGGACGAGAATCATTCGTGTCGTCGTGATCTGGCACTTGTAAGCGGTGGGATAGATTGCAAGAGTCGTAACACGCACCTTATGTCACCGCTCGGCAGACGACGATCTATTGCTTCAGCATGGCATCCGACTTAAAGGTGGCGTGCGGCGATGAGGACGAGTTTCGGCGCTCTCGAAGGACTCTGGCGGCGGCGAGGGACAGACTTGACGACAGGGAGACGGTCTAGAGCAGAGTGAGCGCGGAGTTTTGGCGGGGTAAAGAGTAGGACGTACCGTATATACCCGCTCGCCGGGGGAAGACATCCATTTACCCATCGACTACGGCGATTTGTGCATAGCTAATCGCTGGCTGTCAAAGGCCGAGCGTTCAGCCTTGTGTAGCAATCAGCAGACGTAGAAGCTGAGCAGAAGCGCTCGCAGCTGTCGTGAGCTCAAAGCCGGTGACGAGGTGACATGAGAGGAAGGACACGGCAGCGCAAAGGGCCGTCATGGACGAGAAAGTCCGGCAGCGAGACGGACGGTGAGCGGAAAGACCGAAGGCCCCGATTCCGGGCGCTCAGGGTCGCGGAAAGACAGGGGAACCTCCCAAAGTCGGAAGGTTTTGACGAGAAGCCCGCCGGAGTCAACAAATCGACATTCCTCCCCGCGCGGGGCATTTGCCTAGGCCACTCCGCGCGGGTGCCTGAGTTGAAGGGATCTTGATCTTGCCGATACACGTGTTTCGAGCAGCGCGGCGCTCGACGAAGAGGTCGACGCTTGTGGGCTTGCCCCGCGAGGTTTTCTCGCCGTGAGATGAGCAAAATAGATAGCAATCGACATATGACAGTCTGCCTGAGTGAGAAGAGAGCCCCACGGCATATCACCAAAGTCACCTTTGCAGCGAGGAGACGATCGACGGGGCGGCGCGCAGACACGGGGAACGACGGTGACGGCCGGGAACAAGGAGCGTGCCTTAAGCGCCGGGCGCTTACCGGCTTCCGCGCCGCCCCGCCGGTCGTCGGCAACTCCCGACCGCGCTTCCCCCGCCCGCCTCCCGCGTTCTGCGCCCATCGCCATCGCCCCCCGTACTTTCGACAACGGCATCCTCGTCGCCAAGTGATTCCCCTCCCATCACCAACTAGGGGAACGGACAGCGCTACGGGC